ACTGATCTCAGCCCAGGAAGCCGGCTGGGCGAAGGGGAACGAACGATTTTGTTTCCAAGGCTGTCGTTGGCCAGGGCGACGGGTAACCCTACCCGGCTGGTTCGCTTTCCTCGCGGCCGATACAATGGCAAAACGGCGTCTGAAATGTGAACCTCCTATTATGAGCGGACGGCAGGCTGACGGGAGATGCTTACAGGAGCCTCGCCGAGGCCACCCAGCGCCCAAAAGCGGACCGCGGGTTCGGCGTTTGCCGGTGGGACCTGGACACAGCGAGGATGGAGCCTCTGCAACAGGAAATGTAAGTTTTCTCCTGTCCAGTGTTTGCATGAAACTGGTGTTAGAAATTAGCCAGTAGCCAGGCGCGTTTTGCAACAGAGTCCAGTTGCGGCAGAACATCTCCGTACGGCTAGTTCCTCCAGCTCTCTCCAGCTAAGCAACTCAGTCTCTTAAGCCAAGAAAGGGTATTCTCTATAAGATTGAATATCAATATACGTATCAAGACTTTGAGATTAGACCACTGAAGGAGCCCGGAAAACTATCTTCAGAGCGTGCTACCTGCGAGAAACAGGTGCAAAATGCCGGCACCCTGTCTCTATCTACAACTCCATCCCCTCCAACGTTTCTCCCCTGAAAATAGGGACGTCCCATTCCATCCCCTCCAACGTTTCTCCCCTGAAAATAGGGACATCCTATTCCATCCCCTCCAACGTTTCTCCCCTGAAAATAGGGACATCCTATTCCATCCCCTCCAACGTTTCTCTCCTGAAAATAGGGACATCCTATTCCATCCCCTCCAACGTTTCTCCCCTGAAAATAGGGACGTCCTATTCCATCCCCTCCAAAGTTTCTCTCCTGAAAATAGGGACGTCCCATTCCATCCCCTCCAACGTTTCTCCCCTGAAAATAGGGACGTCCCATTCCATCCCCTCCAACGTTTCTCCCCTGAAAATAGGGACGTCCCATTCCATCCCCTCCAACGTTTCTCCCCTGAAAATAGGGACGTCCTATTCCATCCCCTCCAATGTTTCTCCCGTGAAAATAGGGACGTCCTATTCCATCCCCTCCAACGTTTCTCCCCTGAAAATAGGGACGTCCTATTCCATCCCCTCCAATGTTTCTCCCCTGAAAATAGGGACGTCCTATTCCATCCCCTCCAATGTTTCTCCCCTGAAAATAGGGACGTCCTATTCCATCCCCTCCAATGTTTCTCCCCTGAAAATAGGGACATCCTATTCCATCCCCTCCAACGTTTCTCCCCTGAAAATAGGGACATCCTATTCCATCCCCTCCAATGTTTCTCCCCTGAAAATAGGGACGTCCTAGTCCATCCCCTCCAAAGTTTCTCTCCTGAAAATAGGGACGTCCCATTCCATCCCCTCCAACGTTTCTCCCCTGAAAATAGGGACGTCGTATTCCATCCCCTCCAAAGTTTCTCCCCTGAAAATAGGGACGTCCTATTCCATCCCCTCCAACGTTTCTCCCCTGAAAATAGGGACGTCCTATTCCATCCCCTCCAAAGTTTCTCCCCTGAAAATAGGGACGTCCTATTCCATCCCCTCCAAAGTTTCTCCCCTGAAAATAGGGACGTCCTATTCCATCCCCTCCAAAGTTTCTCCCCTGAAAATAGGGACGTCCTATTCCATCCCCTCCAACGTTTCTCCCATGAAAATAGGGACGTCCCATTCCATCCCCTCCAACGTTTCTTCCGTAAAAGAGGGATGTTCCGGGATCGACTCAGAAACCAGGGCGGCTTCTGGCAATCCGGGACTGTCCCTGGAAAACCAGGCTGCTTGGAATCTCTGCTAGCTCTGACTGACCTCTCTCTCCCCCAGGACACCCCAGTCTCCTCCGGAGCCCGAAGGCTGTGTGGAGGTGGCCGAGCTGCGGTCAGAGGTCCAGTTCCTCCTCTCGGGCCGCGGGAGCCCCAAGATGGACTGCATCGTCTGCTACTGCTCCTACGACCTGTCCGGCCGCCTTCCCCGGCGCCTCTACTGCGGACACACCTTTTGCCAGACCTGCATCCGGCGACTCCACGTCGTGGCCAATGAGCAGCGCTGGATCCCTTGTCCGCAGTGCCGCCAGAGCACACCGGCTCCCCGCGGAGGGGTCACCATGCTCGACCTGGATCTCGCGGCCTTCCTGGCGGTCAAGTCGGAGAAGGACCACCCTCGGGCCGTGGCCAGGACGGAGGCGGAGACGGCCTCCAAGTCGCCCGCCAAGGACCAGCCCGTCACCCAACAACCCGCAGGCCTGTGCCACGAGGCAGTGGCGCGGCCCTACTTGCCGCAAAACAACTGCTGCGCCCGCTGCCTCTGCTGTGGGACCACGGCGGATTTCCAGAGCTGACCGGGCGTCGTCTGGGCCCCCTAAATGCCCCACATCCTCCTCAAAGGGATAGCAGAGGCTAGCTGCCTGCTGCAAGCGCCGCTCGCCTTCCAGCCCGTATTGTCCGAGAGCTGCGTATTAACAAAAATTATTTCTGCTATTTTCATCGATGGATTTCAGATCTCGCGCTCCGTGCCCAGTAAGCTGACGGAGGTGTGTAAGAAGGTTCCTTAAAACGGTTTGAAATGCAAGCAGGAGGTTTTTTCCAGCATGTGGTGCCATTGTGGGAAAGAGAGGGCGTTTTGGGAGACGATATACGACGAGATGGAAAAGGTGTGATGATCCCAAAAACGCCCCACGCTTTTCCTTTTCATTCCAAGAGATTGTTGTTGTTGTTGAGTTGTTTAGTCGTGGAGGACTGGAGTAAATATACGAACTATTTGAAAAGTAATTGTAATGAACAGATTACGCTAGTAGGACTGCAATAAGTTTTGTAAGAAGGATTATCTGAAACATTGCAAGAAAGACTGTGAGGAGAATTATTTTGTTGTTGTTGTTTAGTCGTTTAGTCTTGTCCGCCTCTTCGTGACCCCCTGGACCAGAGCACACCAGGCCCTCCTGTCTTCCACTGCCTCCCTCAGTTTGGTCAGACTCATGCTGGTAGCTTCAAGAACACTGTCCCACCATCTCTGTTGTCCCCTTCTCCTTGTGCCCTCCATCTTTCCCAACATCAGGGACTTTTCCAGGGAGTCTTCTCTTTTCATGAGGTGGCCAAAGTCTTGGAGCCTCAGCTTCAGGATCTGTCCTTCCAGTGAGCACTCAGGGCTGATTTCCTTCCGAATGGAGAGGTTTGATCTTCTTGCAGTCCATGGGACTCTCAAGAGTCTCCTCCAGCACCAGAATTCAAAAGCATCCATTCTCCGGGGATCAGCCTTCTTTATGGTCCAGCTCTCACTTCCATACATCACTACTGGGAAAACCATAGCTTTAACTATACGGACCTTTGTTGGCAAGGTGATGTCTCTGCTCTGTCGGAAAGGTGATGTCCCAAGACATATGCGGCCACAAAGAACGGACTTTCCCGGAAAGTTCAGGTACGAGAAGAAGATGAGGGATAGCTCTGCTCCAAGGTCCCTGCAGGGGTCATTTTCCAGCACAAACCAGGGACATTAATTTATTTTGTATGCCTAGGGGGGGCCTTGCCGCTATGCCAGGATACTGAGACCCACCTGGGTCCGTTTGCAGGACTGCACCAAGGTCAACGTTTTCTGGGCAAAAGTATATTTTTTCAGATCTCTCGGATAACTGGGCAAAAACCATCCACCCCTCCTTTTCGTCCGCATCTTTGGAATTTGTATGTTTTATTATTGACGCCTATATAACAAGGAACCAGTTTTGCATCCGGCCAGGACTTACGGTAAAAACTGCCAAATTTTGGATGACCTCAGCCGGGCAGATTCCTCGCTACTTCCCAGAGCTGAGACTTGTCGAAAAAGTCTTTTGTCTGCGGAGACCAAACAGCCGCTTCGGAGGTAAATCAGCTTGTCGGAGCCCCCAAAATGGATTTCCTGGAGTCTGCTCAGCAAATTTAGGAACTGGAATTTGAGCCCTGCCCTAGTCCACTATGTCAGAGCGAGACAGGGCTTGGGTTCAAATTTCCAGGTCTCCGTTTGGTTTGGTTTTCTCAACACCCGCTGGGTTCCTGCCTGCCATCTCTGGGCTTCCAATACATTGAGCCCGACAGACCGAGCGGCTCTGTCTTTTGTAGGACGGCATTTCGTTAGCAACCGTGAGGACAGAGATTTCTGCACAAAAGCGGGTTGGACTAGATGACCCCAGGGTCACCTTCTAGGGCTCAAGCGGTCGCTTAACTTACGGACTTCTGAGGACGCTCTTGACGGACTCTGCCTGGCCAAAGATGAGACGCGGTTTGGAGAAAGAAGTTGAATTTTTAAAATTTTTATTATTATAGTAAAACCAGAGTAGAATGAGTTTTTGCGAAGTTTGCTCCCATTAAACAGGGTTTAAACTGCTTTGGTGTGTTTCGTAGCATGGGTTTAACTCCCTAATCCTATCCCGCCTGCTGTAACCACTGCTCCTTACTGCCCAAACCAGCCGTTCTCCTCCCTCTCCCAAGCCCAAATCCTTTAACTGCTCTGTCACCTGTCTGTCACGCTCCACCCTCAGCCAATCAGCACGCAGCACACGCCAAAGATCCCGCCCACTGGACTCCACCTTACCTTAAACCCCACAAATATCTCTTTGGGTACCACTTTGCCGTATGTGTCTTAATATACAAACCCTACAAAAGTCGTGTTAACAACGGCAAGCACCACACACACACACACACACAGAAAGCAGCCTTTTATTGGGAAGTTTTTAAAGTTTGGCGTTTTATTGTGTTTTTATATGTGCTTCAAGCCACCCAGGGTGGCTGGGGAATAATAATAATAATAATAATAATAATAATAATAATAATAAAGCCCTGGCACCTCTTCCTTCCTTGGAGCTTTTGAAAGCAGAGTTTGGATGGCCATTCATCATGGATTCTTCCGCTGGGGTTCCTGCATCGAAGAGGGGTGGACTAGATGACCTTTGGAGGTCCCTTCCAACTGCTATAAGAAGAAAAAACCTGCTTCTTTTCCCTTACGGGGTATCCAAGAGCCCGTTTAGGGTCCTTAAGCAGGTTCCCTATGCCGCCATGTTTAAGAAGGAAGCTTCCAGCTATCACATCTTGCCAGCTGCTTGGGGATTGGCTACAAGGCGCATTTGCCCGTTCCACAAAAATAAAAACCAGGTCAGTTCTGCTTCCCAGCTCCATCTGGTACCTTGGCTGAGACCCTCTCCCCCTGCGGCTTCCTATAGATGAAATCATAGCTCGATTCTCGCTTGATCTTTCTGATTATTATTGACCTTGGGATAAAGCAACCAGCCTCTTCAAATCCAAGGAGACGAGGAAATGCAGTTTGTCTATGTGCGGATAATAAGAATAATATGAATAATTTGTTATTTATACCCCGCCCATCTGGATGAGTTTCCCCAGCCACTCTGGGCGGCTCCCAATCGAGTTTTTAAATCGAGTTTTAAAAACAAAACAGCTTCTCTGCTGGCACGGGAAGGAGGGTGGAGAATTTGGGGAAAAGAATTTGGGAAATTGTGGCTGCCTTGTTAGGTACAAATGAGGTCTTGGAGGCGATCTCGTGGGGACGGAGCGTGCAAGTAGACTTGTGAAAAGGAGACAAACTTTCCCAAGGTGAGGGGGGGGGACCCACATAAACAAGGAGGGATGGTCTTTTGAAAAGTCCTATGTACAAGTAAAAAAAATGTTTCTGAGACAGAGACGACGCAGACAAACACGCATGGGATCCATCAGGTGGGCAGACGGCCTACGAAGCAGGGTGGATGAAAATCAACAGGTTTTTTAAATTCAAAAATGGATTTTTCCCATTTAAATTGGATTTTGAAAAATTTAAACTAGATTTTTTCCCATTTAAATCGGATTTTTAAAATTTTAAATAGCTTTTCATAGCTCTATGGCCCCCACAAACCCTTTGCTACCTCTGAGACCCCTCCACCTTTTTCATAGTTCTGTGGCCCCTCTACCCCTTTCCTACCTCTGAGACCCCTCCACCTTTTTCATAGCTCTGTGGCCCCTCTACCCCTTTCCTACCTCTGAGACCCCTCTACCCTTTTCATAGCTCTGTGGCCCCTCTACCCCTTTCCTACCTCTGAGACCCCTCTACCCTTTTCATAGCTCTGTGGCCCCTCTACCCCTTTCCTACCTCTGAGACCCCTCTACCCTTTTCATAGCTCTGTGGCGCCTCTACCGCTAGTCTGCCTCTGAGACCCCTCTGCCCTTTTCATAGCTCTGCGGCACCTCTACCCCTTTCCTATCTCTGAGACCCCTCTGCCCTTTTCATTGCTCTGTGCCCCCTCTGCCCCTTTCCTACCTCTGAGACCCCTCTACCCTTTTCATAGCTCTGTGGCCCCTTTCCTACCTCTGAGACGCCTCTACCCTTTTCATAGCTCTGTGGCCCCTCTACCCCTTTCCTACCTCTGAGACCCCTCTGCCCTTTCCATAGCTCTGTGGCCCCTTTCCTACCTCTGAGACACCTCCACCCTTTTCATAGATCTGTGGCCCCTCTACCCCTTTCCTACCTCTGAGACCCCTCTGCCCTTTCCATAGCTCTGTGGCCCCTTTCCTACCTCTGAGACCCCTCTGCCTTTTTCATAGCTCTGTGGCCCCTTTCCTACCTCTGAGACGCCTCTACCCTTTTCATAGCTCTGTGGCCCTTCTACCTCTTTCCTACCTCTGAGACCCCTCTGCCCTTTTCATAGATCTGTGGCCCCTCTACCCCTTTCCTACCTCTGAGACCCCTCTACCCTTTTCATAGCTCTGTGGCCCCTTTCCTACCTCTGAGACCCCTCTGCCTTTTTCATAGCTCTGTGGCCCCTTTCCTACCTCTGAGACGCCTCCACCCTTTTCATAGCTCTGTGGCCCTTCTACCTCTTTCCTACCTCTGAGACCCCTCTGCACTTTTCATAGCTCTGTGGCCCCTCTACCGCTAGTCTACCTCTGAGACGCCTCTACCCTTTTCATAGCTCTGTGGCCCCTCTACCGCTAGTCTACCTCTGAGACGCCTCTACCCTTTTCCTAACTCTGTGGCCCCTCTACCGCTAGTCTACCTCTGAGATGCCTCTACCCTTTTCCTAGCTCTGTGGCCCCTCTACCCCTTTCCTGCCTCTGAGACCCCTCTACCCTTTTCCTAGCTCTGTGGTCCCCTCTACCTCTGAGACCCTTCTATATTTTTCATAGCTCTGTGGCCCCTTTCCTACCTCTGAGACCCCTCTACCCTTTTCCTAGCTCTGTGGCCCCTATACCGCTAGTCTACCTCTGAGACGCCTCTATACTTTTCATAGCTCTGTGGCCCTTCTACCCCTTTCCTACCTCTGAGACGCCTCTACCCTTTTCCTAGCTCTGTGGCCCCTTTCCTACCTCTGAGACGCCTCTACCCTTTTCCTAGCTCTGTGGCCCCCTCTCCCGTTTCCTGCCTCTGAGACCCCTCTACACTTTTCCTAGCTCTGTGGTTCCTCTACCTCTGAGACCCCTCTATACTTTTCATAGCTCTGTGGCTCCTCTGCCCGTTCCTACCTCTGAGACCCCTCTACACTTTTCATAGCTCTGTGGTCCCTATACCACTTTCCTGCCTCTGAGGCCCCTCTATACTTTTCATAGCTCTGTGGTCCCTCTACCCCTCAGAGCTATGAAAAGTGTAGAGGGGTCTCAGAGGTAGAGAGACCACAGAGCTAGGAAAAGTGTAGAGGGGTCTCAGAGGTAGACTAGCGGTAGAGGGGCCACAGAGCTATGAAAAGTGTAGAGGGGTCTCAGAGGTAGAGAGACCACAGAGCTAGGAAAAGTGTAGAGGGGTCTCAGAGGTAGACTAGCGGTAGAGGGGCCACAGAGCTATGAAAAGTGTAGAGGCGTCTCAGAGGTAGGAAAGGGGCAGAGGGGCCACAGAGCTAGGAAAAGGGTAGAGGCGTCTCAGAGGTAGACTAGCGGTAGAGGGGCCGCAGAGCTAGGAAAATGGTAGAGGTGTCTCAGAGGTAGGAAAGGGGCAGAGGGGCCACAGAGCTATGAAAAGTGTAGAGGGGTCTCAGAGGTAGACTAGCGGTATAGGGGCCACAGAGCTAGGAAAAGGGTAGAGGGGTCTCAGAGGTAGGAAAGGGGCAGAGGGACCACAGAGCTAGGAAAAGGGTAGAGGGGCCTCAGATGTAGAAAAGGGGTAGAGGGGCCACAGAGCTATGAAAAGGGTAGAGGGGTCTCAGAGGCAGGAAAGGGGTACAGGAGCCACAGAGCTATGAAAAGCGTAGACGGGTCTCAGAGGTAGAGGGACCACAGAGCTAGGAAAAGGGTAGAGGGGCCTCAGATGTAGAAAAGGGGTAGAGGGGCCACAGAGCTAGGAAAAGTGTAGAGGGGCCTCAGATGTAAAAAAGGGGTAGAGGGGCCACAGAGCTATGAAAAGGGTAGAGGGGTCTCAGAGGCAGGAAAGGGGTAGAGGAGCCACAGAGTTATGAAAAGGGTAGAGGGGTCTCAGAGATAGGAAATGGGTAGAGGGGCCACAGAGCTATGAAATGCATAGAGGGGTCTCATAGGTAGCGGAGCCACAGAGCTATGAAAAGGGTGGAGGCGTCTCAGAGGCAGGAAAGGGGTAGAGGGGTCTCAGAGGTAGTAAAGGGGTAGAGGGGTCTCAGAGGTAGTAAAGGGGAAGAGGGGTCTCAGAGGTAGAAAAGGGGCAGAGGGGCCACAGAGCTATGAAAAGGGTAGAGGGGTCTCAGAGGTAGAATAGGGGTAGAGGGGCCACAGAGCTAGGAAAGGGATAGAGGGGTCTCAGAGGTAGTAAAGGGATAGTGGGGGCCACAGAGCTAAGAAAAGTGTAGAGGGGCCACAGAGCTCTACCCCTTTCCTACCTCTGATACCCCCTACCCTTTTCCTACCTCCATCCTCCCTTACAGCCCTTTCCCTTCCCAGAACCCATCACTATTTACCTCTGAAATTGAAATTGCCTCCCCTGTAGCTCAAGCCCACCCCCCAAAGCATCATATGTATATCAAAGTAATTGTTGAACTGAAATACAATTAAGAAGAAGTATATTAACAGTGAAATAATTATTCAGCTCTAACTTAAAAGGATTTTTTTTATTCACAACAAACTGAACAATGCAAACACCTTGCCATTTGGCGATGAGAAAAGTTCCTTTAGAAACACAATTTACAAAGACTCATCACCTGGTCTCCAGAAACTTGCTATAACATGAAATAGGTGCGAACATATGATGCAAACTACTAATAATGATAAATAGCAGAATGTAGGCACCCTGTATATAGAAAGGAGCAAAGCAGTGATATTTTAGGGAGCAGGCTAGCAGGCGGGGCCCATGACTTACACTGGAGGAGCCTACACAACACAAAACACTGTTGCTGGATGTAGGTTTTATTTCATTTCTTATCTTATATTTTGGAAATGTACAGGGAGGTTGTTTTTTTCCTTTAATTTTTTGGGGGGCCCCCAAGACAGTGGGGCCCGAAGCTAGAGTTTGTTTAGCTTAGACGTAAATCCGGCACTGATCGCTGCCTGAATATCCTCTCTTTAGCGCTCGCAAAGAACAATTGCAAAGACCTGGACACTCCGTAGCTTATTGCAACTTGTGGGGAGACCTCTGAGACCCCAATTCACCCCATGGACTTCACTACCTGTCCCCAGGTGACACCCCCCATTCTCATAGCTTTCAAAGTTTCCCTTTTTTTAAGGGAACTTCCCTTATTCCGAATAAGGGAATTTTCAAATCCATTGCCCCGCCCACTTCCCCCTCTGGTTCTGCCCATTGCTAGTGTGTGGCCCTCGGAAGCTTGCGCAGGTGGAGAAAGCGGCCCTCGGCTGCCAAACAGCCCCCTCGCCTCCCTCTCCAGCAAAATCTTTTCCCACCCCTTCCTTGCCCCCATCCTGAGTGTCTCATAGGGTGTTTTCAGAGCAGCAACAGCAGGGAAACCGCCCCAGGCGACTCGAGCGAGCGAGCCCAGCCACGCGGAGAGCGAGAAAAAGGAAAAGCGAACGCGACATGGCTTGCTTTTGCTCCTGCAAAAGACCCTTCGGGTCGGGGACACCACAGAGAAGGCCCTACATCCCCGAAGAGACAAACCGCATCTCGACGTTGGCGCCGGGCTCGCATCTGCCCACCCGGCGCTTGGCAGTGAAGGGGAAGACTTTGCGGAAAGCCCTCTGGAAACTGGCGCCCATGAAGGCGTAGACGATGGGGTTGAGGGAGGAGCTGGCGTACGACATGCAATGAGCCCAGATTTTCAGCTTGTAGGTGTAATAGTTGCGGCGGAAACCGGCGCCGAAGGCTTGGGCGAGAATCAGAAGCTGCATTGGGCCCCAGCAGATGGCGAAGAGGACGACGATGGTGCCCACCATCCGCGATATCTTGCCCCGCATGGCTTCCGAGCGCTCAGCCAGCTGCCGGACCTGGGAGGAGTCAAGAAGGGGACTTGCAATCAGATCGGCTTGGCCTCTGTGGTCTCGGCTCTGCTGCCCGTGGAGGTCAGTTCTGTGTCTGCCAGCTCCATCTGGTACACAGGATGAGACCCTCGCTGCCCACAGACTGTCTCGCCAGAGTGGTGCATGCTCTGGTTATCTCCTGCTTGGACTACTGCCATGCGCTCTCCGTGGGGCTGCCTTTGAAGGTGACCCGGAAACTACAACTAATCCAGAATGTGGCAGCCAGACTGGGGACTGGGAGTGGAGACCACAAAACACCGGTCCTGAAAACCTACCTCCCAGGACATTTCCGAGCACAATTCAAAGGGTTGGTGCTGACCTTGAAAGCCCTAAATGGCCCAGTAGACCTGAAGGAGCGTCTCCACCCCAGACACCTGGGTCCATCTCCCAAGGGCCTTCTGGTGGTTCCCTCCCTGCGAGAAGCCAAGTTACAGGGAACCAGGCAGAGGGCCTTCTCGGTGGTGGCGCCCGCCTGTGGAACGCCCTCCCGTCAGATGTCAAGGAGAGAATGAACTACCTGACTTTTAGAAGACACCTGAATGCAACCCTGTTTAGGGAAATTTTTAATTTTTGATGTTTTATTGTGTTTTTAATATCCATCTGGTACGCAGGCTGAGACCCTTCCTGTCCGTAGACTGTCTGGCCAGAGTGGCGCATGCTCCGGTTGTCTCCTGCTTGGACTACTGCCATGCGCTCTCCGTGGGGCTCCCTTTGAAGGTGATCCAGAAACTGCAATTAATCCAGAATGTGGCAGCCAGACTGGGGACTGGGAGTGGAGACCACATAACACCGGTCCTGAAAGACCTACATTGGCTCCCAGACATTTCCAAGCATAATTCAAAGTGTTGGTGCTGACCTTTCAAGCCCTAAATGGCCCAGTAGACCTGAAGGAGCGTCTCCACCCCAGACACTGGGGTCCATCTCCAAGGGCCTTCTGGTGGTTCCCTCCCTGCGAGAAGCAAAGTTACAGGGAACCAGGCACAGGGCTTTCTCGGTGGTGGCACCCACCCTAAACCAAAGGTTGGCAAGGCTTACCGGGCATGGGCCGGATCACTCCCACAGAGATCCTTCATGGGCTGGGCCGGCGCAGCACAACGCCAGAAATCACGTCTGCGCATGCCCAGATGCTGAAAATCACACCTGCGACGAAGCGATTTTTGGTTTCTGGGCATGTACAGAAGCGATTTCTGGCACCGCAAACATAAAGATCAGGCTTACTCGCTGCTTTGCTTCTCACTATTCTCTGCTTGGCCTCTGCTATTTTCTCCTACCAATAGAAAACCCACTTAAGGACTCTAGACACGCTCAGATACCCCATAAGTGAAAAAGGAGCAGTTTATTACTTATAACAAGAGCATGCAAAGATGTCCTCTATTTCCTAAATAACTCGTAGGGAAGTTCTGCCTGGTCCAGCCTCACATTTCTCACATTGCATAACCAGATATTACATCTGGAGATTGTAGAAATTACAAGTGGAAGAGTTTTGGAGCCTGAGCTTGCTCTGTTTCCTCTTCCCTCCTCATTCCTCTTTCCTTTTGTGCTGTCTGCTTGACCTCTGTTATTTTCCCCTACCGATAGGGAACCAACTTAAGGACTCTATAGGGGCTTTTGGATACCCCATAAGGGAAAAGGAGTGGAGTTTTTCCTTATAACAATTTGATAATAAACCTGATTTGCAAGCGGTGGTAGTGGAATAATTTCGACGGCGACTGTAAGATTGTTGTGCGATTGATACCTGGTTCTCGGAGGTCTCCACCGTGGGGCGTCCCATCTGGTACAGCATAGCGGTGTAGCAAAGGAGGATGATCAGCAAGGGGAGCAGGTAAACCACAAGGAAATTGTACACAATGAAGGCCCTCTTGTGAGTGACGGAGGGGAAAGTCTCACTGCAGTAGGTCCGGGGCCCGAACCAGTAGCCTTCGGTCAGCTGGTTGTAGACCAAAACCGGAGTGGAGACGGCAAAGGAACCTGTGGGCAGAAAGGCCAGGGTCCCAAATTCACCCAACGGTTCTGAAGTCTCGGACAGAACCGGCTCGAACCCTAGGTCAAGTGGGACAACTTCCTCCAGCAAAGGATGTTCTGCTAGAATTTGCGGAGAAGCAAAATGGACTTCCTGGTCCGATAAGGTGCAATGGGCAATCTATACGGAAGATCGATTGTATACAGCGGCACCTTGGTTCTCAAACGCCTTGGTACTCAAACAACTTGGAACCCAAACACTGCAAACCCGGAAGGAAGTGTTCCGGTTTGCGAACTTTTCCTGGAAGCTGAACGTGCTTCATTTTGAGTGTCACGCTTCTTTTTTGAGTGTTACACCAAGGTCTGTCTGGTTTTGCTATATACAGTGGTACCTCGGGTTACATACGCTTCAGGTCACAGACTCCGCTAACCCAGAAATAGTGCTTCAGGTTAAGAACTTTGCTTCAGGATGAGAACAGAAATCATGCTCCAGCGGCGTGGCAGCAGCAGGAGGCCCCATTAGCTAAAGTGGTGCTTCAGGTTAAGAACAGTTTCAGGTTAAGAACGGACCTCCGGAAAGAATTAAGTTCTTAACCCGAGGTACCACTGTATTTGTTTTTGTGACTGTGTGCAACCCAGTTCAGCTATTGATGGATTGATAGTGAGTGTGACTGCGGTACATTGTTCATCGCTTTCGTTTTATGGATCAATGGTCTCGTTAGACAGCAAAATTTGTGTTAAATTGCTGTTTTAGGGGTTGTTTTTAAAAGTCTGCAACGGATTACAGTGGTACCTCGGGTTACAGATGCTTACAGACGCTTCAGGTTACAGACTCTGCTAACACAGAAATAGTACCTTGGGTTAAGAACTTTGCTTCAGGATGAGAACAGAAATCGCACAGCAGCGGCAGCTGGAGACCCCATTAGCTAAAGTGGTACCTCAGGTTAAGAACAGTTTCAGGTTAAAAACGGACCTCCAGAACGAACCCAAGGTACCACTGTAATCCATTTTGGTACCTTGGTTGTCAAATTTAATCCGTACCAGAAGTCCGTCCCAGAACCAAAGCGTTCCAAAACCAAGGCGCGCTCTCCCATAGAAAGTCATGCAAAACGGATTAATCCGTTCCAGACTTTTGCCCCGCAGGAGATGGGTGGCGAGGGCGCTGGCCGAGGTTCGGGCCGAAGCGAAGGGGCAGGGACTCCCCTTTTGTGGAAACCAAGGGGTCCTCCATGCTATGCCCGCCCCCCTACTCACCGACCCAGATGCTGGCGCTGACAGTGGCCGCCACGAAGGGGGTGCGTTGCCGCAGGGCTCGAAGGGGAAAGACGGTGACGTACCAACGGTCAACGCTCATAGCGGTCAAGGTGATGCATGTGGCTTGCACAGAGACCTGCGAAGCCAAGAAGACAGGGTGGGATGCTCATTACAGTGGAACCTTTGTTCCCAAACGCCTCGATTCCCAAAAATCAGAATTGGCTTTGACAGCCCAAGTCTCCATCGAGGGACCCTTAAGTCCGTTATCGGTCAGAGAAAGATTGGACGGTGCAAGGACGTTGCTTGCCCAGAGCTGCAAAGATAATAATAATAATAATAATATTTTTTTATTTATACCCCACCCTCCGCAGCCAAGACCGGGCTCAGGGCAGCTGTTAGATTACCTACGAGGGCAGACTAGCAGATGAAATTATTGGACTATATTTTTGGGGTGGGGGGGAATGAATGAATTTGTATGCCCCACAATTAACCCAGAGATGCGTTTTAAATAAAAGGGCACATTCTACTCATGTAAAAACATGCTGATTCCCAGACCCTCCGCGGGCCGGATTGAGAAGGCGATTGGGCCAGATCCGGCCCCCGGGCCTTAGTTTGCCTACCCATGGTTTAAAGGTTTTTTGGGGGCAGATCGGCCCTGCAAGCAGTCGCAAACTCACCTGTTGGATGTAATTGACAAATTTGCACATAAACTCCCCAAATATCCAGCCCGGGAGAGGATAAAGGACAGCCGTGAATGGGACACAGCAGATCAGGAAAATGATATCCGTAACGGCCAGGTTCGCTGTTTGGACAAAGGGCACAATTTGGGAAAAGTTTAAAAGAAGAAGAAGAAAAGATAAATTGAAGGGAGCAACTTCCCTGTAAGGAAAGCGTGGAGGTTTTTATCATTTAGAGGAAAAGCATGAAATTACGTCGAAAGTAACTAGAGGAAAGTTTTCTTCCCTTTCAGAAATGGCTAGCTTAACTGGTAGAATAAGGGACGGATCTACACAAAGGGGGCGGGGGAAGAAACGCTATAAATAAGTCAGAAATCAAATCGTCATAACGAAAGAAAAATACCGCTATGGAAAAACGGCATAGAATTTTTTTTACTCTCCTGCGCCCCCTGGTGTTGCATATTTATAACGCTGATTTAAAAAAAAATCTAATGTAGCTGAGTCCTGGAAGAAAGTCTTTAAAGAAGAATGGGGGGGGGGGCGACGGTGGAACATTTGAAAAAATTATTGTCAGCAGCTTGAAACGTTAGCAAGACGAGAATAAATTTAGCAGCAAAATCATCAACGGAGAGAAAATGGGAGGAGGAAGAATAAGGAATAATTAGAATACGCGGCAATAAAGGGAAAATTGAAATGAACCATGGAAGAGGGAAGGGAAGTTGATGCTTGGCTTGTTTTTGTTTGAGAATGATAAATAAAATTTTTATATAAGTTTTTCTCCCTTTCTAATAACACCAGGAATCGTGGGCATCTTGCGAAGCTGAAAGATTCTGGACAGGTTAAAAAAAAATGCTTCCTATAAGTGTGGGATGTGAAACACAAGAGCAGTCAAGTACAACATTCCTAAAAGTGAACATGTTTAGACATGGGGAGGGATGTTTGTCCAGCCAGCAGGTAAACTTCTTGTTTCCCTCTGGGCTGGGACAGACTTCCTCTACACGTGACTAGAGGTGGGTGTGGCCTCACCTGTGCAGGTAATGATAAAAGCACAGGGCAGGGCAGCCATCTCTCTCTCTTTCACCACATGCATCGAAGACACAACATCTACTGAGCGAAAGATGCCCTCTTGGCTCCCAGCCAAGAGAGGACAAAGGGACTGTCTTCTTATAAGATAGACTCCAAGTGTATGTTACTTCATTAAGCCTAAGTCTGCCTTCTGGGATCTGATTGTGAACAGAATGTGAGTAAACTCTTTTTACACTTTTGTAAAAGACTGTGTCGTCTCTTCTGTTTTATGAGGGAATAAGGGGAAATTACCAGAACAGTTATCATAGAGGCTTAAGCGAGCCTGAGCAAACGCTGCCGTTGCAAACTTAAAATAAAGGGGAATGTTTTACTCTGCTGAAATTGGGGGACTTGTTAACACAAGTTGGATAAGGATATAATCAGACAATATATCCTCTCCTGCATCCCTGAACATTCCCACAATAAGAACATCCCAAAAGAGCGTAAGAACTGCTTGGCCCAACTTTGGAAACCTGCAACCAGGATTTGAACCCGTGGCATTACTGCGCTTGACCGTGGATGCAGAGCAGAGCGGTCCTGGCTAGCAGGAAACAGAACAGGCACCAGCTAGTAGCCCTAGCAGCTTTGACCCTCCTTCCCACCCATCCAGATGCCTCCATTATTCTTACCAAACTCACCAATGTAGAAATTGGTCGCCGTCCTCATCTGCTTGTGCTTGGCGAGGACGTAGATCACGAGGGAGTTGCCCGCCAGACCCACCACCATCAGCACGGCGAAGAAGAGGGGCACCAGCCACGCATCCACCAGGCGCGGCGGGCTGCGGGGCTCCGAGACATTGGCGCACCACAGCCCTGCGATGCAGGCTGAGCTGTTCGGGAACAGAAAGGAATCGTTGAGGTCGGAGACGGAGGAGTCCACTAGCATGGCTCCGCTTTGCGTCGAGAGCAGCCTCTGCCGGCCAGGAGCACCGAATTGGGGCTTGGGACGTCCTTTGGCAAGAGTTTTCAGCACACCGGACAGCTCACCAAGCGAGAGAGATGTTGCGCCGCTCCTCAAATGGGGATCCAGGAAACTCTGGCGGACTCAGGGGCTGAGGGACACGTTGGGGATCTCGTCCTGGCTTGGCGTCATCCTAAGAGGAGCCAATCGTGTGACAGTTATGACTCTCTCCTCCCCTGAAGTCTCAGAAGGAGACCTGCATTTCTCTGATTCCAGAGTCCTTCTTGCACAACTTTTGCAGCGTCCTCTGCTTCTCAGGTTCCTTGCAGAATGCAGGATGCTCTGCTGAAACTCAATGAGGACCGGCAACGCACCAGGGACCAGTTCTCGGGCACAAAGGTGTCATCCGTCAGCAACACATGCCATCAAACAGACACGCTCCTTTCAGAGTAGAGGGCTCTTACTCCGACCCAGAGGAAATCTTGGGACGCAGGAATGGTGCTCCCATCTGAATGGGTTGCCTGCCCAACCATCCAGCCACCTGGGACCACCGCCCAGCTCCGAAAGGACCCAGGCGTCCTGCGAGTTGGAGAAAGCCGGGAGGAAAGAAGGGCTGGTGGGTTTTAAGTGGCAGAGCGACTGCTCCCCTCCTGCTCTTTGCAAAAGCAGAATTTCTCCTCTCGTGTCTCCAAACAGGCGATTGGCTGATTGTTCTATATTTTTTCCTCTCTCTTTCCCCACCTGGGGAGGGGGAGATCTTGCTACCAGGCAACCCTCTTTAGAGAGGACTCGACTGATGGGCTAATTCAGCAGGCATGGAAGGCATAAAATTATTATGCCACGTGCAGATAGAGAGAGAGAGATGGAAGGCACAGACATTTCATTTTGCTCTTCGTTCCGGCTTTGCAGACAAAGCGCACCAGATTCAGGAAAATCCACGTGCCAATTTTTTCCCCCAGAGTAAACTCTATTTATTTATAGATAATTTTTATTAATTTTAACATATAAATTATAGTACAAACCACAAAATTTCGCCACCTATACAATCTTTTTTTTGGACTTCCATCAGCACCTCTGATGATCCACCGTTTTAATCACTTCTTATGCATTTCTTAACTTCATATTGCCTTTAATTATCATAACTACCGTCATCCTCCCCTATATCCATTTTTGCAATAGTTCCAATAATTCTCCTCACAAAACTTCTTGCAAACCTACAAACGTGGTCTGATCATCACAATTACTTTTCAAATAGTCTGTAAATTTAGGCCAGTCTTCTGTGAATTTCTGGTCCCGCAGATTTCGAATACTTCCTGTTAGTTTATCTAATTCTGCATAGTCCATTAATTTCATCCTCCATTCTTCTTTTGTCAGTAATTCTTCTTGCTTCCATTTTTGTGCCAATAATATTCTTGCTGCTGTTGTTGCGTACAAAAACAACTTACATTCTTTTCTGTTTATATCACTTGAAATTCCACGTGCCGATTAATGACTTTCCGTCCAAGTTCAAAAGCAAGCCACTTGGCAGCGGCTCGCTAAAGCCCCGCACATCCTCCGGGCAAATCCCTTTTGGCGTTTAGATTCAAAGCCAGCTGGGAAAAGCTGTCTCTGCGACAGTCAAGTTTCATTCAAGTTCGCTGCCATAGAAGCAGAAAGCACATTTGCGAAAAACGCAGGAAGAAATGGCGTCGGCCCAAGAGAGGGGCAAACCCGAGGACTCAAACAGAAGAAGATTTAAACTATTTGCTTAGTTTTGAGCAGCTCTTAATATTTAGCACGGTTGTGATTCCGAAAGGCCTTCCTTGATATGTGTAGCGGAATGCAAAGGAAGCTAATAACCTCATCTGCACAATGTATTTAAAATCAGAGTTATGCCCAGGGCCAGATTTAGGTTTGATGAGGCCCTAAGCTACTGAAGGTAATGGGGCCCTTTATATGTACAGCTGTCCTTTGTCCACAAGAAATTGCCGCTGTTTTTTGTGTTGAATATATGCTATATGGTCATTTATGGACCTCATAGGTATCTCAAGCCATTATTGATCATTTCCCAATATTCTTTTACCCCTTTCCGTCTCATCTCTTGGCCTTGTCTGTGTTTACAGCGGGAAATATTCATGAAATATTCTTTCCACAAGGGCCAACATTGATGCCGAAATCCAGCATCGTATGATCTCTGCGAGTGTGGCTTTCTCCTGATTGAAGCACAGAGTGTTTGAGGACCACGACATTCCCAGGGAAACCAAAATGCTTGTTTACAAAGCTATTGTACTACCAACCTTACTGTATGCTTGTGAAACATGGACCACTTATAAATGCCAGCTCCAACTCCTCAGAAGATTCCATCAACGGTGTTTCCGAAATATTTTACACACCACTTGGGAAGACAGGTGAACTAATGCCAGTGTACTGGAAGAAGCAAAGATCACCAGTCTTAAAGCGATGATTCTTCAACATCAACTTCGTTGGACCGGTCATGTTGTACGGATGCCTGATGATCGTCTTCCAAAGCGACTACTCTATTCCGAACTTAAGAATGGAAAGCGTAATGCTGGTGGTCAACAAAAGAGGTTCAAAGACTCTCTCAAGGCAAATCTTTAAAAATGTAGTATAAACACCGACAACTGGGAAACACTGGCCTGCAAGCGCTCCAGTTGGAGAACAGCCTTGACCAAAGGTGTCCTGGGCTTTGAAGACACTGGAACTCAGGACGCAAGGGAGAAACGTGCTAAGAGGAAGGCATGCTTGGCAAACCCTCACCAGGATCAACTCCCGCCCGGAAACCAATGTCCCCACTGTGGAAGGACGTGGGGATCCAGAATTGGCCTCCACAGTCACTTACGTACTCACTGTTAAAACACGTGTTTATGGAAGTCAATTTTACTCGGCTATGAGGGGTCGCCAAAGGATAAAGCACTGAATCATTCTCAGCCAACGCAGCTTTCTGCCTAAACACCGTGAAGAAGTGTTTGCTGCTTCCAGGTGCTTGAAAAACGCTTCAACTTTTGTCTCGGGTGCACACTGACCCGAAGGGAAGAGAGGGCATGCGAGACCAGCACTTACGCAGAGCGCTAAGTGGCAAAACACAGCCAGAATTGACTCTCTCCCTCGCTCCCAAAGTGGTTGAAAATTGGAGCATCATCGCGTGAAGGTCTTTGTTCCGAGAAAACGAAAACACCGGATAATTTATTTCGCCGCTGCCAGGACAAAAGCTTAGCATCTGTGCTCCAAAGGTGCCAATTTTAGTACGTATCTCTGTTTTCCATTCCTCGCCCCCCCCAACTTTAAATCTCCACGTTTGCACGAAGACGTCCTCGTGAAAACTCGGGAACGTTAGGCCTGTGGCCTCTCCTAGCTTTTAAAGCAGAGGTTGGAAGGGGGGCTTAGCTGAATTTCCCACATTATGAGACAAAAGACAATCTTCACTCGCAAATTTCTGTTGCAGATTGCCTCTTACCAGTGCTTTTCTGGCGGTCTTTGGCTACGCGCCCGGGCAATTTCTAAAGCATGGGTAGGCAAACTAAGGCCCGGGGGCCGGATCTGGTCCAGTCGCCTTCTAAATCTGGCCTGCAGACGGCCCGGGAATCTGCGTGTTTGTACACGAGTAGAACGTGTGCTTTTATTTAAAATGCATCTCTGGGTTATTTGTGGGGCATAGGAATTCGTTCATTTTTCCTCCCAAAACATAGTCCAGCCCCCCACAAGGTCTGAGGGACAGTGGACCGGCCCCCTGCTGAAAAAGTCTGCTGACCCATGTAATCTAAAGTCTTTCTTGCACACAGCTTTGCATTGGGGAATCCAGCAAATGGAAAAACAAGAGATGGAAAAGTTAGAGGAAGAGAATGTACCTTTTATAATATGCGCTCTCCGTAGGGCTGCCTTTGAAGGTGACCCAGAAACTGCAATTAATCCAGAATGTGGCAGCCAGACTGGGGACTGGGAGCGACTCCCGAGATCATATAACACCAGTCCTGAAAGACCTACATTGGCTCCCAGTCTGTTTCTGAACACAATTCCAAGTGTTGGTGCTGACCTTGAAAGCCCTAAACGGCCCAGTAGACCTGAAGGTGCATCTCCACCCTGGACACCAGGGTCCATCTCCCGAGGGCCTTCTGGCGGTTCCCTTCCTGCGAGAAGCGAGGTTACAGGGAACCAGGCAGAGGGTCTTCTTGGTGGTGGCGCCCTCCCACCAGATGTCAAGGAAATAAACAATCTGACTATATAGTAATTGATGGACCTAATAGGTATCTCAAGCCATTTGCCCATAACAAAATATGTAGTGTACCCAAGTCATTGTTCAACCGAAATACAATTAAGAAGTATTTTAATAGGTAAAGGGACCCCTGACCATTAGGTCTAGTCGTGGCCGACTCTGGGGTTGCAGCGCTCATCACGCTTTATTGGCCGAGGGAGCCGGCGTACAGCTTCCGGGTCATGTGGCCAGCAGGACTAAGCCGCTTCTGGCGAACCAGAGCAGCGCACGGAAATGCCGTTTACCTTCCCGCCGGAGTGGTACCTATTTATCTACTTGCACTTTAACGTGCTTTCGAACTGCTAGCTTGGCAGGAGCAGGGACCGAGCAATGGGAGCTCACCCCGTCTGGGGGGATTCGAACCGCCGACCTTCTGATCGGCAAGCCCTGGGCTCTGTGGTTTAACCCACAGTGAAATACAATTAAGAAGAAGTATATTCATAGTGAAATAATTATTACGCTCCAACTTAAAATTTGCACGGGCCCAATTCTCCAATCTGTTAAGGTCATCTCAAATCTCATTTCTGCCTTCTGCAGCATTTGTTCCCCATCCCAGTTTGGCGTCATCTGCAAACTGGGAGGCATCATTGATGGCTGAGTGGGGTCGGGGTCCTTCGCAGCGCAAGGGCCGCACGCCTTTGTTCCCAACTTCCAGAGGGCCGGTAAACCAAGTTTGATTTCACCTCCTCCTCCTGAGATAGCTACACTCACCCTTTCTGCCTCCCAACTCTCACCGTTCTCAGGCTCCTGGAAATCAGCAGCGACGAAAATGCAGAAATCCACCACCTCACCTGTTGGATTTCTGTCTGCGGCTTGGAAATACAAGCCTTTCTCCCTGCCCACCTCCCCAATGACTCCTTTCTGCATTTAAAAGAAGCAATACTGCAACACCGCTCTTAAAAGCACGATTTTTAATTATTATTATTTACACGAAAAACATCTTACGCGGAACGACGTTTTGTTGTTCTGGAAAATGCAAAGTTGGTTTGTACATTCGGCAGAAGGAAGGTCTCTGCGCCATTGTAGTGCAAGGAAAGTGTGTATTGGGGGGCGTGTTTCGTGTTCAAATGCCCCCCCAAAAAAATTCTTCTTGCATGTGGAAAATTAGAAAGGTTGGGCAGTGGTTTCCTTGGCAGATTAGATTTCTGCAGGAAGGGAGTTTTCCCCCAAATAGGGGGAGCTTGCAAACAACCCCCCTAAGTATATTTCAGGGGAAAATGTGTTTCCTCTGACTAAGGGCCAAGTTAATTTGGCTGCCCTCCCACAAAATCCCACTGTTTTGACACCATCGTGGCGACATGAGAGGAAGAAGAGATCCTTTCAAAAAACCCCAGAAATTGTGGCATCTTCTCGGAAAAAGTCTGAAAAATCACAATAAGTGCAACAACTCTCAGTAAGAACATTTGCAAAGGGACATTGCGGATCATCATAAAACCACACACACACTCACACAAAAACTCAACTTTGGTATATTTTTCTGAGCATGCAACAATCAAAATAAAAATCCACATGTGATCAGTAGCCGGAGGAAAAGGACAATAATTTAACTGATTTATAAGACCCTCTATTTCCCGATGATTCCTAGTTGGAAGGGCCCCTCAAAGGTCATCCAGGCTAACCCCGTGCAATGCAGAAATCTCAGCTCATATCTTTTATTGATCACCACTGGTTGAAGCCTAGGCTCCCCAAGGTCAGAAATCGATCCCCTGTGCAGATAGGAATTCAAACTAGCATGTTAAGGGCAGAACAGTATATCAGACAGAGGCACAGCGGGAAGCCTCCTCCAGGTTCCCCCTCTTTAAAGGATCCAATCGCATCCGATGTGAAGAGCCTTTGACAAAGATGCTTCAGGGCTGATATCCTGGGAGGAGGCTCCCTGTCGCCCCCCTGCCTGAATTATTTTTATTAATTTATTCAATTAATGATGACCCTCGGGGCTGATATCCTGGGAGGAGGTTCCCTGTCGCCCCCCTGCCTGTATTAATTATTTTATTCTATTAATTTATTCAATTAATGATTACCTTTGGGGCTGATATCCTGGGAGGAGGTTCCCTGTCGCCCCCCTGCCTGAATTATTCTTAATTTTATTCATTTATTCAGTTAATGGTGACCTTCCAGGTCCCTTCCAACTCTACAATTCTACGATTCTAACAATAAAAAGACCACAGGTTTCCCTTCCCTGCCCTACGGAGGGAAAGGAATCCGTTCCCCAGGAACGGGCTCGGCTAAATTCCTTTTTGAGGTCTAGTAACTTGCGTAGACTTCTTTGGAACCGGTGGCGATGCACGTTTCAATTTAATTTTAATATTTTTAAAAACTCGCTTTATGGCACGACAGAGCAAATTGGGGAAAACCAAACGAATGGAAGAACCAGCGGCAAAGAAGATGGGATAATTAATTATTATTTTTTCGCCAGGGTCATTTCATCAGTAGATAGCAATTTGGGGGGAAACCGAAAACAAAATCCGAATCCATTGGCCATAAAACGTACGGATACAAACCTATTATCTTTAAAAATACACTATATTACATTTTACAAAACGCAGGCTGGCTTCTGACAACTTGGGAGGCGGTTGGCAAAATAAAGGGGGAACTGCAATTGTCATTCATACGTTTAGAAAATGAGGCAGTTCGGCTGAGAACGGATGGCTGCTGTGTGTGGTTTTTTTGGGGGGGGGGGTTTCGCTACAGACACAATACGACCCGACCCCCAAAATTCAGAGAAATTCGGATTATGAATCGAAGCACCATTAAGGCCAGTTAGAACACTTTTTCCTCCTGAAGGTGTTTGCAAGAGGGACCCCAATTTCCAAGAGGCGTTGTGTCCCCGCCATCCCATAATAAAAGAGCGTTGAGACAGATACTAACGAAGCCCATTGAAACTAAGAGAGAGAACCTCCAGTCCCAAGAGCAGTCTACCTCTGCCCAGAAGCCGGATCGGATTGGCGGCCGTTTCCTGGCACGACCCCCCCTGCTAGGCGGACCCGATCCTCTGCCGAACTTGAAAAAAAGGGTCTTGCGCACCCCCCAAAAAAAATTATTCAGAATTCAAGGCGCTTGTGGGAAAACCCAAATTTTGCCGCTTTAAAATCGAGCCGAGCCGAAGCTGAAGCCAGCCGTTAAAACGCCAGCTCTCTAACATTTGCTTTGCAAAAACCAGGGATATATATAAACAGAAAAACATCTCCAGGAGGTCAGAACGGCGACTGCAAAAAACGACCGATAGGAGAGGCGTTGGTAGTTCTTTCCAGAAAGCTTGCAGGGGAGAGGAAAGCTTTTCCTGAAAAAGCAAAAAGCGAAGGATTTCCCTTTTTTCGTATTGCAAAAACGCAAAATAAAAAAACAACTGTGTCAAATTGGGTTGGAGAAGTCGCCCCTTTTCAAATTCTCCAAATCTGAGATGCGATGCTTTTATTTCCAGGGGGGGGAAAAGGAGCTGTAGCCCATTCGCACTGAGCCATTTATAAATCCCAGTTTTTTCAAAAAAGGAGGGACCTATTAAAAATATACGCATTTTTATAAATTGCCTGCAGACTAAATTACGGGCGGCATTTTAAAATCAAAGGATTATTTTAAAAATCAAGCGGCCTGGGTCAACTGAGTCGAACAACGCAACACCACCCTACTTTTGGGGTGCGTGGCCTTAAAAAAGGGACGAGTTTTCAACCAGGCCCCCCACAAACTTTGTGGTCTCCCTCTCCCACCAGCCCCAAGCGGCTTCGTTCACTACGAACCCCAAAATCCAGGACCCCCCCCCTCAAAACTGGTGCCAAAGTTTTGTGGTCCTTTTTTCGCGGTGAAGAAACACCCTGTGTTTTGCGGCACCCCACAAAAAACAGAGCAATAGATAGACCCTCAAACCCGGGGGTCACCCCCCCAAAAAACCCCAATGAGTTTAAGGGTCTATGGCTCCGTTTTTGGGGCGCTGCAAAACGCGGGGTGTTTTCGCTGCGAAACGTTTGCCCGGCTACGATTGGGAGCGAATCGGATGACATTGGGTTTGGGGGTGACCCCGTGACACCCCCGTCCCTGGTTTGTGGGTCTATGGCTGTTTGTGGGGCGCGGCAAAAAGGGGAGGGTTTCTCTGCAAAAAAAACTCACAAAAACCGACTGCAAAACTTTTACACCAGTTTTGAGGGGATTCTAATTTTGGGGGTTTGCAGTGAACGAAGCTCAGCATGGTTTGGGGGTGATGGAGGTGGGGGGGACCCCACATCCAGGACTTCCCAGGCAGAATCGGGGCCTCCAAAATGGACCAGAGGGCTACTACTCTGAGGGAGGGGCCGGTAACAAAAGCATCGTCTGGCCTGCATCTTTTGGGTACCAGAGATGGGAGGCGGTTGCTAGGCAACCACAGACAACATCCTGCATCTTCCGGGTACCCGAGATGGGAGGCGGTCGCTAGGCAACCACAGACAACATCCCTAGCTGAGTCCCTCCCTGCCAAAACTCATTTGCCTTTAAATACTTTTTTAAAAAGCCAACGGAAGCAGAAATTTCGAAATGGGGTGGGGTGGGACGGACCCCCGGAAGACGACCCGGAACCACCATCAGCTCATTTGCTCCAGGTAAGTCGAAAGAAGCGGATCCGGAGGCAGGAAGATGGTGTGTTTGTTGCTAACTTTCATCTGGCGTTTCCCTTCGTAGTCAGAACCTAAGACGGACGATATCATAATAATAATCATCATCATAATAATACCAGTAACAAACTTAGTTGGTCTCTAAGGTGCTACTGGAAGGAAATTTTTGTTTGCTTGTTTGGTAGTAATAATGATAATGATAATAATAATTTTGGCTTATTTAAACACCTTGAAAAACAGGTGTTCTTTTCCAAAAGGAAACAAGCAAATACAGTTGTACCTTGGTTCCCAAACCCGGAAGTGAGTGTTCTGGTTTTCGAACGTTTTTTGGAAGCCAGACGTCCAACAGGGCTGTCGGCTACTGTTTCCAGGGCGCCTGCACCAATCAGAAGCCGCGCCTCGGTTTCCGAACATTTCAGAAGTCAAACAGACATCTGGAACGGATTAAGTTTGGCGCTTTTGTTTTTGCTATTTATTTTGCGTTTTTGTTTTTGTGGCTTTTTCGGGTTCATTTGCTTTTGTGACTGTGCAGAACCCAGTTCAGCTACTGATGGATGGACTTTGTGACTGCGGAAATGGATAAAAGACCCCCCCACTCCAAACAATGACCATCATCAGTGCAGGCAAGAAATTTTTATTATTATTATTTTTATCATCTACAATACTGCCTTATTTATTTTATAGTACAGCACATTGATTCTTGCTTTCGTTTTATGGATCAATGGTCTCGTTAGATGGCAAAATCCATGTTAAATCGCTGTTCTAGGGGCTGTTTTTACAAGTCTGGAACAGATTAATCCGTTATGCATTCCTTTCTATGGGAAAGCGCTGCCTTGGTTTTGGAACGCTTTGGTTTCGGAACGGACTTCCAGAACAGATTAAGTTTGAGAACCAAGGGACCACTGTAGAATGAAAACCTTAGGAGATTTTTTTGAGGGGGGTTGGGCGCAGGAAGAAGGGCTTTCCAATTGCAATTTTTAAAATAAAAAAAGTTATTTTCCACTTATCACTCAGCCACGGAGGCCGGAACGGAAGGCAAAGGCGGATCAGAAAGGACTCGCCCTCTCTGCAAGGGAGAGATAGCCCCGTTTGACACGGGCAAGCAAGTTTCCTCCCAAAATAAATACGAAATATTATCAGAAATGAGCCCTTACTGGCAGAAGCGAGGTCCATGTATTGGCAGACAGCGTGAAGGAGAAGCCTTTCGAAGCTGTAAGAAGAGAGATCGAAAAACACATTTTTATAACTTTCTGCAAGTTCTTTCCTTCAGTTCAATTCACAATTCTGGTTCCCAATTCTTTCCTTATATTCCCAATTCTTTCCTTATATTCCCAATTCTTTCCTTATGTTCCAATTCACAGTTCTGGTTCCCAATTCTTTCCTTAGGTTCCCAATTATTTCCTTAGGTTCAATTCACAGTTCTGGTTCCCAATTATTTCCTGAGGTTCCCAATTCTTCCCTTACGTTCAATTCCCGTTACGTCAATTGATCGATTCCGGCCGTACGTTCACAAAACGATATTAAATAGACCGTATTTTTCGCTCTATAACACGCACCCGACCATAACACGCACGTAGTTTTTAGAGGAGGAAAATCTGTAGGCATGCCACCCGTAGGCATTTCCTCCATAACACGCACAGACATTTCCCCTTACTTTCTAGGAGGAAAAAAGTGAGTGTTATGGTGCAAAAAATACGGTACCTTCGCGGAACGGAAGAATTTGCAGCTTCACCCCCCCGCCATCTGTTTTAAACCATTACTTATTTCTATATTGATTTCTCTTTCTTATCATCTTGCGTTGGGCAACTTTCCCCCCCCCCTCCAGAAAATTAACTTTCTACTCTCCATCCTATGTAACAATAATAATAATAAATTTTTATTTATATCCCGCCCTTCCCGGTTCAGAAAACCGGGCTACCAACAAATTTAAAATACTTAATTGCTGCAACAAAAAACAGCATGAAATACAGTATAAAACGTGAATAACAAATTCAGAATTCAAAAATCAATTTAGGGGGAAAACCAATTCGATAAACATTAGGGCTAGCTGGCTAAATTAGTCCTGTTTGGGCCAGCGAGGAGACCAGGGGAGAATTAGCTGTGGGATCCCAGAGCGGGGAATCTTCATAAAAAGGGAAGGAAGGGGAATAAGAGATCAGGCTAAGTTCCAATTGAAAGCCAGAAAATTAATAATAATAATAATAATTTTTATTTATATCCCGCCTCCCCAGTCGAAGCTGGGCTCAGGGCGGCTAACAACAATAAAATAATACAACAGGAAATTATTAATAGGAAATAATTAATAGGAAATTAACTTCCTATTTTCCATCCTTTATAGATCCTTTACTCTGGATACGTCCGGTTCCCAACAGCTGTTGGCTTTATCAGTATGGGAAAAAAACCCCAAAAAACCATGTTGTGCATTCCCATCCGGCCGCGGCGCCCGGCGCGAGAACCGTTTTGTCACCTGTTGTCCATCATTGCCGTGTAGACGGAACGAGGGCTGGTCGAGAAAAAGGCCAATAGCTCATCTTCGAAGCACTCCAGGGTCCCCTGGGGGGGAAATAGAAGCAGCGGCAAATAACAACAAAGCCATTTTATTATTTGTACCCCATGCCCAGGCAAAGCTGCAACAGCTGGTTTCTTCTTCGGCCCCGCGTTCGAAACCTACCATGGGGATACGGCTCCGCTTCAGCGTGGTCCTCAGGCGCCGGCTGATGCGCTGGAAGCATTCCTGAGGGGTGTAAGCGGCGTGTTCTGCAACGGAAAGAGGAGGAAAACAGGTTTGCGGTTTCTGCATCGCATGGGGTTGAGATGGATGACCCTGCGGTGTCCCTTCCAGTTCTGCACTTTTGTGGTTCTAAGAGGAAGAACAGGGACCGGGGCTTCTACCTTGTTTAGATTATACGGAAAACCGGCACTGCCAGGAAGGGTAAGGAGTCTCCTGAACAGGGAGCGTTCGAGGGTAGACTGCTCTTGCATATGGAGGTTCGGCTGAAAGCAGAAATCTCTCTTCCTCCCTCCAAGAGCAAAGATGGTCTGGAAACTTGAGTGGGGAAGACAGATCCCCACTTGACTGGAAGGAAGGAAGGAAGGAAGGAAGGAAGGGAGAGAGAGGGAGGGAAGGAAGGAAGGAAGAAGAAACTGAGAGAGAAGGAAGGAGAGAGAGAGAGAGAGAGAGAGAAGGAAGGAAGGAAGGAAGGGAGGGAGGGAGGGAGGGAGGGAGAGAGAGAGAGAGAGAGAGAGAGAAGGAAGGAAGGAAGGAAGGAAGGAAGGAGAGAGAGAGAGAGAGAGAGAGAAGGAAGGAAGGAAGAAGAAACTGAGAGAGAAGGAAGGAGAGAGAGAGAAGGAAGGAAGGAAGGAGAGAGAGAGAGAGAGAGAGAGAAGGAAGGAAGGAAGGAAGGAAGGAAGGATAAAGAAACTGAGAGAGAAGGAAGGAGAGAGAGAGAAAGAGAAGGAAGGAAGGAAGGAAGGAAGGAAGGAAGGAAGGAAGGAAGAAGGAAGGAAGGAAGGGGGAGAGAGAGAGAAGGAAGGAAGGAAGGAAGGAAGGAAGGAAGGAAGGAAAAAGAAACTGAGAAGGAATGAAGGGGAAGGAAGAGAGAGAGAAGGGAGGGATTTTTTGCCCCAGAAATGCAAACCAACCCTGCAAGGCAGTCCAGGCCAAACCCTCCATACCGTTCCACTTGACATCTGCTTTTTCGGCCAGTTTGCCCTTCTGCTTCTTCTTCGCCTCCTCTTCCAGGTACAAGAGGACCCTCTCTTGCTCCTCGCCGGAGCGGTTCATGAAGTCGTTCCAAATCTTAGCCAAGACACACATACACAAAAACGAGAGAATCCCATTAACGCACAACCCTCTCTGCCCATCCTGAGTCAAAAACCCAGCCACTGGAGCGGGTAAAAGAGCTGCGTTTCGCAGGGCCGGTAATTTTATTTTATTTTCCCGTCGGAAGATCAATCCACTTTCGAGTTGATTAAGTGGGCGGAAAGCCGGAGAACCCAAAGTGTGGTTTGTGCAGGTTCCAGGCGGAACTTGAGACTCTGAATATCAGGGTTGAGGGTTTTATCCAGAGTGCGCATAAAAATCAGTGATTTTTTAAAAATTTAAATCGAATTTTTTTATTAAAAAAAATTGATATATATATTTTTAAAAACTGCTTTTGGAGAAAAAAATCTTTCTAAACGTAGTTTTCTATTTAAGTTAAAGTCCAAAGGCCTATAAGGATTTGTTTTAAGTTTTTCATGTGTGCTAAAACTCAGTCTAAGTTGTTTTATTTAATGCTTTTAACAAACACAGATACGTATGCTGCAATGTTACTGTTTTTGATTTAAATTGGATTTTTGGAACGGACTTCCGGAACGGATTAAGTCTGAGAACCAAGGTACCACTGTTTTTAAAACTGAGTTTGTGTATTTATTTAAAAATAGGGTTTATGTATTTATTTAGGTTGGCCGAGTTACGGCAAACTGCACATCAGGAAGAACTTTCTGAAAGTAAGAATTATTCGACTGTGGGTGGTTTTTAAGTAGGGGTTGCAATTGTGCAATTTAAGTCTTTTCGGCAATCGCTCCACGTAAGGTAACTCGAAATAATTTTGCAATTAAAAAGACACGTGCAATAAAAACAGCTCACACGATTTGATACATAAAGCGAAACAATTAAAAGATCGCTTTTGTACGCAAAAACGTTTTGAAGTTTTGCAGAAACAAGCTGCAATATGTAAAAAAAAAAGGTCTTAAATCTGATACATGCTATTAAAACAACAACAACGCCTCCTTTATCTCGCACCGTCACTCCCAACTGGAACCCGAGTTCGAAAGACGAATTCCCGACCCAGGTACGGAAAAAAGGCTTCGGAATTCAGAACGCAGACTCGTTCAGATCCCAATCCCTGCATAGGACTGAAAACGACAAGAAGGGGCTGCTTCAAAGTCCACAGAGCTTTCAGAATTAAAAACGTGCAAAAGCGGCTGAGGTTTAGCAACGCTCTCTTCCCATCTGGCAGCTCAGGTCCGGCAAAGTTCCTTTCCCGTCGCAGCTGAGGTCTTGCAAAACGATTTGCTTTCACCTCGCACCCAATTTGACCGAATGAATCAAAACCGAATTTGGGCGAGATGCGATTCCCAGCTACGAAATGCAAATTTGAAATACTGCTGAAATTCCAGCTACAAAATGCAAATTTGAAATGTTGTTGAATTGTTGATTCGTCTGAATACAGAAAAGATGCAATTTGCAAAATAATAATAATAATTTATTATTTATACCCCGCCCATCTGGCTGGGCTTCCCCCGCCACTCTGGGCGACTTCCAAAAAAAATTAAAATATTGTGAAACATCAAACATTAAAAGCTGCCTTCAGATGTCTTCTAAAAGTCTGGTAGTTGTTGTTCTCTTTGACATCTGGTGGGAGGGCGTTCCACAGGGCGGGCGCCACCACTGAGAAGGCCCGGTACCTGGTTCCCTGTAACTTGGCTTCTCGCAGGGAGGGAACCGCCAGAAGACCCTCGGGAGATGGACCTCAGCGTCCGGGCTGGACGATGGGGGTGGAGACGCTCCTTCAGATATACTGGACCAAGGCCGTTTAGGGCTTTCAAGGTCAGCACCCACACTTTGAATTGTGCTCGGAAACGTCCTGGGAGCCAATGCAGGTCTTTCAGGACCAGTGTTATGTGGTCTCAGCGGCCGCTCCCAGTCCCCAGTCTGGCTGCTGCATTCTGGATTAGTTGCAGTTTCCGGGTCACCTTCAAAAGTAGCCCCACATAGAGCGCATGGCAGTAGTCCAAGCGGGAGATAACCAGAGCATGCACCACTCTGGCCAGACAGTCTGCGGGCAGGGAGGGTCTCATCCTGCGTCCCAGATGGAGCTGCCCTGGACACAGAACTGACCTGCGCCTCCGTGGACAGCGGTGAGTCCAAAATGACTCCCAGGCTGCGCACCTGGTCCTTCAGGGGCACAGTGACCCCATTCAGGATCAGGGAGTCCTCCACACCAGCCCACCCCGTCTCCCAAAAACAGTCCTTCTGTCTTGAGCTGAGCCTCTCAAGGAAGAGAGCTGGAATTTAACGAAAAGAGACCACAACGCGTACCTTGACGTACGTCTCGTTGTTGCAAGCTTCGGTGAAAATGCTCGGATTGGCCGGATGCACGATTTCCCCGTCTTCCCCTGTGCATTCGTCTTGCTCCAGGAGAGTCATCAGGTAACGTGCTGGAGGGGGAAAACAGAATTCACGATACACCTCTGCAGGTTAGCAATGGGTCCAAACGACAGTACAAAGCCGAAATCTGCATATATTGCTCCTCCCACTTTTGCAGCTGGCCCCGCCTCCACTGGCCGGTGCCTCGCCCCCAGAACAGAATTCGGCCCCCCGGCCGGAAAATGCTTCCCCTATCATTATGCACTGGGACGCGGGTGGCGCTGTGGGTTAAACCACAGAGCCTAGGACTTGCCGATCAGAAGGTCGGCGCTTCGAATCCCCGCAATGACGGGGTGAGTTCCCGTTGCTCGATCCCTACTCCTCCCCACCTAGCAGTTTGAAAGCACGTCAAAGTGCAAGTAGATAAATAGGTACCACTCCGGCGGGAAGGTAAACAGCGTTTCCGTGCACTGCTCTGGTTCGCCAGAAGCGGCTCAGTCCTGCTGGCCACATGACCCGGAAGCTGTACGCCGGCTCCCTTGGCCAGTAAAGCGAGATGAGCGCCGCAACCCCAGAGTCGGCCACAACTGGACCTAATGGTCAGGGGTCCCTTTACCTTTACTATCATTATGCAACACGGCTCAGTTGGCAGAAACACAGAATTGCAGAGGGTCCAACTCTGTGCAATGCAGAAATCAAACCCGCAGCCCTGAAATTAGGAGTCTCAGGTTCAAGCAGTTGTAGCGGCTTTTTAGCTTAGAGGAACTACGAGGAGAGGAGAAGGGACCCCTCCCTGAGGGTCCTGTAGCCTGTGCAATGCAGGAATCTTTTGCCCAAGGTGAACCTCGAACTCGCAACCTTGAGAATCTTTTGCCCAAGGTGAACCTCGAACTCGCAACCCGGAGTCTCAGGCTCAAGCGATTGCAGCGGCCTGGGGCTTTTTAGCTCAAGGGGGGCTCGAACCCACAACCCGGTGTTTATAAGAGCCTCCCATTCCACGGACCGAGCTCTCCCCGGCTCAGAGCAGCTTGGTTGTGGGTTCGATCCCCGCGGGTTGGACTAGATGACCCCTGGTCGCTTGCGACTCTTCTGCGATCCCACTGGGCAGAGAGAGGCGCCCCCAACCCGGAACTCAACTGTTCTCGAGGCGCTGCAAGCTCTTGCGCCCTTTGGCCCGGGGGATGAGATCCGAGTTGCGTATGGCTTGGTTGATGTAGTACTGCTTTCGCTTCGCCGGGGAAAACCTCTTTGCGGCGGGGCTGGCCAGCGGCGGCAGACAATCCTCGATCCTTCTGCAAAAAGGGGAAGCGAAGCGTTTTTAATAATAATAATAATAATAATTTATTATTTGTACCCCACCCATTTGGCTGGGTTTCCCCAGCCACTCTGGGCAGCTTCCACAGAGACCAAAAATACACTAAAATGTCACACATTAAAAACCTGCCTTAAGATGTCTTCTGAATGTCTGGTAGTTTATCGCTTTGACATCTGATGGGAGGGCGTTCCACAGGGCAGGCAGGCGCCACCACCGGGAAGGCCCTCTGCCTGGTTCCCTGTAACTTGCCCTCTCGCAGTGAGGGAACCGCCAGAAGGCCCTCAGGAGATGGACCTCAGTGTCAGGGTAGAACGATGGGGGTGGAGACACTCCTTCAGGGATACTGGGCCATTTAGGGCTTTCAAGGTCAGCCCCAACACTTTGAATTGTGCTTGGAAACGTATTGGGAGCCAATGTAGGTCTTTCAGGACCGGGGTTATGTGGTCTCCACTCCCAGTCCCCAGTCTAGCTGCTGCAATCTGGATTAGTTGCAGTTTCTGGGTGACCTTCAATGGCAGTCCCATGGAGAGCGCATGGCAGTAGTCCAAGCGGGAGATAACCAGAGCATGCACCACTCTGGCCAGACAGTCCGCAGGCAGGGAGGGTTTCATCCTGCGTACCACATGGAGCTGCCCTGGACACAGAATTGACCTGCGCCTCCGTGGACAGCTGTGAGTCCAGAATGACCCCCAGGCTGCGCACCTGGTCCTTCGGGGGCACAGTGACCCCATTCAGGACCAGGGAGTCCCCCACACCCGCCCGCTCCCTGTCCCCCCAAAACAGTCCTTCTGTCTTGTCAGGATTCAACTTCAATCCATTAGCCACCATCCATCCTCCAACCGCCTCCAGGCACTCACACAGGACCTTCACCGCCTTCACTGGTTCTAAAAATTCACTGGTTTTAAAAACCAGCAGGCTGTCTGCAGCCGTGACCCACATAAAATAAAAGAGACCCCCAATTTCAAGAGACCTGCATCGATCCATTTTTATCAACCCAAAGAGCAGAAATAATCTGATTTATTGCAAACAAGTGTCGCATTCTAGGAGCGAGCGCCGTTCCACCTTGCCAAACACACTGAGCTCAAGTGATTCAGCCTTTTTTATTTATTTTCCCCCCAATAATATTTATTAAGTTTCATACAAATAACACACATACAATATAATCAATGAAACAAAAAGAAAAAGGAAATAAAACAAATATAGCAAATGCTAACAAAAATACAAGCACAAACATATAGACAATAAAAATTAATTAATCAATTAAAAATCCAACTGCTTAAACGTATTACTTGACTTCCTCTAATCTCTTCCATCTGAATTTCCCTGTAAATGAATGTAGCAGTTTTCCAATTCATTATTCAAAAAACAATATTCCAATTATAATCAAATTTCTTAACTTTTCTTAACATTCTATTTCTCATTTATTTATTTAATCCTAGGCCTATTTGGTGCTTTCAAGTAATTACTAATCTTTAATGTTACAATATTTATTCAAATATTCTTTAAATTTCTTCCAGTCTTCTTGATATTCTTCTTTTTTCTGGTCGCGGATTCTCCCAGTGAGATCAGCCAGCTCCATAAAGTCCATCATCTTCATCTGCCATTCTTCCACAGTTGGTAATTCTTGTGTTTTCCATTTTTGGGCTATTAAGATTCGTGCAGCGGTTGTGGCATACAAAAATACCTTTGCATCTTTCTTGGGCAGTTCAGAACCTAATATTCCAAGGAGAAAGGCCTCTGGTTTCTTTATAAATGTATATTTCATCATTTTTTAAAAATTTATTATAAATCTTTTCCCGGAAGTCTTTTACCTTGGGACAGGTCCACCACACATGATAAAAAGTACCTTCTTTTTCTTTACATTTCCAGAACAAGCATTGTATTCCAGGAGCGAACTCCGTTCCACCTTGCCAAACGCACTTGAGCTCAGGTGATTCAGCCTTTTTTAGGAACACAAACAAACAACTTTGCAAATAAGAAGTGCAACCGGTTTGACTACCGGCCTTAAGCAGGAACCTCGTCAAAGGAAGGGCAGCCGTACCCAGCCTCACGGATGCTTCGAGCTGAAATTTGGGGTCCCTTCCAACTCTGCAAACCTAGACAGCATCTTAAAAAGCAGAGACATCACCTTGCCAACAAAGGTCCGTCTAGCTCAAGCTATGGTTTTCCCAGTAGTGATGTATGGAAGTGAGAGCTGGACCATCAAGAAGGCTGATCGCCAAAGAATGGATGCTTTTGAATTCTGGTGCTGGAGGAGACTCTGGAGAGTCCCATGGACTGCAAGAAGATCCAACCTCTCCATTCTGAAGGAAATCAGCCCTGAGTGCTCCCTGGAAGGACAGATCCTGAAGCTGAGGCTCCAAGACTTTGGCTACCTCATGAGAAGAGTAGACTCCCTGGAAAAGACCCTGCTGTTGGGAAAGATGGAGGGCGCAAGGAGAAGGGGATGACGGAGGACGAGATGGTGGGACAGTGTTCTCAAAGCGACCAGCATGAGTTTGACCAAACTGCGGGAGGCAGTGGAAGACAGGAGGGCCTGGCGTGCTCTGGTCCAGGGGGTCACAAAGAGGCGGACACGACTAAACAACTAAACAACAACAACCAACTCCGCAATTTCTATGGATAAAAATCAGGTTTGCAGAATTTACAGCTCTCGTGGCGGTCCAATAGATGCCGCAAAGCTCTCCCCCAAAACTGGCATTTGCAGGTATTTTACAGGTTCTGGCAGTTGATGTCATTCAAGGAACTTTATTCAGAGATGAGTAAGCGAGGCAGGTCATGTTTTCCCAGATACATTGTGTATGTGTGTTTGTGTTTGTGTTACCTAACAACCCAAATCATCTCTGGTGAAACCACGGCAAAAGGCTGCCTGCAACGTACCGTCTTCCCGGCGGAACTACCCGCCACAAGAGACGGTTTCAGTACCTTTTAGGCCAGGCAATGAGGAAGGGCTCCTTCTGCCAAGCTGAACCTCCAGCTCTGAGGCGCCGTCAAAACGTCTGGTAAGCCAAACCGGCCGGGTGTGTGTGTGTGTGTGTTTGCACGTTGCGTCCCGCACACCAAGCTCACGGTCTCCCCAGGGGCTGCTGCTGTTGTTGTTGAGTCGTTTAGTGGTGTCCGCCTCTTGGTGACCCCCTGGACCAGAGCACGCCAGGCCCTCCTGTCTTCCACTGCCTCCCGCAGTTTGGTCAAACTCATGCTGGTAGCTTCGAGAACACTGTCCCACCATCTCGTCCCCTTCTCCTTGTGCCCTCCATCTTTCCCACCATCTGTTTATTTTGCCTGGAGTCTTCTCTTCTCATGAGGTGGCCAAAGTCTTGGAGCCTCAGCTTCAGGATCTGTCCTTCCAGTGAGCACTCAGGGCTGATTTCCTTCAGAATGGGGAGGTTGGATCTTCTTGCAGTCCATGGGACTCTCCAGAGTCTCCTCCAGCACCAGAATTCAAAAGCATCCATTCTTTGGTGATCAGCCTTCTTGATGGTCCAGCTCTCACTTCCATACATCACAGCTGGGAAAACCAGAGCTTGAACTATACGGACCTTTGTTGGCAAGGTGAGGTCTCTGCTTTTTAAGATGCTGTCTAGGATTGTCATTGCTTTTCTCCCAAGAAGCAGGCGTCTTTTAATTTGTCACCATCTGCAGTGATCATGTAGCCCAAGAAAGTAAAATCTCTCCCTGCCACCATTTCTTCCCCTTCTATTTGCCAGGAGGTGATGGGGTACCCTTCTCCAAATCAGGAACCCCCAAACGGGGGTCTGATCCGGCAGAGCTCTCCGCACCCCGATTTCCTGAGTTGTGCCTCCGCAATGGAACCTCCAGTTACAGGAGAAGTCTATCTTAGGAGATGGATCAGCTTGCTTGCTCCCGGAAGGAAACAGCTGTTGCATTCCCTTCTTGCAAAGGTTGCTGAACCCACCATGCTTTTATTATATTAAAGAAATCAATTGAAATTTCTCCCCCCCCCCAAATAATAGCCACAGATATTCAGTGGCAAGGCTGCTCCCCTTACTCACCCATAGGGCTGGTTTAGGGGGGCTCCCGGTTGCTCCTCGTGGCCGCCTCCTCTTGCTGCTCCAGGATCTGTCCCCTTCAGCACCACCATGGCTCGCCCGGATTGCAACCCCAACCCAGCAAGATCCTGAGGTCTGGGACCCGGATACCACCCCAGGTTTTTGGAAAGGCACCCGGCCCAGCCGCCTCCCCGGCTGCACCGCCCCAGGAAGATGCGTCAGCTCCGGGGGGAGGAAGGGAGCAAAGGGCTGGAGGAGGAGGAAGAGGCGGCGCTACGGGCCGGGAGGGAGTTCAGCCTCCCTTGCAAAAAAAGCAAAAGCTGATGCAACGGGCGCTGCCGCGTTTGCAATATGCAGTTTGCTCCGGGCTTTGCAGGGCGCGGCGCTGCACGGCATGGGTTTGCGTGGCGTTGCATTGCATTGCAGCGCGTGAGAGTTTTGCATTTGCATTGCACAGAGTGTGTGTTTGCATTGCACGGAGAGTGTGGTTGCGTTGCACGCAGTGTGTGTTTGCCTTGCACGGAGTGTGTGTGTGCCTAGCACGGAGTGTGTGTTTGCATTGCACGGAGAGTGTGGTTGCGTTGCACGCAGTGTGTGTTTGCCTTGCACGGAGTGTGTGTGTGCCTAGCACGGAGTGTGTGTACATTGCAGGAGTGTGTGTGTGCCTTGCACGGAGTGTGTGTTTGCACTGAACGTAGTATGTGCGTGCATTGAACGGAGAGTGCGTGCCTTGCACGGAGTGTGTGTGTGCCTTGCACGGAGTGTGTGTGTGCCTTGCACGGAGTGTGTGATTGCATTGCACAGAATGTGTGTGTTTGTATTGAACGGAGTGTGTGTGTGCCTTGCACCAAGTGTGAGTGTGCCTTGCACGGCGTGTGTTGTTGCATTGCACGGAGTGTGTGTGCCTTGCATGGAGTGTGTGTGTGCATTGCATTGCAAAGGGCTGTTTTTTGCATTCCACTGCAACGGTATGCGTGTGTGTGCTTGTGCACTGGACAGCACTGCAATAGATCTACAGTTGTGGCCGCTGCGAGGACTCCAGATGTTGCTGTCCTCCTACCTCCCAATCCACAGCCCCTTAGCCAGCATGCCCAATGGTCAGGGACGAGGAGAGTTATAATTCAGCTCTGTTGTTGGATCTCCCTACCCGCACAAAGATCAGGGCTGGATGGAAGTCCAGCAACCTCTTGCAAGACCCCTGCTTCCCCATCCCTGCACCCCGGTTGCTCCACCTGCAAAGGAGACTCCTTGTTGCCCCTCTGCCTGAGTCCCTGCTCTGTCTTGTATTAGGATTGACAGCCCCAACCAGAAGCCCCTTTCAGACATCGCAGGACTCCAGGGATTCCTCTCAGCTCCAGCCAATGGGTGTTCCCATAGGAGAGGTGACGACAGCAGCCTTCACTTGCATACTGCCCTCCCCACAATTCAATGCGGTTGGACACCATTAGGAATGTACCATGCTTCGCAATATGAGTTGGAAACAAAGCGCCAAGTTATCTTTCGGAAGCGAGAAGATTTAAAAATAATGATAAAATAAGCAAAGATTTGATAAATAAATTAAAAAAATTAAGACGGGCAATTCATCTTAGTTCACCATACTGGGAAAGTCCTTTCAAAGGAAGCCTTTAAATACCAGACGGAGCAGAGGTAGGTTTGTGCTCGCTTCGGCAGCACATATACTAAAATTGGAACGATACAGAGAAGATTAGCATGGCCCCTGCGCAAGGATGACACGCAAATTCGTGAAGCGTTCCATATTTTGATGCGCCCCCACATTGCTTTTCTTGCACGGCACGCCTTTTTGGCTTCGTCTCCCCTCTCCCCCTTCACTGTGCAAACTCCACATTATTTGCAACCCCTTTTGCCTCCCTCTTTACCCCCAACCACCCCCCAAAAACCCTCTTTCCAAAAATGCCGGCTGATTGCAAGGTGGCTATTGCACCCCAATAATGTTATAGTGGTGCATGCATGCAGTAATTGATGCAATAATATGCATGCATATTCAAGACCAGCAAAACAGACCGCGCTGTTATTTATTGTTTCCTCCTCCTCTGAGCTTGCACCCAGACCACTTTCTGCATTGCTGGAAAGCAAAGATAGGAGCATGCACGACCCATTAAAATGTTCTGTTTTTTGGGGAGCGGTGTGGGATTTGCAAATTAGTGGAGAGAGAAAAGGCAAAAAAAGGAGGAAACAACAAATAGCAGCGCGGTCTGTTTTGCTGGTCTTGAATATGCATGCATATTGCATCAATTACTGCATGCATGCACCAGTATAACATTATTGGGGTGCAATAGCCACCTTGCAATCAGCCGGCATTTTTGGAAAGAGGGTTTTTGGGGGGTGGTTGGGGGTAAAGGGGGACGCAAAAGGGGTTGCAAATAATGTGGAGTTTGCAAAGTGAAGAATGAGGGGGGAGAGGAAGGAAAAAAGGCGTATCTTTGGCCTGAGGATGCCGTGCAAGAAAAGCAATGCAGGGGCGCATCAAAATATGGAACGCTTCACGAATTTGCGTGTCATCCTTGCGCAGGGGCCATGCTAATCTTCTCTGTATCGTTCCAATTTTAGTATATGTGCTGCCGAAGCGAGCACAAACTTACCCTGTACCGCAGCTGTATATAAACCTCTGATTTCAAAATATTTCCAGTCATGGTAGGAAAATGTTAGCTTCTTTCTTTCCTGTGTTTGTTCCTCCTGTCCTTTTCTAAACCCCCCACTAAGCTACCCATTAGTCTCCTCGCATTCTCAAATTAATCCATCCTATTTCTTTTAATTTCCCCACCCCGATGCATGCTGGGAGGCCGCCTATGCAAATTTGTCCCCTCATCGTTTTCCTATTGAACAGGCGAGAGGCGGGTTGAGAGACAGGCCCTCGCTTTGTCTATTGAACTGCCTGAAAAGAAAAGGGGAGATTTGACTCGCCCCACTGAAACGAGCCCGTTTTGACAGAAGAGGGAAGGGATGCGTGTGGTTGCCGTGCGGTTTTTAAAATTATTTTATTCCGGCTGTTTATGGGTTTTTTTCAGGCACTAATGAAGACAGCTGAGAGGAAGGGGTCCTTAACTAGGGCAGCAGGAGTTGGCGCAGGCGCAGAACAGCTGGGCAGCCTGGATAGAGCGTTGGTGAGTAGGGGGGGGAATGGAAGAGTTCATTTGTTACCCCGGGGGGGGGAATATCCCCAAAACTAGCAATATAACCATTTTAAGTGCTGGGTAATCACCCCAATAGGTGATTTTCAGGGCAATTTCCAACTCCAGGGGAATTTCTCCCCTTTTTCTTGCTGGGGCAATTAATCTTTGCGGTGCAATTGAATTAAACCTGCTGTTGCAATTCCTTGCACTCTTGATTTTGCAGATTTAAATGCATGCCCTAGCAGCTGGATTTGCAAAATTAAGAGTGCAATGATTTCTCCTAAAAAATTAATTTTAAAAACCCGATTTGGAAAAGTGCTCCATTGTCCTGGAAAGAAAATGAACTCACCATGTTAGCTGTCATTGCTAGTGAAATTCAATTTTCCCTTTCTTGCAAAGCAAAGTTCTTGGGAGCCAGCAAGAAAGGGGTGGTCTTAACTGAACGAAACACTAGGAATTAAAATTGCAAAATTAAGAATCCTCCCATTTGTTGCTTTCTTTTATTTTTAAAAGCTTCCTGGATTTGCAAATAAACGATAGCGGGTCATTGAGCGCATTCGAAATAATGGCAGGTGCAAAAATATCTCTTTCTACTCCCTTCTTTCCACAAAATGAAATCGACGGTGACAGCATGCTATAAGTGACTTTCACCGAAAACTTAAAATAAATAGGGTTTTGGTTTAGCAGCAGGGGTGTTGGGAAATGATTTCAGTTTGGGGCTTTTCCCATGCAACCGTGTAACAAAATACAGTACAGGGGTACCTTGGTTTTCCTTGGTTTATTGGTTTTCCAAAATTTTAAACAAACAAACATTCATCTTAACTGTACTTGATCCCATTTTAGTAACATTGTTAAGTGACTTCCTCAAATCCCCCTGGTTTAGTTTCAATGTATATCATTGTAACGGTTTTCCAAAACCAATTTTCTCATAAAATTAGCTTAATCACTTAACATCTTTCTTTGTTTCCATTTTGACTTTAAACATATTATTCTCTAACGTCACATATTTAAATCCTAAGCCTATCTGGTATTTGCAAGTTTTTCCAATTAAGTTATCTTAGCATATTTAACTAAATAGTCTTTGAATTTCATCCATTCCTTCTGGTACTCCTCCTCCTCCTGGTCGCGGACTCTTCCGAAAAGTCCATCGTCTTCATCTGCCATTCCTCCACTGTTGGGACTTCTTGTAATTTCCCATTTTTGGCCAACAAAATTCTAGCTGCAGTTGTGGCACACAAAAACATCTTTTTGGGGCAATTCCGAACCTATTATTCCAAGAAGAAAGGCCTCTGGTATCTTAATAAATGTATTTTTCAACCTTTTTTCCAATTCATTATATATCTCCCAGAAGTCTTTCACCTTGGGGCAAGTCCACCACATATGATGAAAGATACCCTCTTTTTCTTTGCATTTCCAACATAGATTGTCAACTCCTGCACCCGCGCCGCCGATCTCGGAGCGAGATGGACCTGGCGTACGTCTGCGAGTGGGAGAAGCGCCCCAAAAGCAACCACTGCCCCTCCATCCCTCTGGTCTGCGCCTGGTCCTGCCGCAACCTGATCGCCTTCACGACGGACCTCAAGAATGAAGAGGAGAAAGGTAATTTCTTTGCAGGGAAAAGCCTGTAGAGAAAACCCAGAGCGGCTTCTGTTCTCCAGCTGAGCATCACTCGTAAGTCTAAGGCTGGATCTCCTCCTTTCTTTTTGCCTTCTTCCTTAGACCTCACCCACATGATTCACATCCTGGACATGGAGCATCCCTGGGACGTCTGCTCCATCAATTCCGGACACGTGGAAATCATTACTTGCTTGGAATGGGATCAGTCGGGTAAGGAAACCCTCAACGCGGCTTGCAAAATGAACGTAGCAATGAAATATATAAGCGTAGCAATTATGTGTATGTCTGTGTGTGTGTGTGTGTGTGTGTGTGTGTGTATGGATAATCTCATTGCTCTGTGTGTAGTGTGTGTGTGTGTGTGTGTGTGTATCTATATGTGTGTGTATGTATGTAATCTCATTGCTCTGTGTCGTGTGTGTGTTTGTGTGTGTGTATAGATAATCTCATTGCTCTGTATGTGTGTGGTGTGTGTGTATATATGTGTGTGTGTGTCTATGGATAATCTCATTGCGCTGTGTGTGTGTGCATGTGTGTGTGTGTGTATGCATGTGTGTGTGTGTGCGTGTGTGTGTGTGTGCACGTCTATGGATAATCTCATTGCTCTCTGTGTGTGGTGTGTGTGTGTATGGATAATCTCATTGTTCTCTGGGTGTGTACACACACACACACACACACACACTGTTTTACAATTTAAAGTGCAGTGGTGCCTTGGTTCTCAAACTTAATCCGTTCCGGAAGCCCGTTCCAAAACCAAGCCACGCTTCTTTCCCGTAGAAAGTCATGCAAAAAAGCCGTCCCAGGCTTTTAAAAACAACCCCTAAAACAGCAACTTAACATGGATTTAAGATTAGCCTCCAGGCGCAATGATGCGTTTGGGACGCGGGGCGGGGCAGACAAAATTGGCCTGAAGAACTTCGATTGGAAAGCTTTCGTAGATCCAAGGCGAGAGCCTGTCCAAATCTGTGGGGAGGTTTTTTCTGGCGCTTCTTCCAGACGGGGGAACTGCCACAACTGGGCTGCTCCGAGCTTTTTCGACTCTCTCCCGCCGCAGGATCCCGGCTGCTGTCTGCCGACGCCGACGGACGCATCAAATGTTGGAGCATGGTGGAGCACTTGGCCAACAGCTGGGAGAGCGCCGTGGGCAGCGTGGTCGAAGGCGACCCCATCGTGGCGCTCTCGTGGCTGCACAACGGTGTGAAGCTGGCTTTGCACGTGGAGAAGGTGAGCGAGGCCGGGCGGGAGGGTTTTGTTGTCTAGGGCTTGCCGATCAGAAGGTTGGCGGTTCAAATCCCTGCAATGACAGGGTGAGCTCCCGTTGCTCGGTCCCTGCTCCTGCCAACTTTGAAGTTCAAAAGCACACCAGTGCAAGTAGATAAATAGGTACTGCTCCAGCAGGAAGGTAAACGGCGTTTCCGTGCGCTGCTCTGGTTCGCCAGAAGCGGCTTAGTCATGCTGGCTACATGACCCGGAAGCTGTACGCCAGCTCCCTCGGCCAGTAAAGCGAGATGAGCGCCGCAACCCCAGAGTCGTCCATGACTGGACCTAATGGTTTGCTATTGCCAAATGCCAACGTGTTTGCGTTATTAAGTTTGTTATGAATAAAAAATCATTTTAAGTTAGAGCTTAATACATATTTCACTATTAATATACCTCTTCTTAATTGTATTACAATTCAACAATGATAAAATACATATTTTGTTATGTGCAAAGGGCTTGAGATACCTATCAGGTCCATAAATTACCCTATAGCATAGATTCAACACACAAAAAACAGTGACAATTTGTTGACAAAGGACAGCTGAACATAGAAAGGGCCCCATGACCTTTAGGAGCTGAGGGCCACATCAAACCTCAATGCAACCCTTGATTTTTATCTACCCCCTTTTTAAAATCATTTTTATCTGTTTTCCGATAAAAACCTTCCAATTAAATGTCCAGTCATAATTAGAAAAGTAAAAAAACTAAAATAAAAAAGATCGAATGGTATTTATTGATTTCTCAATTTTTTTATCCCGCAGTCGGGAGCGTCGAACTTTGGCGAGAAGTTCTCACGGGTTAAGTTCTCCCCATCACTGACGCTCTTCGGGGGCAAACCGATGGAAGGCTGGATCGCGGTCACCATCAGCGGCCTGGTGACGGTCTCTCTGCTGAAGCCCAACGGGCAGGTGCTGACCTCGACAGAGAGCCTCTGCCGCCTGCGGTGCCGCGTGGCGCTGGCCGACATCGCCTTCACGGGTGGGGGCAACATCGTGGTGGCCACCTCGGACGGCAGCAGTGCCTCGCCCGTCCAGTTCTACAAGGTCTGCGTCAGCGTGGTGAACGAGAAGTGCAAGATTGACACTGAAATCCTGCCGTCGCTCTTCATGCGATGCACCACGGATCTCGCCCGCAAGGACAAGTACCCGGCCATCACCCACTTGAAATTCCTCACCCGGGACATGTCGGAGCAGGTGAGGCCTTCCCGGGTGGCGAGTTCGAATCCCCCCTCGCCGTAGCTGTCACCGTCCCTTATTTGGCGGGACAGTCCCTTATCCCAGCGCCGTGTCCCGCCACTGTCCCTTATTGATGATGTCCCTTAAATTTCCCGGGTTTCAAAGGAAGCAGCTCCTCTCCCTCCCTCCCTGCCGGCCTGACTTGTTGCCCTATTGTGGTTTGGTATACAGTGGTACAAAGGACGCGGGTGGCACTGTGGGTTAAACCACAGAGCCTAGGACTTGCCGGTCAGAAGGTCGGTGGCTCGAATCCCCGCAATGACGGGGTGAGCTCCCGTTGCTCGATCCCTGCTCCTCCCCACCTAGCAGTTCGAAAGCACGTCAGAGTGCAAGTAGATAAATAGGTACCGCTCCGGCAGGAAGGTCAACGGCGTTTCCGTGCGCTGCTCTGGTTCGCCAGAAGCGGCTTAGTCATGCTGGCCAGTAAAGTGAGGTGAGTGCCGCAACCCCAGTCGGCCACGACTGGACCTAACGGTCAGGGGTCCCTTTACCTTTACCTTATACAGTGGTACCTCGGGTTACATACGCTTCAGGTTACAGACTCCACTAACCCAGAAATAGTACTTCGGGTTAACAACTTTGCTTCAGGATGAGAACAGAAATCGTGCTCCGGCAGCCGCAGGAGGCCCCATTAGCTAAAGTGGTGCTTCAGGTTAAGAACAGTTTCAGGTTAAGAACGGACCTCCGGAACGAATTAAGTACTTAACCCGAGGTACCACTGTACGGCGTTTTTCTCTGCTCACCCCCCAGATGTTGCTCTGTGCCTCCAACCAGAATAACAGCAACGTGGAGTGCTGGTCTCTCCGGAAAGAGGGCTTGCCGGTCAACAATATTTTCCAGCAGATCTCCCCCACAGGTGAGTTTCTGGAGGTCAGGCGATGCTTCCCTGCATTTATAAACGCTGCCCACCTGACCGGGTTGCCCCAGCCGTTGATTTCCCCATCTCTCTATCTCTCCTTTCCTTCCTTCTATCTCTCTTTTCCATCTCTCTTTCTCTCCTTTCCTTCCTTCCGACTCACTTTTCCATCTCTATCTCTCCTTTCCTCCGACAACAACCCTGCGAGGTCAGTTGGGCCAGAGGCACAAGTGGCCGGCCCCCTGAGGCGTCGCCCAGAGAGCTCCGCGGCCGAGTGGGGGAATTCGAACTCAGGACCCTGTCCGACTCTCTTAACCACTACGCTGCGCTTCTTATTCTCCTACCTTCTTCTTATTTCTCAGTCGGCGACAAGCCGCCCATGATTTTGAAGTGGCGGATACTCTCGGCCGCCAACGACCTCGACCGCGTTTCGGCCGTGGCTCTCCCGAAACTCCCCATCTCCTTGACCAGCACAGATTTGAAAGTCGCCAACGACACCAAATTCTACCCTGGCTTAGGTGAGGAAACCTCTCCCTGTCCCCTGGAAATGTTGTCATTATTATTCTTACTTCGCGATATACCCGTATTTTTCGCTCTATAAGACGCAGCAGACCACAAGACGCACCTAGTTTTTGGAGGAGGAAAACAAGAAAAAAAATATTCTGAATCTCAGAAGCCAGAACAGCAAGAGGGATCGCTGCGCAGCGAAAGCAGCGTTCCCTCTTGCTGTTCTGGCTTCTGGGATAGCTGCGCAGCCTGCGTTTGCTCCAAAAAACCACACACATTTCCCCTTACTTTTTAGGAGGGGAAAAGTGAGTCTTATAGAGCAAAAATATATATATGTTATTGAATTTTCAAAAGTTTGACATTTATCCTTCGGTATCCCTTGTTAAGTTTATCGTTTCTCAACTTCCTGCCCCTTCCCCCCCGTGGCGTTTTAATTTCCCCCCTCTGCTGCTCAATACCTCATCGTTCTTCTTTTTTTCCTTTTGCCAATCTTTTTATGGGTTTTCCCTTTTAACGAAACATCACCAAATTAATACGTTTTTGCCCTTCAAAAGTAGACTTCAAGTAAACTCTTTCCTTGACTTTTAACTGCATTCTCTTCCCCAGCTAGTTCCTTTTTAAAAATCCATTTCCTGGTAATCTTCTTATTGCAATGTTGCCGTTTTATTCATTTAACATAGAAAACCTAGCTGGCAGCTGTCCATTTACCCATACGGTACCGTACAAATTTGATTGGGGCATCCAAATTTCGTGGCTGGGAACGAATTAGATATTTCCCCATAGGGATCAATAGAAATCAGGGACTCGTTATGCAAACAAGGGACTCAGGTGGTGCTGTGGGTTAAACCACAGAGCCTAGGACTTGCTGATCAGAAGGTCGGCGGTTCGAATCCCCGCGACGGGGTGAGCTCCCATTGCTCGGTCCCTGCTCCTGCCCAGCTAGCAGTTCGAAAGCACATCAAAGTACAAGTAGATAAATAGGCACCTGGCGGGAAGGTAAACGACGTTTCCGTGCGCTGCTCTGGTTCACCAGAAGTGGCTTAGTCCTGCTGGCCACATGACCCGGAAGCTGAACGCCGGCTCCCTCGGCCAATAAAACGAGATGAGAGCCGCAACCCCAGAGTCATCCGCGACTGGACCTAATGGTCAGGGGACCCTTTACCTTTATACAAACAAACCGATCGATTGGTCGTTTTGCGAGTGATTTCCAGGGAACGCATTGTGTTGAGTGTATGGGTCTTGAGTTCCAGTTTCCCTCTGAAATGTCCCTTGCCTCGTGCTGTTTTCCCCCCCTCCTCCGCCGCCCCAGGACTCGCACTCGCTTTCCACGACGGCAGCGTCCACATCATCCACCGTGTCTCCCTTCAGACCATGGCGGTCTTCTATGGATCGACATCCCAGCGTCCGGCGGAGGAACAGGCCATCAAGAGGCAGAGGACGGCCGGACCCCTGGTCCACTTCAAAGCCATGCAGATGTCCTGGACATCACTGGCCTTGGTCGGCGTCGACAGCCACGGGAAGGTAAATAGAAAACTTACAACTACAACGACTAATCTTTATATCACAACACTTTATATGTTTTCCAATTCTAATATAAAAGGTAAAGGGACCCCTGACCATTAGGTCCAGTCGTGGCCGACTCTGGGGTTGCGGCGCTCATCTCGCTTTACTGGCCGAGGGAGCTGGCGTACAGCTTCCGGGTCATGTGGCCAGCAGGACTGAGCTGCTTCTGGCGAACCAGAGCAGCGCACGGAAACGCCGTTTACCTTCCCACCGGAGCGGTACCTATTTATCTACTTGCACTTTGACGTGCTTTCGAACTGCTAGGAGGGCAGGAGCAGGGACCGAGCAATGGGAGCTCACCCCGTCGCGGGGATTCGAACCACCGACCTTCTGATCAGCAAGTCCTAGGCTCTGTGGTTTAACCCACAGCGCCACCCGCATCCCAATTCTAATATAACTCGTTACAAAATGCCTCCAAGTTTAAATCAACGTAGAAGGGTCAAGAATTCCTCATTTGCAAGTCTTTGGATAACCCTACTAGCGTTTTTCACTGCTTACAACGATCTTTCAAATATTGTATAAATTTACTCCAGTCCTTTTGGAATACTTGATTTGCTGGTTTCGGATTTTTCCCGTCAGCTTCGCCAGTTCTGCAAAGCCCATCACCATCTTTGGGCTAAAAGAATTCTTTCTGCTGTCGTTGCTCATAAGAACAATTTTTTTATCTTTTCTCCGTATGTCTACTAATACCCAGGAAAAAGGCTTCTGGTATTTTAACAAAAGCCTTTTAAAACATTTTCTTTAACTCGTTATATATCATTTCCCAGAAAGCCTTTACCTCTTTGCAAGTCCGCCACATGTGGTAGAATAAACCTTCCCTTTCTTTACATTTTCAGCACTCGCTAAATCTTGCCTTAGACATTTTAGCAAGTTTAACTGGCGTTAAATGCCATCTGTACATCATTTTATTTAAGTGTACTGCATGCAGTTAAATTAATGCCTTCCTTCCACAACCTTCCCCAAGATCCTAACTGAATATTATATCCAAAAGCTTTAGCCCAGGGGTCAGCAAACTTTTTCAGCAGGGGGCCGGTCCCCTGTCCCTCAGACCTTGTGGGGGGCCAGACTATATTTTGGGGGGGAAATGACTGAATTCCTATACCCCACAAATAACCCAGAGATGCATTTTAAATAAAAGCACACATTCTACTCATGTAAAAACTCGCTGATTCCTGGACCGTCCAGGGGCCGGACTGAGAAGGCGATTGGGCCAGATCCGGCCCCCGGGCCTTAGTTTGCCTACTCCTGCTTTAGCCCATTGTATCGTCACCCCTTTAACCTCTTCATCTTGAGTATGATTACATTTCCAACGCTTATTTGGTGGTTAAACGGCTATCGTCCCTTCCGACCTCTCACCACACCAGCTCAGCATGCTTCGGATCTCCCCGTCGATGGGCCATATCCTGGACATGAACATCTCCCTCCGCCACTTGCTATTCCTCCTGGAGTATTGCATGGTGACTGGATACGACTGGTGGGACATACTGCTTCACGTCCAGCCCAGCATGGTGCAAAACCTGGTGGAGAAGCTTCACGAAGAATACATGCGCCAGAATGCGGCCCTGCAGCAGGTGAGGCGGGAAGGGGAAGGGAGGAAGCTCCTTCGCCCCGAGTGTGTTGGAGTTGAGTGGACGCCGCCAAAGGGCGCTGGCATGCATGGAGGTGCCGTTTCGCAACCCGCCAGCAGGTGGCGCTAGCCATCTCGAACTCTCGGGGATAGGAAAGGGTTCCTTTGCAATGGGCGCATACGTCAGTTTGCATTTCACAGCGTGGAAAGTGTGGCTCTGATGTGTTGACATCTTTCCTGCTTCGCTTACACCCTTGTGCAAATTAATTGAAACAAACCGTTTCATTTATTGTACGAAACTCGCATATGCATGGACAAAACTCACATATTGTTATTATTTTTTTAATTGCGATACTTTATTACTTTATTAATTGAAACGAACCGTGTCGTTTATTGTATGAAACTCACATATGCATGGACAAAACTCACATATTATTATTTTGGAAGTGAAATACTTTATTGTCACTTGTGCACCGTGATGCAGTATGAAAGGACACTTTTCGTTGTGAGCTTAGGGAAGCTTTTAATGTTTAATAGGCTATTGTGTTTTAATATTTTGTTGGAAGCCGCCCAGAGTGGCTGGGGAAACCACTGCGCTGACTAACATGTCGGAATCTGCTCTGGGTCAATATTGCGTGGAATTTCACAACAGGGTGACCCTTTTTTTTGCTTTGGCAGGTGCTCTCGACCCGGATTATTTCCATGAAGGCGTCACTGTGCAAGCTCTCCTCCACCACGGTGTCTCGGGTCTGCGACTATCACGCCAAGCTTTTCCTGATCGCCATCAGCTGCACCCTCAAATCGCTCCTCCGTCCCCCGGTCTTGAATACCCCGGACAAAAGCCCCGGTGACCGTCTCACGGAGATCTGCTCCAAGATCACCGACGTGGGTGCGTGACAGTCTCCGCAGTGACATACCGTATTTTTTGCCCTCTAAGACTCACTTTTTCCCTCCTAAAAAGTAAGGGGAAGTGTGTGTGCGTCTTATGGAGCGAATGCAGGCTGCGCAGCTATCACAGAAGCCAGAACAGCAAGAGGGATCGCTGCTTTCACTGCGCAGTGATCCCTCTTGCTGTTCTGGCTTCTGAGATTCAGAATATTTTTTTTCTTGTTTTCCTCCTCCAAAAACTAGGTGCGTCTTGTGGTCTGGTGCGTCTTATAGATCAAAAAATACGGTAATAACAAGAACTCCCTTTCCAGATATCGACAAAGTGATGATCAACTTGAAGACGGAGGAGTTTGTCTTGGAAATGACCACTTTGCAGTCTCTCCAACAGCTGATTCAGTGGGTCGGCGACTTTGTCCTCTACCTGTTGGCCAGCCTTCCGAACCAGGTGAGACCCCCTGAGTCCCCCATTGCGCCAACGCTTTCCCAAATTGCCTTCCGGGTTGACCGACAATCCGACTCTCCACCTACTTTCCGGGGACGGCGCGTGAAAACCCAAAACACCTGTGGCTCCGAATGCTCCCCGCAGGTGAGCTCGACGGCAGGTAAGATGGACAGTGGTACTCAATATCGCAATATATCGCCGGCTGAACATCGCGATATTCTGATATATATCGCGATGTCCGGAATAAGGCTGGAACTACGTGTAGGCGAACAGTTAGGGCTGATATCTGGTTTTCGACTTTGCGATAGGTCACCGGCTAAACATCGCGATATCTTGATATATATCTCGATGTCTGAAATAAGGATTGTAGCCTTATTGGACTTTACCGACTGGTGGGGTCTGCGTTGCTCCCGGGAGGGAGAAAGGAAGTCAAATGACACTGAGGTTGATTCAGAGAAAGAGTTTATTCTGCTCTCCGGATAGCAGAAGGCACTTGTGTGGTCAGTTCACAGCAAGTCCAAAGAAATGAGAAATTTCATGCAGTATATATATCCTCCAGGCACCCTCTCCCTCCTCCCCATATAAATCCATCCCCGTCATCCTATACACGCAGGTTGACATCACATATGTTCTTGCTCTGGTATTCTTAACCATAAAAGGGAATTCCTTCCTGCCCTTCTGACCATAAAAGGATCTTTTTCTTCCTACTCTTTATCTTGGAGGAAGAGGTGTCATCTCCGAGAACACGCTTTTAGCCTTGTTCCGGACTTAGGTCTGTGCGTCTTTTGTGTTCAGCACATAAGATAAGGCACAGACGTGTCTTCTCTGTTCTGCTGGTACAGTGAAGGCCATCCTTGCCGTCACAAACTGATAAAGGAGAGGGCTTTGAGCACAGCCGGGTTTTTGTTTATACGTTGACTCAGAGCTCAAGTTAATGGATTTTAGCTAAGGAAAAATAGGGATTTTGGTGCAGTTTCAAACTGCCTGCACACTCAGTTTTGGGTTTGGGAAACCCATTCCTTCAATAATAATAATAATAATAATTTATTATTTATACCCCCCCCCATCGGGCTGGCTTTCCCCAGCCACTCTGGGCGCCTTCCAACGAAACACTAAAATACAATAATCTATTCAACATTAAAAGCTTCCCTAAACAGGGCTGCCTTTAGATGTCTTCTAAAAGTCTGGTAGTAATTTGAGATATAAATCGAACGTCGAGAGTTTTGACCTTCCTAACCTGCCCCCTTTTCCCCCAGGGCTCGGGTCCCGTCCGCCCAGGACACAGTTTCCTCCGCGACGGCTCCTCCCTGGCCATGCTGCGGGAACTGATGGTCGTGATTCGCATCTGGGGCCTTTTGAAGCCCAGCTGCCTGCCCATTTACACGGCAACTTCGGATACACAGGACAGCATGTCCCTCCTCTTCCGGCTCCTGACCAAACTTTGGCTGTGCTGTGAGTAGGGGATCGAGGCTCGATGCAACTGCAGATAGAGCAATATAGAAATCACATTAAAGCGGAATCGGTTCATTCAGCCTTTATTCGCGTAATTCAGACCAGGGTGGATAAAAACCAATGCAAACCAGATTTTTTTAAATTATTTAAATCAGATTTGTTTTTTATTTAAATCGGATTTTTAAAATAAAGTCCCAAGTTGTTGTTTTTTTTAAAATCAGATTTTTTAAAACTTAAATCAGATTTGTTTTTTATTTAAATCAGATTTTTAAAATAAAGTCCTAAGTTGTTGTTGTTTTTAAATCAGATTTTTTAAAATTTAAATCAGATTTTTAAAATAAAAAAATAAAATAAAAATTTAAATCAGATTTTTAAAATAAAGTCCTAAGCATATCTACATATATATATATATATGTATATGTATATATATGATATAGATGTATATGGTTTAACTACAACAGTTAACAAACATGGATACGTATGCTATAAGTTATCATTTTTTAATTTCAATTGGATTTTTAAAATAAAATGCTTTTAGAGGGGTAAAAATTATCTTTAAGTTACATTATAGCCCAAAGGCTGTTAATCCGGAAATAAGGATTTGAGTTTTTCATGTGTGCTAAAACTCAGTCTGAGTAAAACCTTCCTCCCTGGTCTGCTAGCTTTCTAGGTGCAGGGAGTCGGAAGGCAAATTTCAGGGGGCAGCTTGGTGTGTTTAAGAGGAAAACCCCGCAGGAATGGAGACGCGGCTTTCTGCTGCGCTTTGCATGCAAAAGCGTGTTTTTTTTTACAAAAACCTGCAAGTAAAACCTTGCTCCCTGATGTGCTAGCTTTCTAGATGCAGGGCAGTTTTTTTCCCCCGAAGCACCCTGATCCAAAGCCCAGGAGCTTCCAGCTTGGTCGTTGTGTATAATCATCTGGAAGACTTTTTTTGATCTTTCGGCTAAAATATTTGCATATAATTTATAATCGTTATTTAGGAGTGCGATAGGCCTATAGTTGTTAATAAGTAGATTGTCTATTCCGTTTTGGAATTAATTCAATAAAGCTGTCTTTCCATGTTGTTCATGATACTTCTTAGTGGGTCAGACAGTATGTCCTCAAATTTTTTATAATGTATTGTATAATATATAATATATTTTATAATATATAATATATTTGGCCCTGGTGACTTTCCTTAATTGCTCTTTGAATTTCGTACAATGTAATAGGGGCATCCAACAGTTCTTTTTCTTCTTTAGTAAGTTTCAGAAGACCGTTCTGTTCTAGATATTCTTTAATAATATAATAACAATAATAATAATAACTATAATAATAGTTTTGACTCGGTGCTAGCATTCGAGTGATAAAGGAACTGAAAGAGGTGGACAACAATTAAGGATCTATTACGTTTTCAGAATGTATTAGAAAAATTATATAGAAAGGTTTATTGGTTTGCGTGCATTCAAATGTAAGATAAAAGATACGCAAAGGGACTTGACAGGAAGTCAAAGATGAAGAAAAGATTTTGGGAGATAAAAGGGGGAAAAATAATTTACTTTCATTATTATCATTTTGTGTGCAGGTGTAGGTGTGTGGGTGTCTGCACATAGGTGTGTTGTATGCAATGTTTGGGAGGAAATAAGGCGGTAAATAACAAATAAACTAAATATCGATGTATGTAAATTTTTTTCTTAATTATATTTAGTGGTAGTAGGGCTGTATTGTTTTTTGCAACATAAAATCATTCAATAAAAATTAATTAAAAAGAACAACAACAAAGCCAGGTGTGTCCTCTGAGCCTGACGGCCCCCCATTGCCCCTTGCAGGTCGGGACGAAAGCCACCCCAGCGAGCCGGACGACGCTTTGATTGACGAGTGCTGCCTCCTGCCCAGCCAGCTGCTCATTCCGAACCTCGACTGGTTGCCCGTCAACGACGCCATCATCCACAAGCTTCAGAGCAAGCAGCCCGTCCGGATGCAGTTTGGGAAGCCCCCGGGGCAGGGACAGGGCCACCCCGCCTCCCTGCAGTTCGACGCCTTCGTCAGGTAGGTGTTGGGCGATGGGGAGACAGCGGAACTCTCTGCCACAGGAATGCCACCACCAGCTGTCATGGCTTATTTAAAAGAGGACTGGGCATACCTCTCAAATCAGAACCAGTGAAGGCGGTGAAGGTCCTGTGTGAGTGTCTGGAGGCGGTTGGAGGATGGATGGCGGCTAACGGATTGAGGTTGAATCCTGACAAGACAGAAGGACTGTTTTGGGGGGGCAAGGGGCAGGCAGGTGTGGGGGACTCCCTGGTCCTGAATGGGGTCACTGTGCCCCACTGCTCACCAGGTGAGCAGCCTGGGGGTCATTTTGGACTCACAGCTGTCCATGGAGGCAGTTCTATGTCCAGGGCGGCTCCATCTGGTACGCAGGATGAGACCCTCCCTGCCCACGGACTGTCTGGCCAGAGTGGTGCATGCTCTGGTTCTCTCCCGCTTGGACTACTGCCCTGCGCTCTGCTTGGGGCTGCCTTTGAAGGTGACCTGGAAACTACAACTAATCCAGAATGCGGCGGCTAGACTGGGGACTGGGAGTGGAGACCACATAACACCGGTCTTGAAATTGGCTCCCAGGACGTTTCCGAGCACAATTCAAAGTATTGGTGCTGACCTTGAAAGCCCAAAACGGCCCAGTAGACCTGAAGGAGCGTCTCCACCCCGGACACCGGGGTCCCTCTCCCAAGGGCCTTCTGGCAGTTCCCTCCCTGCGAGAAGTGAGGTTACAGGGAACCAGGCAGAGGGCCTTCTCGGTGGTGGCACCTGCCCATCAGATGTCAAGGAAATAAACAACCATCTGACTTTTAGAAGACATCTGAAGGCAGCTCTGTTTAGGGAAGCTTTTAATGTTTGATGGATTACTGTATTTTAATATTTTCCACCCAGAGTGGAAACCCAGCCAGATGGGCGGGGTATAAATATTATTAGTATTATTATTATTGCTTCCCAAACGCTGATGTTTTGCCTCCTTATTTCAGGGCCCCCGGGCAGCCGAAGATCGACCACTTGCGGCGGCTCCACCTCGGAGCGTACCCCACGGAGGAGTGCAAATCATGCACCAGGTGAGTGCCAGGGAAAAAACAAAACCCCGGCGACGGGAGGCAGCGTCGCCCAGCGGTTACAGCATCACCGGTCCGGTCTTCCCCGTCTCCTGGCGGGAGAGCGGCGGCTAGTCAGCCTCGGGTTCGAACGCCAGTAGGGCTGGGGAAGGAGAAGAGGGGAAAATACCTGCGTGGTTTAGACCTGCAGGTAGCTGCTGCCGACCCGTGCCGGCCATATGGAGCTAAGACGCAACTTCCGGTCTTGACTCCGCAGGTGCGGCTGCGTCACCATGTTGCATTCGCCCAACAAGACGACGGCCGTCAAACAGTGGGAGCAGCGCTGGATCAAGAACTGCCTCTGTGGCGGGCTGTGGAGGAGGATGCCGCTGGGCTACTCGTGACGGCGCCCCCACCAGGCCGGGAGGAAGGACTGCAGGGAAGCTGGACCCGAAAAAAATAAGGCGATTTTGTAAATATAAAGGTTCTGAGTTTTGCAAAAAGGCTGTTTTCGTGTTTCTTGGCATTCCCTCTCCTGCAGCGTCTCTGCTTTTTCGAAGATTGAAATGGCCACCTCTCATCGGTTTGCAACAGGTTTGCACTTTTTCATTTATGTTTGTAAAAATCGTTTTTTCCGATCCGAATTTCGTGGTGCGCTTTTGCAAAAAACGCAGAAAACCTCGGGGTAACGACGAGCATGTCCGTGGAAACGACGTGCAAAAACGCTTTGCGCCAGGAGAAATTTTTGCTTGCGGGAAACAGCAGGGATTGCACAAAAAAACAGAGAAAATTGTGCTGAAAGGCCGAAGGATTTTTTTGCAGATTTGGAGAACTTGAAGCCTGGAACGCGCGGGAAAGACATGCAAAATCTAATTTTTGCATCTTATTATTTTTTAAAATTGATTTTATTTAGCATCATTATTACAAAATATTGCAAATACATACATACATATTTCAGATAAGCACACATATATAAAAAAGAACAAGAAAGGAAAAAGGAAGAAAAGTTGGAAGAGTCAATCAATGACATTTTATTATTGAGATATTTGTAGAATAAATTTGGAAGAAACTCTTCTAATATTTGCATCTTAAATTTGCGGGGCAAGGAGAGATCCTCTAGCTATTGGCGCTTAAATGACCGCGAGGGATCCGCTGGTTGCGTTGGCCAAGACACTGTCGATCCATCCGGCGTATGGAGCGGTTCGGGTGTAAATCCCGGGTTTCTTCCAGTTGCCGCAAACTCGTGAGCCGGTGGACACGACGGCTTCGGCGACGCCGTTGCAGACGAAGGGCCCCCCCGAATCTCCCTGGGAGAAAGGGGTGAGAAAAAAAGCAAGAACGTCAGATTTTTGCCACTACTCTATGAGCCTGGGGTCAGCAAACTTTTTCAGCAGGGGGCCGGTCCACTGTCCCTCGGACCTTGTGGGGGGCTGGACAAAAAAATATATATGAACCAATTCCTATGCCCCACAAATAACCCATTGCATTTTAAATAAAAGGACACATTCTACTCATGTAAAAACACCAGGCAGGCCCCACAAATAACCCAGAGATGCATTTGAAATAAAAGCACACATTCTACTCATGTAAAAACATGCTGATTCCTGGACCGTCCGGGGGCCGGATTGAGAAAGCGATTGGGCCGGATCCGGCCCCCGGGACTAAGTTTGCCTACCCATGCTCTAGTGGCAGGTAGTTCCCCAGACTTGCTTGCCTGAACTGAAGTTCAATCCGGATAAGACAGAGAGGTTCTAATACAGGGGTCAGCAAACTTTTCCAGCAGGGGGCCGGTCCCCTGTCCCTCAGACCTTGTGGGGGGCCGGACTATATTTTGAAAATAAATAAATGAATGAATTCCTATGCCCCACAAATAACTCAGAGATGCATTTGAAATAAAAGGACACATTCTACTCATGTAAAAACACACTGATTCCCGGACCGTCCGTGGGCTGCATTGAGAAGGGGATTGGGCCCGATCCGGCCCCTGGGTCTTAGTTTGCCTACCCATGCTAATAAGCCAAGTCCTGTGTTCGAATTATGCCTGCACTCCCAGGATTCTCAATGATGATGGTGATTTCTCATTAACATTTTATTAAACAGACATGACATACAAAAAAAACCAAACCAATCTTGCATTAGATACTTCTAGACTTAAGAGATCGTTATCACAGTATACGTAATCCAATTGTCAAGATATCTAGAACAGAGTGTGCTATATAATGGAAATAGAAAGAGAGAAAGAAAGGAAAAGGAAAATAAACAATGATAAAAGCGAAAAGTTGGCGTAACTAAAACTATCAAAGAAAAAGCGGTGATTCATTCAAAAAAATAAATACTGTATTTTTTGCTCTATAAGACTCACTTTTCCCCTCCTAAAAAGTAAGGGGAAATGTGTGTGCGTCTTATGGAGCGAATGCAGGCTGCGCAGCTATCCCAGAAGCCAGAACAGCAAGAGGCATTGCTGCTTTCACTGCGCAGCGATCCCTCTTGCTGTTCTGGCTTCTGGGATTCAGAATATTTTTTTTCTTGTTTTCCTCCTCCAAAAACTAGGTGCGTCTCGTGGTCTGGTGCGTCTTATAGAGCGAAAAATACGGTAAATAATTTTGCAGAGGGTCATTTAGTGGGGGGAAACCCTGCAATGCGGCGAGGCAAGTTGCGTACATGCGAATCCTTCTCGCGCCCCGTGCGAAGAGGAGGAACTCTTGTGCAAAAAAAGTACCTTGCAGGAGTCTTTTTTCTTGGAGTCGGCACACATCATTTTCTCGGTCACCTCCCCGTCGTGGTGAATCCGCTGGTTGCATTTGGCTCGGCCGATGACCCCCAGCTCCACATACTGCAATACGTCCGGCCTCTTGCCCGTGTTGCGGGTGATGCCCCAGCCAGCCACCTCGCACAGGGTCCCTTCGGGGACGTCCCTCCCTTGCCGTTGGAAAGCCAGCTTTTGCACGTCCGGGTTGAGGGAGGCCGCCTCTTCCAGCTGGTTGGCAGAGACGATTGAAAACAGAGGAGGTTTTAATAATAATAATAATTTATTATTTATACGCCGCCCATCCGGCTGGGTTTCCCCAGCCACTCTGGGCGGCTCCCAATCGAATATTAAAAACACGATAAAACGTCAAACATTAAAAAGCTTCCCTAAACAGGGCTGCCTTCAGATGCCTTTTAAAAGTCAGACAGTTGTCTATTTCCTTGATATCTGATGGGAGGGCGCCACCACCGAGAAGGCCTTCTGCCTGGTTCCCTGTAGCCTCACTTCTCACAGGGAGGGAACCGCCAGAAGGCCCTCAGGAGATGGACCCAGGTGTCCGGGCTGGACGATGGGGGTGGAGATGCTCCTTCAGGTCTACTGGGCCATTTAGGGCTTTCAAGGTCAGCACCAACACTTTGAATTGTGCTTGGAAACGTATTGGGAGCAAATGTAGGTCTTTCAGGACCGGTGTTATGTGGTCCCGGCGGCCGCTCCCAGTCCCCAGTCTGGCTGCCGCATTCTGGATTAATTGCAGTTTCCGGATCAGCTTCCAAGGCAGCCCCACGGAGAGCGCATGGCAGTAGTTGAAGTGGGAGATAACCAGAGCATGCACCACTCTGGCCAGACAGTCTGCGGGCAGGGAGGGTCTCATCCTGCGTTCCAGATGCAGCTGCCCTGGACACAGAACTGACCTGCGCATCCATGGACAGCAGTGAGTCCAAAATGACCCCCAGGCTGCGCACCTGGTGCTTCGGGGGCACAGTTACCCCATTCAGGACCAGGGAGTCCCACACACTCTCCCGCCCCCTGTCATCCCAAAACAGTCCTTCTGTCTTGTCAGGATTCAACCTCAATCCGTTAGCCGCCATCCATCCTCCAACCTTGGCATTTTCAGCGCCACGCTCTCACAATTAGTCCAAAACTTCTGGCGTTTGCCAGAATACCCTGCGTCTTATTTGCAGAAGGGATTTCCCGTAATGGAAACGTCATGTTTTCTGGAGAACCAGTTGCTCAACGTTTTTCCACCTCTTTGGGGGAATTCCCTGAAACTGCCCTCCTCCAAACTTCTCGATTTCAGAGATCAGCACTTCGTGCTTCCTTGTCACAGAGATATTTTTCGGGGAAAGGGCAGTCAAAATGGCAAGGCGATCCAGCTAGGGCTACCCTAACCAGCCTGGCTTTGCCTCCTATTTTATTTTCAATTTAAATCCTTTTTACTGGTTTTTACAAATGCAAAATGCAGTTAAATAGAACATAAACAAGCATAGAGACCACATCACACTGGTCCTGAAAGACCTACATTGGCTCCCAGGACGTTTCCGAACACAATTCAAAGTGTTGGTGCTGACCTTGAAAGCCCTAAACAGCCTTGGCCCAGTATACCTGAAGGAGCATCTCCACCCCAGACACCGGGGTCCCTCTCCCGAGGGCCTTCTGGTGGTTCCCTCCCTGCAAGAAGTAAGGTTACAGGGAACCAGGCAGAGGGCCTTCTCGGTGGTGGCCCCCTTCCGTCAGATGTCAAGGAAATAAACAACTATCTGACTTTTAGAAGACATCTGCAGGCAGCCCTGTTTAGGGAAGCTTGTAATGTTTGAAGTTTTATTCTGTTTTTATATGAACTGGAAGCCGCCCAAAGCGGCTGATGGGAAAATCAGAGAGCCAGTATTGTTTAGGGATTAGGGTGACTTACTGGGAACTGAGAGACCCGGGTTCAAATCTCCCCTTGGCCCGGAAGCTCACTGGCTGTGACTTTGGGCCAGTCGCTGCCTCTCTGCCTGACCTAGTGAGGTTACAGGGAACCAGGTAGAGGGCCTTCTCGGTGGTGGTGCCCTCCCGCCAGATGTCAAGGAAATAGACAACTTTCTGACTTTTAGAAGACATCTGAAGGGCAGCCTTATCTAGCATCACTCACCTGTACCAGCAAGAGGTCATCGTGGTTGGTGTCTCGGTGGCTTCCGGGGTGGGCGACCAGCTGGCGGACCCCGTATAGGCGCTTGTGGGGTTCAGGGAGAGAGAGCGATCGTGCCCCTAGGAGCACCGCAAAAGTCCCGTTGCCCCTGCGTGGAAAACCACCATTAGATTACTGGGCCAAAATGCTAGACTTCTGCAATGGGGTCTTTGTGGGGCTGCCCTTGGGGCCGGGTTCGGGGGGCCAGATCGCCGACACCATTGCGGAAAAAGCCCCACCGGTTGTTCCCTTACTATTGAGCCGGGTTCGAGGTGTTGGTACTCATTTACAAATCAGGCCCCATGAAAAACCCTATCATTCCTATTGAAGTTGAAAAGTGTCCCCAAATTCATTGGGAAAAAATCTGGGAAACTTTATTTACAAGGCCCTGAACAACTTAGGTCCAGGGTCCCTCGGGAACGGTCGGAATAATTCCTGAATAAATTTTATTGGGGTTTATAAAGAGAAATGCAATGCTGGATATCGGATATCTTTTGTGTCCGAAACGAAAAACATTTATCTAAATGCAAAAAAGGAAAAAAAGATTGACTTCCTTCGACTACAATACGGTTCCTAGAATCTCATATCTTGGTTGTCTGTAATCGTTTTAAACTTTGTGGAGAGATAAATTTGTTCACCTGCGGAGTTTTCGATCTAGACTACGCAGGTCACAATTTGAGGAAGCTACCTTCTTCGTATAATTTATATGAATCGTATATAATTATTCTCTCCTGATTTTTTTCACTCGATTAACTTATTTGGAATGATTTCACGCAGGATCTATTGCTTCCGCCAAGCGACAGAAAGGATTGGCTCGGCAGGGCAGCGAAACCCAACGGGGAGATCCAAGGGGACAGCTCTGTTGATTTAGAGCCCGGTGCGGGGATCACGCCAAGGTTGCGGGTTCAAATCCCGTACGGGGCATCCGAATTGCGGCGGGTCAGGCTAGATGACCCCCCGGAGTCCCCTTCCCGACTTGACAATTCTACAATTGGAATACTTACGCATCCTCCAGGCAATGGGCAGCGCTCAGCACCCATTCATCAGCAATGAGGAAGCCGCCGCAGAGGTGCTGCCCATTCAGTTGGAGGGAGGCCATGTACGGGCGCCGGGGGGCGTCCCGGCCCCCCAGGATACGGCCTCTGGGGCGGCTTGCTGAGAAGGCAAGAGCACAGAGGGTTAGATCATGGGTAGGCAACCTAATGATCTGTATGCATGTAAAAACTGTTGCTATTAGAAAAACAGGAAAGAAAATATTTTTAAAATTAAAAAAATATTAAAAAGGCACAGCATCAAAGGAAAGAGGGAGGAGGAGGGCAGAGGAAAGGGAACGCAAGCCAGAATAAAGCAATTTCTAGGTTCCGGTGTTGTTTTTTGGGGAGTAGCACAGGGGTCCGACAAGCCGCAGATCTGCCCCCCCCCCAAACCAACATGCACACTTTTTGAACAAACTTGCTTATAGGGCAGCATATTGAGACGCAATTGCGCTTTTGCACAATCTACTAGGTATAGACCTGTTGAAATGAATGGCGGCACAGTTTGGATGGATCTGCCCCGATTGGGAGCCCAGAAAATCCCGTATTCTCAGGGTAAACCCTAATTTGCAAGAGTCACCCAGCAACCTCTGAAAGTCGGCCTATATTTGCATCGATTAGCATATGCAGATGTTATGTAAAATCCGCATCCCAGAGCCTGTGTTGTCTATGAAGTCCCTTGGAAGACGCTGAAACAGCGTCGGACCACGAAGCAGCATAGCGGTTAGAGCGCTGGACAAGGTTCTGGGTTCGAAAGTCTCTTTGCGTCCATCTCCCTCTCTCTCTGACCAACCGCACAGGGTTGTTGTGAAGTTAAAACAGAGGGGGAAAAGGGAAATGTCTCACTCCCTGGACAGGACAAGGCAGGCTATCTCTATGTGGGACAAGAAGCTACAGTTAGAACTGGATATGGAACAACTGATTGGTTCAAAATTGGGAAAGGAGTACGGCAAGGCTGTATATTGTCCCCCTGCTTATTTAACTTATATGCAGAATTCATCATGCGAAAGGCTGGACTGGATGAATCCCAAGCCGGAATTAAGATTGCCGGAAGAAATATCAACAACCTCAGATATGCAGATGACACAACCTTGATGGCAGAAAGCGAGGAGGAATTAAAGAACCGTTTAATGAGGGTGAAAGAGGAGAGCGCGAAATATGGTCTGAAGCTCAACATCAAAAAAATTGAAGATCATGGCCACTGGTCCCATCACCTCCTGGCAAATAGAAGGAGAAGAAATGGAAGCAGTGAGAGATTTTACTTTCTTGGGCTCCATGATCACTGCAGATGGTGACAGCAGTCACGAAATTAAAAGACGCCTGCTTCTTGGGAGAAAAGCAATGACAAACCTAGACAGCGTCTTAAAAAGCAGAGACATCACCTTGCCAACAAAGGTCTGTCTAGTTCAAGCTATGGTTTTCCCAGTAGTGATGTATGGAAGTGAGAGCTGGACCATAAAGAAGGCTGATGGCCGAAGAATGGATGCTTTTGAATTCTGGTGCTGGAGGAGACTCTTGAGAGTCCCATGGACTGCAAGAAGATCCAACCTCTCCATTCGGAAGGAAATCAGCCCTGAGTGCTCACTGGAAGGACAGATCCTGAAGCTGAGGCTCCAAGACTTTGGCCACCTCATGAGAAGAGAAGACTCCCTGGAAAAGACCCTGATGTTGGGAAAGATGGAGGGCACAAGGAGAAGGGGACGACAGAGGACGAGATGGTGGGACAGTGTTCTTGAAGCTACCAGCATGAGTTTGACCAAACTGCGGGAGGCAGTGGAAGACAGGAGGGCCTGGCGTGCTCTGGTCCAGGGGGTCACGAAGAGTCGGACACGACTAAACGACTAAACAACAACATAATAAATACCTAAATAAGATATATTTATAAATGAGAGAAAGCAGGATTTTGCAACCGACTCACCATCTGCAGCGAAGAGGCCCAAAACAACTGGTAGCCAGATGGAAGAAAAAGCCATCTTCGTGTCAGGCCGTCAGGAATAAGTTCTGCTGAACTTAGGAAAGATATATATTTGTGTGTTTGCATGTGATTTCCAGGAAGTATTTTATCGGCTCCGAAGCGTGGGATTTTATTTTTTCCCTTCTCTGCACAAACACAGAAGAGGAAGCAGCCTGTTTGCATTGGCAATCTGGCAGTTTCCTCCTTTGACACACGAAATCTGATAAAAACTGTTTGCCAGAGCTCTGCAAGTTGCGTGGATTTCGAAATCCCCCGTAACGGAGTCCTTGGGACAGGCCTATGTCGTATGTCTGTCAATCAATAAATCACATTCCTTTGGGGCGTTAAACAAAGAAAAGCTCTTTTGGGTTTCCCTGGGGGGGGGGGGGACTCAACAATTTTGGGGGTTTCCCTGGGAAAAAAAAACTCAAATGCAATAATAATAAGATCCAGGACAAATGGAGCCAGTAAGTTGTATTTGAGTTTTTTCTGCTTCTAAATGTTTTCCAACCACTGCTTTATATTTTTGTCACAACGATCCTTTCGGTTTTTCTTTTACGTTGCATACCGCTTGGAGATCCCCCCGCCCCCAACCAAGGCTTCTAAATAAATAAAGTATGTCACCAATGAATCCTGCCTGCCGTTGCATGTCAGGCCCCGCTGACGCTGCTGTTGCATGTCACCTATCAAAGTCCACAAACGCCACCTGGGCATGAAAACCAGACTTTTAAACAGACTATTTTGGGTGAATATTGGGCAAGGATTGCTGGGATATATTGGAATTTGGGGCAGGGGGATTCATTCAGACCCATACAGTGGTACCTTGGTTCCCAAACGCCTTGGTACTCAAACAACTTGGAACACTGCAAACCTGGAAGTAAATGTTCCAGTTTGCAAACATTTTTCGGAAGCCGAACGTACTCCAGTTTGAGTGCCAACACTTCCGATTTGAGTGTTACACCAATTTCTGTCTGTTTTTCCTATTTATTTTGCGTTTTTGTGGCTCTTTTTCTGTTTTTGCGACTGTGGAACTGATGGATCGATTGTGCGACTGCAGTACATTGATTGTTGCTTTCATTTTATGAGTCGATGGTGTGGTTAGATAGTAAAATTCACATTAAGTTGCTGTTTCAGGGGTTGTTTTTAAAAGTCCGGAACGGATTGATCCGTTTTGCATTGCTTTCTATGGGAAAGAGCGCCTTGGTTTTGGAACGCTTTGGTTTTGGAACTGAATTTCCGGAACGGATTAAGTTTGAGGACCGAGGTGCCGCTGTATTGAGATCATGATGGTCAAAGGGAAACAGGATCTGTCCCCAGCTGCCCCCAACAGCTGTGGGATTATCCGAGTGGTTTAACCTAAGCCTCTCCGCTCCCAATAAGTGCAGGGGCTCAAGTTTCCTCCTAATTCATAGCCTGGGCAGGGGGCTCAGGAATAAGGGACAGCCACTCTGCACGAGCTCAGAGGAAGCTACCTCCGAGCGCTTCGTAGTGGACACAGGTTTTGGGGGTATAAACCCAGCCCCAACCCCTCCTTTTCTTCCAGTTCCCCCAAGGTACAGGTAGCATGAAGACGGGAACAGGTGCAAAGAAACCAGCTCCCAAAGGATTTATTTCTCTCTGTGCTGGAACTACTCTGACTGTGCTCAGAGACTACTTCCGCCCACTCCTCCCCAGGATGGAGAAACGGATTCTTGCCTGAATATATTTTTAAAAGTGGGTTTAAAAGGCTACCACACCCTCCTCCCCAAAGGTTATGAAATGGATTCTTGCCTGTTTTTTGGGAAAGTGGGTGAGATGCACTCTGTTTATGCTCAGGGGCTACCCCACCTTCCTCCCCAAGGGTTATGAAATTGATAATTGCCAGGGGTTTTTTTGGAAACTGGGTGGGACGCACTCTGTTTATGCTCAGGGGCTACCCACCTTCCTCCCCAAGGGTTATCAAACTGATAATTGCCTGGGTGTGTGTGTTTTTTTTATAGTAGGTGGGATGCACTCTGCTTATGCTCAGGGGCAAACCCCACCCTTTCCTCCCCGAGGACTGGGGAACCGTTTCCTCCCTAATACTAACAATAATGATAATAAATTTGGCCCTGTTCTAAGGGAAACTAAAAGAGAAGGCTAGGAAAAAACTGCCTGGGGGGGGTTGAAGCCCCCGGACCTGTTTTTTTCACCGAGAAAGAATCGGATGGGGACCTGGAGGGGCGGTTTCTGTCGTTGATTCTGTGCAGAGAGAGAGCCCCCCCTGCGCAGTCAGTGATGGAGGGTGTGGCTCACGAGCCCTGCTCTCTCTCCCCCCCATAACGCCCCCCGCGTACCCTCCCCGCTCTCAAAATAACGCGCAACCCCAAATTTTGGCATTTGGAGATGCGCTTTTTGCGCCAAACACGGGCATCACCGCGCTCTCTGTGGAAACCGGAGGTTAGATAGAGACGCGCGCGCGGAGGAGCCGCCACCCACCGCCTCCCCCGCCTCTCTCCCCCCCACCCACAAATCAAACCAGCGGGCCCCCCCTCCTCTTTTTCGCCCCTTTGTGCTCAGGCTTGCAGGAGCTGGGGCTAGACAGAAAGAAAGAGAGAAAACCATGCTATCCATTTTTGGCTAGCGCAGAGCGCAGGGAAAGAGAGGCGGTCTGAACCCCCCCCACCCAGTTCCTGAGCCCCCCCCTCTCCCCTTGGTGGGGTGCAGGTGGTCATTCTTCCAGTGCCAACCCACGCGCACCCCCACCCGGATTTTGAAAACCTCTCTAATTTCAGACCCTTTTTAACCAAGGATAAAGGAGAATTGATTATTTTTTCGCTCTTCTCCAAAACCCCCCGGTGGTGGTGGGCGGAATCTAAAGCTGGAAGGAGACCCCCCCCTTTTAAAAAAGCATGCATCCCCTTCGCCACTAATCCCAGCAAGAGGAGGCGATGGAAATGTCCTTTTGCATCCCGGAGCGGCAAAAAGGGGCGAGATAAGATTTTTATATTATTTTGGAGAGGGTTGCCTCCTCCCTAGATGCGCGCGCGCCCCCGCCCCGTTTCCAGCTGCAAATCGGGGGGTGCCTCGCAGATGCCGGGCAGGTAAGTTTGATTTTATTTTTTAAAAACTGTTTTTCCTCCCCTCCCCTCGTTTTCTTTCTTTTCTTCTGCCACCATCATCCCTCTCTCTCTCTCTCTCTCTCTCTCGCACGCAAATCCCGGCGTCTCTACATCCACCCCATTTTGCGTCTCCAGACAAAGGGATGGTTTGGACTCTGTGTCACGCTGACTGCAATGAGACCCCCCCCCCAAAAAAAAAGCAAGCAGGGGGCTCTCTCTCTCCCCCCCCCAGCTCATTCTCTGACATTTGCATTGTCCTCTGAGAACCCATCCCCGAACAATAGCCGCAAAATATCCAACCCCCCAAAAAATAAAAGGAGAAAATAAATCGCAGAATAGTCCATTATTATTAGGGCGATTATTCCCAGCCACACATCACTTGGGGTTTTGGGGTGGGAATGGTCTGAGACCCAACAAGACCCCCCTATTTTATGCTGCGATGAGTATTTTTATTGATCAATTGATCGATCGCTTATAACCGCTCGGTCCTTGAAATGGAAAAGGGATTTTTTCTTTTAAAAAGGATGGATGAGGCTGTTTGGCCACTTGTAACTTCTGAAAGCATCCATTAGCTCTGGGGGGGGGGGGACACACACCTTGGGTTGTGGGTTCCTTCGGAACTCACCGCCACAAGATGCTGGTGTTGGTGGTTCCTTGCCCGCCTTCGGAACGAATCGGTTTATTTCGGTCGCTGACCAGAGAGCTCTACGCCTTTTTTCAAAAGGGAGTGGGCAGTTTAGACGCTGGTTATTGGTGTTGGCCGCCAAATGAAACCTCTATGTGGATATGAAGTCTATCTGCGAGTACCAGGGGCTGGTACAAGGGGGTGCTGTAGGATTTCTCAAACTGGGATTGCTGGATGGAAACGGACCCTGAAACACTTCCCTTACCGGGTTGACTTAAAAAATAACAATACATTTCTATGGCCATTTGATGCATCCTCTTTCAATGTTTTCTTTGTCTCCACAACAAGAGCCCTGGAGTCAGAAGCTGGCGGTTTCTGAGCCTCGGTTGGCCACCTCTGTAAAATGGGTTGATACTGATATTCCTCCTTTCCTGTTATCCCATGTTACAGAAGTAGCCAACAGAGCCTCAACAGGGGCTAGAGGCTTGGCACAAACACAGCTAAACCTCAGGTTTGGATCTGAGCTGGAGAGGCACGAAACAAATAATGAAGAACGCAGCGGCTCAGAGCATGTGCAGAGTGCACACGCCTCCCTAAGTAAATCCAGAAAACGGATTTGTTTGGGATCTGGGGAGGGGACTGGATTTCATAATGAAGGATGCCTTAATCTGGGAAAATCCCAGAACCTGTGAAATAACTGCTGGGTGAGTTATTAAAATTCATTCATTCCAATGGACAACATGGGCTTAATCATTTTTTTAACAACAACAAAAACCCTGTAATTCACGTTTAAACCTTGATTTTCTTGTTTTGTTCTATTTTTTTTAAAGATATCTTTTATTAAATTTCCAATTTTACAATTTCAAATCAACATTTTACAAACTTTAAAATACCCAACGACTTCCATTCTTCTCTTTCCATGGTTCGTTTTACATTTCACACATCTCTCCATCTTTCGCTATGACCGTTCAAATCGTTTTTCTGCTTTCACATCCATCAAATATTATTTCCCCCCGTTTTGTTCCAATCCATCCTGGTCTTCGGGAGACAGTGCACATATATTCTGGCCTATTCGACCTCTTTTTCTTAACAGCAACACGGACCATTCATAACACGGGAATATTCTTCCCGATGTGGAGCAGGGGGGGAAGCGAAGGCAATCAGCAACAAATCGCTAAAACGCCGTTCGTTCCTCCTGCTCAGGCTGCACAGAAGTAGAATTTCGGTTCCTGAAGTGTGTGAAAACGGTCCAGGTTCAAGGATCCCCAGATGGCGGAGGCGTCAGGTGTCATCCTGGCGCCCAAGAATCTTCACTCGGTGGCAAACGGCCAAAAGCCAAGTGCGAAATACGCCTGGCTAATTTCGAACTCTGTCTGCTGTGGCTTTCGAGACAGATGTTGGGCAAGAGATGTTTCAGAGAGAGAGAGAGAGAGAAAGAAAGAAAGAAAGAAAAAGGAGGTTTTCTCCTTTCCATTTTTTAAACTGTATTATGAAGCCTCTTGCATTACTTGGGTGCGGGAGTGGATTAAATAAGAAAATACAGATACGTTAGATCTGGAAGGGCATGATAATCGATTCGGATGGCATGCGTATTTATGGCACAAGAAAGTACATAAAGGATTTTGCAACCATATAATTAGGAGATCACTTTCAAAAGTGTGGGAATAATATAAAGACCTATTGGAACAAAAGACTCCAGGTGGTTGTCTCCAACAGAGGTAATGGCAATCAAAAAAATAAATAGGGAGGCGATATGACTTACATATAGGGACCTAGTAATGGCAATAGATGGCAAATTATAATATATTATGTACGCTATTAAATATAGAATCGAAAACAATAATTTTTTTTTTAAAGACTGTGAGAGATATAAAATAATGATATTAAAACGCTAAAAAAAGGCAACGTCAAGTATTAATAAGGGAGATAAAAGGGGTGAGTTTGCGTTTACACCAGGCGCTGGGGCACCAAATATATAATGTTATCTTGTGGTCTGTTAAATCTGGTGCCAAATTTTTGGATGTCCGTATGTACCAAAAGCAATAGTTTCCCTTGGTGGCATGCTGCCAACAACACCCCCCCCCAAAAAATAGGATTTCAATAAGCCCCCACGCTTTTTACTAAGGGTCTGTGATCGCTGCTATGACCGCTGGGACTCCGGGTATCGATTTGGGCGTTAAATGGGTCATTTTGACAGACAGCGGATCTATAGGGCCTGGGGAGGGGGGGGGAGACGGACGTGCCTCTAAATAGGGTCGGATCCAATGTCAGTCCCGCTCAGAGTAGACCTGTCAAAATCAATATGCCTACGGCCTGCCCACGTCTGTGGATTTTAACTGGTTGGATCCATTGCTAGTCAAGTTCAGAGTAGACCCATCGGAATCGACGGCTAACAGTCCTGAGAGATCTGCATTGGCTCGCAGTATGTTTCCGAGCACAATTCGTACTGTTGGTGCTGAACTTGAAAGCCCTAAATGGCCCAGTAGACCTGAAGGAGCATCTCCACCCCGGACACCTGGGTCCATCTCCCAAGGGCCTTCTGGGGGTTCCTTTGCTGCGAGAAGTGAGGTTACAGGGAACCAGGCAGAGGGCCTTCTCAGTAGTGGCACCCTCCCTTCAGACAGGGATGATTTTGACGCACACCTCTCTCTAATCTATATTATTATTATCATGGTTATCTCCCGCTTGGACTACTGCCATGTGCTTTACGTGGGGCTACCTTGGAAGCTGACCCGGAAACTGCAACTAACCCAGAATGCGGCAGCTAGACTGGTGACTGGGAGCGGCTGCCAAGGCCACAAAACACTGGTCTTGAAAGACATGCATTGGCTCCCAGGACGTTTCCAAGCACAATTCAAAGTGTTGGTGCTGAGGTTTAAAGCCCTAAACAGCCTCAGCCCAGTATCCCTGAAGGAGTGTATTCACCCCGGACACCTGGGTCCATCTCCCAAGGGTCTTCTGGCGGTTCCCTCCCTGCGAGAAGCGAGGTTACAGGGAACCAGGCAGAGGGCCTTCTCGGTGGTGGCGCCCGCCCTGTGGAATGCCCTCCTGTCAGATGTCAAGGAAATAAACAACTATCTGACTTTTAGACGACATCTGAAGGCAGCCCTGTTTAGGGAAGCTTTTAATGTTTGGTGTTTTTAATATTCTATTGGGAGCCGCCCAGAGTGGCTTGGGAAACCCAGCCAGATGGGCGGGGTATAAATAGTATTATTATTATTATTATTATGGGTCTCGTTGGTTTCAGCAGGTCTCCTCTGAGTAGGGCTCAATTGGCTCTGACCGGGATAGGTCAGCATGAGACTTTTAAGCTCAGCGTTGTGGGTTTGAGTCCCACACGGGGCAAAGGGGGTTGGGCTAGATGACCCCTAGGGTTCCCTTCCAGCTCTACAATTCTGTGGTTTTAACTCCTGCTGGTTTTGGTTCTGTGATGTCTCGTGGCAGCGATGAGCAGGACCTAGGCTGAGACCCCTACCCACCAGATTCCTCTGAATCCCACCGCTGACACCATGATCTCGGCAAAGGACAAGGCCAAGGCTCCGAAAGACAGCATGACTCTTCTTCCCTGCTTTTACTTTGTCGAGGTAAGCAGAACTTTTCCATCATCTATACAGGTAAAGGTAAAGGGACTCCTGACTGTTAGGTCCAGTCGTGACCGACTCTGGGGTTGCGGCGCTCATCTCACTTTACTGGCCGAGGGAGCCGGCGTACAGCTTCCGAACCAGAGCAGCGCACGGAAACGCCGTTTACCTTCCCGCCAGAGCGGTACCTATTTATCTACTTGCACTTTGACGTGCTTTCGAACTGCTAGGTTGGCAGGAGCAGGGACCGAGCAACGGGAGCTCACCCCGTCATTGCGGGGATTCGAACCGCCAACCTTCTGATCGGCAAGTCCTAGGCTCTGTGTTTAACCCACAGCGCCATCCGCGTCCCTATATCTTTTGTTTAGGAGAACTTTATTTGGTGGACATGCAAGATAACCAAAGCATTCTGGGGAATGATATATACAGTGGCACTTTGTTTCCCAAATGCCCTGGTTCCCTATCACCAAAAACCCGGAAGTGGGTGTTCCGATTTTCAAACATTTTTCAGAAGCCGAACGTCCGACACAACCGTTGGCTATTGTTTCCAGTGCGCCTGCGCCAATCAGAAGCCGCGCCTTGGTTTCTGAACATTTCGGAAGTCAAACGGACTTCCGGAACGGATAAAGTTTGAGAACCAAGGTACCGCTGTATTTGGTGCCATCGAAATTATTCCATCAGGTTTACAGTGGGTTCCCAAATGCTGAAAGCGCAGAAGTGAGTGTTCCGGTTTTCAAATGTTTTTTGGAAGCCGGACATCCAACCCCAGAGTCGGCCACGACTGGACCTAATGGTCAGGGGTCCCTTTACCCAAAAGATAGCGCCTTCTTCTTCCCCCTCTCTCCCTTTTGTATCCCAGCTGCCCATTGTGGCTTCCTCGATTGTGACGCTCTACTTTTTGGAGCTGACGGACCTCTTCAAGCCGGCCAAGGTGGGCTTCCAGTGTTACGACCGGGCCCTTTCCATGCCCTATGTGGAAACCAACGAAGAGATGATCCCATTGCTCATGCTGCTCAGCTTGGCTTTTGCGGCCCCCGCGGCCTCCGTAAGTAGCATTCCGGCCCCTCCTTCCCTCTTGGGTTTTTATTATAGCTATAGTCGGTACAGGAGGCGGCTCTTAATCTGCGGGTCGTGGGTACGGGTCCCACACTGGACAAAAGATTCCTGCTTTCTCCAGCTCCTGCGAAAATAGGGACGTCCTATAATTGCATCCCCTCCAACGTTTCTCCCCTGAAAATAGGGACGCCCTATTCCATCCCCTCCAACGTTCCTCCCCTGAGAATAGGGACGTCCTATTCCATCCCCTCCAACGTTCCTCCCCTGAAAATAGGGACGTCCTATTCCATCCCCTCCAATATTTCCCCAGTGAAAAGAGGGACGTCCTATTCCTTCCCCTCCAATGTTTCTCCCCTGAAAATAGGGACGTCCTATTCCATCCCCTCCAATATTTCCCCAGTGAAAAGAGGGACGTCCTATTCCTTCCCCTCCAACGTTCCTCCCCTGAAAATAGGGACGTCCTATTCCATCCCTTCCAGCGTTTCTCTTGTGAAAATAGGGACGTCCTATTCCATCCCCTCCAACGTTTCTCTTGTGAAAATAGGGACGTCCTATTCCATCCCCTCCAACGTTTCTCTTGTGAAAATAGGGACGTCCTATTCCTTCCCCTCCAACGTTTCTCTTGTGAAAATAGGGACGTCCTATTCCTTCCCCTCCAACGTTTCTCCCCTGAAAATAGGGACATCCTATTCCATCCCCTCCCATCCCTTGTCAACAAGCCCCGCCCACCTGGGCGGAGAAGTCACCGGGAGGGGAGGGGCTTGCTCTGACCCCGCCCTCTTCCCTCCCTCCCTCTCAGATCATGGTGGGCGAAGGCATCATCTACTGCTTGCAATCCAACGTCAAAGGCCGCTCCAGCTCTGAGGGCAGCATCAACGCCGGCGGCTGCAATTTCAACTCCTTCCTCCGCAGGACGGTCCGGTTCGTGGGTAAGTTCGTCCCCAACCTCTGGTAAAAGGTAAAGGGACCCCTGACCGTTAGGTCCAGTCGTGGCCGACTCTGGGGTTGTGGCACTCATCTCGCTTTACTGGCCGAGGGAGCCGGCGTACAGCTTCCGGGTCATGTGTCCAGCAGGACTAAGCCGCTTCTGGCGAACCAGAGCAGCGAATGGAAACGCCATTTACCTTCCCGATGGAGCGGTACCTATTGATCTACTTGCACTTTGACGTGCTTTCAAACTGCTAGGTTGGCAGGAGCAGGGACCGAGCAACGGGAGCTCACCCCGTCGTTGCAGGGATTCGAACCGCTGACCTTCTGATCGGCAAGTCCTAGGCTCTGTGGTTTAACCCACAGTGCCACCCGCGTCCTTCTCCCCATCCTCTGAGCCCCCCCCCCAACCCCACTTTTCAGGGCATACACAGGGCAGAGACTGTCCGGCGGTCCCTTCTCATTCAGCCTTGCGAAAAAGAAAAGCACAAAATTCTTAGCATCCTCCTTATGCCCCAAAAGCAGAAAATTCCGTAGCTCAGTGGCAAACCATCTGCTTCCTTTTTCCCCCCCTTTGCCAAATCATTTTGATTGATTTTCCAAATCTTAACCAATCAACCAAAACCAATTCAATACAGTTTTTCAACATTCCCACACTCAGTCCAAAATTTCCTCTTTTTGTGCCTCTTGCTGCCGGAGTTATTTCTAATTCGCGTTTCATTCTCCGTCGTTATTCTTAGCGGGGATTTTGGTTTGTTATTTTTAACCTATTATCCTTACCCATCTGCTATCTGTTTGCCAGTTCCTGCATGTGCTATATTTTAACACTTCCGAAAGCTGTGGTTGCGCGTGAAATTGCAGTTGGTCGATAATTATTATTCCTAAAATAAACCCCCTTCCTTCTGCGTGCACGAGAACCTAATAGTTTGCATTCATTAGATGGTCTCCCTTTGCTTCTTAATTAAGCACGGTCCGCTTTGTCCAAGAGTCTTCCAGCCCAAATCCACTCTAATTTCCAGTCCATTTATCTCCTTCCTCCTCTCATGGTCTATTGTCCATTTCAAAACAGGAATTTTAATGACATCCACCTTATTGTAGCACCGGCTTTGCACGCAGGAGATACCAGGTTTTGATCCCCGATGAGCATGGCTGAGAGTGGAGGGCTGGGGCAATAAGAACACAGAGAGCTGATTTACGTCTCAGCTAAACAAGCTCTCGCTTAGGGCCCCACTCTCTTGGGGCCCCCCCAAAAAATTAAAGGAAAAAAACACCTGGATGTACATTTCCAAAATATAATAAACAAATAAAATAAAACCTACATACAGCAAGTGTTTTGTGTTGTGTAGGCTCCTCGGGTGTAAGTCATGGGCCCTGCCTGCTCCCTAAAATATGTCTGGTTTGCTCCTTTCTATATATAGGGTGCCTACATTCTGCACCCTATATGGGTGCAGGTGGCGTGGGTGGGGCTGTGGGTTAAACCACAGAGCCTAGGGCTTGCCGATCAGAAGGTCGGTGGTTCAAATCCCCGCAATGACGGGGTGAGCTCCCGTTGCTCGGTCCCTGCTCCTGCTCACCTAGCAGTTCGAAAGCACATCAAAATGCAAGTAGATAAATAGGTACCGCTCCGGCAGGAAGGTCAACGGCGTTTCCGTGCGCTGCTCTGGTTCGCCAGAAGCGGCTTAGTCCTGCTGGCCACATGACCCGGAAGCTGTACGCCGGCTCCCTCGGCCAGTAAAGCGAGATGAGCGCCGCAACCCCAGAGTCGGCCACGACTGGACCTAATGGTCAGGGGTCCCTTTACCTTTATTAATATACTTCTTCTTAATGGCATTTTAGTCCCACAATGACTTTGACAAAACACACCTTTTGTGATGTGCAAATGTCTTGAGATACCTATTCAGTCCATCAGTCACCATATACCATATATTCAACACACACAAAACAGTGACCATTTGTTGTGGACAAAGGACAGCTGGACACAGAAAGGGCCCCATTCCCTTCAGGGGCTAAATCTGGCCCTGTCTGCGGTCCTTGCTTGGCACTAGAAACGGGTCTGGAGAGCTGGGTAAGGACCCCAACCCCAGGCCGGCGGTTTCTCTGCCCCTGGGCTCCATCCCAGCGGAAAACAAATCTCTAATATCCCGGCAGGTGTGCACGTTTTTGGTCTCTGCGCCACGGCCCTCGTGACGGACGTGATCCAGCTGGCCACGGGATACCACGCCCCGTTCTTCCTGACGGTCTGCAAGCCCAACTACACCCTTCTGGGAATCTCCTGCGACGCCAATCCGTACATCACGCAGGATATCTGTTCGGGGCAAGACCAGCACGCCATCCTTTCGGCCAGGTGAGGCCGGGACGCTGTTCCAAAATTTGGTGGTGACCGGGGTAATATATTAATAATGGCGAAAATGTACAAAACGGGAAACAAAAGTTTGTTGGAAATGTAAAAATAAAGATGGGGACCTTTATCATATGTGGTGGCTATGCGAGAAAATGAAAAGATTTTGGAACCTGATATATAATGAATTAAAGAAACTTTTTAGATACACCTTCCAAAGAAAAACGGAGGCATTCCTATTAGGGATAATAGGGGATGAAATAAAAAAAGAAGACCATAAGTTATTTCAATATGCAATGGTGGCAGCTAGGCTGCTTGTAGCACAAAAATGGAAGTCATCAGAGATTCCAACAGTCATGGAATGGCGGGCAAAACTTTTTGAATATTCTGAATTAGCAATAATGACAAATAAAATTCGACACCAAAAAGGGTCAAAGTTCACAGAAGAATGGAGTAAATTTGTGACATATATAGCATTGAACTGTAGAAATTTAAGAACTACAGCAGGACTAGGATAATTCCTGTGACGTGTGTAGAAAAGCAAAAGAAACTGTAAGAGGAGATGTGCGTTATGAAAACCGCAACTGGGAGGGAAGGAAGTCGAGGCGTGATTTAGCGCAATGTAAATAAGATGACATTAAGAATTAATGTAAAGATTGGGTTTTTGTGTGTGTTTTTTTGGGAAATGACAATAAAAAGTATTTTTTAAAAAATTCGGTGGTGACCGCCGCCCGCTGGAGCTAAGCGGGGCCCCCCGAATCGCCCCCACTCTGCACCCCAGTTTGCAGCAATTGTTCCTGTATGACATTTCCTTTTTTTCTTTTCCTTTCCCCAGGAAAACCTTCCCCTCCCAGCACGCCACGCTCTCCGCGTTTGCCGCCGTCTACGTGTCGGTGAGTCCCCGGTCCCCGTCCGCGATCCGCTGGCTGGCTGATCAGAACTGGCTGCTGATTCCTGGGTGGGGTTGAGTACAGTGGTACCTCAGGTTACATATGCTTCAGCTTACAGACTCCGCTAGCCCAGAAATGGTGCTTCAGGTTAAGAACTTTGCTTCAGGATGAGAACAGAAATCGTGCAATGGCAGTGCGGCGGCAGCAGGAGGCCCCATCAGCTAAAGTGGTGCTTCAGGTTAAGAATAGTTTCAGGTTAAGAACGGACCTCCGGAACGAATTAAGTACTTAACCCGAGGTACCACTGTATTGGCCTGCAACAAGGCCCCCACCCCAATCTGCTTCGGTTTCAAGCCTTCGCAGCAAGGGTGGCGAATTTTGCAATCTTTAAAATTGCGTTCTTGTTTTTTAAAATGTTTTTATTAGCAATTTCAACATAACATATCATATTCATTATTTTCCCCCTTTTTTCATCACCCCCCTCAAACCCTCCCCCAGAGACTTCCCTCAGTTTCTCTCTCTGATTTCTCAGCACATCTTATTCTCTGCATGTTATAAAATTAGACAAATCCTTACATTATCTGTCTACCGTGTCATCAGTCAATAAATCTGTGCATGCTTATTCAGAACCTGCCAATCCATTTTGTTGTCTTTCTAAGTAATTTGTGAAAAGTTCCCATTCTTCTTTAAAGTCACAGTTGTCCTTGTCCCGCAGTTTGTATGTCAAATTAGCCAGTTCTGCGTAGTTCATCCATTTATCTTGCCACTGTTCTTTTGTCGGGGTTTCCCCTTAGCTGTGCTCCCCCAACGGGAGCCCACAGCCATGCCCCCAATGAGTCCATAGCATCTCCGCCCCCCATCTTTCATCCCAGACGCCGGGGTCCAGCTCCCAGGGTCTTCTGGCAGAAGTTAAGTTACAGGGAACCAGGCACAGGGCCTTCTTGGTGGTGGCACCCGCCCTGTGGAACACCCTCAAGGAGATAAATAACTACCTATAATAATAATAATTTATTATTTATACCCCGCCCATCTGGCTGTGTCTCCCCAGCCACTCTGGGCGGCTCCCAATCAAATGTTAAAAACAGCACAGCATTAAATATTAAAAACTTCCCTGAACAGGGCTGCCTTCAGATGTCTTTTAAAGATAGGATAGCTGCTTATTTCCTTCACATCTGAAGGGAGGGTATTCCACAGGGCAGGCACCACCACCGAGAAGGCCCTCTGCCTGGTTCCCTGTAGCTTTGCTTCTCGCAGAGAGGGAACCGCCAGAAGGCCCTCGGCGCTGGAACTCAGTGTCCGGGCTGAGCGATGGGGGTGGAGACTCTCCTTCAGGTATACTGGACCAAGGATGTTTAGGGCTTTCAAGGTCAGCACCAATGCTTTGAATTGTGCTCGGAAACGTACTGGGAGCCAATGCAGATCTCTCAGGATCGGTGTTATGTGGTCCCGGCGGCCACTCCCAGTCCCCAGTCTAGCTGCCGCATTCTGGATTAATTGCAGTTTCTGGGTCACCTTCACAGGTAGCCCCACATAGAGCGCATTGCAGTAGTCCAAGCAGGAGATAACCAGAGCATGCACTACTCTGGCCAGACAGACCGTGGGCAGGGAGGGTCTCATCCTGTGTACCAGATGGAGCTGACAGACAGCTGCCCCGGACACAGAATTGACCTGTGCCTCCATGGCCAGCTGTGAGTCCAGAATGACGCCCAGGTTGCGCACCTGGTCCTTCGGGGGCACAATTGCCCCATTCAGGACCAGGGAGTCCTCCACACCTGCCCGCCTCCTGTCCCCCAAAAACAGTCCTTCTGTCTTGTCAGGATTCAACCTCAATCTGTTAGCCGCCATCCATCCTCCAACCGCCTCCAGGCACTCACAAAAGACCTTCACCGCCTTCACTGGTTCTGATTTAAAGGAGAGGTAGAGCTGGGTGAGCTACCTGACTTTTAGAAGGCATCAGAATTTTTTTTTTATTTAAATGTGATGTTTTATTACGTTTCAAAGAGCGCCTTCACGACCCCCGCCGTCACTCTTTGCAGATGTACTTCAACTCAATCATCTCTGACAGCACCAAACTCCTCAAACCCATCTTGGTCTTCGCCTTCGCCATCGCGGCTGGAATCTGCGGCCTGACGCAGATCACACAGTACCGCAGCCACCCCATCGATGTCTACGTGGGTTTCCTGATCGGGTCCGGCATCGCAGCATACCTGGCAAGTCTCTTCTCCTAATACCCCTTTCCTGGACTTTGGGGGGGACACGGGGGTTGGGGGCACCTCGCTGAAGCTCAAGAGGTCTGCGGCGAGTCGGGGCCCGGGTGGGCGAACACGTGGGAATGTTCAGGGAGACAGGAGAGGATATATTGTTTATTAATATCCTTTCTAATTTGCTCTGGCAAGTTCTATATTACAGGGGCCGGCAAACATTTTCAGCAGGGGGCCGGTCCACCGTCCCTCCGACCTTGTGGGGGGCTGGACTATATTTTGGAAAAAAATAATAATAATGAACAAATTCCTATGCCCCACAAATAACCCAGAGATGCATTTTAAATAAAGGGACACATTCTACTCATGTAAAAACCACACTGATTCCTGGACCGTCCGCGGGCCAGAATGAGAAGGCGATTGGGCCGGATCCGGCCCCCGGGTCTTAGGTTGCCTACCCATGCCCTATAGAGTCCTTAAGTGGCTTCCCTATCGGTAGGAGGAAACAACAGAGGCCACGCAGACGACACAAAAGGAAAGAGGGATGAGGAGGGATGAGGGAACCGAGCGAGCTCAGGCTCCAACTCTTCAACTTGTCGTTTCTGCAACCTCCAGATGTAATATCTGGTTAGACAATGTGAGAAACGTGAGGCTGGACCAGGCAGATCTTCCCTACGAGTTATTTAGGAAATAGAGGACATCTTTGCATGCTCTTGTTATAAGAAAAAACCTGCTCCTTTTCCTTTATGGGGTACCCAAGAGCCCGTCTAGAGTCCTTAAGTGGCTTCCCTATTGGTAGGAGGAAATAATAGAGGCCAAGCAGAGAATATTGAGAAGCAAAGCAGCTAGTAAGCCTGATCTTTATGTTCGCGGCACCGGAAATCGCTTCTGCACATGCCCAGACACCAAAAATTTAGATAGAAAGATAGACAGACAGATAGTGTTTTGGAAATGTACATCCAGTTTTTCCCCCCCCCTTTAATTTTTTTGGGGAGCCCCCAAGAGAGTGGCGCCCTAAGCTGTAGCTTGTTTAGCTTAGACGTAAATCCAGCACCGGTCTTTAACACCTGCCATCTCCTGCCCCCAAACAGGCCTACCACGCCGTGGGCAACTTCCGCGCTCCGGCCGAGAAGGCCCCGTTCAACCCCCCCGCCAAGGACGCTTTGCGGGCCCTGACCCAGCGGGGCCATGACTCGGTCTACCACCAGAACAAGTCGGTCAGCACCGATGAGCTGAACCCGCAGACCCGGCTGGAGGGCATCAACCGTCAGGTCCAGCGCGAGAAGAACTCCCTGGGCAGCCTGAAGCGAGCCAGCGTCGACGTGGACCTCCTGGCCCCCCGCAGCCCCATGGGCAAGGAGAACATGGTCACTTTCAGCAATACGCTGCCGAGGGTCAACACGCCCTCGATGGACGACCCCGCTCGTCGCCACATGACCATCCACGTCCCTGTGGACGCCTCGCGGTCCAAGCAGCTGATCACCGAATGGAAGCAAAAGTCCGTCGAAGGCCGGGGGATGACCTTGGCCGAGGAAGTGGCCCGGCGGGTCGGCTCTGATTGCTTGGTCGGAGAGGACGACGAACATATCCCGCCGTCGCTGTACCCCACTGTCCAGGCCCGGACGGCCGAGCGCGCCGCCATGGGGCCCCGGGTCCTCATCCAGCCGAGACCCGGAGCGACCCAGCTGGTCCACATCCCCGAGGAAAGCCAGGCGAACGCAGGGGCCAACATTTCGCCCAAGAGCAGCTCGGCCGTGCGGGCGAAATGGATGATGATGGCCGAGAAAGGGTCAGCGTCACAGAGAGTGGCCAACCCGCCGCGCCTGATGCAGGTCATCGCCATGTCCAAGCAGCCAGGGATGGTTTCGGTGACGCCCAAACATTCGGAGACGTCTTCGTCGTCCACCAGCTCCGATTCCTCGCAGTACCGGTCGCCATCGGAACGGGACAGCTCCAGCGTCGTCACCATCGACGCCCACGCCCCGCACCATCCGGTCGTGCACCTGTCGTCCGGGAACGGGCCGTGGGAATGGAAAGCCACGCAGAAAGTGCCGGACGGGACGGACGCTTACGAGCTGAACGACATGGCCAAGGATTTCCGTGGCTTCCGGCCGGCCAAGAGCGCCGGCGTCTCTCCGGGGTCGTCGGTCAGCGACATCGAACAAGACGAGCCGCGGTACGGCAGCGTGGCCACCATCAACGTGGCGGCAGGAGTGGGGGGCGGCGAGACCAGCCCGGCGGAAAACATGCTGGGGGGGCCCAGCCGTGAGTCGACTCTGCGCCGCAAGCCGACGAGCCTGACGGTCGGAGAGAAGGATGGCCAGGCGGAGGAGACAGAAAACTTCTACAAGAAGATGCAAGTTAACCGGCGGTTCAAAGACTAGGTCCGACCTGCGGGGCCGAAACAGGATGGGGACGATTCCTCCCATTTCCAAAAATAAAATTGATTTCGGTCGCCGTCTCCGTGGCAAAGATCTCCGTTTACCGAGCATCGAACAGCGGGGATCCGGTGTCTACTTTAGGGAAGCTCTGTGGACCAAATTTTGGGGATTCTCTGCTGTTTTTTAGCCAAGGAATTGCCTGTCCCTCTTCTGGATTATCGCGGGGACATTGAGGGACCGCTGAAGGGATTGTTTTTTAAATACCCGACAAATTACCGGTGCTGTTGATTTTCAGGACAAGTGTAATTTATTCGTAACTACTGATTGTAAAGCTGGCCAAAGCGGGGAGGCTGGCATGGGGTGGTTTAAACATTATGGAAGGGACGCAGAACTGTACCCCTTGGTATGATCTCCCATCGCCCTGGAGCCTGTGCGTTTTTGCAAAATGGGAGGGTGTGTCGTATTTGGAAAGTAAAGGTGGGCGGGTAATTTAGCTTGCAAGATGACGCCTCGGATGATTCGGAGACGTTTTCTTTGTCTCCAATGCAAGCAGGGAGGGAATCTGTAAATACCTGGGGTGCCCAAAGGAGACAGAAGAGGAGGAGATGATAAAAGTCTTGGAAAAAGATAGGATGTCTGACTAGGGTGCCGGAGAAACAGAAGAGTCTGTCGTGTCCGTTCTTCCCTGCAGCGGCCAAGGAGATTATAATAATAATTTATTATTTGTACCCCGCCCATCTGGCTGGATTTCTCCAGATTATACCAGGAGGCGACAAATGTGGTTTACCCGAAGCATTTAGTCTCTGGAGATAGACTGCCCCTGTCCTTGGGGGCTCTGGCTGTTGGCAGGCCCCCCAGCGAGCATCAGAAGCTATCAGGCCGATACGTTTTGTTTGGGGCAGGCGAAGGGGGCATTCTTGGGGTGCTGGATTCTGCCCTCCCCCCAAAATTGGCACAAAGCGAAGGCAGAACTAGTGGGATTGGGGAGACCCTGGTTGCCCTGTCTGGAGAAAAACGGCGGCCTTTATTAGTCAAGAGGCTTCTGGAACAGATTCCGTTGTGCCCCTAAGGATGTGATGGGGAGATATGCGTGTTATGAGGGTTTATAGCGTGGCATGGCTCAGTGGTTGGAGTAGGGAAGGAATGTAAAATGTATAGCCATATGGGGGGGCGCCTTTGGGGTTGTAGAGGGGGTGGCACCCCCTCTTCGCATGAGATGGGTTTATTAACTTGGGGGGCGGGATGGGGAGGGAGGAATGGGGCTCGATTTCGAGATGCAACGCTACCGAGACGTCAAAATTGGAAGTTACTACCGTAAGATCCAGTATTGCTATAGACCAGGTTTCCTCAAACTCAGCCCTCCAGATGTTTTGGACTACAATTCCCATCATCCCTGACCACCGGTCCTGCTAGTTGGGATCATGGGAGTTGTAGTTCCAAAACATCTGGAGGGCTGAGTTTGACGAAGCCTGCTATGGACAAGCAGATGTTTCCTTAACTAGGTTCCAGATGTTCTTACACTCCAACTCCCATCGGTAGGAGCCGATGGGATCCGGAGTCCAGCAATATCCAAAAGGGCGTCAGGTTAAGAAGGCTGGTTTAGGAAGTTTAAGTAAACCAGGAATGCCCTCGCTGCCGAAAATTGAATACCCCTTTCATGATTACACGTTATTTATCCTCTTCCTGCTCACGAAAAGGGAGTTTCCTGAAAGAGGAAGTAGTCCTGGTTTCTGCCAATTTGACGGAATTGCATTTTTAAGCAAGCGCCTAATCGTTCCTAACGGAAAAGGCTGCCCTTTCTATGGACTTTGTTGTTAGGAAAGCTTCTGGGCAGACCCCCGCAAGGGTCCCTATTTTCCAGGGAAAGTCCTGGACATACAAAAGAGGTCTTAGTTTCTGATTTGATCCCATAATGTCCTCCTTTTGCTTAGGACGTCCCTATTTTCAAGGGAGAAACATTGGAGGGGATGGAATAGGACATCTGTATTTTCAGAGGAGAAACGTTGGAGGGGATGGAATAGGACGTTCCTATTTTCACGGGAGTAACGTTGGAGGGGATGGAATAGGACGTCCCTATTTTCACGGGAGAAACGTTGGAGGGGATGGAATAGGACGTCCCTATTTTCACGGGAGAAACGTTGGAGGGGATGGAATAGGACGTCCCTATTTTCAGGGGAGAAACGTTGGAGGGGTGGAATAGGACGTCCCTATTTTCAGGGGAGAAACGTTGGAGGGATGGAATAGGACGTCCCTATTTTCAGGGGAGAAACGTTGGAGGGTATGGAATAGGACGTCCCTATTTTCAGGGGAGAAACGTTGGAGGGGATGGAATAGGACGTCCCTCTTTTCACGGGAGAAACGTTGGAGGGGATGGAATAGGACGTCCCTCTTTTCACGGGAGAAACGTTGGAGGGGATGTAACTTAGGAGCTATACCCAGCTAAGCTATACTGAGACTCAAGCATTGAAATGAGTTGGCCTTTTAGTCCTACCCATTCATTTCAATGGGTCTCAGTAGGACTTAGTCTGTGATGAATCCTATATATATATATATATAGTTTGGGGTAGGTGGACGGGAAGACTACCTAGTATTGTGGAGGTCTCCCCAAAAGGCCTCCGGGAATTCTGGGCCTCTGTTTCCATAGCGACGCCGGCTGGGTACCCGAGCCCTGTGTGCAGGATCCGCCGTCTTAAGGGGAATGTTGGCATGGATAGAAGCGTTTATGTCTGCGAGGAAGGAATGTATAACGTTATGGGAAGATGATAGGGGGGCTGTGGTTTTAATAGGGCCCCCCAACAAATGGCATGGGGAAGTGGTTAGGTAGGAAAGGGGGGGTCCTTTTTTGAATGGGGAAGCATGGGGGGAGAAATGGGCACAAGGTGGACGTTAAAGGCATTTATAAGGTTCCTCTCTCCCTGGTACTTTCAAGGAGCAAGAAGATGCAGATTTGAGTTTAATTGGCACGTGCCAATTTAAATGCGCTGCTGCAAACCTCCATGGTCCCACCGGTGCAATGTAATGCATCCACCAGTCCTGTGAACAATTTTTAATATATATATTCCGTATTTTTTGCCCTATAAGACTCACTTTTTCCCTCCTAAAAAGTAAGGGGAAATGTGTGTGCATCTTAGGGAGCGAATGCAGACTGAACAGCTATCCCAGAAGCCAGAACAGCAAGAGGCATTGCTGCTTTCGCTGCGCAGCGATCCCTCTTGCTGTTCTGGCTTCTGGGATTCAGAATATTTTTTTCTCGTTTTCCTCCTCCAAAAACTAGGTGCGTCTTGTAGTCTGGTGCGTCTTATAGAGCGAAAAATACGGTAAATGGGGGGCAGAAACAGGAGACTTGGAGCCCACCCCTTAAGAACGACCCCTGCAATTCAGGCGTCAGGTGGGTCGTTACCTTGCTCTGTCACCGAGAAATAAAAATTAATCATGGACCGATTTCCAAGTGTGTGGTTTTGAGAGCATGGCGGGGTCTGGGGGTGGGAACTGTGCTTTCTCACTTCCCCAATCAGAGCCTGCTTGGGTATAGCTGCTGCTGCAGCCAGAGTGCTTTACAGAGGCTGCAAATCAACCGCTCGCGAAGAACAGGCGGTGTGTGTTAATAATAATTCATCGAGATGAGCTAAGGGCCTGGCGTCTTTCCAGATCGAGGCAGCACCCCAAGTCACAATCCACACTCGGCACACATCTCTTCATCTTCTTCGGCAATCCCTCATAGCCGAGTAAGATTGTCTTCCATAAACACGGTTTTAACAGTGAATCCGTAAGTGACTGTGGAGGCCAGTTCTGGATCCACACGTCCTTCCACAGTGGGTACAGAGGTTTCCAGGCAGGAGTTGATCCCGGTGAGGGTTTGACAAGCGTGCCTTCCTCTTAGCACGTTTCTCCCTTGCGTCCTGAGTTCGAGTGTCTTCAAAGCCCACGACACCTTTGGTAAAGGCTGTTCTCCAACTGGAGCGCTTGCAGGCCAGCGTTTCCCAGTTGTCAATGTTTATACTATATTTTTAAAGACTTGGCTTGAGAGAGTCTTTGAACCTCTTTTGTTGACCACCAGCATTACGCTTTCCATTTTTAAGTTCGGAATAGAGCAGTTGCTTTGGAAGACGATATTCAGGCATCCGCACAACATGACCAGTCCAACAAAGTTGATGTTGAAGAATCATCACTTCGACACTGGAGATCTTTGCTTCTTCCAGGACACTGGCATTACTTCGCCTGTCTTCCCAAGTGGTGTGTAAAATATTTCGGAGACACCGTTGATGGAATCTTTCGAAGAGTTGCAGATGGTGTTTATAAGCGGTCCACGTTTCACAAGCATGCAGTAAAGTTGGTAGTACAATAGCTTCCTAAAGGAGCAATTTGGTTTCCCTACAAATGTCACTTATGCACAGCTACACAGAGCAATCTGAAAGCCAGATTGCATCATCCCGGTGGGGAATCCCAGGCCATTCTGCAACCATCTCTCTCTCTGCTTTGCTGTCTCCCGGGAGTTTGGCAAGAAAAAACACTTTCGCCCTTTGCGATTTACTCCTTCCAAAGCAGCTAAGCCTTTAATATCTCCTCGTTGAAGCTCTCTCTTTTTATCTGGGCGCACAAAGCTAATTAGAGCTCAGCTTGGCGGCGAGGAAAAAAACACCAGAATCCTCTTTTCCCCAGAAACGATAATGCCTTCCTTCTCGCTTCTGTGCAGAGGAAATGGCCAAATCTGCAATATCCGGCTGGATATTCTGAGAAGGGGATTTCCCCCCCACACCCCACACACACAGAAACAACTCGTAAAAATTCAGAACCAAAAGGAGTTGGGATTCTGCAAATCCACAACAGGACTTTCAGGGGGACACACAAAATCTTCCTTTATTTCATTGTCCGCTGGGAGTTGCTAAGAGAACTCCTCATTCCTCTTTGCAGAGCTACAATTTCCAGGTTTCCCTTCAAACCTTCCAGAGTATTTGGTGTCAGGAGCTGAGAAGGATCAACTTATATATTTAGCAAGTCAACATCTGGCCAGGGTGTGTGTTGGGATTAACTACGAATAGCTTCAGCCACCTGCCTCTGTTCCTCTCGATTCAGGCCCTCTGCCGCCAAAGATGCCATTATTTTTCAAATTTTGTATACCGCCCGGTGTTAAAAAAGGACACAGGGCAGTTGACGGTGAAGGGCGCCACCGGCATAAGTGTCAACACATCGCCTAGCGTTCATGCAAAAAATAGTAATAATTCAGCAATGCACAATATCATCCCCGCAGAAATAAACTCCACAACCTCTGCACAAGGCGGAGGGGTTGTTATGCCGCTAAGCCCTACTCAGAGTAGACCTGCTGAAATGGACAGATCGGAATCGGAGCATGCCTTTGTTTCCAGGTCTTAATCGGGCACCACTGTAAGACGTAGCCAAGTAACTCCAGGAAAATAAGGAAGAGGGGGCGCTTTTGCCTGGCTGATGGCACAGTGCCTCTTGCTACTTAGGTGGAGGATAATAAAATAATAACTTATAACAATAATAATTTATTATTCATACCCCGCCCACCTGGCTGGCTTTCCCCAGCCACTCTGGGCGGCTCCCAACAGATTAAAAACACAGTAAAACATCAAACGTTAAAAAACTTCCCAAAACAGGGCTGCCTGCAGATGTTTTCTAAAGTCGGATAATTGTTTATTTCCTTGACATCTGGTGAGAGGGCGTTCCACAGGGCGGGTGCCACCACTGAGAAGGCCCTCTGCCTGGTTCCCTGGAACCTCGCTTCTCGCAGGGAGGGAACCGCCAGAAGGCCCTCGGGAGATGGACCCAGGTGTCCGGGGTGGAGATGCTGCTTCAGGTATACTGGGCCGAGGCCATTTAGGGCTTCAAAGGTCAGCACCAACACTTTGAATTGTGCTCGGAAACATCCTGGGAGCCAATGCAGGTCTTTCAGGACCGGTGTTATGTGGTCTTGGCAGCCGCTCCCAGTCCCCAGTCTGGCCACCGCGTTCTGGATTAGTTGCAGTTTTTGGGTCATCTTCAAGGGTAGCCCCATGGAGAGCACATGGCAGTAGTCCAAGCGGGAGATAACCTAAGGCATGAGTAGGCAAACTAAGGCCCAGGGGCCAGATCCAGCCCAATCGCCTTCTAAATACAGCCCACGGACGATCCTGGAATCAGCGTGCAACAGTTCAATAAAGATCAGACTTACTCGCTGCTTTGCTTTTCAATATTCTCTGCTTGGCCTCTGTTATTTTCTCCTACCAATAGGGAACCCACTTAAGGACTCTAGACGTGCTCAGATACCCCATAAGGGAAAAGGAGCAGATTTTTTCTTATAACAAGCGCATGCAAAGATGTCCTCTATTTCCTAAATAACTCGTCAGAAAGATCTCCCTAGTCCAGCCTCACATTTCTCACATTGCATAACCAGATATTACATCTGGAGATTGCAAAAACGACAAGTTGAAGAGTTGGAGCCTGAGCTCGCTCGGTTTCCTCTTCCCTCCTCGTCCCTCTTTCCTCTTGTGTCGTCTGCTTGGCCTCTGTCGTTTCCTCCTACCGATAGGAGGAACTCTAGACGGGCTCTTGGATACACCATAAGGGAAAAGGAGCAGGTTTTCCCCCCATAACGTAATAATAATAATCACTCCGTTTAGACAGGATGAACAAATTCTATGTGCAAGAGTGACTAATGCGCCAGTCTCCTCCTGATCTGACACGGAGATGGAAGAGGTTAGGGAAGGAGGGAGCGAGTATCACCCACACTAAATGCTAAATGCGGGCTCCCAGAGAGGGGTGGGGGGCGGACGGATGGGGTTGCCATGGGAAACAAGAGAGAGCGTGGGAGAAAAAGAGGGATTTTGAAAGCAGAGGGGGGTGGAAAGCGAATAGTTCTGAGGTCATGGGGCCCACAACGCCCGCTGAGGTCTTCTAATAGGGGAGGGGGCGGAATAGATGAAAAGCAGGGGGGTTTTTTTGGGGGGGGAAAGAGGTGTCCCCCCCAGCAACGTCCCCCCGCCTCGCTTTTCCCACATCGCATGCATGCCGTTCTCACAACAACTCCCTTGCGATGAAGACAGATGCGCTCCCTCGGTGGCTGGCCTCGCCGTTGCTGCGGCAACGGGTACCGCTCCTCGGAGCATCTCACCCCTCGCCATCATCACTATTGCTGCAAACATCAGGCTTTTCTGTCTCCCCTTCCAAGAGATTGGGTGCTACCAGGACACCCCAAGCAGCTCGGGTTGGGGAGCCAAGCTAGAAATTTAATGAAATTTCATTTCCATTTTGACATATAATTCAGTTTCCAAACAGGTCGTCAAACTCTGCCAGGAACAATCCGCAGATCTTTTCTTTTAAAAAAACAAAACGTTTAAAAATTAAATTTCAAGAAAGAAGTATTCCACATATACGCTCCAGTAAATTTTGGGTTTTTGGGGAAACGAGTGGCGCTGTGGGTTAAACCACAGAGCCTAGGACTTGCTGATCAGAAGGTTGGCGGTTCAAATCCCCGTGACAGGGTGAGCTCCCATTGCTCGGTCCCTGCTCCTGCCCATCTAGCAGTTCGAAAGCACGTGAAAGTGCAAGTAGATAAATAGGTACCACTCTGGCGGGAAGGTAAACGGCGTTTCCGTGCGCTGCTCTGGTTCGCCAGAAGCGGCTCAGTCCTGCTGGCCACATGACCCGGAAGCTGTACGCCAGCTCCCTCGGCCAGGAAAGCGAGATGAGCGCCGCAACCACAGAGTTGGCCACGACTGGACCCAATGGTCAGGGGTCCCTTTACCTTTAAGTTTTGTTTTCGACTTCCCGTTCCGTGGCGATTTAGGAGCTTAGGGCCTCATCAAACCTAAATCTGGCCCTGCCTGCCTACCTTGCAGGGTCGCTCTGAGGGTCAATCAGGGACTGTGTGTGGGGAGAACATGGCTGACCCTGCCAGCCTGAAAACAAAGGAAAAAGGACATTTCTCCCATCCTCAGGCTTACCAGATGGCAGGAAGTGTCCTTCATCGGAAGCTTTTGATGCACTATGCCAAAAGATCAATTTATTACCAATGTTCTACTTGTTCTGCACCCCAGAGGAAGGGGGGGTGTCCTTGCATGAAAAAGCATGGTGGAAAGGGTCTTGAGAGGGAGGGAGAAGTTCCCAGGCAAATGTTGTTGTCGTTTAGTGGTGTCCGACTCTCTGACCCCCTGGACCAGAGCACGCCAGGCCCTCCTGTCTTCCACTGCCTCCCGCAGTTTGGTCAAACTCATGCTGGTAGCTTCCAGAACACTGTCCCACCATCTCGTCCTCCATCGTCCCCTTCTCCTTGTGCCCTCCATCCTTCCCAACATCAGGGTCTTTTCCAGGGAGTCTTCTCTTCTCATGAGGTGGCCAAAGTCTTGGAGCCTCAGCTTCAGGATCTGTCCTTCCAGTGAGCACTCAGGGCTGATTTCCTTCAGAATGGAGAGGTTTGATCTTCTTGCAGTCCATGGGACTCTCAAGAGTCTCCTCCAGCACCAGAATTCAAAAGCATCAATTGTTCGGCCATCAGCCTTCTTGATGGTCCAGCTCTCACTTCCATACATCACTACTGGGAAAACCAGAGCTTGAACTATACGGACCTTTGTTGGCAAGGTGATGTCTCTGCTTTTTTAAGATGCAGGTAAATGTTAGGATATACTAAATGCAACAAAAGGGCCTCATTTTCTCTCCCCCTCCCCTTTGGTTTCCTTAACTATTCTTGCTCCGTAGACCAGTCTGATCCTTTTGGTATTTTGCGTTAATTTTCAATTAAAATATCCCCACCACCCAAAAAAAATTGCATATGCAGGGCAAGACACACAGGTTCCAAGTTTGATTTTACTGTTTACTATTCGATTCTAATGGGCTATTGAATATGGCTTCATTTCATATCGTCTGCTTATTGTAAAGTTATGGCGACTTCTTATATTGGATCCGATTGCTACTATTAAGTGTTCGACGTGTTATTAGGTTTTCGTGTGTTGGAAGATGCTCAGAGTGGCTGGGGGATAAAATATATTATTGTTGTTGGCTTTCGAACACTTGGGCCAGTGGCAACCAATATAGATATCTGAGCCCAAGCGTTATGTCTCCCCCCTCTCTGTCCATTGCTGGCATGTGCCCCCCAGGTAGCTAAAAAAGACCCCCCCTCCAGGCCCTTTCTGCAGACACCAAAATATGTGGTTTGTGACTTTTTTGACATAAAGGCAGCTTATGTTCCTTGCTGGAGATCCCCCTCCCCAATCCAGCGAGAGCATCTTTTTGCAAAGGCTCGTTTATAGCTCCCCCCAAAAAACATTTGATGCACTTTCTATGGCAACAGAGGACTTTGCTGTCCCGGGAAAGAGCTTGCTGGGAGAGAGAGAAAAACAAAGACAGGAATACAATAGCACTCCCCCCCCCCACTCCCTTTGTGCTTTTTCCCACTGGGGTTGCTATAGAGACCCCTGCAATGTGGCCAAAGGCACAATCGCTCCAGACATCAGATAATTAACATTTCATTGCCATGCAGTTTTAAAAAATCTTTAAAATGCAGGACATGCATTTTAATTTTTTTGTTTGGGGAATTTTGCTTGTTTGCAAAAATACATTTTGCACGCAGTGGAGAACCATGGGCTGCATTCCAAACTACTTCTTCGATCCCTCGCAGCAGAGTAAGATTTGTCTTCCATGAACACGGTTTTAGCAGTGAGTCTGTGACTGTGGAGGCCAATTCTGGATCCCCACGTCCTTCCACAGTGGGGACACTGGTTTCCAGGCGGGAGTTGATCCCAGTGAGGGTTTGCCAAGCGTGCCTTCCTCTTGGCACGTTTCTCCCTCGCGTCCTGAGTTCGAGTGTCATCAGAGCTTTTGGTAAAGTTTGTTCTCCAATTGGAGCGCTCGCAGGCCAGTGTTTCCCAGTTGCCGGTGTTTATACTACATTTTTAAAGATCTGCCTTGAGACTGTCTTTAAACCAACCTTACTGTATGCTTGTGAAACATGGACCACTTATAAACGCCATCTCCAACTCCTTGAACGGTTCCATCAATGGTGTCTCCGAAATATTTTACACATCACTTGCGAACTAATGCCAGTGTATAAAGATCTCCAGTGTCGAAGCGATGATTCTTCAACATCAACTTCGTTGAACTGGTCATGTTGTGTGGATGCCTGATTATCGTCTTCCAAAGCAACTACTCTATTCCGAACTTAAAAATGGAAAGCGTAATGCTGGTGGTCAACAAAAGAGGTTGAAAGACTGTCTCAAGGCAAATCTTAAAAAATGTAGTATAAGGCAAATTGATGGACAGGGTTAATACTGATGTGCTACAGCCAACTTTTCCCCATTGAAAGTCGTCTCACTATAGTCTAGCACCTTTCCCTCTTCACCACCAGAAACTTAAAAAAAAAAGAGATGTGTTTAAGACTTGCAGAGTTCCCCCATCCCCAAGGAAGCATGGAAATAAATAATAATAATAATAATAATAATAATAATAATAGGTGCATAAAATGGGAGGCAGCTGGAATTATATTAGGAGGAAGGGGAGTTGAGCATAAAACAAAAGAGAACAAAACAAAAAAAGGCACAATAATAAAAAGTAGGAAAGAAACAGAAGCAAAGAATACAGAAGACATTTATTGAGAGCCAAAATAAAAAGAAGTACAGATAAGCCAATCGACTGCTTTCTACAATCCAAACAAGAAAAATAAGTAATGGGCTACAGAAGAAAAAGTACTACGTTCAGTATAGAATAGTTTTAATTTCTTTTTTCTTTTCTTTTTTTGCATTACATTTTTTTCCCTCGTGAGCCAGGCGATGGAATTTCTGACACGAATGGTAAGCCCTGCCCAGCCCCCAATACTGAACCTTGTAATAAGCTGGTTATCAAAATATACAATACATCTGTTTTACCAAAAAACGTGGGTTCTGCTGCCCCCTCATGTCTTACAACAGGTATAAAAAATTATAAATATTTACACCTTTTTTTCCTCATTACTCACATTTACATGCAAAAAAAAACACAGGATCGAAAAGGAGAAGGGGGGGGGGAACCAGGGGAAAAAGAGGAAAGATGAAACCCCCTTCTCTCCCCCCCACTGCAACCCAGTTAAACTGCTATACGCCTGTGTGCGTCTGAAAACATAGCAACTCAACACACACGGATATAGAAGCCCTCAAAGGTTTGCTGACAGATTCTCAAGCTATTTCTTAAAAAGAAAAAAAACACGTCAGCAGGGAGAGGGGTTGCGATGTCCGAGCAGGCTCCCCCAAGACGCAAAGCACGCTTTTTAAAACATTAAAACGACGCTCGAGATCGTTCTTAACAAAGGTTAGCATTTAAAGTGGTACTTTTGCTGGGTGCTGCTGGGGGGGGGGGGCTGCCTCGCCGCGGGGTCCAACGGTGGCCCCCTTCTTCCTAAATCAACCGGCGTGGGGGGCACGCGGCTACGGACCTCCACGCCGCGCTGAACGAGACGCCCCACCCCAGACCCCGCTTCCCCCTCCGGAGCCCGTTGCCTGTGGAGCCGGGCGAAGGAAGGGGTTGGTGGTGCTACGTTTCTCAACCCGGAAAGTGGCGCTGACTTGCTGGGAAGGCCGACCCGTGCCCTCGACGCCAGCTATGGATCGGGGGGCAAGCAGGCAGGGGAGACGGCCGCCCGCCAAATCAAATGGCCCCCTGCCTCTTCCCCCAAGAAAACATGCACAAAAGGCGATGTGCACAGGGTCAGCCGAGAAAGCGAGGGCCGCCCGACGGCTTCGGATCGGCCCTCGCCACTGGCGCGAGATTCTTTTCCGCGGATGGCATTATTGCGAGGCCCAGGGAGGGCTGCCGGCTGAGAGGCTCTCCCCTCCCCCTTTACGCGGGCGGCCCAAGGACAAATCCGGACTCAAAAAGACATCCATACACACCTCCAGCATAGATTGCATCCCCGTGATACTGGGATGGATATATAGATTATTCTAAAAAAAAAGATTTAAGACTTTTTTCTTTCCTTTACAAAACCCACAGTGACAAAAGGGGAAAAAAGCAAGTCGTCCAACAGATCCCGCGAAGCAGGGAATGTGGGCGACTCGAGAGACAACACCACATACGTCAAAGAGAAAGAGAAAAAAAAAACCAAACAACAACTTTGGTCCACAATTTGAGGAACTATAACCCTGATATTAAGTACAAAGATTCTGGTTATCTTAAAATCTCACACGAGCCGAGAGGGAAATGTAAGGCAACATCGGAATATAAAGAAGGCAATATATCAACCAGGGAAAGTTGGAGGTCACAGAAGAATTGTGTTTTTAGGTACTATCTTGGTGGAGAGGAAGAAAATTTGCATTTCTTTAAATAATATAGATAAGCTTGGATTATTACAGTAAGATGACTTCTTTTAAATGTGGGTCCTTTCCTCCTCTCAAAACAACTGGAATTCGCTACTTTAAATACTTCTTCAAAGTACAACGTTAATCTTCGGAAACGACTTCATCTCGATAAAACTAAAATTATGTGCTAGTTGGGGTTTTTTTTTCCAGCTTACGAAGAAAAAAAAAATTACAAGAGTACATGGGTAATAGAAAGAGCAGGTTTAGATATATTTATACCATCTATATATAAAAAAAGTTACGCTATTGCATTTTGCATATATAGATATATACGTATGAATTAATTAGAATATTTGGTCAACTGGAAATATTGCTAGGCAAAGATAAGACTGCATTGTAGAACAAAATTATAGTAGGAAAGGGGTTAAAACAAGAAGCTGAAACTACTAATAGTTTGAGATCGGAGATATATGCTGGTGGTTAAAGAGTGAAATCGAGGTTACAAAGGAATCTTAAACCAACCCTTTTATAGGATGAGCCCCAAATTAAGATTCTGAACACAGATTTGGAGAAGCTGGCTGCTCCGGTTTAACTAATTTACAGTTTCCGCAGCTTTGGGGAATACTTAATGCGAAAAGGGGAACCCCCTTTTCGCTGAAATGCTGACTGGTGGGGCAAAGGAAGCCCCCCCAAATTCAAGCACAAATACATTATCGGCCAGATTTTGCGAACTTTGCGGGCTGGAGGGAACCCAACTCCGTCTGCAAGTTAAGAAACGTTTTACGCAGAGATATATTAGAGGAAGGTAAGGCTTTCTCCACCACCCACCCCCCTCTTCGTAACTTTTAAGAATTTTTCCAATGGCTGCTGTCCCCCCCCCCCCCCTTATTTTTACAGAAAAAGCTTCTAAGGCACAGGATGCTTGATGCAAGGCTTAGGGGAAAGGGCTCCCCCCCCCCCCAACAAAGGAAGGCATCTGTGTTCAGGAAAAAAATGTATTCTAGGAAAGGGTCAGACTCGAGGATAAAAGGCATTGCTGCGAAGCTGGTAAGCTTTCTGGGAATGGGTGGGTTTTTGCTATTTTCTTAAGAGGGGGGAGAAACTCCCGGAGAGGCTTCTAACCAAGAACTGCAAACTTCTAAGTTTATGGTTTGTTTTTTTCTTGGTCAAATCTATTATAGCCAACCCCACTCACTGCAAGAAAGGTTATAGCGACATGAATTAAGAACTTGCATTTCTCTTTTTATAAAAAGGAACACCCGGTAAACTGTTTCATCTTTAAAAAAATAAAATCTGTTGTCTTTTTTAAGGTCACTTCTGCTGCAATCTCAATCTCTCTCTCTTTAAAGTGGCTTCTTATTTTGTTTCTGGAATGACGGAAGTTGTCCCACCCCGATGCCGGTGGCCCAGCCCTTGGGGAAAAAAGGATGTCGAGGCCACCAGGAAGGGTGGGGCTGGCGCTGGCTTGTTTTGTTTTGTTTCTCAGTCAGGGTCCATATTCTGCCGCGCGGGCGCCTCCGGATAAACCCCGCCTAGATGGTGGACTTTGAGAAGGAGACGCGCAAGTGGTGGTTTTCGCCCAGGTCGTGGTTGTGGAGGTCGATGAGCGATTGGATGGCCTCGTCGACGGAGCTCATTTGGATGAGAGCCATCTTGCGGTCTTTCCTGCCCGGGGAAACAAAAGCGTTCTGGGTCAGAGAAGGGGGGAGAGCACACAGAGAGACCACGCGCGAGATACCCGTTCCAAGTTCAAGGCCAAGGAAGAGAGAGGACAGGAGCTGGCAATCCCGGGGGTGGGGCTGGATGACCTCTGGGGGTCCCTTTCCAACTCTGCAGCCCTACGGCAAACAGCGGAGAGGGAAGGCTGGCCGTTTAGCGGGCTGCCTCGCCACGGGGCAAGCCACTCCATTTCAGCTTTTGTGATCTGGATCAAAACCAAGGTTGAATTTGAAATGTGTCCCGAATCAGATCGGGGGAACAATGAACTAGGGGAATGTTGGTGATCAGGTATGGGGGACCCATCAAAAAGTATTTTCCGTGCCGCTGTGTTGCGGCTCCTTCCCTCTGAGGTGTGGGGGAAAGAAGGAGCCTGCAGTCTGAATAACGCTGTAACTAGAGACCCGCAGGCAACTGGCCCAGTGCAGATCCTCATGCCAGGAAAAGGGAAGACATTTCAGAGCCCTGCTCTTAGAGGGCAATCTGCCTGGGCTCCAGGAAGCTGGAGGCCCGGCCTGCATCTTAAATTTCTGATGCCGAGCTCATCCGCCCAATGCAGCAAAGTAGTAGCCGTGAACAGGGACCCTGAGCCTCCTTTAGCTACCCGCTTTCCTCCCCAGCAGCAGCTTCCGCAAGGCAACAGGGACCCACACTTACTGGAAGAATTTGAAGCCTTTCACCACCCCGCCGTTACTGGAAAACAGCAGCTTGAGGTCGTCTTCGATTATCGAAGGCCTGCGGGAACAGAAGGGGAAGATGATTATGTTAAGGTCCAGGCTCTGGAGTCGCTTCACACATTCAAAGGGCCCAATTCAACAACCTCTGGAAAAATCAACATGAAATTCACTGCTTGCTTCACATTGAGATATTAGGTCCTGATATATCAAAGAAAGTCTCCCAAAGTAACTCCTCTATTCCAAACTTAAAAATGAAAAGCGTAATGCTGGTGGTCAACAAAAGAGGTTCAAAGACTCTCTCAAGGCAAATCTTTAAAAATGTAGTATAAACACCGACAACTGGGAAACACTGGCCTGCGAGCGCTCCAGTTGGAGAACAGCCTTTCCCAAAGGTGTCATGGGCTTTGAAGACACTCGAACTCAGGACACAAGGGAGAAACGTGCTAAGAGGAAGGCACGCTTAGCAAACCCTCGCCATGATCAACTGCTGCCTGGAAACCTATGTCCCCACTGTGGAAGGACATGTGGATCCAGAACTGGCCTCCACAGCCCCTTATGGACTCTCTTTTGAAAACTGTGTTCATGGAAGGCAATCTTACTCGGCTACGAGGGATCGCCAAAGCAACGACTTACGGAATATTGGAGAGATGGAGGGTGGCAGAAGGGGGGAAAATGTTTTGGAAGTTCTTGGAGCCTGGCTTCTTGAAACGGTGGAGGGGAGAGTTGCCGTAGTCCTTGGTCAGCCCCTGGTCTTCCTGCCCTTCGCGGGGCAATTGTACTGTCTGGTGCTTTGACAGAGTGATGCGGATGGGCTTTCCGTGAAGCTTTTGACCATTGAGGTGGCTCATGGCTGGAGAGAGAGGAAGAGAGAGTGTTAAGGAAACGATGCGGCTGTATCTAAGTTCCTAGGGCAGAGCAGACCCAGATGTGCCCCACGAAAGGTTTTTTTTGGGGGGGGGCAAGAGGAAACACTGGAGAAACACCCCACCCCCAACTCCAGGTCTGATTGTAAGCTACAGAAACCAACAGTCTGGCTTTGCGGAAATGCCCAGGGGCAGAGGAACAGAAGGTGGTGATTGCATCAAACTACTGTATTTTTTGCTCTGTAAGACGCAACAGACCACAAGACGCACCTAGTTTTTGGAGGAGGAAAACAAGAAGAAAAATATTCTGAATCTCAGAAGCCAGAACAGCAAGAGGGATCGCTGTGCAGCGAAAGCAGCAATGCCTCTTGCTGTTCTGGCTTCTGGGATAGCTGTGCAGTCTGCATTCGCTCCATAAGACGCACACACATTTCCCCTTACTTTTTAGGAGGGGAAAAGTGGGTCTTATACAGCAAAAAATGCAGTAACTCTTACTCACAGCAGACCCACTGAGATAAATGGACCAAAACTGGTTAGGAATGTTAATCTCCGTGGGTCTGCTGCAAGCAATGGTTAGCTCATTGCAACCCAAACTCCACTGTGTCCCATAACCAATGGGAAGGTGGCGCTGGGGGCTCTGTGGGAAATGGCAGAAATCGCCTCCCGACTTTCCCAAATGCAAAACCCCCTGCTGCGTCTCAGTCCCTCCTGAGGATGGAAGGAGCCCTTCCAATTGCAGGAGTGCAACTCTGGATCTAACCCCTTTGCGTTGGCTGGAGCGATTTTACCCTACACACGGGCCCCTAAATCTTCATTATGCGTTTATAGGAGCCGGGCAAAAACGATTCTCCTCAACCAGACGTTTGGCTGATTCTATGGCCTTTTTCGATCTATCTGTTGCAGGGGATGGGGGCGATTGTTTTGCTATCTATTTGGTGGTTTCACAATTGTATTCTTACGTTGTGAAGCGCCCGCGATCTTCAGATGAATGGGAGGACAGTGGTACCTTGGTTCTTGAACTTAATCCGTTCCACACCTGAAACTGTTCGAAAACCAAGGTGTGGCTTCCGAAAAACATTTGCAAACCGGAACACTTGCTTCCGGGTCTGCAGCATTCGGGAGTCAAGCCTGTTCGAGGACCAAGGTACCACTGTATACAAATTTAATAAACTACAACACAGAAGGCAGCTCCCTTTGTTAGCACCACTACTATTCCCCAACCCTCAGAGAAGAGGGGATTAATTAATTAATAATAATTTTATTATTTACCCAGCTGGGCTTGATTGCCATCTGCCATTTGAACCAAGGCGTTTTCTTTCTTATTGAACAAGATCTTCACTCTCTGCACATCACCATACACGCCTTGGGAGGAAGCAAGGGAAGAGGGGGCGGTGGTGAAAAAAAGGAGGTTATCAAGGAAGAAATCCGCTTGCCTCTAGCCCAAAATCCAATCAAGGCACTTCCAAACCCCCCACCATTGCTCTCACTCCCGCTCGAAAGTTGGGTTTTGTTCTGCTCAGCAGCAGAAAAAAAGGTGGAACGATCTTTAGGTGGAGTTATAAAACACATGTTTTATCTTTGGGGGTGGGGGTTGTGCCCCCCAAAAAGTCACCCGTGGAGGCCTGGAGGGGCGATCTGCACATGCTCTCTCTTCCTGACCCAACGAAACAGGCATGCAAAGCAATCAAAACCATGCACGATGATGTACGAAACAAACAAACAAAAAAATGATTTAAAAACGGGGGGGACTAAAGCTAGGGTAACGCAAATAATAAAAAGCATCCGTTCGAAGCGGCAAAACCCCTCCCGCCGCCCCTTCCCCAACCCCCACCCTCCGCCGAAAAGCAAAACCTCAAAGTGAAATAATAACATTTTAAAAAAGGTAATAAAAAAAGTGTGAATGATAACGTACCGAAAAGAATAAAGAGGCATTGGGGTGTAACTCTCTTTAGAGAACAGCAGAGGCAAGGCAGCGGAGAGACAGGGAAGAGGTAAGGAATCGGAGGGGAGAGCGGAGGTTGCGTAAATCGTCGACAACGAAGGAAAGGTAGAGTCCCCGCAGGAAATGGCGAAATTGGTTGATGGATGATGAAGTTTTCAAGATGGTTAATATTGAAGGGCAGGTTGGTTTCCGAAGAGCAGGAAGGTTTTTTTTTGTGTTTTTTTTGGTTTGGTTTTGGTTTGAGGGGGGTATTTGTTTTATTAAAAAAATAATATATAAAAAATATATTTGTTTCAAGCAACAACAGGAAGCAGAAGTACCGTGCAGTCAGTTGGCAAAGAAATTCCGGATCGGGGAGAAGGGGGGGAAAAATAATAATAATTGAGGGATGGGGGTGGAGAGAAAAGGAAAAAAAAGTAGCAAAAAACATAGGTCAGTAAATACATAAAAGAAATATGTAGTGTTCCATCAGTAAAAGATTTATAGATTTCTAAAAACGTACAATACTTCGGTTTTACAGAGGAAAAACTAGTTAATAGGTTGTGGTTGGTTGGTTTTTGGTGGTTTTTTTTTGTTTAAACCTAGTGGAACACAACAGTAAAAAGAAGAGCACTTTACTTAAGTAAGGTATAACTAAGAGGGAGAGGCAGTATTGCAACAGAGGGATTCACAGGCAAGAGGGCAAACTCCGGATCGTGACCACATATAACAGTCACGTGGGGTGACGAGGGAGGCAGGAGTTTGAAAGGGTCCGGGTCAGCCTCCAGGACACAAGTACGTTTCCGAGCACAATTCAAAGTGTTGGTGCTGACCTTGAAAGCCCTAAACGGCCTTGGTCCAGTATCCCTGAAGGAGCGTCTCCACCCCGGACACCGGGGTCCATCTCCCGAGGGCCTTCTGGCGGTTCCCTCCCTGCGAGAAGCGAGGTTACAGGGAACCAGGCAGAGGGCCTTCTCTGTGGTGGCTCCCGGCCTGTGGAATGCCCTGCCACCAGATGTCAAAGAGAACAACAACTACCAGACTTTTAGAAGACATCTGAAGGCAGCCCCGTTTAGGGAAGCATTTAATGCTTAATAGGTTATTGTGTTTTAATATTCTGTTGGAAGCTGCCCAGAGTTGCTGGGGAAACCCAGCCAGATGGGCTGGGTATAAATTATTATTATTATTCCCCAGATGTTGCCAGGTTGTAACGCTAACCACCCCTGGAGACTTGGCCAAACTGACTGGGGACGATGGAAGGACCCTCATACCAACAGCATCTGGGGGACGCCACAAAAGGCCTGCCCCACTGAACCCCTTCAGTATGGCAGGCTGCGATGATAGAGAAAGCCCGAGTTCAGCATTCTTTGTAAGCCAGGGAGTTGCCTGGTGGAGCTCGCATTTCCCCTGAGCGCAACTGAGCTTTCCCCCCTTCTGCTTACAAAAAGGTTCCCCGATTCGACGCCAACTTGCTAAGCCGGGAAATTCCAGCGCAGGAACCGATCAAGGTTTGGAGAAGGGTCTGCGGACTAGCCACCTGCCATATCGATACTGGTGGGTCCTGGTGGTGGTGGTGGGGAACGGGAGGATTCCCTCTGGAGAACACTGCCTCTCCAAACAGTATGCACAGATTAAGTTTCTACAACACTGATTATACAAGCAATGGAAAAAATAAAAAGGTCGAGGAGACGTTAGTTCACAGCTTCACTACAAGTATCGAGGTTTTTAGCCCAAAAGGAGAGAAGCTGGATGGATGAGGGAGCGTCGAAGGAACATACACGCAAGAGGCGCGAGGAGCTGCTCAGCAATTCGCCTAAGGGACAGACAAAACTACCGGGGCTTTTCAAGAGAACGTGGCAGCCAAGTTTTGAGATTGGAGGTGCAGAGTTTAGCAGGCAGCGACACAGCCGACGGCTGTGCTTGCATGGGCTTCCTGGGAAACAACTGCGGCACAAAAAAGGGGCAGGTGCGTTCAGATTCTGTAACTCCTTCTCCTCTCCCTAAAGACTCTCAGACTCCTAGCGTATAATGCAGTTTTCTGGTAGAGGTGTCGATCGCCCTGAGGCCATTCTGCCACCAGGTGGTCCTACCCACCTGTCGAAAGTCGGCCAGCAGGGTTGAGGGGATGGTTAAAAGACCTGGCCTGCCGTGCCAAAAAAAGGCTGCTCGCCTCCACTCTAAAAGAGGGCAATGTTCAGGGTTACCTCCATCCTGCCTCATAGCATCCCTATGCCCCAAATGGTTTCTCTCTCAAGGAAGTGGATTGTGGCGGAACAACCAGCTTATTGTTCATTGGACATTTGATTTTTACGTTCTGTGGCAGAACCCCACTAACTGCTTAATGATATGTTTTAACCCACCTCCCTGCTTTTCCCCCTGTGATTTATACTATAACGGCCCTTTGGCTACAAGCAGCAAGAATGCGGCTAAGTCCCTTGCATGTTCCTCCTAGCCAATGTTGTTTCCAACAGGCTCAAGAATTCAAGGATCTATCTGGGAGCTCAACGCTGCGCTCTCTCTGGTCTGTCAATTCAGGGGGGCTACTCAAGGCAGACCACCCCCTCCATGCCTTCCTTTGCTAGTCAATAAGGAGAGGGGTTTCTGGTTGCCAGGGCTCAAAGGCCCATCGGGCTGAAGACTAAGGCTTAGTTCCAGTTTTTGTGACAATCTGCGTAAAAAGGTAAAGGGACCCCTGACCATTAGGTCCAATCGTGACAGATTCTGGGGTTGCGGCGCTCATCTCGCTTTACTGGCCGAGGGAGCCGGCATACAGCTTCTGGGTCATGTGGCCAGCAGGACTAAGCCGCTTCTGGCAAACCAGAGCAGCGCACGGAAACGCTGTTTACCTTCCCAAAGATATCTTATCAAAGTTTATCTACTTTGACGTGCTTTCGAACTGCTAGATTGACAGGAGCAGGGACCGAGCAACGGGAGCTCACCCCATCATTGCGGGGATTCGAACCGCCGACCTTCTGATCGGCAAGCCCTAGGCTCTGTTGTTTAACCCACAGTGCCACCCGCGTCCCACTGAAATCTGGGGCACGACTAACTCACGTCCATTTGGAAAAGCAGGCCTGTTTACGAGTGCCACGTAATTCCAACTCTACAATTCTAGGATAATGTCCGCTTTGCACCTGTTAAGAAACCGGAACTCCTTCACTACTACAAGTTCCCTGAATCCCTTTTGGGCATCTCCTAAAATGGTTTTTTGTTTAGGCAAAAGCTTACACATTAAGTTGATGCTCATTTTAACCTGTAGTGTCGCTTTGGAAAGAATACTTTCAGCTGTCGATTTTCATAGAACTGTAGAGTTGGAAGAGACACTCTGGATCATCTGGTCCACCCCGCCTTGCAATGCAGGAATTTTATCCAGTTTGCTTTTTCATGAACCTGTTCTCAAAGTTGATTTTTACTGAAAATTCTAGTGAATGTTTTATACTCTTTGTAAGCAGCTTGTTTTATTTACAGTTCAGCAGAATACTAATTTTGTTAAACAGATAAACTAAAATTTAAATGGGTCTACACTGAGAGAGTAGAGCTTCATTGGGCACAACCCCAACATGGGAGCGAGAATTGCTGGCAGCACCTCATGCTCTGAAAAAAGCAGTTATAGTGGACAGAAAAAGACATAGCAAAACAGATTGAGATTGGTTATTTTCCTATTAAGTTTTTTTTTAAAATTTTATAGTGGTTCTCTCATCCATGTCTCTGCTTTGGAGCTTCTGAAACAACCAAGATAAGCAGAAATCCAAGATTCTGGCCACAGCCTTGTCAGTTTCAAGCACCGGGGGACTCAAGCAATGTACACAAACACATTGCAATAACACCTGAATGCAATTTCACAGAAACCCACTTCAAAGGCAAAGTGGGTCTCTGCTGAATTGCATCCTTTTTTTAAACAGAAAATACCAGGCTTCGTTTTTTGTTTGCCTCGAGAGCCTCAGTTTGCAAGGCAGCCAAACGTTCCAACTCAAAAAAGGGGAAAGGGGGGTGGGAATGTTAAAATGGAACTTAAAAATGTTTTAAAAAGTTAAGGAGCAAAAATTAAGTAAGGCACAACAACACCAACAACAACTTTAAAGGAATTTCGGTCAAAGGTGGGAATGTACCAATGCATGACAAAGGAAATATATAACTTGCAAAAGGTAAAATGAAGCTAAAGCTGGCAAGGGGAGGGGAGGGCAAGGAATTAAGATACCCATGAAGGGGACAGAAGCAACATCGTCACTCCAACTGAAGAGTTCTTAAAAAGTCATGACATGCCAAAGGGAGAAACCAAAGGGGAGGATCTGGGCTACTGTGAGGTCGACCCAAGTAGAGACAAAAGCTTAGCGGGAGATTTCACATTCTGAATTTTTCGCTGTTGGGAGGGAGAGCAGACCAGCTAAACCTTTGCGCTTGGTAAGGCAAGGAAGAGGGCAATGGTTTATAAAGGCTTCCACCTGTGTCTCTTTTAAGTCAGGGATGGGAAACCTCTGGCAATAGGAACTGGGGGTCCAGCAATGTCTGGGGAGAGGCAGCTTCACCCCCCTTCTTGCTTTAAGTCACCCACTTAAGAATTACACCGGGCTGCCCGTTCATTCCCCCCTCATTTTATCGCATTCCAGTTCAGAGAAAGGAAAGGTGTTTGGCATTGTGACGCTTCAGCGTTAAAGTATTTCGTGAGAAGCGACTGGAGAGATAGGCGAGAGCAGAAAGTAACTGGAAGAAGCAAAAGTAAATAATATAGATATATATATATATATGAGATATTAAAGTTGGACAGAAGAAGATTTATTACAAGGCTTCCACTAACCTCGGCGTTCAAATTGCTAACCAGCAGAACGGAGTTCCCAGCCCCGGAAAGGCCGGGAATTGCAATCCGCCCTGCGGCTGCTGCGGCGGCCGCTGCTGAAGGGATACCCAAAGGAGCAAGAGCTCCGTGTACATTGGGGACTGAGAGGCCTGGAAAAATTAAAGCGTATTAACCAGTGAATGGAAGTCCACAGCGCATCCTCGGCCGACACGCCGTGGGGCTGACCCACGGTGCTTCTTTGGAGAGAGGGGGTTTGCGTCTCGGTGCCCCCATCCTCCCTCAACGCAAAGGGCCACAGAGCCTCTCCAGTTCTGCGTTTGTGCTCTCGGGCTTCTGGCAAGAGTTGGGGGGGTGGGGAAAGGCATTTTTCTCTCTCCTTGGGTGCTGGGGGGGGGGGCAACCAGACAAGCTCTAGGTGTGTCTGGTTTCCGAACCGGATTCGGCAACATTCCACGGGTTTATCTAAAGCAAAAAATTCCACCACTGGGGAGAGAAGCAGGGGAAAGGGGGGGTGCGACACACACAAAAAGCGGTGCATTCCTAAGGGGTCTTTCCACCAATACATGCCTGGAAGTGCCTCATTCAGTCGGATCATGCACATACCAAACCACAGCTGTGTGCATTCCAGACATTTTAAAAATATATATATATATATGCACATATATATTCTACAAGGGTTTCGTTTTCAGAAGGGGGGCTTTCAAAAGCAGGCGTCCGAACACCAGCTTGTTTGAAAAGCCCCCTTGCGTGTTACCACTCGTCAAAATTCCTCGCTCGAAAGGCACGTTTTACCTGTTGTACGCCACAGCACACAAATAAAAGGGGGGGGGCTGGTTCTACCGTTTTCCCATGGGATTACACCACGGGCAGGGAGAGACATGTACAGGGGCCGAGCATTATCAATATATGCGCACCGTCACACAGACACCGCCCCCCCGGACTGCCGTTATGCGCAGCAAGCTTCAGAAACAAAGAATCTCACCGAAGACTGCTATAGGGAGGCCTGCCTAGACACTTAGACCAACTGCTACTAGGGTCCTTACCCCAAAAGCAGCAGTAAATCTCAGGACGGTCTGTGATCCGTCCCACCCTCCAAAATTCTCCCCTTGATAACCCTGTGAAGTGCAAAGTGAATTTCCTTCGGCCAAATATCTGTTTGCTGCTGCAACTGTGCTACTGTACAAAAGCTGAACCCTTAGTGGCCAGCAGAGTACGGGCAGGATCGTACCCACGAGGACGTTGGCACGCTTGGGGGAAATCTCCCAGATTTTGCAAGTAGTACAAAAAGGACTTTTGGGAAATAGGTGGAGCCTCTGGCTACGGAATGCTGAGCATCTGTTGGGGAAACAAATATAGTTTTTTTGGGGGGGGGTGGAGAATATGCTGGAAGGGGGGCCAATGCTAGCTGGCACCCCTAAAAAGGAACACTCCACGCCACAGCATTTTGCCCTGGCTTCCCCAGCTTTTCAAGTTATATACAAAAGTCTTTTGCCTTGAGCGTAATTCTAGCTATCTCTCCTTGCTCATTTTGGATGCTCGCTTAAGTATTCACTGGGCTTAAGTATTCACTTAAGTATTTGCCCAGAGTGGCTAGGGAAACTCAGCCAGTTGGGCGGGGTATAAATAATAAATATTATAATTATTATTACTTCTGTGCGGTTCCTACCTTCCTCCTCTTTGTGAGATCAGTGTTGGGACATTAAAAAGAGAGGAAACCAGCCCTAATAACCAAAGAGGAAATTTGTCCCGCAGGGATCTTCAAGGATGACAACTAATTTTTTTTTAAAAAAAGCCATGGGCTCAAATGCCGAAACCCCGAGGTCTGCCTAACGCAGATTATGCTCAAGGACTTCGTAATCTCTTCCTTTCCTCAGCTCCTCAGCCCCTGATCTGCTGGCTGCATTTTGGACTCTTACAGGCCGTAAGGGTGAAGGGGAAGGAGCTGCCGGCGTCTGTACGGCAGAACCGTGTGAGTGACATTTGGGAAAAGGCAGCAACCTCAAAAAGGAGCAGTACCTGCAGCTTGAGGAATCGCAAAAGCGGGCGGGAAGCCGGCCCCTGTGTAAGGAGAGGCAGAAATGATCCCTGGAGCACCTACAAAAATAAGAAGAAGGAACAAGGGGACCTGTTATTTAGATTTCGTATGGATGCGTATATCAGAAAGGGGCAGCAAGAATGATGTCACAGCCTTACAAAGCAGCAGTCTGTAAGCGTCATGCAAGCTAAAGGGGGAAACTGCGCCCCCCCCAACAGTTCTGGGTGCCTTCCTTGGAGATCCAACAAAACAATCCTTGTCTCAAGAGGTCCAGAGGCTAGCCACCCCTGCTGTAAAACACTCAAGGTATCTTCATGAGGGGGAACAGAAAGGGGTTGCTTCTTTGCTGTCTTGTGGTGATCTTTCATCTAGTAGTGGTGCCTTTTCACCACTTAATTTTTTTGCTAGTTCTCAGATGGCAGAAGCTAAGCTACACGTGTTTAGGTAGCACAGGAAACAACAGTTTGCAACTCACTCTCCCGCACTGAGCGTACCCACAACTTTACTTATACAAAGCTAAAGCAGATACATTTTGCATCTGCCTCACTAAACAAACAATCTTATTTCTGAGCAAACATGGAGTTTTAATCACAGTCGTACCCTGGAAGTCAAACGGAATCCATTCCGGAAGTCCGTTCGACTTCCAAAACGTTTGGAAACCAAAGCGCGGCTTCCAATTGGCTGCAGGAAACTCCTGCAGCCAATCGGAAGCCCCGTCAGACATTCGGCTTTCAAAAATAGTTCGCAAACCGGAACAGTCACTTCCGGGTCTGCGGCGTTTGGGAGTCAAAACGTTTGAGAACTAAGCTGTTCGAAGACCAAGGTACGACTGTATTCCTAGAATTCTGCCCACCCTAGTGTCAAAAATTAAAGGACGTTTTGCATTAAAGGGTCATGCTTCCTTTAAGATCTATTTTGCTGGCTACCGTGATATTAGGATACTGGACAAATCCAGCAGGACTTGATTCTTCCAAGCCAGACATGGAAAGGGAACTTGCAGCCATTTACTGCTACTATGACAGGCAGGGAGAAAAGGGCTCAAGCTGAGAGCAGCTTGCCCAGCCTCTGAATCTACAACTAAGGGGAGCTTTGGAAAACTCTTCCCAGTTCATAGCATGTTTCCGAAGCCAATCCTCACCCCCATCACACACCCCAACCCGCCCCTCACCAAAAGCAGCTGCCATGGTCTGGTCGAGGGAAGGCTGGCTGTCTCCAGAAGGCAGATCTGGCCGGGTATAGTCCCTGCTCTTGTCGTTGTTGTATTTCACGTTGAGGCTGGTGAGCTTGGAGAAGTCGATGCGGAGTGTGCAGCAGGCGTTGTAGATGTTTTGTCCGTCGAGAGACTGCCGGGGGGGGGGGGGGCGAGAGGAAGAGAGGCAAAAGGATGGGTTAGGTTCAAGCCAACCAGGGTGCTTAATGAAAAGTTCGCTACTTGTCCAGGACGTGTAGCTTGGGGAAATAACCGAAAGCGAATGCCCAACGAGCGCTTTTGCACTCTCTGTAAGACAGTACTTGAGTACGTCCCCCTATGAGGAATGATCCTTGTGGAATGAACCCGCCTGTGCAATTTAGGCCTCTTACCGGTAACTTAACCGCCACCAGCACCCTGTAAGCTTGCAGTTCACACAAACATATATACATATGCAGAAAACAATGCCTTAATTTTCGGCCGGTCCCATGTTTGCTTCCAGATGGGGCAGAAACACAACCGCCCAAGTTTGCTATTAAGGTAAAATGACGCTGATTCTAAAAACAAAAGTGATTTATAGTTTCTGAATTTGCATGCGGTCTATTAAAAACATCCGGTGTGTTTTAGCTGCCAATTCAGACCTCGCAATGGTCTAAACCAGGCATGTCCAAAGCCTGTTCTGGGGGTCTAATCCGGTGGTCGATGAATTCCGGTTCCCGTGGCAATACATGTCCTGGGACAAAAATCAGCAACTTCAATCCTAAAAAAAGCTCAACAACTTTGGTTGGCCCTCACGCATGCTCACTTCATCAAATCTGGCCCTCTTTGAAAGAAGTTTGGGCACCCCTTGGCTTCACGAACCCTTGTTTAACGGGATGCCTGGATTGGGCTGAGACGAGGCCTGCCTGCCTATTCAAACTTCAGAGCTCTTCTTTGAAGAGACGCAGCAGGGTCTAAGATTGTGCCTGTTACATCTGTGCGTCTCAAGAGACAACGGAGTCCACCTAGTGACCTCCCCAGGTGTAGTGGGCTGCCTAGACAACAACCCCCCCCTCGGCCTTGCTGATGTGGTCCAAAGGAAAGCAGAGCAAGACGTTTGTCACTGGCTTGGCTGCAGAAGGAGCCTGAAGGCGGCGCACAAGGCACCATCCAACCCCCTTAGGGACTCCACTCCCGATTTGTGTAGAGTTTACTCCCATACCTTTCCTTCTCCCGAAGATACCCCATAAAGGCAGCAGAGGTTTAAGACCAGCATTCTCCTCCACGAAGATGGTCCGCCTTCCCAGGTTGACAAGCCCCACCTGCCCCTCACTTCCCTTTACAGCAGGGGTGGCCAACTCCCAAGAGACTGCGATCTACTCTCGGGGTTAAAGACTGGCAGTCATCTACCCCCTTTTTTTGGGTTCAGGTCAAAGTTGTTGAGCTTTTTAAGGGAGGAGGATAGCCCCGTTTTTTAGGGGTTCAGGGCAAAAACGCTGAGCTTTTTTTAGACGTGCCTGCTCTACAGCATGTGCAGAAACCGCCTTCTTGACTGACTCTTGGTCTTGTCTGCTCACTCCGCCAGAGCATGCAGGAGAAGCCCCTAACTCAACAAGGGTTTAAGACCCATCAGCTCCCCTCATCTGGTTCAGCCGGCCAGTCGATGCTTTTCCCTGGGTGTGGCCGCTGTAGCATGCCAACAGCTTCCAGGAGCCACAGGTGAGAGCGCCCGTGTTTAGGCATGCTTTGCCATGCTTCTCCTGAACAGCTGCCTCTTGCAACATGCTTCCCCTTGTGCTGCGGCAGATTCGAGACCAGAAGGAACCACGCAAAGCAGGACTCACCAGTTTGGCGTGCTGGGCGCTCATCGGGTCTGCATACTGCAACAGCGCCTGGAACTGGTTGTTCTTTGTGAAGGTGATGATTTTCAGCACGGTGCCAAACTTGGAGAAAATCTGCGTGCGCACAAAACAGAAAAGTCGCGTGAAGTAAACTCTTGAAGTTGCGGTTTTGGCCAAGAAGAAGAAGAAGAGTTTGGATTTGATATCCCGCTTTATCACTTCCCAAAGGAGTCTCAAAGCGGCTAACATTCTCCTTTCCCTTCCTCCCCCACAACAAACACTCTGTGAGGTGAGTGGGGCTGAGACTTCAGAGAAGTGTGACTGGCCCAAGGTCACCCAGCAGCTGCATGTGGAGGAGCGGAGACGCGAACCCAGTTCCCCAGATTAGGAGTCCACCACTCTTAACCACTACACCACACTGAAACTCTCCGTTTTGAAAGCAACACAGCAGGAAGACTGCAGCTGCTATGGATCTGCCAATTTGCCCAAGGCGCTTATGAAGTTTCACAGCAGAAAAGAAAAAATGGTAAGGAAGGCTCTTCTCCCAACTTGCCTCACCAGGCAGATCAGAGGCCCCAAAGCCCCAGACTGAGCCTGGCAACAGTAGAGGGCAGCAGAGGCGTGAGGAAACCCACAAATCTTTCTACTTCTGGAGCGTAGTGTCTACGGTGAACAGCTGGAGCCTGGGCTCTGTTGCAAGGGCAGGAAGTGAAGAGCACGTCGCCCACAGAGGCTTTTGTGACTTTTTGAAACCAGAGGACCACCCAGAGCAGGAAGAGACCTAATGGCAAATGGGGCCGGGCAAAGGAAAGGGGGTCATTTCCCATCTGACAGGAAAGCGAGTTTTTTTGTTGCATATAAGCAATGTCAAGTGTGTGCAGCTGAGATGGGAGCTCCTTGCACCCTTATCTGGGAGAGCCGAGCGAAGAAGCCAAGCTTTGCGCAAGGAGTTAATGTGTCACAAGCAGCTTCAAGCACAGTTAACTTTTGAAAACGCGTTTTGACCTTTAGAACCACACTTTCAGAAGCCTACACCTTGCTCTCCCCCCACCCCCCCAAAAGGCACAGCCAGAAAATGCAAGCACAACTCCCTCTGTTCTGTGTCCTGAAAAGAGCAGAACTCGAGAACTTTGCACCCAACGTAAGTCGCAGAGAATCTGCAGAAATTAAAGGGCATCTCTCGTCCACGTCGACGGGCCTAGTCGGAGACAAATTTAGTTGGGTGCCAGGCTCACGCGGCCGTGCGCAGGCCTCTATGCAGATACCAAGACTTGCAGGACAAGGAAAACAGGCCCACAAACAAAACTCAAAAAGTAGGCAGTGAAAAAGAGCTTTCTTCGCCCCACAGCCCCATTTTCTCTTTAATTCTCTTCCCTCGCAAGCCCCTACATGGCCAGGACACCAGGTGATCTTTTCTGGCCATCCAAGCCTATTTCATATGAGCTGCCGGGAGGAATTTTTTAAATTAAAAAGATACATCACACACAACCCCGGAATCTGGCCGCTCCCCATGCCAGAGGACCCTCTCTCACCTGATGCAAGACATCCAGGGTGACAGGGTAGAAGAGGTTTTCCACAATGATCCTCAGGACTGGGCTCTGCCCGGCCATGGCCATCCCAGCATCCACAGCTGCAGCGGTGGCAGACAGCGCGAGGTTCCCAGACTGCACGGAGTTCACCGCTTGCAGGGCTGCCTGAGCGCGCTGGGGAGCCAAACGTTTTCAGTACGTTAATAAGCAGAGAGGTGGAAAGAGAAAGATGCGAGCGCTCACTCGGCTTCAGAATCATGTTGCCCCCTGTTGAACAGGACATTGAATGACAGGCAGACATGCAGGGGGCCTTGGGAACCTGGCCTTTAGCCCTAAGAGATGAACGGGGAGGACGACAAGATGTTTTCTTCATCCTGTACACAAAAGGACAGGGACCCTGCGGACCTGGAGATGCTGTTAAGACTCCCAGGAGCCAGACAATGGTCAGGCTGACGCAAGCTGAAGTCCAAGCAACACCTATAGGGCCACAGGTTCCCCTGCCCTGCTGCAGACTGAGTGTGAACTCTTCCAACAGCCACAGGTAAGACATTAACACACCAACTATGTGTAATTCGTTGAAACCGATGGCTTCCATGGCCTGTAAGTTAGAAGTAACCAGAATGGAACATGCACGTTCAGGCCAAGTTAATACATGTTACCATGCTGTGAGCCACAGAAAAATAAGGAAGACCTCAGGTCAAGTGTGGGCTCGATCGGGCTAAGTTTCACCCAGAGCAGACACACTGAAATTAAGGGCCGTGACTAACTTAGGTGCATTAATTTCAATGAGTAAATGTTTGTTGGACAGAATCCTTTATTTCCGTTATAAACTCACTAGGTTACCCTGGGCAAGCTACTTTCAGCTATATTATACCCTTTCTGTATTTAGGTAGGAGTGCAATGTTGATCTAACCTACAGGGTTTTTTGGAAGGATAACGCAACGCGGTGGGTTTTGAGCACCCTACAACACTAGAAAATGTGAAGGCGCATCATGAAATACTAAGGTAAAGGTAAAGGGACCCCTGACCATTAGGTCCAGCTGCGGCCAACTCGGGTTGCGGCCGGCGCTCATCTCGCTTTATTGGCCAAGGGAGCCGGTGTACAGCTTCCGGGTCATGTGGCCAGCAGGACTAAGCCGCTTCTGGCGAACCAGAGCAGCGCACGGAAACGCCGTTTACCTCCCCGCCAGAGTGGTACCTATTGATCTACTTGCACTTTGTGCTTTCAAACTGCTAGGTTGGCAGGAGCAGGGACCGAGCAACGGGAGCTCACCCCGTTGCGGGGATTCGAACCGCCAACCTTCTGATCGGCAAGTCCTAGGCTCTGTGGTTTAACCCACAGCGCCACCCGTGTCCCCATGAAATACTAGGTAAGGTAAAAAGAAAATAAGTAAGGACTTCGATCTGATCCAGCATGAGTATTCTTAGTACACTCTTCCCTGCCTTACTTTACCTCACTGGGCTACAGACAAATTATGTACACCTCTTCTCAGCAACGTTGCCGTCGCTCGTCTCTTTCCTTGGCAAATTTAAATACAGCCATGGTCACAGAACGTTACCCCAAAGCCCTGCTGCTGCTGCTGCTGCTTGAAATCCCGACTCACCGCCTGATTTGGAGAGTTGTCCGTCTTCAGCTCTTTGTGGTTGGAGAACTGGATGTAAATGGCCTGGCTCCGAAGGACAGGAGTTACCGTGGTGTAGTAGCTAACCATGGTGTTAGCTGCTTCCTCCGTGTTCATTTCTATGAAAGCCTAATTGAGATAGACGGACGTAAAACACGTGCTGCATCAGCCTTAAGTAATCTTAGCCCAAAGGCTGCAGTTCAATTTCTGAACAAGTCATTTCTTCATACACACAGAGCCCTTAAATACCAAATCACAATCTACTCTAATTTGGGCATATTTAAAGGGACATTAAAGGTGTTTTTTTAAGGTGCCTGCATGCCACACAGGAAACAGAGCTCTTAGGGTGCTGGAGTCACTGACTTCACAACGGTTCAGTCTTTGGAAGTTGAGGAGCTGGTAGGCCTCATAGCCGCCCTACTTTCAGCAGTGCTTTCTGACTTAATTTCTGATTCAAACAAAACTTCAAGCCCCAGCCATTAGGATCCAATTGCCATCAACTGACAAGAAAGATCCCTAGTCCATTTTTTTAAATAAGCGAGGATAGTGGAAGGTCAGTCCTCAACAAAAAAAAATGTGAGGTACACAGGCTGCATGTGGCTACCCTTAGCTAGTGTTTGCCTTTGCAAATTGTGTCTGAATTAAGCCTGAGCAACAGCAACAACAAAAAGGCATCCAGGCATCATGAGGTCGCCTTGCACAGCTGCTGCCTCCAAACCCAGCCTCCGCCTCGGCACTCTCCTTCCCGATCTGCCCTCTTCCACAACCAGAAATGCATAGCTTCTATTATTTATAGATTGCTATTCTGCACTTCCATTTTCTGGGCAGCTTGCAGAACGAACCCAGGTAGGCGAGAGCATTTACGTGAGCCTGGGCAAGACATTTTTACCCAAGAGCTTCAAACTGGGGATGCCAACAGAACGAAGCAAAAAACTTTATACATGCAAGGGACGTCACTGACTTCCAGCCCCAAGGATGTCAGTACAGTCTCTTATCTTGAGTATCTCAAATTATCAGGTTATTGTTTACCACGCATGGTTTGTCTGGGGGGAGAGAAGACCACGAGCCTGGGCTCAGACGTAATGTTAAGCTACGCCATATCTTAGCCCCAGGGAGCACAGAAACAGTAGGACTGGAGTAAAGAGTGCCAAGCCTATTATTTCTGCTTTGCGAAGCTGCATGTCTGCTCATTCAACTAAGCTATTATGCCTTCCACTTTACAGCCAATTTGAAACTTGGTGGCTTGCGTTTGAAACTAGCTTCTTTATGGAATATGGTCCCTAAAACTGATATAAGCCAGTTTCTATGCCTGCTCAGGAAGGAAAACGCCGCCATCTACGCAAACGGTTTCACTTCTCCAAGCAGCTGCAAATCAAGCTATCGATTTGAAGGCTGAAGCTTCTGCAGCTGAAAGTGAAGACTCCTATGGTACAGCTAATCACTTCTACCAGAGTTAAATGGCTCCACGTGCATATACATACCTGATTCTTCCCTTTCAACATCAGCAGGTTAGTGACCTTGCCAAAAGGTAGCCCCAAGGAAATGACTTCGGCTTCTGTGACGTCACTGGGCAGCTTGCGGATGTGGATTACTCGCGAGGGGATTCCTGCAGTTCTGCTGTCGCCTTTGAACTTTTTGCTGTCATTTCCGTTGGCTGGAAGAGAGATCCGGCAGGGACAGGTGAGGTCTCCGGGGCAACCCCTGGCCATTTCTTCGCCCATGGCAGTCAGATTGAGGAGTCGGGAAATGACGTCACTTCCTAGCCGGTTTATAAGACCTTTCTGGTCACCATTTAGACCAGTCTGTATTAGAACCAGACTGCCCCAGTGGCTGTCTAGTATGGCTAGCTACTCCAGCAAGGCCGGGCAAGGTACGCATAAAGTTTAGCGCGCAAACCAAGAGTAATCCAAGGAGGCCCAACGTCCTCTGTGGCTAAAAGGTGGCAACTGAGCACAGAAGACACCTCTGAGACTTGCAGAGCTATTACACTGATGCCGTGGCCATGCAAAACTGCCCCACCCAACCCCCAGTTTAAACCAGCCACTAGAACTCCACCCACCGCATGGGTTGAGCGTAGCTTCTGGGTGGCAGAAGCGATATAACCAGTGCAGCCAGTTGTGCCTTTGAAGATGGCTGTGCACAGCCTGAGAAATGTGCAGGCCAGCTGGTTACACAACCAGGGAAAACTTTATGAATCCTTTCGTATTTTTGAGTTCTTAGACGCACAGCTAGCCTGGCATTGCAACCCCTTCCAAACGCAGCTGGGAAGGGGGCACTTGCTCAGCGGTGGACACCACATTCCAGAGATGATACGATCTGGATGGACTGTGGCTCATGTAGATTTCAATTGCCTGCTGTGTAGATTAGTTACCAGAGGCTTGATAAATGCCAAATTAGGCTAGGTGGACTAGTAAATTCCTAGGGCTGGCCAGCTTGGTGGCTAGCATCCCTAGGGCATGGCATATTTCCCCAAGCCCCTGCTGCGACGTCTAACATAGTGCCATGATGTGCTTCTTGCAAATGGCACAGAATGTTTGCACCAGTGTCAGGAATGAACGACACGGTGTGTGGTTCTCCACATCACAGCAGCGGTGTGGGAGAAAGATAACCTTTTTTAAAGTCAGCTCTGTGCTGTCAGCAACTTGTGGCCAATCCTTTAAAATCCCCACCCTCGCAAATGTGATGCGGTCACCGAAATGGGACTTTAAAGCAACACACTTCAGGATACCCTGAAATTTGCTGCGGTAAATTTGGGCCCACGGAAGGCCAAGAAGGGGTTCTGAGTTGCGCCCTTGCAACGCTACGCCGACTGGCTAACCACAAACTTCTAATCGCTTCGCTAAGGCTTTCAAACTCACAGGCTACCTGTCCGGAAGCCTTAGGATACAGAGCCAGACAGTGGGAAAGTAATAATAAAAGGAAAGGAAGCTTCTGTTTAAAACCAAGGCCTCGTGGTTTGCCGGCTGGTTTGCCAAACGCCAGCGCAACCAGCATTGACTGGTTCTGCAAAATGCTCAGGCAAGTGTTCAACACGTCACCGAACACTCTTCCTACACTCATCTGACATTCAAATACTGCATGGAAGTTTTAATGTTAAAAGAGGTGGGGCTCAGAGTCAGTGGTGACTGTGGGCGCGACAGTGAGGGGCCAACAGAAAAAGGCCAGGATCAAAAGTCCAGCTCACCCCCGAATAAAGAGGCATCATTCAGTTCCCAGCTGTCAAGAAGCACCCTGTGTAGTGATCCTAGCAGCATGCCTGAAACAGCAGACCCAAAAAACAGACCCCTCGTTAAACGCCAAAATATCAGGGTGTTCGAAATGTATGCTTGCAATCTTATCTTCTGCTGGTAACTGTCCTCTGCCCTTACCTGTGCGGGACGCTTTGCTAGTATAAACACATCTTTAATGAGATGCTCTGGGGCAGGTTAAAGTCAAGGTATTCGTTCTGGGGGTTGGGGGGGGGCTGCAAGTCTGTTGAAACTTGTAAATCTAACATGGCAGCAGAGGCTCCTTCCTTGGGGGCAGGGCTGTTCCTTTAATGGAGGAATAAGCATACTGGGGGTGGCGGTGGCTGGGAGGGGGAATATAAGGAAGAGGGCTAACTTTGGCTGACAACTGGGCCCTTCAGGAAAGCGCTGAATTCCTTGGGCTGGCAATGTTACCTGCAGAAGCAGAGGTGCTGCTCATGATAAAAGGTCCGTTAGTGACACAAGTAGAGAAAAGTTCGTCAGATCCCCGCTGGAAGAGAAAGAGAGAAGGAGAGAAAAAAATAAAGGTGAGTTGACAGCACTTTTCTAAATTCTACACAGGAACCGCCAGAACAGGAGGACAATCCAGAATTGAAGTGGGAGAGAAATTGAGCGGAAGGGCGGGGAAAGGGGGGAGTCTGGATTTCCAAGCCCATCCCCTTCTTTCAACCACATGAAATGGAATCAGCAGAAGTCGACGTTAAGAAACCTAGTAAGTAAAAGGGCAGAGCTACCCTGGTAGTGCCCATAACCAAGGTAAAGTTTATTTTCTCACAGGCAGCGTGCTATCCTTGGAATTATAATATGTTGGACACCTTTCTCAGGCACGGTCAAGGCAAGGAAAGGCTATGAAGGCAGACCTGAAAGCCTATCCGCACCATTTTAATGCGCTGCTGAACAGGATGAAGTTGCGAGGCCAGAACACTCAACCTACCCAAATGGAGAACGTACTTGCCACTGCAAACAGCTTACCCCTCAAGCAGACAGCCCTTTTTGCTGGCACTTTTGTGTTTCTCAAAAACTTACCGTTGGCCGTCACACATTCAATGTTTACGGTAACTAAGCACATACCTCAGAACAAGAAGCATGAATGCTACAGACACACCCTTCACAGCGTGCAAAAACTCACAGGGCAGGAAGGCATGGGTTTGCTTCTCCACAACTGTGAAATGATCCCAACGAGACAATGAATCGGTTCGTGGGCAAATTGGCTCTGCAGTTGGAGCAGTCTTCTGCAATCTGGTGGCCTCTGGATGGCTTAGATTATGAATCCCCATTAGCCCCGGCTAAAATGGCTGTGTCGTAGTCCAAATAATACGGAGGGCACCAGGTTGGGAAAAGTAGTTAAGAGCGCTGATACTCTTGACCAGAGCAGTTCATAGCCAGCAAATACAGTTGTACCTTGGTTGTCGAACGCCTTGGTACTCAGACGTTTTGGCTCCCAAACGCTGCAAACCTGGAAGCGAGTGTTCCAGTTTGCAAACATTTTTTGGAAGCTGAACGCCCGGCGCGGCTTCTGATTGAGCGCAGGAAGCTCCTGCAGCCAATCGGAAGCCGCGCCTTGGTTTTCGAGCCGTTCCGGGAGTCGAATGGATTAAGTTTGACAACCAAGGTACCACTGTAGTCTGTTTAAGAGCCTGTAGCCTTCCATCCTCTCAAGGCAAACACTTAAATATGAAGGCAGAAAGTCAAGGACAGAAGCAGGGGTGCAATTTGTGACTAGGCAGTTCTGATGCCTATTAACATTTCCGTGTGAGTCAGGAGGCACACCCAGAACAGCAACAGTAGAGCTCCTTTCAGCACCTGATGCTTAACTGATGGCATTTATTATCTTCCGAGCTCCAACTGAAAACATCTCATGAAACCACAACTAGGAGCTTGCTCAGAGTTCCTTTGCCTTTTTTTGCTTAAGTGTTTTTGCTGGAGATAACAAAGTTGAAGATTTGATACCTGGCATTGAAGTAATTTGCCCCCAACTAAGAATGTGCAGGGCAAATTATACAGGAATCTGTGGCAGGAAGCAGCTAAGTAATGCTCCAACCCCCCAACATCCTCCAGCTGCTAAGGAAGAGCTGGTTTTTAACCTCGGAAGTGGCTGGAATAGCAACCACAATCTGCACTACAGTCGTACCTTGGATCTCAGACGCCCTGGCTGCTGAACAAATCTTGAAACCTGGAAGTGAGTGTTCTGGTTTTCGAACGATTTTCAGAAGCCGAACATCCGGCGCAGCTTCTGATTGGCTGCAGGAGCTTCCTGGGGCAAACCAGAAGCCGTCCTTTGGTTCCCGAATATTTTGGAAGTCAAACGGACTTCCGGAACGGATTCTGTCCGACTTCCAGGGTACAACTGTATAAACCTTAAGCCAGATTTTTAACCGCTGTTTGAGTGTATTCATCAGGAGTCCTGCTGGGGTGTTCTCGGCAGCCCCGGGAGGTTTCTAACACGGAGATCGTAATAGCGCAGATATTGCCGTTGGATCTAAGAACCCCAAGACTAACAGGCTTCATATTTTGATGGCACCCACCTATCTGAAGTCTCTACCAGCTCCAGACTCCTACTGGTGTGGGTAAATGAAATGGGAAGCCACCTCTCCCAGCCCTGGGTATAGCAGCACATTTTAAATTAAAAAGGGCCCCCTCGCCTCCCTAATTCTACGATTATCTTGTCCTAGATTTTTCAGCCGGCCACACAATGGGGCCTTGTTAACAAAGCTTGGTTGCTCTTCCTTTTCAGACTCTCCTGAAGCCGACTGGGTGTCCCCTTTCCTATACAGCAGCAGAAGAAAGCTTTCTGTTAGCTGAAACACTACCTGGTAGGGTGCAGAACCCAGCTGACATTCCCAGCAGTTGCGGCTATGTAAGAAGCCATTCACCACCTCCCACCTCTACTTCACGCCATTCACCACCTCCCACCTCTCATCATTACTTTACACCTCAAACTGGTTAAAGTAGGCCACTCCATGCAAGCTTGGAGGAAGTGAAACACTTAAGGGCCTTTCGCCTTGATTTTGTTTGCCCAAAGCAAACAGCAGGGCCCTGGCCAACGCCCCTGCTCAAGTTCTGAGCATGTACATTCTCTGTGGGCCCTTCGGGGGTTGCCATTTTGACCCTATGGTTGCAGGCTGCACTCTCTCTACCAAGGATAGGTTGATTCCTATATTTCCCGTGGGTGGCCAAACTGCAGGGGTCAAACATCACCCTGAACGACGGCTTGCCTTGGCCCTGGGCTAGAAGGCAGGTGTTTCCAAACATGCAGCCAAACATATGTTTTAAAACTGCTTCTCTGCTTTCCCCTGTGTGCTCAGCAAGCCGCAATTTAGACCTGCACATCCACTTTCATATTTCATCTCCACGCCACTCCTATGGCCATTCCCACAGCAGCTGCCTCCAGAGGAAGAGCGATAGCCTCAATTATGGCTCACCAAATGAAGGCATCACAGCAAACCATTGCTAAATACAATGCCTGAACTAAGACAACCTTGTATAGTTTCAGAATGCATTGTAATTTCTTTACCGATTCCAAATAAAAAAATCTTCTGCATTCAGCGTGAGGGCAACACAGATCTCCACCAATGAGACTGCACATCCACTATAGACATACCGTATTTTTCGCCCCATAGGACGCACCTAGTTTTTTTTGGGGGGGGGGAATTAAAGGGGGAAAGAATTTTTTTCCCCCAGGTGTGGCGCAAGCCCAAGCTTCCCCCGACCCCAGCCCCCAGAACAGGCTGCTATCCGCTAGCCGTGGGAGAGCTGCGCAAAGCCCGAAGCTTGGGGCGTGCTGAGCTCAGGCTTCGGGGTGCAGGCAGCTCTCCCCAAGCTGTGGGAGAGCTGCGCAAAGTCGCTTGCGGATAGCTTCCTGAAGCCTGGAGAGCGAAAGGGGTCAGTGCGCACCGACCCCTCTCGCTCTCCAGGCTTCAGCGAAAGCCTGCATTCGCCCCATAGGACGCACACACATTTCCCCTTCATTTTTGGAGGGGAAAAAGTGTGTCCATAGGATGCACACACATTTCCCCTTCATTTTTGGAGGGGAAAAGGTGTGTCCTATAGGGCGAAAAATACGGTAAATCACTGTACTGGGATACTGTATTGCTGTTTCAAATGGTACGAAAGCCTATAATGGTTTTATTTTTAGTGCCAGATCCTAGAGTAGGCAACCGGCATATGCCTATTTCTTAAAAGTTCTGTTCACAACTACATAGAGGCAAAGAGAAAATAATAGTCTTAATCTGCTCTCCCTCCATGCCCCAGCCAGACTCCTTCCAGCTACTATGGAGACACGCCATGAAACAAACCTGCCCTTTGAGCGAATCTGAGGGGTGTGGCTATTGTTATTAACCGCTCAGAATTCCTGAGCTCAGAGTAATCAAAGTTATGCAGTCATGCTTGTCTGATAGGGCACTCCACACCCAAGCGAGCTGCCTCCAGCATTTACAATTATGAGGACAAGCCATGGTTCCGACCTAAACCAAATTTTAAAGCGCTTCTTAAAAGCTGGCAAAATTCAGCTGCTACACACCGAAAGATGGAATCAGAAGTTCTAGACAGGTTGTTGCATCAAAGGGCTGCATCAAACTAAGTTCTACTCAGAGTAAACCCAGGGAAACGAATGGGCCTCAGGTACTCACATCCTTCAATTTAAACAAGTTTACTCTGAGTGTGACTAACACTGGCTGCAACCCAAATGATTAAGGTTTTAGCGTTATGTTGAAAACTTCCCACAAACTCACCTTGCAATCACACAATTAGGTGAACTTGCCAAAAAGTAGCTAGAGGGGAAACTTCGCATCAGACATGATTCTAGGGCAGGGGTAGGCAACCTAAGGCCTGTGGGCCGGATGCGGCCCAATCGCCTTCTCAATCCGGCCTGCGGATGGTCCAGGAATCAGTGTATTTTTACATGAGTAGAATGTGTCCTTTTATTTAAAATGCATCTCTGGATTATTTGTGGGACCTGGCTGGTGTTTTTACATGAGTAGAATGCATGATTTTATTTAAAATGCATCTCTGGGTTATTTGTGAGGCATAGGAATTCGTTCATTATTATCTTTTCAAAATATAGTCCGGCCCACCACATGGTCTGAGGGACAGGGGACCGGCCCACGAATGAAAAAGGTTGCAGACCCCTGTTCTAGGGCCCAGGTTATGTAAGAATTGGGATGGGCCTGATATTTAAATGGCACGGACCACAACTGCACCTTTGTTATGGAAAAAGAGTATGATTGACAGGGCAAAGGAGGAAGCAACTTGGCCCTTCGGATCTATGGCGGGCCCAGTTGGCCTGCCACACAGCTAGCTGCCAACCTGTTACAGGAGGGCTATAAACACACCTCTCCGTTTTGAAACCGAGCAACAGAATCATGTTTTAGAACTATCACAGCACACTGTAGTGATTTGAAGCCTTTGCCTCTCAACCAAGATTGACATGTAAAACTAGTGGTAACATGCCCCAAACTGTGCAGCACCCAAGCTTTGTGGCGAACGCAGGAGAATCCTGTGTCAGCTTCTGTTCCCAATAACCCAGGCAGTCTTCAAAAGAGGACGACAGCCCAATAAAAGCTCAGGAATCCAAATAAAGCTTGCAGAGTTGAGGCCAAGGTCACGGCAGAGAAGTGGGTCGCTTGAGAACCTTGGGACATGCTTTCAAGACATGTTTAGCAATGAAGAAAACATGTGCCAAGCACATGGCATACACAGAGTCAGGATGCTTCCCGCCTCAACAGATGCCAACAGGACTTGTGAACAAAATTAGCACCTAGCAGAACCAGGGCAACTTGGGTTCTTCAGCTCTTGCACAGTGCATTTAATTGCAATACAAATCCCTGCTCGGCTTTGCAAACTTCCTAGCAGTTTTATTGCTCCACCGCTAGGTTTATTCAGAAGCAATAGGACAATAGATAGAGCAATGGTCTGTCTCGGTATAAGGGGGCATTCCAAGTCACCTGGTATTTCTTCCACACACTAAAAGGCCACTATTTTAAGGGGCCTTACTACAGGGAAGTGAAAAACTGTACAGTACTGACTTGATGGCTCCAGCATCACCCAAGGCAAAGCTTTGCAAAATTAGAATGCTTTTCATTTATGTCAAATTTGGTAGTTTTCCCGTAGTCTTTTTATTAGTATGGGCCAGATTCAATCAGAATAGAAACACTGTTTATTTCATGGAGGGAACATCCAAGTCAGTTTCTCATTTGAAGGAGGCGCCCCTCCCAACAGTAAGGCTTTATGTTACTACCGGCTTCGATAATAACCTCAAGAGGCTAAGCAAAAACTTTAATAACTTTAATTAGGCAAACAGGAACGTACAACCAAGCTAATGCAATCAGAACTAACTTGTACTCACATTTCTCTGCAAGAAATTGAGTGCAAGAGGCCACGAACATAGCCCAGTGTTTTATATCTGAGATTCAGTTTGTGATTACAATTAGCTTAGCAGTCTGTAAGATGGAAGCACATTTCTTTGCTCTGAAGTGGCTTCCGCCATCCTGGCACCCTCCAAATGTTTTGCACTACAACTCCCAACCACCCCAGCAAACACAGCCATGCTAGCTGGAGCTCATGCCGGCCAGACTCAAAACACCTGAAGGGGAGCTGGCTGCTGTAGGCTATACTATTGGGATCGTCACCACAGGATGAGGCCCTCACGATTATTTGATTCCACCCCTTTGCAATTTTACTATCAGAACTTTTAGAAGGCCGAGAGATTACAGGCAAACAGTGAAAGCAGATCTACGCTCAGGCACACTTTATATATTTGCATTATTGGCGCAGAGGGATTTTGATCGAGTTCTCTCGTGACTTATGAACTGTGATAACCTGAGTATTATGAGGAAGTTCAGTGAGGATACTTTATGCAAGTGGTATTAGTGTATACCGCTTGCTTGCTGTGAACTTTTCTATTATTGGTTATCATCATTAATTTATTTATTGTCTTCTACACAATAGTTTAAATGTGAAGCACAAGAAAAACAGGAAAAAAGTTTTTTAAAAACATAAAACATAGCCAAAACAAAACAAAACACTCATATTAAAGGTTCATTTATCCAGCTGGAAAATCCTGTTTGAACAAATGAGTCTTCAGTTGTTTCCAGGGAGTGTACAAAACAGGGAGGCAGCCACACAAAACTGCTCCAAAATTACTGTGGAACAGGCCTCAGAACTTTGGATTTCGGAGGATAAACTTTCCCGCAGAGTGCAGGTATATACTGGGTATATAAGGGATAAGGGGTTGCAATATAATGTATTTGTTGATGAATATGTTTTGTATATTTATAAGAGCGGAAAGATCATGGAAAAGCTACTTCTGATTGCTATACTGTACTCCCAAACAAGGCTTCTGGTGTATAAGTTTAACACAAAACAGACCTATTTGCTTCAAGAAATCAACAAAGCTATAAGAATCTGCTTTGTTGGGTTGAGAGGATAAACAAGGCCACAGCACACACGGCTTGCTGAAGTGGGGTGAAAAGCTAAAGTACACAATAGGCAGGATTTGTCTGGAAGCTACACTGACTTGGAGCAAGGTCCAAAAACACAAAACAAAATGCCAAAGCAAAACGAACCACTTCAAGGCTGAAGGTGAGGGCTATAATTTGAATCGCTCCCTTTACAGCGACATACGTACTGCAAAAGGAAAGCCAGGCTGTTGTTGCATTACAAAACACAACTTTCTAGACCTTTCTGACTGCAAGTGGCTAGTTTTCCACTTGCAGGGAGTGATGCATTTTACACAAGATGGGGCATCCAAAACACACACACACACACACACACACACCCTTGCAATTTGTGGAGGTAAGACCTTGTCTACCTTAATGTTTCCCAAATACTAGCACGGATGTAAATTAGGGAAACTCCTCTTCCCAGTCACTCGGGTCATCTGTTCCCAGCAACGATTTCACTGAAAAAGCTGTGCCAGAACCAAGGAAACGGGAGTTTCGCCATTTGCAGCGCAGATGGGCACCTCCACACATATACAGCAACATTAACTGCATACCCTACGTGTTTCCCATATTTTTAGACTGCCAAGAAAAGGTCTGCGTGAGTCAATATCCCTTTGTGTCAGCACATGTGGCTCCCATCTGTGGCCAAGCCCGCTCCAGCAAGGCCTACCAAGAGGCAGCCTGTTGCAGCCTTTGAACTGAAGCCGTAAATTGAGGGGCCAGAATTCCTCCGCTCGCATTCTTGGCCTGTGGCCCGAAGCCGTAATTGCTGTTCCCATGGCAAAGATCCTGGCTTCCCTACAAAACCAGGTCTATCCAGCCAGGCGGAGCTAATTGCTCTCAAGCGCGGCTCGCAAAGGAGGGGACAATGAAATGTGTTACGGAGCCTGTGGCGTTTGTATAGTGGGACACAGGCAGTTCAGTCATCGTGGCAAGGGGGGAGGGGTTTGGAAAACGTCAGGGCCCCCCCCCCCATCCACCAACCCAAGGCTCGGTGGTCTGCCATGAGGTATGATTTCACGTTCTCTTTCCTGGATTCAGAGCAAGCTAGCGATTAAAATAATTCTTTCTATTCCCTATGTTAGGTACCAGCCAATGACTGAGCCATTACTCAGTGATGGGCCAGGACTGAGAAAATGGAGGCACCAGCAGCCTTCAGTGTTTGATCACCTAGGATTTTAACAGGCCTGCACAGCTCCCATCCCATGATCTAAAGTCAACAGTGCTTCCTGGTTCCTATCTCCTTTCCAAGTTGTGATTACAGCAAGCCGAACATTCATCCCCCTCCTGCCTTCAGATGTGATTTTAACCAGCTTTAGTAAACCAGAGGTCTCGCTGGGCAGAATTTTCTTTAGATTTCAAACTTAAAAGACAGGAGCCTGTTGCAAACTAGGTGCCACTCCTCTCAGCTAAGTAAGGAACACATCTTTACACTCCTGCCAGTAGCTAAGTCTTGTATTTTTACTACATCCCTTTCAGGCAGCACATCCTATCCTTTACTTTCCTTGAGGTGTGCTGTCTCAGCTTTTATGCTGCCTCCACTGCAGTTCCTACCACTGCCATTTTCTGTAGATAAAAGCTTTACTTCAAGGCTGGGTCGAAACTAGCAGGATAAAAGGCCAAGCGTTATTGTGCTCCCAGGGTATAGGTGATGGTTTAATCGCAAACCAACTTTACAATACAGGCCTGGGGTGTGCACAAAGACAGCTGGAGTTGTCCCTAAAATTAGGGACTCGTTCTTTCTCAGGCAGAAATATGTCCAGATCTCTCACCACACTTCTTTAATAGCAATGTTGTTTTATATTTTCAATCACCAAGCTATCTATGAATTGCCAAGGACATCCTGCATACAACAGAACATTCAAGGACCACTCAGAGTGAGCGAAGTGGATGCATGACTTGTGATTAGGAGGAAATTGGCAAGGATTGCTGACTTTTAACACTAGCAACAAAACACCCCTGCTCTCATATTCTACAGCTGAAATTAAGGAAGCTGAGTGTGCGTGTGTGAACCAGAAGTGCATTTTTCTGTAGAAAGACTGAGTACCATTATGTTATGCTGTTCTGAACGAATTCCTGTGCTCAGAATTCTTTATTTCTAAGTGTATGTCTTTTGAACCTTTTGATGGATCTTGGGGTTCTAGCAAAAACACAAATTGCTCAACACACTGAAATGTGTGCCTGAAAACACACCAGATGTTTCCCTACCGTTGCGTGTTCCAGTTCCTACACAACAGACATGTAGAAACGACTATATAAGCCTCGTACCAGGTAACACAAGTCGCAAAACACCAATTCTTTTAAAAGCAGCTTGTTTCTGTAAGAATGCGGTGGTTTACAGGACAACATACATTTGCTGAAGCAATGAAAGAAAGGAAAAAGGCCTACCTTTGTACCAACTGTTATATCTTGGACAATGCTGTAAGAGAAGGACAAGACACAAAATATTAGATTGGTTTTCAAATACAGGAAGTATAAAAACAAACAACAACAACAACTATGCAACTCTTAGCAAGAAACTCTGTATGCTTAAAATAGTGATGAGGAACCAAGCGCCAAAGGTATTCAGAAATTTACGAGACAGCAAACTGTATTTCTTCCAACAGCAAAGCGCATGGGTAACAAGGTAAGCGATTGCTGTTTCTAAGAATACAACACAACTTCCAGGTCAAAGGGCAGATGTGTTACATGCAGTCACATCTCAGTCTGTAAGTCATAGTGGCAATTCACCCCCAAAAAGGAGAATTGCTAGTTTATGTTAATTACTGTGAAGAAAACAAGAACTGTTTCAAATTGTACTTCCACCCAGCTCTGTCCAGCTTAGAGGAGCAAGGTTTTTTGCATTTAATGATGCATACGATAGTAAGTTGCTCTTTAAGGGACATTGAGATCTTATCCCTTTCTGCAGACACCCTTGATATAAATACCTGTCTAGAATCAGGTCCTCTAATCTCATTGAGTCCATCTTTTTCCACTGTATCAAAGGGGGAAAACTACTGAACTCAAGAAACGTTCCAGCCCTGACTATAGAGCTTGGGCTCCCTAAGCAATGGGGTCCGTACTTGTCACAACAGATTATTTCTGTTCCCTCACCCCTTCCCCCCAGCCCAGCATATCAAGACTGCAGTGCTGCTGGTAGCCCTAGTGTTAGTCACAAGAGACAGAAGGAAAATGAGCAGGGCCGCACTGCAGGTTGTAAGGTCCCTCAGAGACGAATGATCACAAAATGAGAGTACATGGTGGCAACCCCAAACCGCTAGTTCTCTCAGAATGGCAATCATGGTTGCATTGGTTAAGAGCGTGGTGCTGACAAGGCCAAGGTTGTGGGTTCGATTCCCATGTGGGGCAGCTGCATATTCAGATTCGACCAGGTGATCCTCAGAATCCCTTCTAACTCTATGAGTCTATGAATTTAAATGGGTCTATCCCCTGGTTGTTTTGCCGTTGCACTAGGCCACCGTCTGGCTCAGGATGCCAGAGAAATCCAGGCTCATGGCCGAGTCCACCCAAACCACAAGCTGGAAACCACAGGACAAATCTTGGTTGCAGTGCATGGGTTCATCTGGAGAGTGCTCAACCAGAAGCCTGGGTTCGGACAACGCAGTAGCCAAACCATGGCTTAGCTCAACGCAGCAGCAAGTGGCTGCTTGCTCAAACCAAGCCATGGTTTAGCTTAGCGTTTATGTGTGAAGGGGGCCAGACAGACAGCCGTATTGCCATACACCTAGAGTTTTAAGACGAAAGGTTTACTTCACCACTCCCCTTGCTCACTTCAATTGATCTCATTTGGCAATTTCGAAGAAACCAGGCCAGGCTGTTTAATCCCAGCAAACCACTGGGTTCCCTTGCCCGAACCGCCCGCGCATTTCTTCTTCAAAAGCCAACTTTTGACTCCTCACCCCCAGCAGTTCACAGCTGGCATTAAGTCTGATTCAGGACTAGTGGCCAGGAGTACTACAAGCTAGCAGCAAATGCCACTGCGAACCAATGACTTTTTTTTTTAAGAAAAGAAAAAGCTCAAGTGAGGGAACGCAGAATTTTTACAATCCCACTGGTGTTTAGAATTGCCAGCGGAGACAGATGGGTTTTGTTGAGATCTTGAATGCTTAGTTCAAGTGGACTAATTAAACCCATCTGTGAAATCAGCAGAGAAGCCCAGCCAAAGAGATGCTTTTCACTGCTTCGTCATCATGCAAATTGTATAAGGCCAAAAAAATAATAATACAGGGTTAGTGAAAAGCCATTTTGCTTCTGTTCATCTATAGGAGGAAATTCCCAAGACAAGACTAACTCTCAAAAGTTATTCTGAGAGCAATGACTCTTACTTCCTGCTTCTCTGGGGAAAGGCTCATTCAATGATTTTTTTTTTTTACACAGCAAGTTGAGACAATGGTTTTAAACTGATCACAACCGAGCAACTATTAGGTTCAGTAATACCTAATGAGAAATTGTTATTAGCTACTTAGAAAATATTTTATGTAGCTTTTTGCGTGATCTTCGAGGCAAATCGACAAGCTCCATCAGAACATACTGAAGGAGTTATTTCCCGTGGAAGAGTCAAGGCTGGGAGTGGGATGGTGGGAGATACTTACAGGAAACTTAATATATGGACTTTGCCAGCCAAAGAACTTAAGCTCAGCATTTTAACCGACAGATTTCCTAGCAAAGGAAGTCCACATTTTGCCTCCCACCAGGAAACTATTTTTTTGCAAAACTACATCTATCAGTGGTAGTCAGCTATTCCGGTCTTTATCACTTCTTAAAGACAGAGAACTGCATCAAACAGAATGCAAGTTTTGGGTCATCTGAGTGTCTGGATGCCATCACTATGCCAATACTCAGCTCTATTTGTGGTGCCACAGTGAAGCCGTGGAAATCCTCAATGATTTGCCTAGATACACTCATGTATTTGATTTGGTCTAATAAGTTGAGGTTCATTCCTGACAAGATAAGAGGCTCTATTGGACAGCAGACAATGTGATCCAGGCTTGGGAGTACAGCTGAATGGTGTTGCTCTCCCGCTGAGTAAGGGACCACCAGAACTGGTCACAGGAGCTCAAGATAGAGAAGGGTTTCAGGAACCTATTCCCATTTATCTGAAAATATTCCTTGTTTTTATTGGATATTCCTTCCACATTCACCAAGGACTGTGTGTGTGGGAAAAACATTCACCCCATCAATAGGAAACAGAAGTTGAAATCAACTGATTGACAACTGAGACAGAATTTTTTTTTTGCGACATGGCACCAGGGCTGAAATACTTTCGTGCACCCAGTCACACTGGAATTTTAAAGTGGCACTCGGATGCGATATTTTCTTTCTTCCAGCTCTATACAGGGCTGGCGCCCAAGAAGTCTGATTTCTGGCTCAGAATTATAACTTACCCTTGTTCAACCTCTGAACCAAAACGGAATAACAGAACAGTTTCGGAGGACAGGAACTGCCAGGACAATATACTGACTAGTTTATTGTGGTTCTCAAGGTCACCTTTAAAAGGTGACTCAAAAGAAAAGCAGAAGTCCCAGGCATACATTGCTCTCCACACCTAGGCAACACATCCCCACCCAACTACGCCTGCAGGGGAAACTTAGATTTGCATGCAAATTATAGGAGGAAGCATTTTCTAGGTAAATGGAAGGGTGTGGCAGAAATAGGACCTTCCCAGCAAGCCTTTTTTTGCAATGCAGAGAAAAACAAGGGGGAAACTTCCTGACACTCTCAAAGTGGGAGGAAGCTGGAGGGAACAGCCTTTGGGACATTGAATGGGCACTCACACAACAGAAGGTAAAGCCACATGAAGAATAAACTAGAAAACTAGAATTAAGTAGCAGACAGGGAAGCAATGAAACTGCACAAAAACTTTCATTTGCAAACAAGCAAGGGTTAAAATGGAGTATCCTTTTCCCCCCCAAAAGCTAAGCAAAGGAGTACATAAGGGTGTCTCAGTATGCAAGGAGGAGTAACTCACACAGTGGAAATGGAAATGGTATTAACTTATGACTAAGGCAGAGGTTTTTGAACTGTGGTCTGAGTTCCATTTGGGTAGCTTGTGGAAACGCTGCAACATAGTCAAATTATCTGTACTCAGCCCTGCACTTAATTTTCCTTGATGTGTGGATGGAGGACTGTGCGTGAGTCAGGTGGCTCAATGGCGATGTCAGTCACCAACATGACACCCAGAAATCTCCATGCTGTTGCAACTGGACGCGTGTCAGTAGCAAAACATGCCTGGGGAATTTCGAACACGGCCTGTTCCTTAATTATTAGTACAGTGGTACCTCGGTTTATGAGAACCTTGGAAGCCGAACGTTTTGGTTTTTGAATGCCAAAAACCCGGAAGTAAATGTTTCAGTTTTCGAATGCGCCTCGGAAGTCGAATGGCTTCCGCTGCGCTTTTTTCAATTTTCTCCATTGACTTTGCCAATCGCCCTCTGCGCCTCCATTGTTGAATGTTTTGGAAGTATATTACTCCTGTTTGATAGACTTCAGGGTTCTAGTCGGGGGGGGGGGGGGAGATATCTTGCAAACTGGGCTGCCCGTGTTGCAAAGTACTGCAACCAGGTTGCCTAGACAGTTACGTGCTTGCCAGCAAGGCAATGAGAAAAACTATCTACAAAGTTGACCCAAGGTCAATCAATGATCTCCAGAAAAGTATGCTGATAATGGAACTCCTTTGCGAGGGAATGAGTTTAAAGTTCTCATCTATCCTGGCAGTAAGGGAGAGGTGAACAGTGTTTTTAGTACATTCTTTCACCAGGGCGCACTTAAGAGACTGAGGCAAGAGGGTCACAACCAAACACTTCAGGTACCCAGGGAGAAGGCGTTGGAGAAGGGGCGGTTCAGAAGCGAGAGAAAATGTGCTTTCAGATAAGGATAGGAAGTGGGGGAGAAGCACAACACAAGCTTCATAAATGTAAGTTGTGGGAAGGAGGAGGCAGCTACCCTGACCCATAGAATGGGGTGCTTGAAGCAAGTCGACCGAAGGAAGGCAGCAGCCTGCAAAGCTGTAATTCAGAGAAGGGAGAGTACAGAAAATATGGGAAACATAGGGGCATGGGGAGTGAAAGGTATACTCTGTATCTGGCTAATGAGGATAATCCAAACCACTAATTGTTCCCTAAGTACATTAAAGGGTGTCTGAAGAGACAACCCCCCTAGATTTCCCCTCTTCATCCTTTCACAGTTTTGCAAACCCTTGTTTCTTCTTCCACACCCAACGCTCAGTTCACACAGCTTTATTCCCAGCCGCCATTGCTTCCCGGGAAAGGCCATTGCTCAACAGGAGAGCGGCTGCTTCACATGCAGAAGGTGCCAGGATCAATCCCAAACATCTCCGTGTAGTTGCCGGAAATATCCCACGAGGGTCATCCAGCCCAACCCTCTACAGTGCTCAAATCTGTTGCCCAAGCGCCCACTGCCCTTTGCTAGACTTGTGGCTTCTCCACACTCCCCAACTTCTCTTTTTAACCCACGTGCAACACTGCACACACGGACTTCCCTTTTTCTTTTAGATCGCTCAAAGGCCTTTCACAACCGTCTCATGTGATTTTGGGTTCATTCATGAGATAGAGCACATATTCTTGCAACAGAAGGCCAAGCCCGAGTGCATCAAAGTTCAGTGGGACATACCCCCTAGTTAAGGGTCCTTGCATCTTTAAGAGGCATAAGCAGACCCTACAAGTGCCCCTATTTTCCAGGGACACTACTGTATTCATAGAAGCCCTCCCGGTTTCTGATGAAATTATGGAATGTACCGCTGTTCCTTAGGACGCCCCTATTTTCAGGGGAGAAACGTTGGAGGGGATGGAATAGGACGCCCCTATTTTCAGGGGAGAAACGTTGGAGGGGATGGAATAGGACGTCCCTATTTTCAGGGGAGAAACGTTGGAGGGGATGGAATAGGACGTCCCTATTTTCAGGTGAGAAACGTTGGAGGGGATGGAATAGGACGTCCCTATTTTCAGGGGAGAAACGTTGGAGGGGATGGAATAGGACGTCCCTATTTTCAGGAGAGAAACGTTGGAGGGATGGAATAGGACGTCCCTATTTTCAGGGAGAAACGTTGGAGGGATGGAATAGGACGCCCCTATTTTCTGGGTGAAACGTTGGAGGGGATGGAATAGGACGCCCCTATTTTCAGGGGAGAAATGTTGGAGGGGATGGAATAGGACGTCCCTATTTTCAGGGGAGAAACGTTGGAGGGGATGGAATAGGACGCCCCTATTTTCAGGGGAGAAATGTTGGAGGGGATGGAATAGGACGTCCCTATTTTCACAGGAGAAACATTGGAGGGGATGGAATAGGACGTCCCTATTTTCAGGGGAGAAACGTTGGAGGGGATGCACATATAACCCCCCCCCCAAAAAAAAGTCTGGGGGGGGGCAGAGTAAGAAAGAGGAAGGAAAGAGAAAGAAAAAAAGAGGGCGTGGCTAAGAGGCGACTTAGCTCGAGGCAGCAGACACAAGACACTTGGGAACAAAGTTTCACGGGTGGGTTTGAAACACAGACGGGATCGAGCATCCACGGAGCTGGTTAGGTGGGCGCTGAAGCGCATGCGCCTTCTTCCGCCGCCGCCGCCCCCCCCCCACTTTATTCGGAGGAGCAGAGAAGAACTTTAGAACGTTGAGTTGCGGGCCGCGCGCGCGCGCACCGAACGTTGCCGCGGGAGCGCGCTCGCCCCCCTCGCCGCTTCAGAACGTTCACAGATCGGGAACGCGGTTGCGGGGGCGCGCGCGCGCCGGTTAGAACTTTCGCGGGGGGCGGGGGGGGAGTGCATATGCGCGCGCATACGGAACTTTCAAAAGAGGAGGGGGGACGGTGGCGCGCGTGCGCGTGCCCGCTCCCCTTCTCTCCCCCTCCCCGCCCCCTCATATATTTCACTTTCTACCTCAGAAAAGGCATTCGCCTCAACTTTTAGGGCTGGGGAAGCGAGGCCTAGTTTTCGCCCCCTCACGGAACCGGGTTCGAGCTCCGCGCTTGGCTTTCGCCCCCTTTTCAACCGCCCCTCCCCCCTTCTCTCTTTCCCTGAGGTGATTTTCCCTCACAAACCGCCCCCTTCCCTTCCGCTCACCCGTCCATGGCACACGAAGGCGACCCGAAAGGGAAGCGGAGCTGGACGCGCTGGAATAGCAGGAGCGGGCTCAACGGCTACGTGTTATATAGACTCACAAAATGGCGGCGCGGGGCGGGACCCGCCCTCGGAGCCTTTTGAGGCGCCGGGGCCCCATTGGCTAGGCGGCGCTGTCACCTTGACGAGGCGGGCGGCGGGGCTCCTCCCGCTCCGTGGCTCCCATTGGATGCGGCTAGGCGACGGGGGCGGGCTCCGGCTCCGGCGCGCGTTGCGATTGGCGCGATGACGACGCCGCCTCGAGCGTCGGGCGGGAGGCCATTTTGGGGGCGGGATCCCCTCGCGGCCCGCTCGGTCTTCCAGGGTGGGCGGCCCTTCGGCGGCCATCTTAAGTATGGGCAAAGGAATGCGAGCGCGTGGATGGGTCTTGGAAGCGAACGCGGCCGGCGGCGGAAGCCTGGCACGTGAGGATGCCGCGGCCATTTTGAGAACGGGCATATCGAAGTATACATGTTTCCACTGCTGTAATATTGTTGTAGCTGGATCCCGAGTTCAGGTGCTGACAATTCAACAACAAAACAAGCACACGGTCCTGGGGTTAGATAATTTTAGACCCTGGATTGCATAGTCTCTTTTGAGTCCCCCTAACAAAGGGGTAGGAAAAATTCAAGAAAGGATTCTTTGGTTTGGAGAACTATGGAACTCCCTGCCACAAGGAAGTCGTTGTGGTAAAAGGATTTAGCAATTCCCAAAGAGGGGCTAGATATCCATAGAAAATGTGCTCCATAAAATGTGTTGGGGGTTGTTTTTATTCTGATTATGTATTTGGTGTTTTTATATTGTATCCTGTGAGAACTGCAAGGTATAGGGTGATGATAATAGTAATAATATTAATAATAATAAGAATAATAAGAATAAGAATAAATTTAATGATAATAATAATAGGTTTTCCCAGTAGTGATGTATGGAAGTGAGAGCTGGACCATAAAGAAAGCTGATTGCCAAAAAATTGATGCTTTTGAATTCTGGTGCTGGAGGAGACTCTTGAGAGTCCCATGGACTGCAAGAAGATCCAACCTCTCCATTCTGAAGGAAATCAGCCCTGAGTGCTCACGGGAAGGACAGATCCTGAAGCTGAGGCTCCAAGACTTTGGCCACCTCATGAGAAGAGAAGACTCCCTGGAAAAGACCCTGATGCTGGGAAAGATGGAGGGCGCAAGGAGAAGGGGACGACGGAGGACGAGATGGTGGGACAGTGTTCTTGAAGCTACCAGAATGAGTTTGACCAAACTGCAGGAGGCAGTGGAAGACAGGAGGGCCTGGCGTGCTCTGGTCCAGGGGGTCACGAAGAGGCGGACACGACCAAACGACTGAACAACAACAACATGCCAAGCGCTGCCTCTTTGGGGCTGGCACTGCTCCTGCACCACCATTTTGGGGGCCAGTGAGACTCAGTAATTTTCTCCCATCTCGGGTGGGCCCTGGAGAAATTTCCAGCCGAATTTGGGGGGGACCACCGTTGCATTCAGCTATTTCAATTGCTTTTGTTCGATTTGCTCATTGCAGACAGCAGAAAGCCTGCCAATTTCGAAAACAAACCCGGTTTGCAATGGGGGTTGAATAATTTCGATGGCAACTATAGCTATTGTCAACCGTGGAAGGGGAACTTAAGGCGCAGAAACCGGGAGAAATGACTACATGGTAGTTGGGGAAGGAGACCTGGGGGTGGGGAATGAAGAATGGGAGTGCAAGAAAGGCATTTTAAATTCAGTTCTCTTTGCTTTCATTTCAGGCTCCCGTCTCCAGTTCACCAGCTGTTTGGCAGCAACAGCGCCGAATGCTTATTCTGTTACACGGCTGTATTGGGTTTCGGCCGGGAGGGATGTAATTTCAATTCCAGGTTGCCTTTCTTTGCCCTCCCCTCCACCCCCCATTTAGCCGAGAGACTTGTGAACTTACGGGCCCGCAAGAGGCAGAAATCTGGGTTCTGTGACCGAAAGGAATCCTGGAAAACCAAGTGTGTTTCTCACTCGGATCTCGTTGCGAACATCAGGGGTTGTAGCTGTGATAGGAATTTTGAGGTCTTAGATATATGGTAATGTTCATAAGTGTACCAACCAAGCACATACATAGATCAGCACAGGAAGACCGACCTGAAACCATTTTGATTCCTAAACTGACCAAATGATTTCTCTGCACGGTCAAAGTGGGAAACCTCCCCATTGTCTCTTCCCTCACAAATCCTGTCTTAAGGGCACATTTAAGATATGAATAGGGTGTGAGCCTGTGTCCTGGCCCAGGAACTTAGTATTTATCATTACAAAAAACTGGCCAGGCTCCCCAGGAAATCCAGTCAAGTAACCTACCAGACAGGAGAAAAACAACATTCAAATTTCTGTTTTAGACTGCCTTTTCTGTGATGTAGGTGTGATGTATCTGAGGGGTGGTCTTAGGTTACACCCCTTCTGTGATGTAGGTATGATGTTTCTGGGGGTGGTCTTGATCTACAGGGTGGCAATTTCAAAAGTCTTTATAAGGCCTTGTGCGTCATTTTTCTGGGTCTCTCCTGCGTGTGAGGGGAGCACCTTGTTGCAACAGATCAATAAAGATCAGGCTTACTAGCTGCTTTGCTTCTCAATATTCTCTGCTTGGCCTCTGTTATTTTCTCCTACCAATAGGGAACCTATGTAAGGACTGTATATGGGCTCTTGGATACCCCATAAGGGAAAAGGGGCAATTTTTGTTTACAACATAGCCAACCAAGTTTTTCCTCAGAGCAGACCCAGTGATTTTAATGGAACCGAGTTAGCCATCATAAGTTGTCCTAAAAGGTCCCCTTTGTAAAACGTAGGTGAATTCCTCTGCCGTAGCCCCAAAGATCAATTTGATCCCTCTGTTGCCAGAAAAATGCCCTCCAGAAAGTCCACGAAGACCCACAAAGTCCACGCCGTACCTTCAAAGCACATGGCTCCCCTCAAAGGATCCTGGGAACTATAGTTTGCCCCCTTACAGGGCGCCACAATTCACGGCATTCTTCACAAACCATAGTTCCCAGGATTTATGGGCGATGTAATGTGCTTTAAATGTATAGTGAGGAATGAACCCTTCCTTGTGTCCCACCGCCTGCGGTTGATATTCGGGGATAGACTGCCTTGGAACGGGGAGTTTATTTCTATTTAGCAAGCATGGCTTTGTGGCTTTCGTACACCTCTCTCCCTTGCATTTGTCCCTTTTAAAATAATCTAAGACTGCACACACACAAGACTCTTGTTGATATTTGCTGGAAGAAATATCAACAACTTCAGATATGCAGATGACACAACCTTGATGGCAGAAAATGAGGAGGAATTAAAAAACCTTTTAATGAGGGTGAAAGAGGAGAGTGCAAAATATGGTCTGAAGCTCAACAAAAAAACGAAGATCATGGCCACTGGGCCCATCACCTCCTGGCAAATAGAAGGGGAAGAAATGGAGGCAGTGAGAGATTTCACTTTCTTGGGCGCCATGATCACTGCAGATGGTGACAGCAGTCCCGAAATTAAAAGATGCCTGCTTCTTGGGAGAAAAGCGATGACAAACCTAGACAGCATCTTAAAAAGTAGAGACATCACCTTGCCAACAAAGGTCCATATAGTTAAAGCCATGGTTTTCCCAGTAATGATGTATGGAAGTGAGAGCTGGACCATAAAGAAGGCTGATTGCCGAAGAATGGATGCTTTTGAATTCTGGTGCTGGAGGAGACTCTTGAGAGTCCCATGGACTGCAAGAAGATCCAACCTCTCCATTTGGAAGGAAACCAGCCCTGAGTGCTCACTGGAAGGACAGATCCTGAAGCCGAGGCTCCAAGACATTGGCCACCTCATGAGAAGAGAAGACTCCCTGGAAAAGACCCTGATGTTGGGAAAGATGGAGGGCGCAAGGAGAAGGGGACGACAGAGGACGAGATGGTTGGACAGCGTTCTCGAAGCTACCAGCATGAGTTTGACCAAACTGGGGGAGGCAGTGGAAGACAGGAGGGCCTGGCGTGCTCTGGTCCAGGGGGTCACGAAGAGTCGGACATGACTAAACAACAAGACTGCACACACAGCGTGGACTTGAAGCACATTTAAGACTCCCTTCCCTCAAAAATAAAATAAAATCCTGGGAACTGTAGTTTAAGGGTGCCGGGAAGTGTAGCTCTGTGAGGGGGGCGAACTACAATTCCCAAGAAGCCAAATTCCTTTAAATGTATGGTGTGTCGGCCGGGCATATGATTTTCCTAACCTTTCTGATGTCTGTGCTTCTGAATAAGCAACGAGAACTAAATCAAAAACCCCCACAGGCAAGGAACAATTTTCAGCAGATTCTGCACCCTGCCAAATCTGAAAATTTTGCAAATGGACGGGGCTGCGTCTTGTTTTGGCATTTGCTGTTCACATAATTTCGACACTTTCCTGCTTTGGGCTGCTCCTTTCTGATTACTCATTTCCTCGTATACACTATGAAAAGAGAGGGGGGGGACTGCGCCAGCCATTTCCTGCCTATTGTGGTGCGGAATTTTGTTGAAACCACAAGCTACAATAGTACAAAATGCCAGAACCCCGACTCCCCAGCACAGCAAATGGTTTCGAACAGCATTTTTTATTATTTTTTTGCAGAAAGTGCAACGTTCTGGGCATCCTCCCCGTTACCGGTCAGTTTATTTCGGCAGTTTCCACACCACTGCTTCAATCTAAAAAAATAAAATATAAATGCATTCCAGGGCTGCGATCGTAAGAACAGAATATCAACGCGACGTTAATAAACCAGAAACTGTTCCACCAGCTTTATATAGGTAAAGGTGAAGGGACCCCTGACCATTAATTCCAGTTGTGGCCGACTCTGGGGTTGCGGCGCTCATCTCGCTTTATTGGCCGAGGGAGCCGGCGTACAGCTTCCGGGTCATGTGGCCAGCAGGACTAAGCCCTTCTGGCGAACCAGAGCAGCGCACAGAAACGCCGTTTACCTTCCTGCCGGAGCAGTACCTATTTATCTACTTGCACTTTGACGTGCTTTTGAACTGCTAGGTTGGCAGGAGCAGGGACCGAGCAACGGGAGCTCACCCCATCATTACGGGGATTCGAACCGCCGACCTTCTGATCGGCAAACCCTAGGCTCTGTGGTTTAGCCCACAGCGCCACCCGCGTCCCCTAGCTTTATATATGTGTGTATAAAAAGGTAAATACACCTAGGGCTGAAAAGAATGCCTTGTAGAAGATCACCTTCCTTCTTTTGGGAGGGTATTCTAAAGCTGGGGTGCCGCCACCAAAAAGCACCTGCTATCTTTGGCTCTGTAATGAAGCTTTTTTGCAGAGGTAGGAATTCCAGCAGCTCGCTTTCTGCGTTCTTGTATCAAGGCTGCGTATCATCTATACGCATGGCTATCCAGGTGGTTCTCACGTCTCATATTTTCCAGGCTAAACATACCCAGCTCCTTCAACCGTTCCTCCTGAGATGTTTTTAAGGGCGTTTTCAACTGTTGTAGAAATGGCTTTTTTTGCTTTGAAACCATGCCTCTGCTTGCTGCCCTGGGCCCCTTGGGGAGGGCGGGCAAGGCGTAAATTCAAGAAATAACGGTGTACGAGCGAGCAGGTTGTTTGGAAACGATCAAACGCCCAAGATTCCCTTCCTTTAGTTTTTAAAAAGAGGTTCGTTCTGGCGCCTGAATTATAAAGTTCAGCGTTGGCTGGCTTATATATTATATACAGAGGTGGCAGAAACATCAGTGAGGGACGAAGGGATCGTTTCCCCCACTTCGCACGCCGCAAGGTCCATCGCTAAATAATTCAGGGCAGCGATGGTTTATTCATGCCCGCCAGCTCCTTTCATCTCATCCGAGTGTCATGGAAACTTCCCGTCGGAGCAAACAGAGATGGAAACCACCCAGAGTGGTTTCAGAAAGCCATCCTTAAATTTCAACTAGTCCACAGCATCTGAACAACCCTTTAAACAAACAAACGTGAAAAATCACACACAAATTTGCACCCGTCGTTGTAGAAATTAACGGAGATGGCTGTTAATTTTAGTGGGCCTACTCTGGAGCAGGGAAGGGGCGGAAATCGGCTCCATTTCGCATCTAAAAGCGGGCCTGCTTAATTCCCAAAACGATGTGGGGAACGAAACACGTTGTTTGAAATTGGCATTTCGTGGTGACAGCAGTCACGAAATTAAGAGACGCCTGCTTCTTGGGAGAAAAGCAATGACAAACCTAGACAGCATCTTAAAAAGCAGAGACATCACCTTGCCATCAAAGGTGCATATAGTTAAAGCTCTGGTTTTCCCAGTTGTGATGTATGGAAGTGAGAGCTGGACCATCAAGAAGGCTGATCGCCAAAGAATGGATGCTTTTGAATTCTGGTGCTGGAGGAGACTCTTGAGAGTCCCAAGGACTGCAAGAAGATCAAACCTCTCCATTCTGAAGGAAATCAGCCCTGAGTGCTCACTGGAAGGACAGATCCTGAAGCTGAGGCTCCAAGACTTTGGCCACCTCAGGAGAAGAGAAGACTCCCTGGAAAATACCCTGTTGTTGGCGTGCTCTGGTCCATGGGGTCACGAAGGTTTGGAAACGATCGCGCCTGAGAAAACTCCCCTTTAATAGCTAGAAACGGGTGCAAGTATCTTTCCCCCTGTTAAAAAACAAACAAACAGCCCCTTTCTCTGGCCTCTGTTTCTTCTCCTCTAACTGGTTTTTCCTCTGAACAGCTACGGATTCTTTGCATTCTTCCACTCCATCGAGAAATTGCGTGTCTTATTTAGACAAACAGCCCCCTTTGCTTCGTGCAAAAGGAAAGACTCCTCTCCAAGAAATGCAAACTTGTTGTTGCTTTTCTGTGCATCGCACAAACACTCGCGCCCATCTCTTTGCGGCAGCCAAAATTTATCTGCCCGATCGATCGCCCACACTCCTGAGTTCTGTCACGCTGTCCCAGGATTTCCCCTCTTCCCGCGTCCTTCTGGGATTGTCCCTGGATAACTGGGACACTTGGAGAGGATGCCTCCATACTCACAGACCTGAAGGAGCACCTCCACCCCCATCATTCACCCTGGACGCTGAGGTCCAGCTCCGAGGGCCTTCTGGCCGTTCCCTCCCTGCGAGAAGCGAGGTTACAGGGAACCAGACAGAGGGCCTTCTCGGTCGTGGCGCCCGCCCTGTGGAACGCCTTCCTATCAGATGTCAAGGAGATAAATGACTCTCTGACTTTTAGAAGACATATGAAGGCAGCCCTGTTTAGGGAAGCTTTTAATATTTGATGAATTATTGTATTTTAATATTTTGCTGGAAGCCGCCCAGAGTGGCTGGGGAAACCCAGGCAGATGGGCGGGGTATAAATAATAAATTATTATAATAATTATTATTACTACTACTATTACAGTGGTACCTTGGTTCTCAAACGCCTTGGTACTCAAACAACTTGGAACCCAAACACTGCAAACCTGGAAGTAAGTGTTCCAGTTTGCGAACGTTTTTCAGAAGCCAAACGTGTTCCGTTTTGAGTGCCACACTTCCGTTTTGAGTGTTACACTGAGGTCTGTCGTGTTTTTGCTATTTATTTTGCGTTGGGGTTTTTTAAAAGTTTTTGTGACTGTGTGGAACCCAGCTCAGCTACTGACTGATTGATTGATTGATTGATTGATTGAGTGACTGCAGTACATTGGTTATTACTTTCATTTTATGGATCAATGGTCTCATTAGATGGTAAAATTCATGTTAAATTGTTGTTTTGGGGGGTGTTTTTAAAAGCCTGGAATGGATCCATCCGTTTTGCATGACTTTCTATGGGAAAGCAGTGCACCTTGGTTTTGGAACACTTTGGTTTTAGAACGGATTAAGTTTCAGAACCAAGGTACCACTGTATCGGCCTTCTGTGATATCTCTGAACCTAAGAGCTTTTGCACAAAGCTTTGCTGGGTGGAAGGAGCTGGATTTTTTGCAAGAGCAAAACTGGAAGCCGTGTCCAGCGGAAATATTGCAGAAGCGGAGCGGAGGCAGCCAGATAAGCGGTTCACATTCCTTTAAGGCTTGCAGAAATAACAATGAGAAATGACGCCATGCAGGAAAACAACAACATGTTGCATCTGGGAAGAGCGACTTGACCTTGCTCTGCCTCTTCAGAGTCCATTCTTCCTGTCTAAGAGGTCCCTTGCTTCTGTTCGGTGGTCGAGAGCCTTGCCGGAATGATATACAGTGGTACTTCGGGTTACATACGATTCAGGTTACAGACTCCGCTAACCCAGAAATAGTACTTCAAGTTAAGAAATTTGCTTCAGGATCAGAACAGAAATCGTGCAATGGCAGTGCGGTGGCAGCAGGAGGCCCCATTAGCTAAAGTGGTGCTTCAGGTTAAGAACAGTTTCACGTTAAGAACGGACCTCCGGAATGAATTAAGTACTTAACCTGAGGTACCACCGTATAGGGACGCAGGTGGCGCTGTGGGTTAAACCACAGAGCCTAGGACTTGCCAATCAGAAGGTCGGCGGTTCGAATCCCTGCAATGACGGGGTGAGCTCCCGTTGCTCAGTCCCTGCTCCTGCCCACCTAGCAGTTCAAAAGCATGTCAAAGTGCAAGTAGATAAATAGGTACCACTCCGGCGGGAAGGTAAACGGCGTTTCCATGCGCTGCTCTGGTTCGCCAGAAGCGGCTTAGTCCTGCTGGCCACATGACCCGGAAGCTGTACGCCGGCTCTCTTGGCCAGTAAAGCAAGATGAGCGCCGCAACCCCAGAGTCGGCCACGACTGGACCTAATGGTCAGGGGTCCCTTTACCTTTACCACTGTATAACCTTGCATATAACCTTACAGGATGAATAAATTAAGCTCAGTAGTGCAGACCCTCCAAGTTCCCCTATTTTCCAGTCCCGGATTTACAGACGCTATAATGAAACAAGCAGCATTTGAAGCGACATCTGTAACATCTGTAACGGTGTCTTCCCGCCCTCTGGTGGAAGCTGGGAGGTGTTGCAGCTTAGTTCAGCTTCCAGTCAAGTTAGCATTCGTTCTTTAAAAATGACAACAACAACAAGAACAACAACAAAGTGAGGACCCCCGAAAAGTGGGGAATTAACGGAGTTCAAGGTCATGTTGGGGTGCAGAGGGCAATCTACTTTAAAAGAGAGTTTCCAAGCACATAAGGACTATAGTTTACTTTTAAATATATAATCTGAGCGTCTTAAAAAGCAGAGACATCACCTTGCCAACAAAGGTCCGTATAGTTCAAGCTCTGGTTTTCCCAGTAGTGATGTATGGAAGTGAGAGCTGGACCATAAAGAAGGCTAATCGCCAAAGAATGGATGCTTTTGAATTCTGGTGCTGGAGGAGACTCTTGAGAGTCCCATGGACTGCAAGAAGATCAAACCTCTCCATTAGGAAATCAGCCCTGAGTGCTCACTGGAAAGACAGATCCTGAAGCTGAGGCTCCAAGACTTTGGCCACCTCATGAGAAGAGGAGACTCCCTGGAAAAGACCCTGATGTTTGGAAAGACGGAGGGCACAAGGAGAAGGGGACGACGGAGGACGAGATGGTGGGACAGTGTTCTCAAAGCGACCAGCATGAATTTGACCAAACTGCGGGAGGCAGTGGAGGACAGAAGTGCCTGGCGTGCTCTGGTCCAGGGGGTCACCAAGAGGCGGACACGACTAAACGACTAAACAACAATATAATCTGAGCCTGTGTGGGTTTTTTGCCTGGCGCGCGACAGAGCTCACATCCACGCTATATATTTCAAACGCACGGCTGCCCAGCACAAAGGATCCTGGGAACTCTAGTATATAGAAATGAGCAAACCAGAAATGATATTTTAGGGAGCAGGCGGGGCCCATGACTTACATCATAGGAGCCTACACAACACAAAACACTCTTGCTCTATGTAGGTTTTATTTTATTTGCTTTTTATCTTATATTTTGGAAATGTACATCCAGTTTCCCCCCCTTTAAATTTTTTTGGGGGCCCCCAAGAGAGTGGGGCCCTAAGCTATGAATTGCTTATCTTATACGTAAATCCAGCACTGGACTTAACATTCGCAAAAGGACGGAGACGAAACGATTTATTCCTCTTTCTGGATCGTATATAAATTATACACATATACATATATGAGCCCGTTGTGACCATGCAGCAACCAAACGAGAGAGAGAGATCGCTGGGTCCCAGGGGTCTCTCGAGATGTGAGGGTGAGGCACCCCGACTGATGCTACACGCATGGATCAGGGCCACCTCCTTAGCCAGGAAACAACAGAACCTGCCCTGTACAAAGACGCTGGAAATGTAGCAGAAAGGAAGTTAAGATTTGGACGCTGGAGCTCTGGGTTCAAGTCCCGGTGAGGCAGCGAGGGTTCCTACCCTATCAAGGGTACCCTGTCTGGCCAGAGTGGTGCATGCTCTGGTTCTCTCCCGCTTGGACTACTGCCATGCGCTCTACATGGGGCTACCTTGGAAGGTGACCCGGAAACGGCAACTAATGCAGAATGTGGCAGCCAGACTGGGGACTGGGAGCAGCCGCCGAGACCATATAGTCCTGAAAGACCTGCATCGGCTCCCAGGACGTTTCCGAGCACAATTCAAAGTGTTGGTGCTGACCTTGAAAGCCCTAAATGGCCCAGTATCCCTGAAGGAGCGTCTCCACCCCTATCGTTCAGCCCGGACACCGGGGTCCATCTCTCGAGGGCCGTCTGGCGGTTCCCTCCCTGCGAGAAGTGAGCTTACAGGGAACCAGGCAGAGGCCTTCTCGGTGGTGGCGCCATCCCTGTGGAACGCCCTCCCTTCAAATGTCAAGGAAATAAACAACTATCTGACTTTTAGAAGACATCTGAAGGCAGCCCTGTTTAGGGAAGCTGTTAATGTTTGATGTTTTGTTGCGCTTTTCATTCTGTTGGGAGCCGCCCAGAGTGGCTGGGGAAACCCAGCCGGATATAAATAATAAATTATTATTATTATTATTATTATTATTGGGACCCACCGGCAACAAAACGGCAGGAGGTGCTACCACCACTCAGCCCCACTGCCTCTGCCCGAGAAGGAAGGAAACTACACTATATTAAGATTCCTCCCAGCTCAGCATTTCTCGACACGGGCTGGCAACAGCTCTGTCAGACAGCGTGCCTCTCACCCACGCCTGCGTTGAGCTGTCAAGGTTTAAAATATGGGACCTTCTGCGTCCAAGAGTGTGCCTCTGCCCCAATCCCTAGTGCTTTCCTTTCCTTTAAAAAGGGGAAAGGAAGATTCCATTCCTCTTCAGCTGATATGAAGGGGAAAGTGGGAAGCTGCCCATCACTGAGACCATATGCCTGAATACTGGCTGGCAGCGCCAGGGACTGAACTTCGGGGGTCTTTGGCACTGCCACTGACCTCCCCCTAAAAGGAAAGTTAAGAAGCTAGTCCTCACCATGGCAGCCCAGAGCCCGCGAAATCGCCAGGATCAATTCTGGGCCGTCTCTCTCGCAATCAAAGCGACGCAGAATTTTAATCGGACATAGATGGGTCGGCGGGATCCGACTGCCGGCCGAACCCGGCAAGAGATCGAATGGAAAAACACTTGGGAGAGCAGAGAATTAAAAACCAAAGAAAAGCCCCGCAGGCAGGCGCCGATGCCGGCTTTGGGAATTCCAGTTCCTCTCCAAGGTTCAGTCGCTGTCGTCGACGGCCCCGCGGATCTGGCCCGTCTCCCAAAGCTGAGCCAGGAGTCCCCTCTGGCAGACGACTTTGGTGGATTTCACAACCTGCAAAAGGAATTGGCGGCTCAGTTAAGAGAACAAGGGTTCTTTTGCAGCCAGCAGGGGCCGCCTTGCCTGGCAGACGAGCTCCCGGGGGTCGTGTGACTGTGGTGAAATAAAATTTAGGTGTAGGCTACCTTGAGTCCCTGCCAGGGGAAAAGGTGGGATATAAGAAGAAGAAGAAGAAGAAGAAGAAGAAGAAGGGATGCGGGTGGCGCTGTGGGTTAAACCACAAAGCCTAGGACTTGCCGATCAGAAGGTCGGCGGTTCGAATCCCCGCAATGGGGTGAGCTCCCATGGCTCGGTCCCTGCTCCTGCCAACCTAGCAGTTGGAAAGCACGTCAAAGTGCAAGTAGATCAATAGGTACCGCTCCGGCGGGAAGGTAAACGGTGTTTCCGTGCGCTGCTCTGGTTCGCCAGAAGCGGCTTAGTCCTGCTGGCCACATGACCCGGAAGCTGGACGCCGGCCAGTAAAGCGAGATGAGCGCCGCAACCCCAGAGTCAGTCATGACTGGACCTAATGGTCAGGGGTCCCTTTACCTTTTTACCTTGGTTTTCCAGCGTCTCGGAAGCTGAACATTTCAGTTTCCAGATGCCCAAAACCCGGAAAGAATTGCTTCCGTTTTCAAATGCGCCTTGGAAGCCGAACAGTTTCCACTGTGCGTTTTTCAATTTTCTCCGTTGGCTTTGGAGACCACCCTTTGTGCCTCGGTTGTCGGACGTTTCAGAAGTCAAACGGTCTTCTGGAATGGATTATGTTCGACAACCAAGGCCCCACTGTAATAGGGACTGTGAGAATGATCGGGAGCGCACCAGAGCGTAAATCCTATTGAACTCAGTGGGACTTCCTTCTGAGTAAAAAAGAACCACCTAGGATTGGAGTGCAAGGCTGCACAGTCTGGACCATTGAATACAGAGGGGCTTACTTCTGAGTAAGACAGTGTAAGGCTTTCTCCCCACAGGGCAAGGGCGCGGTCTTACCTCGGAGTCGATTTCGTCGTGCAGATCGATGCCAGCATACTGGGGGAGGGAAAGAGGAGGAAAATAAGAGAACAGGAAATCTGGCAGGGAGGGGATATTCCGTAGTGTTAACGGAAAAATCCGAGGGCTCCCTTGGACAAAAACAAAGACACCAACCAGGATAACTTGGAGCAAAACAGCAGCCTGTAGGCTTGGCCTTTATTGAACTGTTGCAACAGGATGTTCCCCTCACTTGCAGGAGAGAGGAGGGACCTAGAAAAATGGCATGCAAGGCCTTATAAAAACTTTTGAAATTGCCACCCTGTAGATCAAGACCACCCCCAGAAACATCATACATACATCACAGAAAGGAGGGGTTGAGGGAGGAGTTGTGGTGGTAACCTGAGTGTCCTGTCACCTGGCTGGTTCCCCCTTTCCCCCTCCCCATGAGTACTTTCCAGGTGACAGAGGGGAGTTTGCAGTTTCCTGCCCCCAGAGGGAAGATCTGATCATTGTCCTTTGTTCCAGTCCATGCTGAATCCACTTCCATATGCAAGTCCTTTGTGACCTTGATGGTCTTCTGTCTGGGACCATCAGGGTTGGCATAGCAACTGGGCAGGGCTCCTGTGGATGTGCTGGTATGCAGAAGGGATTGTGGCTGCCCTGTATCAAACCTTCCCCATTTTGTAGTCCTTCCTTCATGGAGTAAAATAAAAGTGGAACGGTGCAGATCCAATGTATGGTTGATTTTCTATGAATTTATAGCAGAAGCGTAGCCTATGTAGTGTGTGAGTGTGTGTGAAGTTTGTACAAACTGAATGATGGGGGGGTGTTTCCTGCTGCAGTAGGAACGGCTGACTGTACACCCTCCAGAGTCACAGCTCTCAGCTCGGTGTCCGCCCCAATTCAGACTTTTCCATCTCCGACTGGAGACACCGGGCGGATCGAACCAGGCGGCCACCTGCGCAGATGCTCTGCTATTCATTTCCCCGAAGGATAATGCAAGATTCTAGCCCTCTTGATTCTAAACAAAGGCCAGATTTTAATCAGAAGCTGCCTGGGCCAGGGCTCCATCTAGTTCAGCGCCGCCTGCACTGACGGGCAGAAGTGGCACTCTAGGCATCCCCTGAATCGGCCCTCCAGATGTTTTGGGACTACGACTCCCATCAGCTAGCAGGACCAGTGGTCAGGGATGATGGGAATTGTAGTCCCAAAACATCTGGAGGGCTGTGTTTGGGGATGTCTGCTCTCAGCCCGGCTTCGGCTGGGGAGGGCGGGATATAAATAAATTATTATTATTATTATTATTATTATTATTATTATTATTATTAAACTGGGGTTGCTTCCCCCTGGAGATGCCAGCGATCAAAACCGGGGAATTTCTGCATGCAAAGCGGACACTTTCCCTTCCGTTGGTTAGAGCGTGGTGCTGATAACGGCAAGGTTGCAGGTTTGATCCCCGTAAGGGACAGCTGCTTATTCATTCCTGTGTTGCAGAGGGGTTGGACTAAATAATAATAATAAAGATGATGATGATGGTGATGATATATTTATACCCCACCATAGCTGTCAACTTACAGATTTGAAAATAAGGGACCAGCAGCCTCGGAAATAAGGGATCAGCAGCCAAAATAAGGGATTTTCAGAGCACAGGTATGTTCAACTTCTGAGCCCCTCCAAGCCAAAGGCAGAAAGCCCAGCCAGCAGCCAAACGAAGCCTCAAGCGGTGGTTCCCACAGCGCAGCAACCCGGCAAGGGGGACGCAGCAAGGGAAACCACCGTCACCTCTCCGCTGGGAAGCGCTGAGCAAAGGCGAGTCCCCAGGCAACGCGGCCGATTTGATCGGCACAAGGCATGCACGCTCCACCCCCCAGTCGTTCTCAGACTCCTTATTGGGTGAGCAACGCAGCCAAGCAACACAGTTGGAGCCTCCCTCCTCCCTGGCCGGCAGGGAGGGAGGGAGAGGAGCTGCTTCCTTTGAAACCCGGGAAATTTAAGGGACATCATCCAGAAGGGACAGCAGCGGGACACGGCACTGGGATAAGGGATTTTCCCGCCAAATAAGGGACGGTTGATAGCTATGTACCCCGCCCTTCTGGCTGGGTTTCCCCAGCCACTCTGGGCAGCTTCCAACAAAACATCAAAATACTAAATATTACAATAGAGGGTCCCTTCCAACTCTATGATTCTCCTACCTAAGGCAGCAACCTCCGTCCCCAACACCCTGTTGCAGCGGTTGCTGGCAAGTCCCTACCGTTCCTCCCTCCCTGTGCCTCTTCGTCTTCTCCTCTTCCGCCGACGGACGCTGCGCTCTCCAGTCCGGTTCCGAGGATGGTTTCCCGACATAGGCTTGACGCGGGGACAGCAAGGGAGACAACCTCGCAGGGGAATCGGGAGCAGCCACGGCCGATACGCAGTAGCTGTCGGCAATTCCTGAAGCAGCTGGTGGAGGGAATCAGAAGAGAGAGTTAAATTTAAAAAGAAAGAAACCAAGCGCAGGGATATCTCAGGGCCTTCTCGGTGGTGGCGCCCGCCCTGTGCAATGCCTGCCCATCAGATGTCAAGGAGATGAGTAGCTATGCAACCTTTAGAAGACATCTGAAAGCAGCCCTGTATAGGGAAGTTTGTAATGTTTAATGTTCTATTGTATACCTGAAGAAGCCTCTCCACCCCCATCGTCCATCCTGGACACCGGGGTCCATCTCCCGAGGGCCATCTGGCGGTTCCCTCCCTGCGAGAAGCGAGGTTACAGGGAACCAGGCAGAGGGCCTTCTCGGTGGTGGCGCCCACCCTGTGGAACGCTCTCCCATCAGATGTCAGGGAAATAAACAACTACCTGATTTTTAGAAGACATCTGAAGGCAGTCCTGTTTAGGGAAGCTTTTAACGTTTGATGTTTTGTCGTGTTTTTAATATTCTGTTGGGAGGCGCCCAGAGTGGCTTGGGAGACCTGCCCAGATGGGTGGGGTATAATAAATTATTATTATTATTAATTAGTTGACAACTCAGTCAGATGGGTTATTATTATTACTGAATAAGACGTCCCTATTTTCATCTGAGAAATGTTGGAGGGGATGGAATAGGACGTCCCTATTTTCACAAGAGAAACGTTGGAGGGGATGGAATAGGAGGTCCCTATTTTCAGAGGAGAAACATTAGAGGGGGTGGAATAGGACGTCCCTATTTTCAGGGGAGAAACGTTGGAGGGGGTGGAATTATGGAACCCCCAAGTCAAGGAGATAAGTAACTAGATAAGTAACTTGTGACCGCCTTTCCTTACGGTTGCAATTCTGCAAACCTTTCCATGCTCCCAGCCGCCTGGAGCGGGGTTCTAGCTACGGAAAGGCATTGTGTGAATGCAATGACGGCTGCGATGATGCGATTCGCCATGGCACGTGAACCAGCTGTCATCGACCCCCCCGCCCTGCCCCTCTCACCCGAGCTCTGCGACGACGTCCGAGAGGGTCCCACCGCCGTCCCAGTTCTCCTCCGCTGCTCCTGAAGCTCCACTTCCCTTTGCAAAGCGTCCTGGATCTCCTGGTCAATCAGGGCCGACATCCGTGGTCTCCGCGTCTTCACGGTGTACAGCTCCTCCCGGGGAGCGGACCCCTCCAGCCTGCCCTCTTTCCCCCGGGAGGTCGGGGGTTCCCGGTCGCCGGCAGACGAGAACTTGAGTTTCCTCACCGGGATGGCGAAATGTCCTTCCCGCAAAACCGCAGGCTCCTCTCCCAAGTCTTCCGGTACCCGAGAGACAGAGGAATCCACCCGCTGGCTGGTGTCGTTCCGGACGAAAGGGTGCAAGTCACCCCTTTGCTTTCTTCCGCTGGCCAAAGAAGGCTGGTAGGCCTCTGAGCTCCACTTCACCTCCTGGCCAGCCGTCCTTTCCCTGGGCTCGCCGTTCTGGGCCTCCTCTGGCTCCCCCGGCATCCTTGCCGTCATGGGGGCCGCCTCGTCCCTTTCGAACACCTTCCGGCGTTCCGATAACTCCCGGCAGACCCCCTTGTCGTACGTCCCGGACAGCAGCCTGCCTTCCTTCTGCAGGTCCTCCTCGCGCCTGGTTTCCTGCTCAATTTCCCTCTGCACGAAGAAGGAAACCGTGTGTTTCTCTTTTCCTTTCCGGGAGGAAACCGGCGGCGTGTCGGCCGACAGCAACAGAGGCTTGGTTTGGATTTCCACCAGCTCGTCCCGGCTGTTGACCCGCTGGATCCCTCTCTCTTTGCGGTGGGCGTCCTCCCTTTCCATCGACAGACGGATTTCCCGCTCGATGGGTGTCTCGTCCGAGGACCCCAGATCTCCTTCGGAAAGGCCTTGGCCACCGGTCTCCCAGTCCACAGGTCCTCCCGCCTCCTCTTTGATGTAGACTCTTCTTCCATCAGGTGCCACAACGCTTGAGTTCTGGGTCATTTCTTCCAGACCGTAATCCCAGCCGCCTCCAGTCGAGTTTTGACAAATAGGGGCTTGCTTGGGAGATGCGGGTTCTGTTCTTTGGAGAACGTGGCTATCTGCCCGCTCAGTAGACCAACCAATTCTTCTCTGGCCGTAGACATCAGGGATCTTCTCCCCTTCCGTCCCCTGAACGTTTTGCGTTGTCCGCGAGCTCGGCGCCGGTTTCCTCGGCCCCAGAAGCATCTTGGGGTTGGCCTTCTCCAATTCCAAAAACTGTTGCCGAGCCATGGCAAAGTTGATCTTCTCCGTGTCTATGTTTTGAGGGTCGACGGGGCTGTTCTCCCAGCGTGAAGAGGGGTTGTCGAAACAGACCGCGAAGCCGGTGGAATAGCTCCTCGTCCCCGGGGCGGCTTCTCGGCCAGCGTTGATGGCCTCCAGCTCCTCTGTGGAGCTCCACTTTTCAGCCATGGTGGTGCTCTTCCTAACCACTTGGCTGCGGATGATCTCCCGCCGTTCCTCCGCCAGCTCCTCGGCTTTCTCCGGCGAGGCCTCCTCGGGACGGATCCTGTACCTCAGCTCCTCTTCGTCCTCGTCGTAAAGCCTCGAAGGCTTCGTCTCGCCTTTGTAGGCCCGGATGTCGTAGAGCGAGCCGGATTTGACCACCTCCAGCTTGGACTCTCTGTCCGGTGGTGAATTCCAAAGGTCCTTCCTCCCATTGATGGACTTTGACCCATTTTCGGGGGGCTCGGCCGTTCCCCACCCATTCCCAGCCCTCTCCTCGCGGTGGTGACCCAAGTCAAAATACTCATCGCCCGTCGCCTCTTCAAACTTCAGCTCCCCTCGTGAACCGGACCGGGGGCTGCTTGGTTTTTCGTCTTCGGGGTCTGTGCTTGGAGATGAGGTGAAGACAAGCCTACGGATGTACATTTCTCGTTTTTGAAAGTGGGTTCCTCAGAGACTTTCTCTTAGGAGGTGGGAAGATGTTCTGTAGATGTTATTCACAGGTTGGGTGTTCCAGTGGCGTTGCGCAGCCTTCACATCAGGAACAGGGCTTTGTGGTCCCTGGGAAGCAAGAGGGGGAGAAATTATATGATGCGGGTGGCGCTGTGGGTTAAACCACAGAGCCTAGGACTTGCCGATCAGAAGGTCAGCGGTTTGAATCCCCATCACGGGGTGAGCTCCCATTGCTCGGTCCCTGCTCTTGCCAACCTAGCAGTTCAAAAGCACACCAGTGCAAGTAGATAAGTAGGTACCGCTCTGGCGGGAAGGTAAACAGCGTTTTCGTGCGCTGCTCTGGTTCACCAGAAACGGCTTAGTCCTGCTGGCCACATGACCCAGAAGCTGTACGCCGGCTCCCTCGGCCAGTAAAGAGAGATGAGCGCTGCAACCCCAGAGTCGGCCACGACTGGATCTAATAGTCAGGGGTCCCTTTACCTTTACCTTTATTCATACATTCAGTACATAGTAAGCTGCCTTCTGCTGGGTTAGACTGGCTGCTGATATAGCCCATTATTGTCCACTCTGGCTGGCTGCTACCTTGGAAGGTGACCCAGAAACTACAACTAATCGAGAATGTGGCAGCCAGACTGGGGACTGGGAGTGGCTACTGAGACCACATAACACCCGTCTTGAAAGACCTACATTGGCTCCCAGGATGTTTCCAAGCACAATTCAAAGGGTTGGTGCTGACCTTGAAAACCCTAAATGGCCCAGTATCCCTGAAGGAGCGTCTCCACCCTGGACACCGGGGTCCCTCTCCCGAGGGCCTTCTGGCGGTTCCCTCATTGCGAGAAGTAAAGCTACAGGGAACCAGGCAGAGGGCCTTCTCGGTGGTGGCGCCCGCCCTGTGGAACGCTCTCCCATCAGATATCAGGGAAATAAACAACTACCTGATTTTTAGAAGATATCTGAAAGCAGACCTGTTTAGGGAAGCTTTTAATGTTTGATCACATTTTTAATATTCTGTTGGGAGCCGCCCAGAGTGGCTGGGGAGACCCAGCCGGGTGGGCAGGGTATAAATATTAAAATATGATTATTATTCCAGGGTTCCAGGCAGAGATATGATTTCCAGAGTGGTTTAGCAATCAAATCAACTCTTGTTGTTCTGCAAGGGGAACCAGGATTTCCTAACTCTAGGAACCCTTAACGAACGATGCTTCCCAAGGTTTTTTTTTGGGGGGGGGAGTCACAACAACTTTTTGGAGCCCCTCCCCACAAGAAAAAAACCTGTCTACGCCCACGGTCCCTTCAGACTCTGCAATTCTCTGCTTCTATTATTCTAAGGCAGACCTGCCTTATATTAGAGGCCACCCTAATGGAATAGCAAAGCACCGATTGCCCTCTGCTGGGAGAAAGGAGAATTTATCACTCAGGACGCCGAAGAATGGATGTTTTTGAATTCTGGTGCTGGAGGAGACTCTTGAGAGTCCCATGGACTGCAAGAAGAACAAACCTCTCCATTCTGAAGGAAATCAGCCCTGAGTGCTCACTGGAAGGACAGATCCTGAAGCTGAGGCTCCAAGACTTTGGCCACCTCAGGAGAAGACTCCCTGGAAAAGACCCTGATGTTGGCGTGCTTTGGTCCATGGGGTCACGAAGAGTCGGAAATGAGTAAACAACAACAACCGGGTTCTGCATTGCTGTTTGTCACCCAGTATTTGTCACTGTTTGACATTCAGTATCCCTGAAGGAGCGTCTCCACCCCCATCATCCACCCCGGACACCGGGGTCCCTCTCCCAAGGGCCTTCTGGTGGTTCCCTCCGTGCAGGAAGCGAGGTTACAGGGAACCAGGCAGAGGGCCTTCTCGGTGGTGGCACCCGCCCTGTGAAACGCCCCTCATCAGATGTCAAGGAGATAAACAACTCTCTGATGTTTAGAAGACATCTGAAGGCAGCCCTGTTTAGGGAAGTTTTTAATATTTGATGTTTTGTTGTGTTTTTAATATCCTGTTGGAAGCCGCCCAGAGTGGCTGGGGAAACCCAGCCAGATGGGCAGGGCAGAAATAATAGATTCAAAGACCCTGATGTTGGGAAAGATGGAGGGCACAAGGAGAAGGGGATGACAGAGGACGAGATGGTGGGACAGTGTTCTCGAAGCTACCAGCATGAGTTTGACCAAACTGTGGGAGGCAGTGGAAGACAGGAGGGCCTGGCGTGCTCTGGTCCAGGGGGTCACAAAGAGGCGGACACTAAACAACAACAACAATGCCAGGGAGACGAGACGAAGGTGGTTGGGTCGCTCATAGTTTTGTTCGCAGAGCCATAAACCACCTCCTTAGTGGACTCACTCCCTGCCTATCTGGTTTTGCAGAAGAGAGAATTAACAGAAAGCTGCAGGTCATAAATGGGAGTTTCGCAAGCTGTAAAGGGCCGCAGACATTGACCCCAGGGGCCGAGGAAACTGGCGCCCAGCTCGCAGACAACGCAAAACATTCAGGCAGTGGAAGGGGAGAAGATTCAGGAGCTTAAATCGTCACTTGGCAATCGGGGAGGGTGGTATTTCGGTGGCAGAGGCACCTGCCAGGGAGGACATCTTCGCTCCTTTCATCCACCTGGGCCCAGCAGGGCCTGAAACATGTCCAGGAAGGGAGATCTGAGAATTAAACCACGCGGTAGAGTTACCTACTGCGAACCACTGTTTTCCCCCACCGGGGAGAACAAGGCAGCCCTTGTTTCCTTCTCCTCTCACTGTGTGTCTGAATTAATTTGCACTTCCAGGGTTTCTCTGTCTGGTGGTAGAGAATGCCAACTTGCTGGTATTTAAAGGTAAAGGGACCCCCGACCATTAGGTCCAGTCGTGGCCGACTCTGAGGTTGCGGTGCTCATCTTGCTTTACTGGCCGAGGGAGCCGGTGTACAGCTTCCGGGTCACGTGGCCAGCAGGACTAAGCCGCTTCTGGCGAACCAGAGCAGCGCACGGAAACGCCGTTTACCTTCCCGCCGGAGCGGTACCTATTTATCTACTTGCACTTTGACATGCTTTCGAACTGCTAGGGGGGCAGGAGCAGGGACCGAGCAACGGGAGCTCACCCCGTCATTGCGGGGATTCGAACCGCCGACCTTCTGATCAGCAAGTCCTAGGCTCTGTGGTTTAACCCACAGCACCACCAGCGGCCCAAAAGGCGAATGCTATTCTAGGCTGCATTCCAACCCTAAAATGTATTTTAATATTTTGTTTAAAGCCGCCCAGGATGGCTGGGGAAGCCCAGCCAGATGGGCGGGGTATAAATAATATATTATTATTATTATTATTATTATTATTATTATTATTATTAGTGGCTTCAAGTTCCAAGACAGGAGATCCCGGCTCAACATCAGGAAAAACCTTCTGGCACTGAGAGCCGCTTGACCGTGCGACGGATGGAAGGTAGCGGGCTCTCCTTCCTTGGAGGTTTTTAAGCAGAGGTCGGGTGGCCGTTCCTGCACTGCAAGAGGGTTGGGATGGATACCTCTGGGGGTCCCTCGCAACTCTACCATTCTGTATCCCAAGCCTCTCGCGCACGTGCTCCAAATCCTTATTCCTGGCCCTGACAGAGCTCTCCAAATCCCGGACCGCGGTCAGTTCGGCAGGGTGGATTTTGACAGCGGTGTCACCTGCGAGGCTGGCATTCCACAGCCTCACAACGCCCTGCTGCTGCCGCCCCGAGAAGGACTTTTGACTTCTCGGCTTGAGATAAGATCCGTGGGGTGGGCAAAGTTCGGGGAGGGGCAAACCGCTGATGGAATGAGCACACCTTAAAAGAATTTGGCTGAAGTGGAAAGAGACGGACAGGTTCGGGGTGAGGTCAGGAATTCCTGAGTTGGCATGGCACCTCTCTGATTGGCAGGAGGGACTGAAATGGTGAATTGGAAACCTTTAAAGCAGGGGTCGGGGACGCGGGTGGCACTGTGGGTTAAACCACAGAGCCTAGGACTTGCTGATCAGAAGGTCGGCAGTTTGAATCTGCTCGGTCCCTGCTCCTGCCAACCTAGCAGTTCAAAAGCACACCAGTGCAAGTAGATAAATAGGTCCCGCTCTGGCAGGAAGGTAAACGGCGTTTCCGTGCACTGCCCTGGTTTGCCAGAAGCGGCTTAGTCCTGCTGGCCACATGACCCGGAAGCTGTACGCCGGCTCCCTCGGCCAATAAAGCGAGATGAGCACCATAACCCCAGAGTCGGTCACGACTGGACCTAATGGTCAGGGGTCCCTTTACCTTTACCTAAAGCAGGGGTCACCTGCTTTTTACCTAAAGCTTTTTCAGCCACGGCTGGCCCACTCTCCCTCATACGGGGATCAAACCTGCAACCTTGGGTGCTTTCCATCCTCTAACATGCCTGGGGAGGTGTTCGCAAGTGGGCCTTGGCCTCTCTGAGCCCCACACCCAAAGCTCTCTCCAGGAGGGCTGGGCACAACCTGCTTGCAAGACCCCTTTTTTAATTAATGTGTTTTTTAATTGAGCTTTCGTCAGACCAGCTGCCCTCTTGACCCTCCCAGAGGCAGCTCTGCCTTCCCGTCAAATCCCACCCAAAGCTCTCCGTCCCGCGGATGGACGGACCCTGCGCCACCCGAGTGCCCACCGCCGAAACCAACCTGCCGAAACCGAAATCCATTCCTCCTGTTGCAGGCTGAGCAAAGTACGTTCCTCTGTTCCTGAACCCGGAGCAAAGAGCGTTTTCCGCAGCAGGCAGAAACCACACGGGGCCTTTTCTCTCTCTCTCTGTCTCTCCCCTCGTCTCACCCCACAGAGAGGCCTGTTAGGGGGCACCCAAATGCCTGGTTTCGAACGAGGCGCAGGCACACTGGGAGTGTGCGGGCTGCGCCAGCCTGATAAGAACCTCAAAACTCACCTCCTCCCCAGAGGAATTCTAGGAACGAGCGGAGGGCAAAATAAACGTCAATTTTCAAAACGGTTTCATGGCTCAATGCCCTTTCCGGGTGGTTCTGCCCCTGCCAGCTTCAGAGAAAGCCACAGATCTGGGATCAATGGCCTGGAAGTCAAGGGTCTCTGGCTTAGCGCACCATGCGATCAAAGTTGGTGTTTTTCTTTTAAATTTTGGGGGCAGAGACAGGAGATATGGGGAGGTCACCTCCAACGGAACCGATCAGGAGGAGATCTGGGACCAGACAAAAGAAAGGGGCTTTCTTTGCACAACCCTAGCCTGCGGAACTCATGGCCACAAGGTTTTAGGTAAAGGGTGAAAGGAAAAGGGCCCCATGAAAGGTTAAGTCCAGGCAAAGGCGACTATGGGGTTGCGGCACTCATCTCGCTTTCAGGCCGAGGGAGCCGGCGTTTGCCCGTAGATCCAGGTTGTGTGGCTGGCAGGTGTTAACTGCTTCTGGTGCATGGCGGAAACCAGAGCGCACGGAAACACCGTTTACCTTCCCACCTCAGCGGTACCTCTTTATCTACTTGCGCAGGCATGCTTTCGAACTGCTAGGTTGGCAGGAGCTGGGACAGAGCAACAGAAGCTCACTCCGTCGCGGGGATTCGAACCGCTGACCTTCCGATCAGCAAGCCCAAGAGGCTCAGTGGTTTAGACCACAGTACCACCAGACGAAAGAAAAAGGGGTTCTTTGCACCGCGCACCACTAGCCTGCGGAACTCACGGCCACAAGATTTTAGGAGAATACGTAGGAACATAGGAAGCTGCTACATACTGAGCCAGATTCTAAGTTCTTAGATTACCTGCGTTGCATGTGAGCACGTGTTTATATATCACACCCACTCCATGCTACAATGCGATACGATACAATATAATAATACAACCAGTTTAATTTCCTCCAGTTGTACGATAAATTAAAGTGGCCCCATCGGCTTCTATGGAATAGGACGTCCCTATTTTCATCGGAGAAACATTGGAAGATACGAAATAGGACGTCCTTATTTTAATAGGGAGAAATGTTGGAGGGGATGGAGTTAAAAGTTTAAAGTTTCATGTTTTGTTCTGTTTTTATATGTGTTGGAAGCCCCCCAGAGTGGCCGGGGCACACCAGTCAGATGGGCCAGGTATAAAAAATAAAATTATTATTATTATTGAACACAATGTCCCTATTTTCATCGGAAGGTATGCCACGATGGCCACAATTTCCATTAAATAATAACGATTTAATCCCTCTTCCCAAAGACCTCTGGGAATCATAGATCCGCAAGGAGAATTTGCGTCTTCTTACCACTCCTGTGCGGTTCCGACTCCTCGTTCTCGATCCAGGAAGGTCTCTGGCTACAGGATCTCTCAAGGACGGAGGCAACTCAGCTAGGACTGTTGGGACCCGAAAAACCGCTCTTAAAAGCAGGTCCAAATAACAAAGTCCACGGCTTCTGACGCCAGAGCCACACCCTCGACGTGGCCACATTCCCACAGGGCAATAGAAACTGGAGTTTTTTCCCTTTGCATCCCAGCAATTATGGGCTATTAAGAAAGGGGATTCTCACGGGACGGGCGCCAAACTCCAGCCTTCCCAAGGACAGTTTATTGCCAGTTGGTTCCCCTGCCCTTCTTCTCTTCCAATGGCAACTGGGTGTTGGGGAAGTTGGCATGGAGCGTTCTCTGATCTTGCCCATGGGATGATGGAGAAAGATGATGTCCTTGATTGGGGTAATGTCATCCCCTCCAACGTTTCTCCCCTGAAAATAGGGACGTCCTATTCCATCCCCTCCGACGTTTCTCCCTTGAAAATAGGGACGTCCTATTCCATCCCCTCCAACGTTTCTCCCCTGAAAATAGGGACGTCCTATTCCATCCCCTCCAACGTTTCTCCCCTGAAAATAGGGACGTCCTATTCCATCCCCTCCGACGTTTCTCCCTTGAAAATAGGGACGTCCTATTCCATCCCCTCCAACGTTTCTCCCCTGAAAATAGGGACGTCCTATTCCATCCCCTCCAACGTTTCTCCTGTGAAAATAGGGACGTCCTATTCCATACCCTCCAACGTTTCTCCCCTGAAAATAGGGACGTCCTATTCCATCCCCTCCAACGTTTCTCCCCTGAAAATAGGGACGTCCTATTCCATCCCCTCCAACGTTTCTCCCTTGAAAATAGGGACGTCCTATTCCATCCCCTCCAACGTTTCTCCCCTGAAAATAGGGACGTCCTATTCCATCCCCTCCAACGTTTCTCCCCTGAAAATAGGGACGTCCTATTCCATCCCCTCCAACGTTTCTCCCGTGAAAATAGGGACGTCCTATTCCATCCCCTCCAACGTTTCTCCCCTGAAAATAGGGACGTCCTACTCCATCCCTTCCAGCGTTTCTCCCCTGAAAATAGGGATGTCCTATTCCATCCCCTCCAACATTTCTCCCCTGAAAATAGGGACGTCCTATTCCATCCCCTCCAACGTTTCTCCCCTGAAAATAGGGACGTCCTATTCCATCCCCTCCAACGTTTCTCCCCTGAAAAGAGGGACGTCCTATTCCACCCCCTCCAGCGTTTCTCCCGTGAAAATAGGGACGTCCTATTCCATCCCCTCCAACGTTTCTCCCATGAAAATAGGGACGTCCTATTCCATCCCCTCCAACGTTTCTCCCCTGAAAATAGGGACGTCCTATTCCATCCCCTCCAACGTTTTTCCCGTGAAAATAGGGACGTCCTATTCCATTGCCTCCAACGTTTCTCCTGTGAAAAGAGGGACGTCCTATTCCATCCCCTCCAACGTTTCTCCCGTGAAAATAGGGACGTCCTACTCCATCCCCTCCAACGTTTCTCCCCTGAAAATAGGGATGTCCTATTCCATCCCCTCCAACATTTCTAATTTAATTATTTCTACCCCGCCCATCTGGCTGGGTCTCCCCAGCCACTCTGGGTGGCTTCCAACAAAAGATTAAAAATACATTTTAAAAAATCAGTCATTAAAAACTTCCCAAAACAGGGCTGCCTTCAGATGTCTTCTAAAAGTCAGATAGTTTGTTTATTTCCTCGACATCTGATGGGAGGGTGCCACCACCGAGAAGGCCCTCTGCCTGGTTCCCTATAGCCTCGCTTCTCGCAGGGAGGGAACCGCCAGAAGGCCCTCGGGAGATGGACCCAGGTGTCCAGGGTGGAGACGTTCCTTCAGGGATACTGGGCAGAGTTTTTGGAAAGTAGGATGCTCTCTCCCAGCGCTGGCGGTATTCGTTACCTGCTTGTCGCTGGTCAGACAGGTTGGTTCAGGTGGAGGAAACAAATTCTTCAAGGAGGCTGGGGAGAGGGGGCAGAATCGGCCCTGCAATCTCCTTGTCTTTGCTGGTTCGGCAGCAAACCAGCCGTTCTTCTGTTGGATTAAACGCCTGCGGAGGCCCTTGGGCAGTCGAAATCTCGCAAATTGCATCCAAACACATTTTTTACTTTATCAGCCAACACTTTTGAGTCTAGTGTCCAGAATCGGCCTCTCTCAACCTGTGGGTCCCCAGATGTTGTTGAACTACATCTCCTATCACCTCTAGCTAGCTACACACACACACACACACGTAATAAACAAAAACAGATTGATGTTGAATCCTGACAAGACAGAAGTACTGTTCTTGGGGGACAGGAGGCAGGCAGGTGTGGGGGACTCGCTGGTCCTGAATGGGGTAACTGTGCCCCCAAAGGACCAGGTGTGCAGCCTGGGAGTCATTTTGGACTCACAGCTGTCCATGGAGGCACAGGTCAAATCTGTGTCCAGGGCAGCTGTTTACCAGCTCCATCTGGTACGCAGGCTGAGACCCTACCTGCCCGCAGACTGTCTCTCCAGAGTGGTGCATGCTCTGGACATCTCCCGCTTGGACTACTGCCATGCTCTCTCCGTGGGGCTACCTTTGAAGGTGATGCAGAAACTACAACTAATCCAGAACGCGGCAGCCAGACTGGGAACTGGGAGCGGCCGCTGAGACCACATAACACCAGTCCTGAAAGACCTACATTGGCTCCCAGGACGTTTCCGAGCACAATTCAAAGTGTTGGTGCTGACCTTGAAAGCCCTAAACGGCCCTGTATCCCTGAAGGAGCGTCTCCACCACCATAGTCCACCCTGGACACCGGGGTCCATCTCCCGAGGGTCTTCTGACGATTCCCTCACTGCGAGAAGTCAAGTTACAGGGAACCAAGCAGAGGGCCTTCTCGGTGGTGGCACCAGCCCTGTGGAATGCCCTCCCACCAGATGTCAAAGAGAACAACAACTACCAGACTTTTAGAAGACATCTGAAGGCAGCCCTGTTCAGGGAAGCTTTTAATGTTTGATGTATTAGAGTATTTTAATATTTTTTTTGGAAGCCGCCCAGAGTGGCTGGAGAAGCCCAGCCAGATGGGTGGGGTATAAATAATAAATTATTATTATTATTATTATTATTATTATTATTATTATTATAAACACCCCCCCCCCCAGTAATTTAAAAGGCCACATATTGTTGAATTAGCCAGAGGCCACTTTTTTAAAAAAGTCTACCTCGCAGTTCTGTGGCGAAGCTAAAAGGAGCCGGATGTACACAGTTTTGGGGGCTGGGATTATGATTTTGGGATTAAATATCCCCCCCCCCCGCCTTACCTGCACCTTTGGAAGTCTAGCGTCGTACAAAGAAACCGCTGCAGGGGGAGTTTATCTAAGCATCCTTGCTCCGGAACGGTGAGGCAGACTTGGGCCTTGGAAGGAGCTTCGGAAAACAGGAGAAGCCGCCGAGATTGGGAGCCAAACCGGGGAGGAAGAGGAAGCCGAGAGCGGCTGGGAGTACACCTGAACAGGTAGAAGCTACCTCAACGCTCAGCCAACCCTCCGGGGTAAGAGGCGGTCTGCGAGGAGGAAGAGATCAGCGGCGGGGCTTGGAATGTGAGTTAGAAGCAACCAGGAGTGTCTGCTTTCAGCGCTGTTAAAATCTGAGGGTGTGGAGCGTCCTTCTCAAGAGAGCGAAAGGGACAAGGACTTTGTCATATTGTGACATTTCAATGTGTCAGGTGTGTGTGTGGGTGTGTGTGGAATTGCAGACAGCTTCCCCCCACCCTGTTCGATTACATCTGTCATTGTCGTCTTCTTTTTCTTCTTCTTCAAGAATTTTCCGAAATTTTAACGCGTACAAATTTTTGTTACCTTTATCTATCGGACACACCGGGGTCCCTCTCCCGAGGGCCTTCTGGCGGTTCCCTCCCTGCGAGAAGCGAGGTTGCAGGGAACCAGGTGGAGGGCCTTCTTGGTGGTGGCGCCCTCCCATCAGATGTCAAGGAAATAAGCAACTCTCTGACTTTTAGAAGACATCTGAAGGCAGCCCTGTTTAGGGAAGCTTTCAACGTTTGAAGTTTTATTCTGTTTTCATATGTACTGGCAGCCACCCAAAGCAGCTGATGGGAAAATCAGAGAGCCAGTATGGTTTAGGGGTTAGAGTGACTTACTGGGAACTGAGAGATCCGGGTTCAAATCTCCCCTTGGCCCTGAAGCTCACTGGCTGTGACTTTGGGCCAGTCGCTGCCTCTCCGCCTGACCTAGTGAGGTTACAGGGAACCGGGCAGAGGGCCTTCTCGGTGGTGGCACCCTCCCATCAGATGTCAAGGAAATAAGCAACTCTCTGACTTTTAGAAGACATCTGAAGGCAGCTCTGTTCAGGGAAGCTTTTAATGTTTGATGTTTTGTTGTGTTTTTAATATTCTGTTGGGAGCCGCCCAGAGCGGCTGGGGAAACCCAGCCAGATGGGCGGGGTATAAATAAGTTGTTGCTGTTGTTGCAACAGCTTCCCCAACCGTGGGTTTATCAGCTCCCCTGAATGTGTCCATTCTCAGAAGGAAAGGGTCAAGCCTTTCCCTTGCCTCTCTGCACCAGGAGCAAAGCAGAGTTGGGCCATCCGCAGTGGGGATCAGGACAGACCTGGCTGCTGGGTGAAGCAGGCAGACTCCTTTCGCAGGTGGGGCGGATTTAATTCCCCCCGAGCACATCCTTCCAAGACTCACCTCCGGGATCGCTGGCCTGGTTTAATCCCTTGACCCTTTTCCGAAGGGATCCTGCGGTTTCCGACAGCTTGGCTTCATTTTTGGGAGGCCGGCCGCGCCACTCTGGTGTTTTCTGGGACTTACTGGGAACAAAGGCCCCAAACCCTGGGAGCTAAGCATAAGCTGACTGGAGTGTGTGGGTGTGTGCAATCCAGGACATTGTTGGGAACCTCAAACAAAAGGAGGGGGGCTCATGGGGGGCTGACCGGGCAAAATGCAGAAACCGGAATATTGCTGACCAGTGTGAATTTCGGAGCACCCATGGGTGGGGTGGTCAAGAGCCTCATGCTCTACCGACTGAGCTACCGGCCCGGCTTTGTGGTTTTTCTCCCCCCAGATATACAAAACTGGCAGTGATCTACCCAGTTGTTGAACCTTTTTTGGGGGGAGAGACCCAAAGTTATTGACCTGTTGGACATGCCTGGTACACCGTATTTTTCGCTCTATAAGACACACCAGACCACGAGACGCACCTAGTTTTTGGAGGAGGAAAACAAGGAAAAAAATATTCTGAATCTCAGAAGCCAGAACAGCAAGAGGGATCGCTGTGCGGTGAAAGCAGCAATCCCTCTTGCTGTTCTGGCTTCTGGGATAGCTGCGCAGCCTGCATTCGCTCACAAGACGCACACACATTTCCCCTTACTTTTTAGGAGGGAAAAAGTGAGTCTTATAGAGCGAAAAATACGATAATTTGATGCCCTCTCCCCCCAGCTCTGACAAGCGAACGATAACGAGACTTGTGTTTTGCTTCGTGTCGATCTGCATTCAGGAAGCTTAGAGAACAGTTGGAGATAATTGAGCAGAGAGGCTGAGTACTGCTGCCCTTTTCTTTGATGGGGTCCCTGCTTCAGGCCAGTGGCTTAACCGGCAAGGCTCCTTGCCTGCGTTTCTGCTTGCAAGCGGGGAAAGTTGCAGTGCATTGAGTTAAAGCTCCACGCGTCCTGCAAATTGAACCTTCACCTTGGAGTTCGGTGCAGTTTACTCTCGGGGATTGGAGATCTGATAAATTGTGTGTGACGTTGACCCTATCCAATGTGGGCAAGAGAAGACTCCCTGGAAAAGACCCTGATGTTGGGAAAGATGGAGGGCGCAAGGAGAAGGGGACGACAGAGGACGAGATGGTGAGACAGTGTTGTCAAAGCTACCAGCATGAGTTTGACCAAACTGCGGGAGGCAGTGGAAGACAGGAGTGCCGGGCGTGCTCTGGTCCAGGGGGTCACGAAGAGTCGGACACCACTAAATGACTAAACAACAACAAGGGGGCATGGCTAGGAACCTTCCTTAGGTGTGTGGCTGTCCACTCCTAGAGACAGCGACTGTGGACTCCCCTTGGGGACATGGCTATGAATCCCTGCATTTCGGAATACCGTATTTTTCGCTCCATAAGACGCCCTTTTTTCTTCTTAAAAAGTAAGGGGAAATGTCTGTGCGTCTTATGGAGCGAATGCGTGGTCCCTGGAGCTGAATTGCCCAGGGGCAAAAAGCAGATCATGCTCCTTTTTTTTGAAAGAGGGAAATGGATGTTGAAACGAAGTCGCTGATTGTTTGCCGATCGGGGAGAGAGATAAGGGATGCTAGAGATAAAGGAGGCTGCCTGGGAGGGGGTAGGTAAAGACAGCAAACTTGCAAAGGGGGGAAACAGGAAGACTAAAGCAATGAGGAGAGAAATTAGAAGAAAAGCAGGAGCAAAAAACTGCTCCAGCTAAGGAAAAGACACTAAGGCAAACAAGAGGGAAGGGGGTGTTGAAAGGAAGCAGCTGATCGGTGGGATCGGAAGAGAGATAAGGGACGTTAGCGGAGGCTGCCGGGGGGGGTAAAGGCCCATGGATCCTCAGGATTTTTGCATTGGGTCACCCCAAATTCACCATCAGATCACGTAGCATGTCCATGGCTACAGCCTGCACCAAAAATATCACACACCCACTGTTTCGTGGGGCCGCAATGGTGCAAAAACGTGGTTAGAAAGCACGGATCCACATGGATCCTCAGGATTTTTGCATTGGGTCACCCCAATTTCACCATCAGATCACATGTCTGTGGCCACAGCATGAACCACAAAAATCATACATCCACTGTTGCGTTCAGAATATTTTTTTCTTGTTTTCCTCCCTCCACTAAAAACTAGGTGTGTCTTAGGGAGTGAAAAATACGGTGTATCCCTTTCTATTGCTGCTTGCTAGCAAACTGCGAAACTGCAAACTCAGGGGCGCGAATCCGTCCTTCCGACCTCTGGCAAAGGATGAGGCGTGTTGGCTAGCCATCAAGCCAACTTCACTGTAGACATTGGTCTCAGATGTGGCCCTCCGGCCCTCTCGATCCGGCCCTCGGAACTGTCCCCAGGCCACGCCCCTCTGTAGCCACACCCCCTCCTCAGGCCACACCCCTCGCCAGCCCTGCCTTGTGTGTTCCTTCAGTTCCTGGCTACAATGCACCCTCAAATCCTTGCTTGGGGCTGGAGGGAGGATAGCAAAGGTGTGTATGTAGCAAATTAGCCCAACTCCGCAAAGTCAAGATTGACTGACATGTGTTGCCCCGCCTACTTTCCCTGTGGCCCCACCCACTGCTAATATGTGGCCCTCCAGGAGCTGTATGTGGCCCCTCAAGTCCCCTCCCAGACATACTATACCCAGAGTTCCCTGGGAAAGAAGGATTGGCTGTTAAGCCACCCTGGGAACTCTAGTTCTCTGAGGGGGTCAAGAGCCTCTTAGCTACAGTTCCCAGGGTTCTTTGGGGGAAGCAAGGAGCCTTCGCAGCAGAGAACTCTGGGAACTGTAGTTCTGAAAAGGAAAATAGTGAGCCTCCCCACAAACTATAGGTCCCAGGATCTTTGGCGGGGAAGCCACGGCTGTTTAAAGCGGGTATTGCGTCAGCGCGTCAAACACACAGGTGTGGGAATTGCCAGTTGTTCAGACGGGCAAAGAGAGAGATCCACAGATCTGGTTTCGTCCCCCCAGATGATTCACACCTTTATTATTATTATTTTGCTCTGCTCAGGCATTATTACAAACCAACCGGCAGGGAAACAGCGGCGAGGTTGGTGGCAGGGAGAGGCGGGACGTCGAAACAGCTGGTGGTGGGTGGTCGATAAAGCTGCGGAGAAACGAGGGAAGGGCAAGCCGAGGGGGCCAGATCTGCGACAGAGGACCGGGGGCACGAAGGAGGGCTTGGGGGGTGGAGTGGGGACCCCCACATCTTACACGCTAGATGAGACAGAGGAGCGAGCGAAGGGGGTGGACGCACCAGACGTGACATCTCCGGAGAACCTGATGGTAAGGTAAAGGGACCCCTGACCATTAGGTCCAGTCGTGGCCGACTCTGGGGTTGCGGCGCTCATCTCGCTTTATTGGCCAAGGGAGCCGCCGTACAGCTTCCGGGTCATGTGGCCAGCAGGACTAAGCCGCTTCTGGCGAACCAGAGCAGCGCACGGAAACGCCGTTTACCTTCCCGCCGGAGCGGTACCTATTTATCTACTTGCACTTTGACATGCTTTCGAACTGCTAGGTGGGCAGGAGCAGGGACCGAGCAACGGGAGCTCACCCCGTCATTGCGGGGATTCGAACCGCCGACCTTCCGATCAGCAAGTCCTAGGCTCTGTGGTTTAACCCACAGCACTACCCGCGTCCCGCGTTTGATGGTACCCTCACTCAAATTCGTGCTGCTTGACTGTTCCCTCCCGTGGTCTTCAAATAAATCCAGGTTCTCGCCACATATATTTCTCCGAATGGCGGCCATTTGGCTGTTCGGGTGGCACCGAGGACAGAAGAGGCTGGCTGGCCAGTGGCATGGTAGAGACATCCAGCTGCCCTGGTCTCCTCCCTGATAAGGGTGGCTAAGGGCGGGGGACAGCGGGGACGATGCCCCACGTCCAGCAAGGACACGGCGGCGGCGTTAAATGTCCGGCGCCCGTTTGAGAAGGCAGGAGAGCAGTTCCTATCTGGTCTCCTCCACCTGCTCCAGCCCTAAAAGCCAGGCTTGGGGAGGGCAAACGTTCTAAGAGGGGGTCAACTTCCTGGTCAGGACAACGGAATTTGGGGTCCCAGGCCAAAAACAACCCAGAAAAATAAAGCCCATCGGATCAGACGTTTGGGGAGGTCTTGGCACCCACCTCCCCAATGTTGTTTCGGAATTTTTTTTGTGGGGTGTCAAATTCTCCCCTTCTGCCCCCCATTCTTCAGCTCCCCATAACGAAATGGGGGAATGTGTGGGCCTGCTCACCTCTGCCTGGTGGATCCAAACTCCATTGACCCAAGGCATAGCTGTCAACGTTTCCCTTTTCTTGCGAGGAATCCTATTCGGAATAAGGGGAATCCCAAGGGATTCCCGGAATCTGCTCAATTCCCTCTCTCTACACTCTTCAAAGCGCAGTCCTCGACTCCCCGACTTCCCAGCATCTCCTACCATCCACCGATTTATTCTTTGATCGCGCAGTAAATGCAACAATCCCACACCGGTTTATAAGCTTGGCATTGTCCTAACTTCTGAGCGCAATCTTGCAAGCATCTTAGGGCCCAATTAGTTATCTCGGCTCAACTTTTCCTCCTCAATATTTTCAATAAGCACTGGTTTTGGGGGAACCTCCTTTGCTCTCGCCAGCCTCCCCACCCCCAAAAAACTGGCTTGGTCTGTGGAAATTTGAGAGGCAACCCCTGTCAAGACAACATCGTCTTCCAACCCTAGAGAGGGGGGAACGGAAGGGAGAGACACTGCCCCACTTCCTGTTCCCATTTTGGAGCCGCCATGTTGGAAACAGTGATATAACAGATGTGAGGAGTTGTGTGCCTAGATGGACCTACATCCCCTCCACCCTTTCTCCGGTGAAAATAGGGAGGTCCTATTTCATAATAAAAATGATGTTGATGATGATGATTTTATCATTTATACCCCACCCTTCTGACTCCGGGCAGCTTCCAACATATAAAAAAACATAATAAAACATAGAACATCGGATGTCCCTATTTTCAGGGGAGAAACGTTGGAGGGGATGGAATAGGACGTCCCATTTTAATGGGAGAAACATTGGAGGGGATGGAATAGGACGTCCCTATTTTCAGGGGAGAAACGTTGGAGGGGATGGAATAGGACGTCCCTATTTTCAGGGGAGAAACGTTGGAGGGGATGGAATAGGACGTCGCTATTTTCAGGGGAGAAACGTTGGAGGGGATGGAATAGGACGTCCCTATTTTCAGGGGAGAAACGTTGGAGGGGATGGAATAGGACATCCCATTTTAATGGGAGAAACATTGGAGGGGATGGAATAGGACGTCCCTATTTTCAGGGGAGAAACGTTGGAGGGGATGGAATAGGACGTCCCTCTTTTCAGGGGAGAAACGTTGGAGGGGATGGAATAGGACGTCCCTATTTTCAGGGGAGAAACGTTGGGGGACATGAGATGAGCAGGTTGGGGATCCCTCAAGGCACTTCCTTATGCCAGCGTGGACCAAGTGGGTCAACAGAGGGTGGCCTTCCACGCATCACAAAGGGGGCACAGAAAGGAGACGCGGGTTGGGATGAACTTTGCAGATGCAAATTCAGGAAAAGCTGCTAGCGCTTAATACGTCTCTGCATAGCTGGGGAGGCAGAAGCGGATTTGGGCACAGCGGCCACCGCTGGCCATTGGGACAGGTGGCTGCGGGAGGCTGGGAACCTTCCAGTAGGTTGTGCCAGGGCTTGTGACGGGCAGAAGAGCAGGAAGAGGCTGCTGATGGACAGAGTAAGCAATTGACTGACGAGGGGAAACACTGGTCCAAACACATATATACCGACCGACGTAAATCTGGTACAATTTTGCCCGGTGTGCACCTTTCAGAGCACCCAGCGACACCCCTGTTAGGCGGGCCGCTCTGTGATTGCGAAGAGGGTGGTTGATCACCCCGTAGGGACCAGGAGGTTGAGCTGTAGCTGCCTGCATAAAAGCACCCCAGGTCTCAGTTTTTGTGGCTGGGGAAGGCAGGAACCCTGTTCTGTAGGCCCGTGAAACCCAAGCGACACGCCCTAAGCCCTGGCTGCTTTGGCACTTCAAATTTGGCAAGGGGGGGGGGCGGGTGGGCAGTGGAATGACAAGCCCCTTGGACCAGCAAAAGTTTGCAGTAGACTCCGCTTCCCATCAGCCTCAGAGGTGGCTGGCATGCCCAATGGTCAGAGGCGCCAGGAATCTCCAGAAGCCCACCTCCCTAATCTAAATCCTTTCTGCCCCTGCTCCTCAGTCAGCTCACCTGCTCTGTCCACACCTGTCCGGCTTCCCCGGCCTAGCTAGAGCTGCCCGGCTGCCTCGCCCCCTTGTCTGAGCCTTCTGCAGCCATGCTAATCATTGGGACGGATCAGGCCCTCCCAGCTGGCTCTCTCGGCTTCGCTTGCCGACTCTCACCTAAGCGAGTAAGTATCTTTTGCCAGCGGTAGTCGCCAGGGCAATTTGGGTCTGCGAGGCGGGAGGATGTCAGCAGGTGGCGCCAGAGGAGCCAACTCACAGGATCATAGAGTTGGAAATGACCCCACAGGGTTCTCTCGCCCAAACCCCACCCACAAAATAGAGGAATCTCAGCTAAAGCATTCGTGGCAGGTGGCCACCCGACCTCCTAGTTTCTCAACAAGGGGCAACACTGAGAATGAGAGGGAATTGGCAGTCAGGGTCACCACCTGAGGGTCTGGTTGCAGTGAGAGAAGGTTGGCTGAGGACCCACCAAACGTGGCAGGTCGGTGCCCCCATTTTGCTCGAACCAACCAGCCTCTCCTGTATTTTTCCTCCCGACCGGGTTTCGGTTCGGAACCGCCGGTCAGTCCTACAGTTTTTACAAGCCGGAGAGGTAACCGTCGAAGAATTAAGGAGGGAAAACGAAGCCACGTCAACACCGACGGTCTCAGAGCTGTCAAGGTCCGACCATCGCAATCTCCCCAAAACTTCTTCCGGGACTCGCATGACGCTTTCCCACGAAGCCGCGGAGAATGGGATTGTCTCGCCGACGGAGCAGATCGCCAAGCCCAGTGTCCGGACGTTTGCTCTCGGACCACAGCCGATTCCCGTCACCCTGGTCTCCCACCCACCCCAAACACCGTCTTTTTAAACGTCAGCAGGGCAGGGTGTGTGTGTGCAAAACTAGGTTTTACCAAGCCGGATTCTTTCGTTGGCATGAGAAACCTGGCCAGTGACGTTCTCGGAGATCCCAGGAAGCGATCTTCGAAGGCCGGCGAATTTGCAAAGGTCCCCAGAAGCGCAAGAACGAAGAGTCTCCTTAATCGATGTTAAATTTCCTTCTCCGGAAGGAAAGTCCGTTGGCGGAAATCGTGCCGGTTCGTTCCGAAGCGGCGGAAATACCGAAACGCACCCGATTCCCTTTCTTTCATATTCGGTTGAGCGTGAGTCCAAGAAACTTTGGCCACAGCGGTTTAAGGTTTCCCGATTGATTCTGCTTCGGAGCAAGGGAGCGGCGGGGAGAGGACAACAGCGTCTAATAAATATATTTCGCATCTGTTCAGCTTACGAAAAAGCGAACCGAGATGAAACGGGATGTAGCAGGGCCATCGCTGGGCGTCAGACACCAGCCGCCGCCACCAACTCTTGCATTATAATATTTCCCCAGTCACTTAAAGGGAACAGAAAAACAAAACCTCTGGGAGCGGCGGGAACTGCATGTCTTGTTAATTAAAAATTAAAAAAAACCAACCACAATAAACCTAGGAGTTTGTGGAAGAGGTGGGGGAGAGGGAGGGGAGAGAAGGCAGTCCTGATTGGCTGTAGAGTCGAGGGGGGGCGTCTTACATCACCGAACAACATTTGCAGCGCTGTTTCTTGGCGTCGAGATCTTGCTCTGCGTCTTTGGGGTCGGTGCTGTTGGCTGCTGGCGGCTCCCCGGCTTGATTCTCCACCTTCTGGGGGACGGACGCGGCCACCGCGCTGCCGTTCGGAGGGGCGTGATCCTTCCCTGTCGCCGACGCTGCCTTGTTTTCGGCATCCTCAATCACCACCAGCTCCGCCCGGATGGTGCCCTCGAGACCCAGGACCTTCTTGGTCTCGTCCTCATCCTCCACGTTCTGGTAGCCCATGAAGATCATGGTGACCGGCTTTTCCTCGCTGGGTTCGGGGCCTTGGCCGGCCGGCATCAACTTTGGAGTTTCCACCGGCTTTGCCTGCACGCCAGTGATCTCCTTCCTCGGGGTCGCCTTCTGGCTCGGCGGGTTGCTGCGGGGCTCCTTGGCCGCCTCCGAAGCTTCGCTCAGGGTCACCTCGTCGGCCTTGTGGATGAGCTCATCCACCTCGGAGGAGCTGAGCTGCTGCAAGCCGTTCTCCAGCGCCCCGTCTTCGACGCGGACCGCGTGCACCACTGCAAGAAAAGAGACAGAGAGAAAAAGCCTTGAGCCCCGACCTGGAACCATGCTCAGTGGTTAAGAGTGTTTCATCAGCGGGCAGAACGACTCATGTTCAGTCCCTGCCCACGGACTGTCTGGCCAGAGCGGTGCATGCTCTGGTCATCTCCCGCTTGGACTACTGCCATGCGCTCTCCGTGGGGCTCCCTTTGAAGGTGACCCAGAAACTGCAACTAATCCAGAATGTGGCCGCTGGACTGGGGACTGGGAGTGGAGACCATATAACACCGGTCTTGAAAGACCTACATTGGCTCCCAGGACATTTCCAAGCACAATTCAAAGGATGGTGCTGACCTTGAAAGCCCTAAACAGCCCAGAATCCCTGAAGGAGTGTCTCCACCCCGGACACCGGGGTCCCTCTCCCGAGGGCCTTCTGGCGGTTCCCTCCCTGCGAGAAGCGAGGTTACAGGGAACCAGGCAGAGGGCCTTCTCGGTGGTGGTGCCCGCCCCGTGGAACGCCCTCCCGCCAGATGTCAAGGAGATAAACAAACAACTACTTGACCTTTAGATAACATCTGAAGGCAGCCCTGTTTAGGGAAGCTTCTAATATTTGATGAATCGTTGTATTTTCATATTCCGCTGGAAGCCGCCCAGTATGGCTGGGGAGACCCAGCCAGATGGGCGGGGTATAAATATCATTATTATTATTATTGCCTCTGCAAGGACCATCAGAAGTTGCGATCTTTCCGTCACTTACCTTGGAGTAAACCCATTGACTTCTCTGGAATCAAAAGAACCGTAGAATCGCAGATTGGCAGGGACACCCAGCGGTCATCTAGACCAACCCCCTTTGCAATGCAATACAATGACAATAATACATTGACAAGCTCCCACTCCCAGCGGCCAGCATGGCCAATGGTCACAGACGATGGGAGCCGGAGCCTTGCAACATCCAGAGGCTCACAGTATCCCCATTTCTGCGTTACTTCCTGCGTTACGCAGCGCCCCGTGGCATGATAGGAGCAGATATCTGCTCAAGCTAGGGGAACCTATTTATTTCATTTCATTTCAAATAGTTTCTACGCTGCGTTGCATTTCGGGGTTGGAAGGGAGGCCCCTCTCCGTGGCTTGCAGCCGAACGTAAAACATCAAATTAAGATTTGTGAGTTTGCAGAGATGGCAAAAACGACGACATCCCAGGCACCGTTTTCCGGACCCTGCCCTCCGCTGGCGCGTACCTTTCATCTCGTCCTCGTACACCTTGACCCCCTGAACTGAGCGGTCTTTGGGCAGCCTGGTGGTGCTGGACAGGACCTTGGTCTCGCCCGTCAGTTTGTCCTTCTCCACCGTGATCTCCACAGAGTACATAGCTGGGGGGCAAACAGGAGAGTGAAGCCCTGCCGCCCCACCGCAGCTCCCGGGGCCCCGACTCCCACTGGAAAGCAAGGCGTGCGTCGCACGAGCAAGGCGTGAGGCCGCGAAGCGGGTGCAGAGGGGGCAAGCTCCAAAGTGCAAGGGGTGCGGTTAGAAAGCGGTGCGCAGGGTCCGTCCGTCCCCGTAAGGAGAAAGGGAGCCTCTTGTCTACAGTGCCGAGCGCAGCCTGCAAAAAGCAGCCCTTCCCTGCTTCGTGTGGGTTAATTCCCATTGGCGCCTGTGGGGCTTCATCTGTTGGACTGCACCTAGTGAGGAAGTGTATATATATATATATATATATATATATAGTAAAGGTAAAGGGACCCCTGACCATTAGGTCCAGTCGTGGCCGACTCTGGGGTTGCGGCGCTCATCTAGCTTTATTGGCCGAGGGAGCCGGCTTACGGCTTCCGGGTCATGTGGCCAGCATGACTAAGCCGCTTCTGGCAAACCAGAGCAGCGCACGGAAACGCCGTTCACCTTCCCACCAGAGCGGTACCTATTTATCTACTTGCACTTTGAGGTGCTTTCGAACTGCTAGGTGGGCAGGAGCAGGGACCGAGCAACGGGAGCTCACCCCGTCATTGCGGGGATTCGAACCGCCGACCTACTGATCAGCAAGTCCTAGGCTCAGTGGTTTAACCCACAGCACCACCCGCGTCCATATATATATATATATAAACACACACATACAGCAGTACCTTGTTTCCCAAACGCCGAAACCCCGGAAGCGGGTGTTCCGGTTTCCGAACGTTTTTCGGAAGCTGAACGTCCGGTGCGGCTGTCGGCGTTTGTTTCCGGGGCACCTGCTCCAATCAGAAGCCACTGAATTTTGTGCAAGCTGTATTAATTTTCATAATGAAGGACTTGGATTAAAGAAGAAGAAGAAGCCGCGCCTTGGTTTTTGAACATTTTGGAAGTCAAACGGACTTCCGGAACGGATTACGTTTGGCAGAGATTTACAGAAGATTGGAAGAATTATACAAATTATTTGAACTGTAATCAACAAATTACGTGAGTAGGACTACAAGAAGTTTTGTAAGGAGAACTCTATGAAATATTGCAAAGAAGAGAAAGAAGAGAGATATTAGTTATACTATTTAAAGGTAACAGTGAAAGTAAGAAATGTAAATTAAGTGATAAGGTTGGAAAATTTTCAGATGTGAAGACTGGAAGAAATTTAAAGACTATTTGAATAAATATTGTAACATTAAAAAATTAGAAGCTACCTGAAAGTACCATATAGGCCTAGGTTTAAATTAGGAGCTAATTAAATAAACGAGATTTAGAATGTGAAGAAAAGTTAAGAAATTTGACTATAATTGGAATATTGTTTTTGGAATAATGATGTTGGAAAACTGCTACATTCAGTTACAAGGAAATTCAGACGGGAGGAAGTCAAGTAATATGTTTATGAGGTTGGAAGTCTAATTAATTAACTAACTTGTATTGCTTATGTTTTTGCTGTTACACTTTTTTATTTTTGTTTTCTTCGTGTGTGTGTTTTTGCTTCATTTATTTTATAATATGTGTTTTGTTTGTATGAAACTTAATAAACATTATTGTAAAAAAAAATGAAAAAGCTGGGCACCGACACATATGCCTTAATACTTGCTCCAAAACGTGCGACGCGAGGCCAGAACGTTACTTCTGTTCTCCGCCGTACCCGATCTTTACGGAGCAAATTGCATTTGCACCGAACGCGGTTATATAAATGACATTTCAGCCTGCGGCATGGAAACCTATCGAGTCGAGCCCCTCGCTGAAAGGGCTTATTTTATTTTATTTTATTTGGCGCGTGACAACTCTGCAGCGGTTAATGGGCAATGGCCCTCTTTGTGGAGGGGGGGTCCGCTGCCTTTAGGATGCTTCGACCTTGCAAAAGGTCTTCTCTGACCTTTGAAACCTCTGGCAATTCAGGAATGCAAGGCAGGAAGGAGGAACCAGCCAATTTCATTTCCTACCCGTTCATTAAAAAAAAAAAAGGAATGGGTAGGAAATGAAATTGGCAGAGACATCACCTTGCCAACAAAGGTCCGTATAGTTCAAGCTCTGGTTTTCCCAGTAGTGATGTATAGAAGTGAGAGCTGGACCATCAAGAAGGCTGATCGCCGAAGAATGGATGCTTTTGAATTCTGGTGCTGGAGGAGACTCTGGAGAGTCCCATGGACTGCAAGAAGATCAAACCTCTCCATTCTGAAGGAAATCAGCCCTGAGTGCTCACTGGAAGGACAGATCCTGAAGCTGAGGCTCCAAGACTTTGGCCACCTCATGAGAAGAGGAGACTCCCTGGAAAAGACCCTGATGTTGGGAAAGATGGAGGGTACAAGGAGAAGGGGACGACAGAGGACGAGATGGTGGGACAGTGTTCTCGAAGGGGCCAACATGAGTTTGACCAAACTGGGGGAGGCAGTGGAAGACAGGAGGGCCTGGCGTGCTCTGGTCCAGGGGGTCACAAAGAGTTGGACACGACCAAACGACTAAACAACAACAACAACAACCCGTTCCTTTACCCCCAATCCCACCCCCCTGCCCATATTCAGAATGCCAGACCTCCAGGGCTGGCCTGAAGTTTCTGGGTTCACCTGCCCCCCTCCAGCCGGCTAGTGAGGAACGTGAGGCTCAAGGTGGACCAGTAAATTTTCACTCCTCATCTTCATTTATATATTAAGAGGACGGCGAATGCAGCTTGCAAAATTCGCTCTGGTAGGAGCTGGCTGCAAATGATAGCCTAGACCTTCCAACACAGAGGTGTCCCCTCCGACGTTTCTCCCCTGAAAAGAGGGACATCCTATTCCATCCCCTCCAACGTTTCTCCCCTGAAAAGAGGGGCGTCCTATTCCATCCCCTCCAACATTTCTCCCCTGAAAATAGGGACGTCCTATTCCATCCCCTCCAACGTTTCTCCCCTGAAAATAGGGACGTCCTATTCCATCCCCTCCAACGTTTCTCCCGTGAAAATAGGGGCGTCCTATTCCATCCCCTCCAACGTTTCTCCCGTGAAAATAGGGACGTCCTATTCCATCCCCTCCAACGTTTCTCCCCTGAAAAGAGGGACATCCTATTCCATCCCCTCCAACGTTTCTCCCCTGAAAATAGGGACGTCCTATTCCATCCCCTCCAACGTTTCTCCCCTGAAAATAGGGACGTCCTATTCCATCCCCTCCAACGTTTCTCCCCTGAAAATAGGGACGTCCTATTCCATCCCCTCCAACGTTTCTCCCCTGAAAATAGGGACGTCCTATTCCATCCCCTCCAACGTTTCCCCCTGAAAATAGGGACGTCCTATTCCATCCCCTCCAACATTTCTCCCCTGGAAATAGGGACGTCCTATTCCATCCCCTCCAACGTTTCTCCCCTGAAAAGAGGGACGTCCTTTTCCATCCCCTCCAACGTTTCTCCAATGAAAATAGGGACGTCCTATTCCATCCCCTCCAACGTTTCTCCCCTGAAAATAGGGACGTCCTATTCCATCCCCTCCAACGTTTCTCCCCTGGAAATAGGGACGTCCTATTCCATCCCCTCCAACGTTTCTCCCCTGAAAATAGGGACGTCCTATTCCATCCCCTCCAACGTTTCTCCAATGAAAATAGGGACGTCCCATTCTATCCCCTCCAACGTTTCTCCAATGAAAATAGGGACGTCCTATTCCATCCCCTCCAACGTTTCTCCAATGAAAATAGGGACGTCCTATTCCATCCCCTCCAACATTTCTCCCCTGAAAATAGGGACGTCCCATTCTATCCCCTCCAACGTTTCTCCCCTGAAAATAGGGACATCCTATTCCATCCCCTCCAACGTTTCTCCCCTGAAAATAGGGACGTCCTATTCCATCCCCTCCAACGTTTCTCCCCTTAAAATAGGGACGTCCTATTCCATCCCCTCCAACGTTTCTCCCCTGAAAATAGGGACGTCCTATTCCATCCCCTCCAACGTTTCTCCCGTGAAAATAGGGACGTCCTATTCCATACCCTCCAACATTTCTCCCCTGAAAATAGGGACGTCCTATTCCATCCCTCCAACGTTTCTCCCTGAAAATAGGGACGTCCTATTCCATCCCTCCAACGTTTCTCCCCTGAAAATAGGGACGTCCTATTCCATCCCCTCCAACGTTTCTCCCCTGAAAATAGGGACGTCCTATTCCATCCCCTCCAACGTTTCTCCCCTGAAAATAGGGACGTCCTATTCCATCCCCTCCAACGTTTCTCCCGTGAAAAGAGGGACGACCTATTCCATCCCCTCCAACGTTTCTTCCGTGAAAAAAAGATGTCTCCTCCAATACTTCTCCAGTGAAAATGGGCTTTATCCAACCTCCGCCCTACTACTCAGAGTAGACACCCAGCATGATGTACTTCGGCTCGTTCGTATAAATAGGTCTACTCTAGGTAGGGTACAACTCCCCGCCTTGAGTCAGTAAATTCTCGGTGAAATCCATTCGTCAACTCTTTTATCCATTCAAAACAAACAAAACCATTAAGTTCTGCAGTCGCAATTAAAGAACGCAGATCTCTTCCTCCGAAGCTGCCAATTAAACCTCGGCGTTAGAATATCACCCAGCGCATTTCGTCTCCCGTAATGTCATTTCCTCTAACCTAGAATGCGTTAGCGCTTATCTAACTCTTCCCCCCTTCGATTCCCCTGCGAGGCTGAAATAACGCAAATTGATTTCATCTTGAGCTGTGGAGTTTGGTTTCTGCCGCCGGAGCGAAACGGATGCAAATCTGTTTGTTTAATTAATTCATTTTTAAGAACCCAATTATTTCCCGCAATTAGAACAAATGCAAATCTATTTATTCACAAAATTTTCCAATTAGATCCTGCGATTAGCTCTTCCCGGTATTGTTTGTTTATTTGGAGAGAGCGAGAGGAGGAATTGTGGACTGAATCTGGGGAGACCACGTTCCATTCTCCCCTTTGCCATGCCAAACGTCACCCCCCCACAGCGACGGCAGTGAAGAAAAGCACTCTGCACTTTCTCAGAGGCACTGCTGCTCACACATTCGGTTCAAGCACAAAGGGAAGAGTTATGTTGCAAGATCTGTGCTGGGCGGATTGGGAACGGGAATTTTTAAGAACTGTAAGACGAGGGCAAATGAAGAACCTTTTTTTGGGGGTTCAGGTGGTCCCCCCAAATTCAGCTGAAAATGCAACAGCCGGTTCAATTTGCTCAGCGCGAACAGCCGAAAAAGCCTGTAAAATTTGGATAACGGTCCTGATATGCACCGAGGGTGGAATAATTTCGTATGCAACCGGAGGGAGAGAGAGAGAGATTTGCATAGGGGAAGTTTTTAATGTTTAATGTTTTATAATGGTTTCGCGTACGCTGGACGCTGCCCAAAGTGGACTGGGTACAAATAAAATAAAATTATATATATAGAAGGAGAGAGAGCACTAGCCTGGAATCAAGAAGGAGGGGGAAATTGACGCAGCAATTCTCAAGTGCAGGATTCAGTCTTGAGTTTAAGCACGGCATTCTCTAACCCAGGGCCGGATTTAGGTTGGATGAGGCCCTCAGCTCCTGAAGGTAATGGGGCCCTTTATATGTCCAGCTGTCCTTTGTCCACAACACATTGCCACTGTTTTTTTGTGTTGAATATATGCTATATTGTCATTTACGGACCTCATAGGTATCTCAAGCCATTTGTGCATGTTGCCCTGCAACCAGTCCATGCAGAATGTAGGCACCCTATATATAGAAAGGAGCAAACCAGGGATATTTATGGGAGCAGGCGAGCAGGCGTGGCCTATGACTTACCGTATTTTTCGCTCTATAGGTAAAGGGACCCCTGACCATTAGGTCCAGTCGTGGCCGTTTACCTTCCCGCCGGAGTGGTACCTATTTATCTACTTGCACTTTGACGTGCTTTCGAACTGCTAGGTTGGCAGGATTTTCACTCTATAATATGCCCTTTCCCCCTCCTACAAAGTAAGGGAAATGTGTGTGCATCTTATGTAGCGAATGCAGGCTGCGCAGCTATCGCTGAAGCCAGGAGAGAAAGAGAGATTGCTGTGCAGCGATCCCTCTTGCTTTTCATGCTTGTGGGATTCAAAATATTTTTTTTCTTGTTTTCCTCCTCCAAAAACTAGGTGCGTCTTATGGTCGGGTGCGTCATATAGAGCGAAAAACACGTTACATCACAGGAGCCTACATCACACAAAACACTGTTGCTGTTTGTAGGTTTTATTTTATTTGTTTTTTATCTTATATTTTGGAAATGTACATCCAGTTGGTTTTTTCCTTTAAATCTTTTGGCGGCCCCCAAGAGAGTGTGGCCTTAAGCGAGAGCTTGTTTAGCTTATACGTAAATCCGACACTGGCATAGATAGATAGATGATAGATAGATAGATAGATAATATTTTGGAAATGTACATCCAGTGGAGCCCTAAGATAGAGCTTGTTTAGCTTATACGTAAATCCGGCCCCACTCTAACCCATCACCAATTAAGCCATGTGGGGTTTGCCCCCCCAAAAACACAGGGGCTTCCCCCGAGATAGTTAGGCCACCCCACCCCACTCCCGGCGAAAGCAGGCGAAAGCAGCATGCCGCTACAGTCAGGCAGAGGGGCTTGCCGTCGTCCCCCCGGCCGCCCCATTTTTGGGGGGGCCCAAGAGCTTAAAGGATTAGTGCGCCCGTAAGAGCAAGAGGCCACGATCCGACCTACCTGCCTTCATCATCCCACCGCCTTCCACCACTTTTAAAGGGCTGTTGGAGGCTCTGTTTTCCACTTGGGGGGCAAGGAGGAGAAGGGTGGGGAGGGAGTTAGAATCACAGAACTGTCGGAAGGGACCCCTGAAGGTCATCCAGTCCAACCCCCCACGAGGCAGGGACTCGAACCCGCAACCTTGGCGTTACCAACCTAGCATCACAGCAGGACAATGCACTGCTCCCTGCTCTGATGTCATACAGAGGCGGGGCTTCTGCGCATGTGCGAGGTGTGGTTTATAATAAATAATAATAATAATAATTTTTTATTTATACCCTGCCCTCCCCAGCCAAGACCGGGCTCAGGGCACCTAACACCAAATATAAAATATAGTTGAAAAAAACAAAACAACTCCCCGCAATTGATTAAAATACGGCTTAAAATGCAGCCTCGTTTTACTGGCGGCCCATAAATCAAGACCGTAAGGAGAGGAGACGTCGAATATTCACCAGGGCCAGCTATCCCTGCTGGTCCTACACGGGCCAGCAAAAGGGCCGAGGGAAAATGTATATGCAGGATCCTATAGAAGGGGTTCCATTAAAAAAAATAAGAGGTTTAGCGCTTCTGCTCATGCATGCGCGGCAGCGAAGAAACCCAGAAAAATACTTCCGGGTTTGCTGCGTTCGCCTCCCCGGTACGTAAGGGGAGGTACGGCTGTAGCTCCTTTTTGAAATCCAACCGGGATTTAAAAACGGGGGTAGAGGACCTCCGCCCCAGTGGCCCTCTAAGGAAGTCACGGGTTCGAGTTCTGCCCTGCAGAGCAGGAGAAAAGAAGCACGCATGTACACTCTCCCATGGGACAGCCCTCGAGATATCAGAAGATGGCTCTCCTATCCCTCCTCTTTCCAAGGCTAAACATCCCCAGCTCCTTCGACCATTCCTCATCCGGCTCGGTTCCCAGACGCCTTGATCATCTTGTCCACTTTCCACCTTGTCAATATCCTTAAATTGTGGTGCCCAGAACCAGACACGGGATTCTAGCTGTGGTCTGACCAAGCCGGAATCGAGAGGGACTCTTGATCTGGACACTGGACTTTTGTGGATGCAGCCTAGAATAGCACTAGACTTTTTTGCTGCTGCAACACGCCGTTGGCTCACGTTCAGCTTGGAGGAAAATGTGGGATATAGATGCAAACAAAGAAAGAAACAAACAAAGGTACCTACCTTTGGCCGAGCCTAGAGGAGTCTGTGGAAAAAGAAAGCAGACATTAAGAGGAGGGGGAGAAAATATATTTAAATGGAGTATATCAAAGTTTAAAAACACGGGAGCCAGACCAGCACCATCTTCTGAATTTGAGGTGGCCTAGGTCACATAACCCTGAGGGGCAGGCCAGGCTGAGATTTTTTATATATAAATAGATTTATACCTGCCCCAGCCACTCTGGGCGGCTTCCAACACACATAGTTGTAGTTGTAGTAGTAGTAGTAGTAGTAGTAGTAGTAGTAAAAACATCAAGCATTTATAGCAACAATCTGACCCAATATAAAAAGTCACAATAGACAGCTCATATCAAATAAAGCAATATTCAATAATCCATTAGGATCCCATAGTATAAAGTGAAATTAAACATCAGCAAATAATAAATTAAGCAGTTTACATCTATCTATCTATCTATCTATCTATCTATATCTATCTATCTATCATCTATCTATCTATCTATCATCTATCTATCTATCCACCTGCCCCAGCCACTCTGGGCAGCTTCCAACACTAATATTAATATTATTAATAGTAATAATAATAAATATATTCTCAGGCTGAGGGGGGGGGGAAGAGAAGGACGGCTTCTTACCTTCGGTGTGCGGGGTGCCTTGTCCTCCTTGCCCCCCGCCCGCGTCTCTTCAGCCATGTTCTCTTTGGTGGACGACGCTGAGATCCCGTTTTCCAGTTGCTCCAGCTCCTTCTCCAACCTGGAAGAGGGAAACGGCATTGGAAGGGAGTGGAGACTAACACAGGTCCTGAAAGACCTCCATTGGTTCCCAGGACGTTTCCGAGCACAATTCAAAGGGTTGGTGCTGACCTTGAAAACCCTAAATGGCCCAGTAGACCTGAAGGAGCGTCTCCACCCCGGACACCGGGGTCCCTCTCCCGAGGGCCTTCTGGCGGTTCCCTCCCTGCGAGAAGTGAAGCTACAGGGAACCAGGCAGAGGGCCTTCTCGGTGGTGGCGCCTGCCCTGTGGAACTCCCTCCCATCAGATGCCAAGGAAATAAACAACTCTCTGACTTTTAGAAGACATCTGAGGGCAGCCCTGTATAGGGAAGCTTTTAATGTTTTATTCTAATTTTAATATTCTGTTGGGAGCCGCCCAGAGTGGCTGGGGAAACCCAGCCAGATGGGAGGGGTGTGAATATTATTATTATTTAATTCTATGACTCCACGAACATGCCTTTCCTCCAGACCGAAAAGCAAACTTTGCAGAGATCCGCTTCTGGCTGGGGCTACCGCCAGGTCCGTTTCATCCCCGTGCAAACTTTGAAAAGACTCAACAATGGGATTTTCTCGCCCGGGAGACCCGGAGGCAGGAACAGCTACCAGCTGTCTCTTAATTGGAAAGCAGAGATGGCTTTTGCATCCGCTGCCTGCCCGGATCCCTTTAGAGCAGGAGAAGGGAAGAGAGGGGCTCTGGAGGGAGGGGAATGAATGCTCATCCCTGGAAGAAGACGGTTTCCTCGGTTTGCATAACCCTCTCTAAACCTCTCCCTTTCTTTTGGCCTCCCCAAATGCGGACCGCGGTTCAGCCCTTGCCAAAGGGAGAGGTGCAGCCTGGAACAGAGACATCGAAGCCTTGCCAGTGACGCTCTGTTCTGGAGGAGAGGCTGTTTCCCCCAGAGGAGTCTGCCGTATGAAACACATCAATGCAGTGGCCGGCATATAATAATAATATTTTTTTATTTATACACCGCCCTTCCCGGTTCAAAAACCGGGCTAAGGGCGGCTAACAAGAAATTTAAAACACTTAATTGTAAAAAGCAGCATAAGATACAGTATAAAAACATGAATAACAATAAAATTCGAAAATTGATTTAGGGGAAATAAGCCTTAGATAATCCCCAGGGCTAGCTGGCTGAATTGGTCCTACTTGGGCCAGTGAGGAGGTCAGGGGAGAATTAGCTGTGGGGTCTCAGAGCGGGTGATCTTCATAGAAGGGGAGGGAAGGGAAGGGAAATAAAAGATCAGGCTGAATTCAAATTGAAAGCCAGGCGGAATAGCTCTGTCTTACAGGCCCTGCGGAAGGAGGTTAAATCCTGCAGGGCCCTGGTCTCATGGGACAGAGCATTCCACCAGGTCGGAGCCACCACTGAAAAGGCCCTGGTAGAGGATAGTCTGACTTCCTTAGGACCCGGGACCTCTAAACTATGGTTATTTATGGAACTTAAGGTCCTCTGCGGGGCAGACCAGGAGACGCGGTTCCATAAATACAAGGGCCCTAAGCCACATATGTGAGTCTTGTATCTCCTGCAACTTCTAAAGGCAGCGAACGCATCTCTCTCTCTCTCTCTCTCTCTCCCCTTTGCTTTATAAACTGTGCAACGAACTCATCAGGATTCATCATCATCTGTCATCGAAATTATCCAACTCCCTGTTACAGGAATTTTAAGGTACCCAAGGGACGCAGGTGGCACTGTGGGTTAAACCACAGAGCCCAGGACTTGCCGATCAGAAGGTTGGCGGTTCGAATCCCCGCAATGACGGGGTGAGCTCACGTTGCTCGGTCCCTGCTCCTGCCAACCTAGCAGTTCGAAAGCACATCAAAGTGCAAGTAGATAAATAGGTACCACTCCAGCGGGAAGGTAAACAGCGTTTCCATGCGCTGCTCTGGTTCGCCAGAAGCGGCTTAGTCCTGCTGGCCACATGACCCGGAAGCTGGACGCTGGCTCCCTCGGCCAATAACACACCTGAGCCCTTACCTCTGGATGCTTTCTTCCAGCTCCTTGGCCTTCAAGTCGTCCTCCTGCATCTGCTTTTTCAAGGCGTCACCTTCCTCGGCCGTCGACGAAGGGGCTCCTTCCAGCAACCATCTTTCCCTCAAGGTCTTTGACTGGAGGCAACGAAGAGGCAAAGGGAAGAATCGTAGAGTCGTACAACTTGGAAGGGACCCCAAGGGGTCATCTGGGTTATCGTTGCTATTGTTGCTTTTTAAATTTATTTAAAGCATTATTTAGCATAACCTCAGTTGCCGAATGTCTCTGCATGACCTTAAGCAACTTCTGGCAAACAGTGAGTGCCTCCCCCCCCCCTGATTTTTTGGGGAGCGGGTTCAGATCCTAATTCCTTCCAGCCACAGGCCGGCAGCTCTCCCTACCTTTAAGTGTTGCAACTGACGCCGGTCGTCTTCCAGCTGCCGCCTCTTGTTTTCGATCTCGGCTTGGCGCTTCCTCTTCTCCTGAAATCGCAGGGGGGAAGAGAAAAAGTTGAGTGGCAGCCCCAAAATTTGGGATACTAGACACAGATATAGCCAGAGAAAATCAGAAAAGATTCCTTTATGCGACAGGGGCTGCGAGAACACAAACTGCACAAAACCAGGGGGGAAAGAAATAATACCGACAAAAATAAATAAATGAATGAACGGCAAGACAATTTGACTATATTGAATTGGCCAGGCTGACAGAGGCAATTAGGGGCCAGTACAAGCAAAAATAATATATATATTATTTTTTAAGTGGGAAAACCTTAAAAAGCAGTGCCCTCAAATTAATACTTGGGCTTGTTTCGATTCACTTCTGGGAGATAATTTATGGTACTTAAATTAAAAATGGTAAGAAAAAGGGGGAAATAACGAACGAAGAAGGAGACAGTTTACCAAAAATGAAAAGAGAACCGTGTTGAGGATGAAGGAAGTCAATTGGAAGAAAAGAACTGAAACACAGTGGGTAGGTGTGTATCTATCTATCATCTATCTATCTATCTATCTATCTATCTATCTATCTATCTATCTATCATCTATCTATCCATCTATTATCTATCTATCTATCTATCTATCATCTATCTATCCATCCATCTATGTATATTGTTCACTATCTGTTCTGTATATGTTTTCGTACGTTACTATGGATTATTTATACAGTGATCTTATTCCCCTCTTGGCCATGAGACGGGGAAGGCGGTTACTTTTTCCTTATTATTATTATTAAAAAAAAAGCTTTTATTTATGAATTTTTCAAACTACAACAGGATTTGCCCCTGCAATACAAAGCAGTTTGGGTATGTTATTTCCCCTGACGTACATGTGCTGTGCATATTTTTTTTTTTTTTGCAAACATCGGTCGGTTGCAGAACTGTGTCGCAAAATCCAAGCACGGCCGTATTTCATTTCTCTCTCTTTTTAATGCTTTATTGGTTTTGAAACTGTAGAACGGAAATACTCAATAGATGTTGAAGACAAAATAAAAATAAACAGTCATTCGTTCCTTCATTGATACTTCATCATTTTATAATTGAATTTATAAATTTTACAAATTGAATTGATAAAACATCATTTTATAATTGAATTTAACGTGACCTCTGATCTTCGCATTGAGTTCCCGAATTGGATTCTGCACTTAGTTTTGTTTCCTCCATGTTGTTCGGCTTAACTTTAAATTTTATAAAGTTATCCGATTTATAAACGAGAAACTCAGTCGAAACCTGCCAGCCGATTGATATTTTGACATTCTTTTACACAGGCATATTCCACCTATATATTTTGGTTCTCGTTTCGCTCCGGGAAACGCAAATTCGATGGGTTTGCCTTTGAAGACGAACTGGATCTGTATTTTGCTTCTGCCAGGGACAGGGAACCTTTTCCAGCCCAAGAGTGAGGAAGCAGAGAGCTCAAAGAAGATACAGAAAAGCAATTCTCTCCGAAAAGGGACCTCGTTGGGCTCCTGCGGGCCTTCAGCCAGGCAAACCTCGAACAAGAATCTGTTGTTGTTTGCAACCGGGAGAGAAATTCCATCCCTCTCGGGGCTGCTCCATGCTCGATTTCCCTCTCGAAACGAGGGCAAGAATGTGTCGCAAACAAGGGATGCTTTTGTTGTCCTCCTCTCGGACAGCAGAGGCTCCCCGTCGCCCTAGTTAAATCAAAATCCCGCTGGGAAAACAGGAGGTGGAATACAAGCCCATTAATAATAATAATAATAATAATAATATAATAATAATTTATCACTTATGACCCGCCCATCAGGCTGAGTTTTCCCAGCCACACTGGGCGGCTCCCAATCGGATATTAATAGCAATACAGCATTAAAGATTAAAAGCTTCCCTAAACAGAGCTACTGTCAGATGTCTTCTAAAAGTCAGGTAGTTGTTTATTTCCTTGACATCTGATGGGAGGGTGCCACCACCGAGAAGGCCCTCTGCCTGGTTCCCTGTAACCTCGCTTCTCGCAGGGAGGGAACCGGCAGAAGGCCCTCAGGAGATGGACCCTGGTGTCCAGGCTGGACGATGGGGGTGGAGACGCTCCTTCAGGTCTACTGGGCCATTTAGGGCTTTCAAGGTCAGCACCAACCCTTTGAATTGTGCTCGGAAACGTCCTGGGTGCCAATGCGGGTCTTTCAGGACTGGTGTTATATGGTCTCCACTCCCAGTCCCCAGTCCAGCTGCCACATTCTGGATTAGTTGTAGTTTCTGGGTCACCTTCAAAGGTAGCCCCACGGAGAGCGCATGGCAGTAGTCCAAGCAGGCGATAATCAGAGTCAGTCTCCGGGAACACTCTCCCGCCAGATGTCAAGTGAATAAAGAATTTGTTTAAGCAACTCCTGTTTTAGGAGTGTTGGCATTAAAAGAATAAAAAGACTCGAAAGAGGCGTCTAATTTGTGCATTTTCCCTAATCTGCGTATTTTTGTACACATTACTGCAGGGCTGGAAAAACTCCTTTGCAAAATTCGGAGAAGCGTGAATATCATAGCTCGGCTCCGTTCCAGTTTGTGCCGCGTTTCCAAAAGGAGAAATTAGTTAAATGCAAACGGAATCGCACCTCCCCAAATTTGCACTTCCAAAAGGGACCCCCCTGCTAATATTTCAACACCCAAAGAAGGTCTCTGTGGAGGAGAGTGCTTTTTCCACTGGCGTGCAAAAATGCAAAAAAACCCACTCTCTGTTGCATTTCCGGAGGTGGCCGGGACAAGGGGAGTTAAACCCTGGAAATGTCTTCATTCCGGCCCCACATGGAAAAACCAGACAATATTCCTTTGGCGGCCAAGCCTGCTGCAAGCTCTTCCAAACGCATCGCCTGTCTGCCAAGCGATGATCCGTTTCTCTCTCTCCTTTTCGGAACAGCCTGCAAAGATCGCCTCCCTCCCTCTGAACTTTTTGCAGAGTGTTGCAGGAATTTATGTATAGGTTGGGGGGGGGGTTGCCCCTCCAGCAGATATCACGCACATGCAACCCACTACCAAAACCAGCACAATCGCTTTTGTGACTTTTGTGATTTGTCCCCACAAAACACTTCATCGCAGTTTCTTCCTATCTATTCAAAGGGCCTTTGCTGCACGATACCAAATGTAAGAATTCACTGATCAATGTATCTCTGTACTGGCTCACTGGGAAAACTTCAGAAATTCCTATAGACCTGTGAGCTCAGCTCCTCAGCAGCCCGTCTGCCTGAGTGATAATCCCTGGCCTCCTGATACCTGAGTGCCAGACAGGTAGCCATTCCAGAAAGAACAAACCCAGATGAAGACAAAAGGGTGGGATGAACTTGGCTGGGAAACGAGGAAATGTAAATATCTCTTTTGTTCCACTTGATGGGTGTTTGGTGGAGGGCAAGGGGAACCATGGGGCAGGGTCCAGGATGCTCAGATTGTGGCTACCAGACCTCCCCTTTCATGATGTAACCATGATGTATGAGTGATGTAGTTTGGGGGGGTGTAATGGGGATTAAAAAGGTAAAGGGACCCCTGACTGTTAGGTCCAGTCGTGACCAACTCTGGGGTTGCGGCGCTCATCTCGCTTTATTGGCTGAGGGAGCCGGCGTACAGCTTCCGGGTCATGTGGTCAGCAGGACTAAGCCGCTTCTGGCGAACCAGAGCAGCGCACAGAAACACCGTTTACCTTCCCGCCGGAGCGGGACCTATTTATCTACTTGCACTTTGACGTGCTTTTGAACTGCTAGGTTGGCAGGAGCAGGGACCGAGCAATGGGAGCTCACCCCGTCATTGCAGGGATTCGAACAGCCGACCTTCTGATCAGCAAGCTCTAGGCTCTGTGGTTTAACCCACAGCGCCACCCGTGTCCCTGTAATGGGGATTAGCAGCTAATAAAAGTTTGGGTTCTCTTTTGTTTGGGGCTTCCATCTTGTTCCACCTGGTGGCAGGTGGGAGTCCTGTCTGTCTTCAATAAAGACCAAGCCTCCTGGCTGCTGTTTTGCTCTGGTATTCCTGGCTGGGGTCCTTGTTTTTTGTCCAAGGGAGCCTTCAGATTTCTCCGTTAACAGAGGCTCACGTTCATTCCCAGGACGGACACAGAGCTGGCCAAAGTCTCTTTGCTCCTGACTGTTTCTCTTCTCTCTCTCTCTGCCCTTCCCTTCCCTCTGAAACAATACTCTCCTTTGTTGTGAAGGGCCTGTATCTAGCGAACAGTGTCAGGGAAAAATGAGCGTCCGAAAGGGGACTTCAAGGTACGGGAAGCCAGCCAGGGCCAAAGCAGCGCTGGGTGTGCCTTCGATTGGCCGATTCCGGGTTAGATTAACCAACAAGGTCGGCAGCAGGTGAAAGGGAGGCAGCAGCTCTGTCGCAGAGCACACCTGTGCACGCCTCAGCTTGCCCACCTAGGGCGAATCATGACCGTCATAATTTTATTATTTGTTCCCCGCCCATCCGCCTCGGTCAGCCCAGCCAGTCCGGGCGGTTTCCCACACATATATAAACATAATAAAACACCAAACTTCCCCAAAGAGGGCTGCCTTCAGATGCCTTCTAAAAGTCAGGTAGTTGTTTATCTCCTTGAGGGTGTTCCACAGGGAGGGCGCCACCACCAAGAAGGCCCTCTGCCTGGTTCCCTGTAACCTCACTTCTCGCAGGGAGGGAACCGCCAGAAGGCCCTCAGGAGAGGAACCTCAGTGTCCGGGGTGGAGACGCTCCTTCAGGTCTACTGGGCCGTTTAGGGCTTTCAAGGTCAGCACCAACACTTTGAATTGTGCCCGGAAATGTCCAATGTAGGACTTTCAGGACCGGTGTTATGTGGTCTCCACTCCCAGTCCCCAGTCTGGCTGCCACATTCTAGATTAGTTGTAGTTTCCAGGTCACCTTCCAAGGCAGCCCCATGGAGAGCGCATGGCAGTAGTCCAAGCGGGAGATAACCAGAGCATGCACCGCTCTGGCCAGACAGTCTGCGGGCAGGGAGGGTCTCATCCTGCGTACCAGATGGAGCTGCCCTGGACACAGAACTGACCTGTGCCTCCATGGACAGCTGTGAGTCCAAAATGACCCCCAGGCTGCGCACCTGGTCCTTCGGGGGCACAGTCGCCCCATACAGGACCAGGGAGTCCCCCCCACACCAACTAACTTCCCATCTCCTACAGGTTCTGGAGAATTACGAGAAGGATGAGAGCGACGCCGACATCTTCATCCCCATCATCCTGTACGACTCACTCCGGTCCGTGTTCGACCGCTTGAAGGAGCAACAAGGGCAGGGTTACACCGTTCAGGACCATTCAGACACGCCGATTTTAAACCCACCATGAGGACTAGGATCTTGTAGCTCAGCCACTGGGTGTCTGCTTTGGCAGGCGGAAACTCTCAGTTCCTGGCCTCACTGGGAAAGTTTGGGAAAGGACAGTGAGTCTGATCGGCAGCTGCCGCTCAGACAACCCTGAACTAGACAGGCCCCCCCTTCCCACAAACACATGTTAAAAAGCCGTAAGACACAGCCTCGGCCTCCCCGTGTCTCTAAATGTGCTCGTGTGGACCTCAGGGCATCCTGCGGTGATTGGGCAGCCTCCCATCACATGCCCAGCGGGGTGCAAAACTCCATCATCCTGAGCTGTTGATAACAGATCATTACAGGACAATTGTGGGGTGTGTGTGTGTGCGCTTTCCCTTCCTAGCCTTAAAGCCGACATAAATGCTCTTTGTTGTGAGATCTGCACAGGATGGGTGATTTGGAGAGGACAGGGACATGGCGTACTGCGAACGGCGGAGGGGGAACAGCCTTCAGCCACGGGCGCCCAGTGCCAAAAGAGGGGGGGGTGACATGAATCGCGAGCGGTGATTTGTTTTCCGGGAAACCGGGGCCAGTCGAGACGCTTGGCTTTGGGCTCCCTGCATTGCATACCTTCCAGTGTTTCTCTGATGAAAACAGGGGCGTCATTACGAGGGGGGGGGAGAGAGAAAGGGGCAGGAGGCAAAAGTCCCCAATGATGCCCCTTTTCCGGTAGATTCCAGACCCTCCTAGTGTCCCTATTTCCCAGGGACAGTCCAGATTTACAGAAGCCCTCCCGGTTTCAGATCTGATCCCAGAATGTCCTGCTTTTCCTTAGGACGTCCCTATTTCCAGGGGAGAAACGTTGGAGGGGATGGAATAGGGCGTCCCTATTTTCAGGGGAGAAACGTTGGAGGGGATGGAATAGGGCGTCCCTATTTTCAGGGGAGAAACGTTGGAGGGGATGGAATAGGGCGTCCCTATTTTCAGGGGAGAAACGTTGGAGGGGATGGAATAGGGCGTCCCTATTTTCAGGGGAGAAACGTTGGAGGGGATGGAATAGGGCGTCCCTATTTTCAGGGGAGAAACGTTGGAGGGGATGGAATAGGGCGTCCCTATTTTCAGGGGAGAAACGTTGGAGGGGATGGAATAGGGCGTGCCTATTTTCAATGGGGAAACGTTGGAGGGGGTGGAACAGGACGTCCCTATTTTCAGGGGAGAAACGTTGGAGAGTATGGCCCCCCAATAAAATTGGGGGGGGGAATATGAAACGAGAAGCAGTTTGTTGCGCTCTCCCAAAAGATGAGGAAGAAGATTTGGGCAGGTGGCCAGCGCTCGCTGTAGGTTTCGGAGGCCCCCAGAGCTTGAAGGCCACCTCCAAGGGGTTGCTTCTCTCAGCGGGGGCCTACCTCCCCATCGCGGGAGATTCGGCGGCCCCCGTGCCGAGGTGTGTGCCAGGGGAACGGCCCTGCCAAGCCCTGGCGCCGGCCCCTGCCAGCCTCCCAAGCTCAGCTGCCCGAGAATGCGGCGTTCTTGAAAGGGTACCCGATGGGCACATTTGTTGGGGGTCCAAAGACCTCCGTTTGCCCAGCTCTGTCCAAATTGGCGGTGCCAAATGGCGGGGAAAGGTCGACGCGTTCCTCGCGGCCTCCCCAAATCTGGCTGCCCCCTCCAACCCACATCCTCGCGGCTCGGGGAGGAAGCGGGTTACCGGGGGACCCCTGCCGCGCAGCGCTGGCATCCGGCTGATGTTGTAGCTTCGCCGGCTTCTAAAGGCAGAGAAGAAAAGGGCTTATGTCAGGGAGCAGAAAAAGGATGCCATTGTCTCAGCGAGAGGAGCGTTTGAGCTGAGGGGAGAGCTCCACATTTGTAGCTCTCTCTCAAGGTTACAACCCGGGTTTGGGAAGATGCAGAACAGGCCGGGAGATAGCGAGCTTTCTTGCTTTCACCCTCCTCCCTCCCCAGGAAGGAACTGAGCTCACCGGTCAGATAAATGGCATTTTCGCCCCAGGGACAAATCCGAGAAACGGGGGCACTGGACAATACCAGGTCCCCTGTCCATTTCTCTCTCCCCCCGACCTTTAGCATCCCCTCCAACGTTTCTCCCCTGAAAATAGGGGCTCCCTAAGGAATAGCGGGACATTCTGGGATCAAATCAGAAACTGGGACGTCTTCTGTAAACCTGAGACTGGAAAATAGGGGCTGTTGGTGGGTCTGCAGCCTTGAAGTGACTGCCTGGCAGTTCTCAGAGTCTGGTTCTTCACCTATGTGCCAAAATGAATGTGAAAAGGAGTCGACTCGCCCTTCCGGATGGCAGCAGACCAGGAGAGGGTGTTCCCGGTCACAGGCCCTAACCTGCAAACTCCCCACAGAGGGGGGGGGGTGCAGTTTTGGGTGAATGGCGAAGACACACCACTTTAACACAGACCCGGGTTATATTTAGCAATTGCGTTTCATCCTGCAAGTTTCCAAACAGTTCTGAATGTCTTTTCAATGGCCGCAACCTGCCTGGGGAAATCCGGGTGCAGCGCAGGTAATAATTTAAAAGAATAATAATAGGGATGGGGACAATAGAACCAAATAAATCTCGACACAAGCCTGAGACCTCTGTTTTGGCATGTCCTATCAATGCACACGTCCGTATAGTAAAAGCTCTGGTTTTCCCAGTAGTGATGTATGGAAGTGAGAGCTGGACCATAAAGAAGGCTGATGGCTGAAGAATGGATGCTTTTGAATTCTGGTGCTGGAGGAGACTCTGGAGAGTCCCATGGACTGCAAGAAGATCCAACCTCTCCATTCGGAAGGAAATCAGCCCTGAGTGCTCACTGGAAGGACAGATCCTGAAGCTGAGGCTCCAAGACTTTGGCCACCTCATGAGAAGAGAAGACTCCCTGGAAAAGGTGATGTTGGGAAAGATGGAGGGCAGAAGGAGAAGGGGACGACAGAGGACGAGATGGCGGGACAGTGTTCTCGAAGCTACCAGCATGAGTTGGACCAAACTGCGGGAGGCAGTGGAAGACAGGAGGGCCTGGCGTGCTCTGGTCACGAAGAGTCGGACACAACTAAACGACTAAACAACAACATCAATGCACAGTTCAGCATCCTTGCATTCTGACTAACCAGGAACTAGGAAATGGCCGATTTAAGTTTCTCATTCTCTCCCCCGCCACCAGTATTAAATGGAGTTTCCACATCAATTTGCAATTTTTAAAAAAATTAAAAGTCCTTACAAAAATTTGCCAGCAGCAGTTTTGTGCAAATTTCCCTATCTGGACAGGGATAGCCTAACTCCTGTCATCTATGCTCTGGTAACCTCCAGGTTAAATTAATGCAATGCTTTCTATGTAGGGCTGACTCTGAAGATGGTTCGGAAACTTCAGCCGGTGCAGAATTTGGCGCCAGGTTGCTCACCGGACGGCAAGACGGTTGGAGCCTTCTGGTAGTTCCCTCCCTGCGAGAAGCGAGGTTACAGGGAATCAGGCAGAGGGCCTTCTTGGTGGTTGCGCCCTCCCATCAGATGTCAAGGAAATAAACAACTATAATAATTTAATAGTAATAATTTATTATTTATACTCCGCCCATTTGCCTGGGTTTCCCCAGCCACTCTGGGCGGCTTCCAACAACATATTAAAATATAATAGTCTGTGCAATATTAAAAGCTTCCCTATACAGGGCTGTCTTCTAAAAGTCAGATAGTTGTTTATTTCCTTGACATCTGACGGGAGGGCGCCACCACCGAGAAGGCCCTCTGCCTGGTTCCCTGTAACCTCGCTTCTCGCAGGGAGGGAACTGCTAGAAGGCCCTCGGGAGATGGACCCAGGTGTCCAGGGTGGAGACACTCCTTCAGGTCTACTGGGCCATTTAGGGCTTTCAAGGTCAGCTGGACCTCAGTATCTGACTTTTAGAAGACATCTGAAGGCAGCCCTGTTTAGGGAAGCTTTTTAATGTTTGATATTTTATTGTGTTTTTTATATTCTGTTGGGAGCCGCCCAGAGTGGCTGGGGAAACCCACCCAGATTGGGGGGGAGTATAAATAAGAAATTATGATGACGTTGATCCTTTATTAGGATGCAAAATCAAGGACTTACCGCTATGGCTTGGAGTCTTTCCTGCTGAATTGTACTTGTGTCGATGATCCTGGAGAGAAAGACAAGAGGAAGACTTAAGAAGACGCAGGAACTCAGACTTCAAGGGACACATAAAGGTGAAGGGTAAAGGGACCCCTGACCATTAGGTCCAGTCGTGGCTGACTCTGGGGTTGTGGCACTCATCTTGCTTTACTGGCCGAGCTTCTGGGTCATGTGGCCAGCAGGACTAAGCCGCTTCTGGCGAACCAGAGCAGTGCACGGAAACGCCGTTTACCTTCCCGCTGGAGCGGTACCTATTTATCTACTTGCACTTTGACATGCTTTCGAACTGCTAGGTTGGCAGGAGCAGGGACCGAGCAACGGGAGCTCACCCTGTCGTTGCAGGGATTCAAACCACCAACCTTCTGATCGGCAAGTCCAAGGCTCTGTGGTTTAACCCACAGCGCCACAAGGGACACATAGATGCCCTATAAACATCGAAATCAGCCACCGTGAACCAACGCCCGCCTCTCCGCCTCGCTGGGTTGTTGTAGAGAGAGAAAACGAGCAAGAGAAGGGATCGTGTCCAACACAGACAAAGGGAACGAAGTAAAACCCAGCTGTTTTCAAAGCTGCGTTTTTAGCCGAATCTGGGGGAACCGAATGTTCGATTCGCTTCTTGCAAACGGCTGAAAGTCTGTACATTTTAACAATAAACCTGATTTGCAACGGGGAGGGCGGAATAATTTCGATCTCACACCCGGATTTTCACTTTTTAAAATACTGGTTTAGCAGCACGTTTATCGAGGATTCGCCCTGTGAAGTTTGCAGGAAGATCAACCAACGTCGCCTCTTTCTCGCGCTTCCATTCCGATGGGTTTGCACGAAGGTTTTGCCGCGCCGCAGCTCTCGGTCCTTCGCCCCGCCCTCCCCGTCACTTTCCTTCCTGCAAAAACACCTGCTTCTAGCTGGAAACCGGAATATGCCAATTTGTGACTAAATCCCATCCCAAAATAGCAACTGACCGGAAGTGGCTTTCGATTTCGAGCTGGTCAGCACACAAACGCATGCACACACCCGACAATCATTGCAGCACCTTGCCATATAAACCCAAGAATCCTTTAAAACGCCTTTTTTTGACACCTGCAAAGATTCCTGGTTAGAGAGTGTCGACGCTTTTATGGAACGCCAAACTCTCAGTTTGCAGGGAAAGGAAGCTGGAACCGCTTTGACGCAAGGTTGCGGTTTCCGACGTGTTGTTTCACGGGGCAACCGGCAAGCCCAAATCTACCGTATTTTTCACTCTATAAGACGCACCAGACCACGAGACGCACCTAGTTTTTGGAGGAGGAAAACAAGAACAAAAATATTCTGAATCCCAGAAGCCAGAACAGCAAGAGGGATCGCTGCGCAGTGAAAGCAGCAATCCCTCTTGCTGTTCTGGCTTCTGGGATAGCTGCGCAGCCTGCATTCGCCCCATAAGACGCACACACATTTCCCCTTACTTTTTAGGAGGGAAAAAGTGAGTCTTATAGAGCAAAAAATACGGTACTTGCTATGGTGACCCATTTCTCTGCATTATTCCTCCTACACGCAGTAGACAGACCCTCCAAGTGCCCCTGTTTTCCAGGGCAGGACCGGATTTATGTTTGATGCGGCCCTCAGCTCCTGAAGGTAACGGGGCCCTTTATATGTCCAGCTGTCCTTTGTCAACATCAAATTGCCGCTTTTTTGTGTGTTGAATATATGCTATATGGTCATTTACGGACCTCATAGGTATCTCAAGCCATTTGCACATCACAAAATACGGGGTTTATCAAATAATATGGGTTTTATCAACAAGAGGTGTAAATATATGGTGCAAACTACTAATAATTATAAAGAGCAAAATGTAGGCACCCTATATATAGGAAGGAGCAAACCAGGGATATTTTAGGGAGCAGGCAGGGCCCATGACTTACACCATAGGTGCCAACACAACACAAAACACTCTTGCTGTATGTAGGTCTTATTTTATTTGTTTTTTATCTTATATTTTGGAAATGTACATCCAGTTTCCCCCCCCTTTAAATTTGTTGGGGGCCCCCAAGAGAGTGGGGCCCTAAGCTAGAGCTTGTTTAGCTTATACGTAAATCCGACACTGGCATAGATAGATAGATAGATAGATAGATAGATGATAGATAGAGATAGATAGATGATAGATAGATGATAGAGATAGATAGATGATAGATAGATAGAAAGATAGAAAGATAGAAAGATAGATGATAGATAGATAGATAGATTATATTTTGGAAATGTATATCCAGTTCCCCCCCTTTAAATTTTTTGGGGGCCCCCAAGAGAGTGTGGCCCTAAGCTATAGCTTCTTTAGCTTATACGTAAATCTGGCACTGGCTGTTGCCCCAATCTAGCAGACTCTCATGTTTCTATTACTGAAATGAAGATTTTTTCTTTTCTCCACCACACAAAGCCCCACCATCCTGGGGGGGGGGGCAAGGAAGACTCGGGGAGGGGTTTTATTTCTGTTGTGGGGGCTCAGATACAATGAACCAGACACAGCAGGCGGACATCAAACAACCTCTTCCTTCCCGCATCTGACTCCCCGTTCCCTCCCTCGTCCCTATTCTCCACATTTTTGTAGCTAAAAGCAGATACTTCCTCCTCCGTCTGTTGTTCGCCGCTTCCTACGTTGTCCTGCGTGCGAGTGGCGGCGAAAGCCTTCTGCGCCAACCGGTCAGAAAATAACCTCCTCCTGTGCCCTTAAAATGAAGGCGGGAAAAACTTTTCCCAGTTCAAGAGACGCAGTCTTTTTAGCCGAAAAAGCACACACACACACACCCCTGGGAGGCAGCCTCTTACATCATTAGTAAGATGTTAATTAACCGGGTAGGGAGATTGCTAGAGACAAAAGGGGATTATATTTTTGCACACACACACCAGATAGAAAAAGTTTGCTGAGCCCTGCTCTTGATCATCTCAGTCTCCCTCCTCTGCCCACCTTCCAGCTTGTCCAATCCATCTAAAATTGTGCTGCCCAGAACTGGACACAGTATTCCAGGTGTGGCCTGACCAAGGCAGAATAGACAGCATCTTAAAAAGCAGAGACATCACCTTGCCAACAAAGGTCCGTATAGTTAAAGCTCTGGTTTTCCCAGTAGTGATGTATGGAAGTGAGAGCTGGACCATCAAGAAGGCTGATCGCCGAAGAATGGATGCTTTTGAATTCTGGTGCTGGAGGAGACTCTTGAGAGTCCCATGGACTGCAAGAAGATCCAACCTCTCCATTCGGAAGGAAATCAGCCCTGAGTGCTCACTGGAAGGACAGATCCTGAAGCTGAGGCTCCAAGACTTTGGCCACCTCATGAGAAGAGAAGACTCCCTGGAAAAGACCCTGATGTTGGGGAAGATGGAGGGCACAAGGAGAAGGGGACGATGGAGGACGAGATGGTGGGACAGTGTTCTCGAAGCTACCAAGTTTGACCAAACTGCGGGAGGCAGTGGAAGACAGGAGGGCCTGGCGTGCTCTGGTCCAGGGGGTCACAAAGAGGCGGACACGACTAAACGACTCAACAACAACAACATGACTTCCCTTGATCTGGACACTAGACTTCTGTGGATGCAGCCTAGAATAGCATTCGCTTTTTTTGCTGCTGCATCACAGAATTGACTCACGTTCAGCTTGCGGTCCACCAAGACCCCCAGATCCTTTATCCCATGTCCTGCTAATAAGCCCGGTGTCCCGCATCCTATATTTGTGCATCTGGTTCTTCCTGCCTAAGTGCAGAAGCTGGCCTTTGTCCCTATGGAAATTTGTTTGGTCAAATTGTGTAGTTCCCTCCTTTAGCCAGCTGCGTTGTGCGGACCGAATTCTTGCCTGCTATCTTGGGCGATCCCTTGTAGCCGAGTAATAATAATAATAATAATTTATTATTTATACCCCGCCCATCTGGCTGGGCTTCCCCGGCCACTCTGGGCAGCTTCCAACAAACTATTAAAATACCGTAATGCATCAAACATGTAAGATTGTCTTCCATAAACACGGTCTTAACAATGAGTCCGTAAGTGACTGTGGAGGCCAATTCTGGATCCCCACGTCCTTCCACAGTGGGGACATCGGTTTCCAGGCAGGAGTTGATCCCGGTGTGGGTTTGCCAAGCGCGCCTTCCTCTTGACACGTTTCTCCCTCTTGTCCTGAGTTCGAGTGCCTTCAAAGCCCACGACACCTTTGGTCAAGACTGTTCTCCAACTGGAGCGCTCGCAGGCCAGTGTCTCCCAGTTGTCGGTGTTTATACTACATCTTTTAAGATTTGCCTTGAGACGGTCTTTGAACCTCTTTTCTGGACCGCCAGCATTACGCTTTCTGTTTTTAAGTTCGGAATAGAGGAGTTGCTTCAGCAGGTATCCGCACAACATGACCGGTCCGATGAAGTTGATGTCGCTTCAACACTGGCGATCCTTGCTTCTTCCAGTACACTTTGGTCCTGGGTTCAAATTCTGACGTGCCGAGTGATGTGGGCCACATGGCCACCAGACGCCGCTGCTGAGACAAAAACACACCCATCCCTTTCAGATCATCTTCCCGCGGTTGATTTCCAGAGGGAATGGAAGACTCCTGACAGGGCCGGGATTTGGGCATGTCAAAATGCGCTCTCTCTCTCTCTCTCTCTCTCATCTTCCCACCCCCACCAGCCATCCAGCCCCTTCTCCCTCTCCGCCAAGGAAGCCACTTAGCCGTAATTTATAATGCTCAGGGAGCGGGGAGGAGGGTGCTGAGGATGTCGTTGCCGTGGCAACAGAGATTAGCCCGGCAACGGAAGATGCTCTGGGGGAGCGAAGGAGGCGGCCTTCAGATGAGACTTATCTCACAAATAAATATACCCAGAGGAGGGAGCGGCGTCTGGAACAAGTGGCGTCTCTTGCACACACTTCCTGGCAGCTCTCTTTGCTGCCCATGGGTCCTGGCAGGGTGCTCCAACCACTATACCGCACTGCCTCTCAAGGTGAGGAATAAATTATAATTAAAACCACTTGCGGGTGGCGCTGTGGGTTAAACCACAGAGCCTAGGACTTGCCAATCAGAAGGTCGGCGGTTCGAATCCCCGTGACGGGGTGAGCTCCCATTGCTCAGTCCCTGCTCCTGCCCACCTAGCAGTTCGAAAGCACATCAAAGTGCAAGTAGATAAATAGGTACCACTCCGGCGGGAAGGTCAACGGCGTTTCCGTGCGCTGCTCTGGTTCGTCGGAAGCGGCTTAGTCCTGCTGGCCACATGACCTGGAAGCTGTACGCCGGCTCCCTCGGCCAGTAAAGCGAGATGAGCGCCGCAACCCCAGAGTCGGCCACCACTGGACCTAATGGTCAGGGTTAAGACCACTTGTAAGGGCAAATTCAGTCCCCAAAGCCTTGTCCGCAACACAGCCCAGGACTCCCCACCACGATGACACCCCACACATGTAGCATACCAAGGTAGCGCTGTCTATCCCCAGAGAGACAAAGGACTCTGTTGCCCCTTTCTCCCGTTGCGCAAATAACAACAACAACAACAACAATAATAATAATTTTTCCCCAGCCACTCTGGGCAGCTTCCAACAGAATATTAAAATACAATAGTCTATTAAACATTAAAAGCTTCCCTAAACAGGGCTGCCTTGAAATGTCTTCTAAAAGGTGACCCGGAAACTGCAATTAATCCAGAATGCGGCAGCTAGACTGGGGACTGGGAGTGGAGACCACATAACACTGGTCTTGAAAGACCTGCACTGGCTCCCAGTAGGTTTCCGAGCACAAGCCAAAGTGTTGGTGCTGACCTTGAAAGCCCTAAACGGCCCAGTATTCCTGAAGGAGCGTCTCCACCCCCATTGTTCTGCCCGGACACTGGGGTCCATCTCCAAGGGCCTTCTGGCGGTTCCCTCCCTGCGAGAAGTGAGGCTACAGGGAACCAGGCAGAGGGCCTTCTCGGTGGTGGTGCCCTCCCTGAGGAATGCCCTCCCTTCAGATGTGAAGGAAAGAAGCAGCTATGCTGTCTTCAAAAGACATCTGAAGGCAGCCCTGTTCAGGGAAGTTTTTAATATTTAACGCTGTACTGTTTTTAACACTTGATTGGGAGCTGCCCAGAGTGGCTGGGGAAACTCAGCCAGATGGGCGGGGTATAAATAATAATAATAATAATAATAATAATAATTATTATTATTATTATTATTATTAAAGTTCTCGCCCATCTCTCCCCGGTACAAACGGCTCTCTTCCCCATTTCTCTCCGGGAACAAAGGTCTCCTCCATCACCCCCTGGGTACAAATATCTCACTTGCCCAGCTCTCCCTGCCCCGGGGGCAAAAGTGCCCTTCCCTTTGCGGCTGGACGGGGGGTGACCATTGTCCCACCTGCCCCAGAACCCCCCCAGCGCCGGATATCTTCCGGAAATCCTCTATTCCGTCTCGTTTTCCACCTGCTTGTTTGCCATGCGCTGAGCTCTGCCCCAAACAAAAAAACCCTTCTCTCCCTCCATCTGTGCAGAGCCTTGAACCCAAGATTTATCTACCCCTCCAGCTTTTATTTGGGGTGGGGGGTGGCGAACCACCTGCTGCGAAAGAGAGCAGAGATGTGGATCTCCCCGGGTGATGATTTCCAGAGGAGCCTAATCTTTACAGCCACAACCCGCCCTATGATCTCACCCAGCCAAGGTTCAGCAGAAAAACAATTGCAGATATATATATATATATTTCCCCGGGCGTGGGGGGGAAAGGGAAACTTTGATGGAGAAAGGCTGGCTTGGTGTGTGTGTGGTTGTTGTTGTTGTTTTAAAAAAAGAGAAACCATTGGCAATTTTGTTCTGCGTCGCTCATGCAGGAACAAGGGCTGGAGGTGCCAAGTGTGACTAACAGGATAAGTGTTTTGCTTGTGTGTGTGTGTGTGTTTTCGTACGCACGTCTCAAGCCTGGTGTGATTTGCTTCCCAGCCAGAGATAAAACAGACGAAACGCTCAAGAGAGGAGGCGAGGAGGCAGCTGGTTTCTAAATGCATCTGGGAAAGGGCTGGGAGACTTGAACTCAGGACACAGGGCAGTTGGGGAGAACGCTGGACCAAAGGGGTCTATAGGGGACCCAACATTCATCCGCTACTTTGGCCAGTCATTATCCCTGTCTCCACCCCCATCGTCCAGCCTGGACACCGGGGTCCATCTCTCAAGGGTCTTCTGGCGGTTGCCTCCCTGCGGGAAGCGAGGTTACAGGGAACCAGGCAGAGGGCCTTCCATTCCTTCCAGCGTTTCTCCCCTGAAAAGAGGGACGTCCTATTCCATCCCCTCCCACGTTTCTCCCCTGAAAATAGGGACGTCCTATTCCATCCCCTCCAACGTTTCTCCCGTGAAAATAGGGACGTCCTATTCCATCCCCTCCAACGTTTCTCCCCTGAAAATAGGGACGTCCTATTCCATCCCCTCCAACGGTTCTCCCCTGAAAATAGGGACGTCCTATTCCATCCCCTCCAACGTTTCTACCTGAAAATAGGGACGTCCTATTCCATCCCCTCCAACGTTTCTCCCTTGAAAATAGGGACGTCCTATTCCATCCCCTCCAACGTTTCTCCCCTGAAAATAGGGACGTCCTCTTCCATCCCCTCCAACATTTCTCCCCTGAAAATAGGGACATCCTATTCCATCCCCTCCAATGTTTTCCCCCTGAAAATAGGGACGTCCTATTCCATCCCCTCCAACATTTCTCCAGTGAAAAGAGGGACATCCTAAGGAAAAGCAGGATATTCTGGGACAACTTCTGTGAGTCTGGGACTTTCCCTGGAAAACAGGGACCCTTTTAGGGTCTGTATTCTGCTTACAAAATTGTCACCACTCCACAACCTCGTGGGGCTCGGAGCTTTGTAAAAAAAATGCAAATGTGATGTCCTGATCTTTGTTGATCTCTCTCTCTCTCTCTCAGACAATTCCACTCAGCTGACGAGCAAAATATTTTCCCCCTACTTGCTGATGTGGGGCGTTTTTCCTTTTTATTCCAGGATCGTAGGGAAAGGTCTAGCGACCTTTTGTCTCTCTCCACACCCCTAACGCGGAACAATAATGTTTGTTTGCCGGCCTGCCCCGGCCAGTTTCTCATTATATCATCGCCAAACGACGTGTTTTTAAAACGACGCCCCCCTCTGCCCCCTCGCTCTTGCACAACAGATCATCTGGCACAAGCCTTACGCTAAGGGGAGCTGGTCCCATTTTGCCCAATAAACCAGTTTATTCTCAGAAGAGAAGTCCTGGGTGCGAGTTTTGCACAGAGCCGAATAAAGGATCATAGTCATAATAATTTCTTATTTATACCCCGCCCATCTGGCTGGGTTTCCCCAGCCACTCTGGGTGGTTCCCAACAGAATATTAAAAACACGATAAAACATCAAACATTTAAAAGCTTCCCTAAACAGGGCTGCCTTCAGATGTCTTCTAGAAGTCAGATACTGAGGTCCAGCTGACCTTGAAAGCCTTAAATGGCCCAGTAGACCTGAAGGAGCATCTCCACCCCGGACACTGGGGTCCCTCTCCCGAGGGCCTTCTGGCGGTTCCCTCCCTGCGAGAAGCGAGGTTACAGGGAACCAGGCAGAGGGCCTTCTCGGTGGTGGCACCCTCCCTTCAGATGTCTAGGAAATAAACAACTATCTGACTTTTCCATCCCCTCCAACGTTTCTTCCCTGAAAACATTGCCCCCCCCCTTCTCCAGTCTCCTGAAATTCCCCCCCCCCCCAGTTAGGGCTGTGGGGCACAATCTGGATCCAGTCCACATTTAAAGGGAACCCGATCTAATGGTTCGGGGCAGGGGGGGAGAGGTGAGAACGGAAACCCATCCCTAGTTTGAAATTCCGCCGTTCTCTAAATTTTGCAATGTGGTCATTGTTGGATTGCTCCATAATTTCCTTGGCCTGAGACCACCAGGGTAAGCACCTAAAAAATTTCCTCTCCCAAATCTGCAGACCTCCTTCACGTTAGTTGTTCTTGTTTGCCCAGACCCTCTGCATAGAGGGATCTGCAATGGTCCCTTGGTTCTCAAACGTAATCCGTTCCGGAAAGTCCGTTCCAAAACCAGAGCGTTCCAAAACCAAGGCGCGCTTTCCCATAGAAAGCAAAGCAAAACGGATTAATCCGTTCCAGACTTTTAAAAACAACTCCCGAAACAGCAATTGAACATGGATTTTTACCAACGAGCCCACCGATCCATAAAATGAAAGCGATAAACAATGTACTGCAGTCACACAATCAATCAATCCGTTCCACACAGTCACAAAAACGAAGCAAAAAGAGCCGCAAAAACAAAAACGCAAAATAAATAGCAAAAAAACAGACAGACCTCAGCGTGACACTAAAATCGGAAGCGTGGCACTCGAAACGGAGCACGTTCAGCTTCTGAAAAAAGTTCACAAACCGGAGCGCTTCCTTCCGGTTTGCAGTATTTGGGTTCTAAGTTGTCTGAGTACCAAGGTGTTTGAGAACCAAGGTACCACTGTATTCAGCTCCACCTATCCCTGTCTCCCTGAGGGATGCGGGTGGCGCTGTGGGTTAAACCACAGAGCCTAGGGCTTGCCGATCAGAAGGTCGGCGGTTCGATTCCCCGCAATGATGAGGTGAGCTCCCGTTGCTCGGTCCCTGCTCCTGCCGACCTAGCAGTTCGAAAGCACAACAGCACAAGTAGATAAATAGGTGCCGCTCTGGCGGGAAGGTAAATGGCGTTTCTGTGTGCTGCTCTGGTTCGCCAGAAGTGGCTTAGTCATGCTGGCCACATGACCCGGAAGCTGTACGCCGGCTCCCTCGGCCAATAAAGCGAGATGAGCGCCGCAACCCCAGAGTCATCCGCGACTGGACCTAATGGTCAGGGGTCCCTTTACCTTTATCCCTGTCTCCCAGGCCACTATGCCTGCCTTGCTCTGCCACAGATAGATATTGGACCAGCTGGAGGAACTTTTAAACTCCTCAAAATGTAGGCTCTGCAAGGATGTAGGCTGTGTGCCTTTTTTTAATTCCCCAGGCATCGCCCACCTCGAGCCAGAATCGATGGACCTTCTTTGCTCTGATGTGATTCTGAGATTCCCAGCGTTGCGGCTTGCTGCAGGGAGCCAAAGGGTAAGGAAAATATCCCCGCAGAGGCTAGGCACTTCTCTTCCTTTCCTTCAACGTGGTTATGACTTCAGGCTAGTGATTTCCCCACCAAAGAAATCATCCTGATGTGATCTTGCAACGGAGAATTAACATCACCCAACCCTATAAGCGTGCTTACTCAAGGGTAGGTCCCCGGCTTACTCCCGAGTAAGCCCCGCAGGCTCAGACCTGGAGGAATTGCCCTCTGCGGCTGGTGGTGGAGTTTTTTTGGGTGGTGGGGGGAAACAGAGGCAGAAGCAATGATGTCAGCCCTCGGCTGCAGCAGAAACAGCGGCTTTCATTCATAAATACGCCCGGTGTGGTGGGAAAGAATCAACGCCATTAAAATGCCTCCAGCAGGCCTGCCTGGAAATAATAATTAAAGGGGGGGAAATCCAGCTCCTTTTCCGCCTTCCCCTCCTCCAAACAGCCTCTTCCATCAAATATTCATGGCCTCCATTTTCCCCGGGCGAAGCATCTCTCTCCGCCGCCGTCCTCCTAATTCGAAGGCCGCCTGCAATCTCTCGTCTCCCCTTTCTCTTGCTGGAAAGCGAACCGCCAGTTTGGGAAGGGGAGCAAATGGAGACGCCACGGAATCAGGGATTTGGGTGGCAAGGGGGCTTCCGGCCGTGGACCCGATAGATGTTAGGGTGGTTGTGACCGTCCCCACCAGGAATCGCACTTGCACCCCAAGAGCAGTCAGTAGCCATGGAGGGTCCATAGCTACATACCCTCAAGGGGAGTCTGTAGCCACGCCCCTGGGGAGTCTGTAGCCACGCCCATGAGACTGTAGCCACGCCCCTATATCTGTAGCCACTCCCCTGGGGAGTCTATAGCCACGCCCATGAGTCTGTAGCCACTCCCCTGAGAAGTATAGCCACGCCCCTGAGGAGTCAGTAGCCACGCCCCTGAGTCTGTAGCCACTCCCCTGAGACTGTAGCCACGCCCCTGAGGAGTCAGTAGCCACGCCCCTGAGTCTGTAGCCACGCCCCTGAGGAGTCTGTAGCCACGCCCATGAGACTGTAGCCATGCCCCTATATCTGTAGCCACTCCCCTGGGGAGTCTGTAGCCACGCCCATGAGTCTGTAGCCACTCCCCTGGGGAGTCTGTAGCCACGCCCATGAGGAGTCTGTAGCCACTCCCCTAGGGAGTCTGTAGCCACGCCCATGAGTCTGTAGCCACGCCCATGAGGAGTCTGTAGCCACTCCCCTGAGAAGTATAGCCACGCCCCTGAGACTGTAGCCACGCCCCTGAGGAGTCAGTAGCCACGCCCATGAGTCTGTAGCCACGCCCATGAGGAGTCAGTAGCCACACCCCTGAGTCTGTAGCCACTCCCCTAGGGAGTCTGTAGCCATCCTGCTAACCCAAACACCTTGTTACACAGGATTTCCTTTGGTTTTTCCATCTTGGATTTTCAGAAACCCATTATTGAAGCGCAAGGCTTTTCTTTTGCAAAGTATTTTGCAAGGCCTTGGTTTCCAAACATCTTGGTACTCAAACGACGTGGAACCCAAACACTGCAAACCCGGAAGGAAGTGTTCCGGTTTGCAAACTTTTTTTGGAAGCCGAACGTGCTCCGTTTTGAGTGCCACACTTCCAATTTGAGTGTCACGCCGAGGCCGGTCTGTTTTTACGATTTATTTTGCGTTTTTGCGGCTCTTTCCATTTTGTTTTTGCAACTGCGTGGAACCCAGTCCAGCTACTGATGGATGGATTGATTGTGCGATTGCGGTACATCGTTTATTGCTTTCGTTTTATGGATCAACGGTCTCGTTAGATAGTCAAATTCATGTTAAATTGCTGTTTTTAAAAGTCTGGAATGGATTGATCCGTCTTGCATTCCTTTTCATGGGAAAGCGCGCCTTGGTTTTGGAACGCTTTGGTTTTGGAACGGGACTTCCGGAACGGATTAAGTTTGAGAACCGAGGGACCACTGTATTGGGGCCAATTCCTTAGCAGTGGCGACCAGGGTTGCGTTTCAAATGCCTCCGGCGTCTATGGTTTCCTCTCTGCCTGGTCTACCCCACAGGGCTGCTAGGAGGACCAAACAGGACGCAGCTCTCAGACCCTCGCGGCGGAAGGAAGGACCGTTTGGGACCCGGGTGCGAAACGAAACGGAGAGGGAGGGCTGCTTTGCATTGCAGAGGGGAGTCGTGGCTGGGCGGCAGTTCGGAAGACTGGGAAAAGCAGCTACAGACTCAGCATAACCCGAGCTGACCTTGCTTAGAGAAACCTGCTTGTTCAGCAACTATCTCAGCTGTGAAGGGAATGTTTCGAACAGGGCCGGCATCAGAGAGAGGGAGAGGCAGAGGGGCTGGCTGGAGAATCCGGCCTCATTTTCAGCCATTCAGAGCCCCGTGGACAATGGGCAAGCGAAGCCCATTTAGTTCCGCCTCATTGTGCACAAGAGAAGGGAAGGTTCTGGATTCGAATCACGCTCTGTTGCTGGATTTCGCCATGGAGCGCCTCTTCCCCACTAGGGGCGGCCAGAACTGCAATTTGCACGCCTCCCAGGCCACGTTATAGCACGGGGACGCCACTCCAAAACACCACGGCTTCTTCCCTTAAGGCAGGCATGTACAAAGTCCGTTTTGGGAGCCAAATTGCAGTTTATTTTCTGGGGTCAAATCCTAAGAAAAGCTCAACAGCTTTGGGGTAAAATCATAATACACCCCTGCCTTAAGGGATTCTGGGAGCTGTAGTTTTTTAAGCATTTGCTTAAAGCGTTTGCCTTTTATTCCCATCCCTGAGCTACAATTCCCAGAGTGTTTCAACAGTCATTATTCTTCGCAGCAGAGAACTCTGGGAACTGTAGTTCTGGGAGGGGACGAAGGGAGTCACCAAACAACTGGCCGTCTCAAACTACAGTTCCCAGAATTCTTTGGGGGAAGGCCATGACGGTTTGAAGCAACATCGCTGTGTAAATTCGACCACAGTTTCTCAGGTATCCGGTCTTCATTTCTCCGTCAGTTTGCAATTTTTTCTTTTAAAGGGCCTTGTGAAAATTCACCAGCGGTTCAGTGTGACTTTATTCTAACACACCCGTTTTAGGATCCAGTTTTGCCTAATATACAGGTTTCTGCAAAACAGCTCCCCACAATACAATACAATACAATCCTTGCGCCTTCTTTTCAACAACCATGCATTTTAATGCACGGTTTAGCCTAGTTTTACTCGTTTTCTGTTTCTTTCCCCGCACTACTCGTCCAGAAGGAAAAACGCATTACAAAATTTAGGTAAAGGTAAAGGGACCCCTGACCATTAGGTCCAGTTGTGGCCGACTCTGGGGTTGCGGCACTCATCTCACTTTATTGGCCAAGGGAGCCGGCGTACAGTTTCCGGGTCATGTGGCCAGCAGGACTAAGCTGCTTCTGGCGAACCGGAGCAGCGCACAGAAACGCCGTTTACCTTCCCGCCGGAGTGGTACCTATTTATCTACTTGCACTTTGACATGCTTTCAAACTGCTAGGTTGGCAGGAGCAGGGACCGAGCAACAGGAGCTCACCCCGTCGCAGGATTCAAACCGCTGACCTTCTGATTGGCAAGCCCTAGGCTCTGTGGTTTCACCTACAGCGCCACCCGCGTCTCCAAATTGCAAAATTTGGAGCACTGAAAATTTCACAGGACACAGCTGCGATCTGCTGCGCACATTGCTTGGGGAAAGTATGGGTTGAGAATTTTCGCCTTTGGATGCAAATCAAAAGGGTCTCCTTAGCTCTGCCTGGCCTTCCCCGCCGTCAAAAATAAAGCCTGCCCCTTTCCATCAGACCTTCTCCTCCTTTCTTTTGCACAGGAAACTCAACAATGGATGGTGGCTAACAGATTAAGGTTGAATCCTGACGAGACAGAAGTACTGTTTTGGGGGGACAGGAGGCGGGCTGGTGTGGAGGACTCCCTGGTCCTGAATGGGGCAACTGTGCCCCAGAAGGACCAGGTGCGCAGCCTGGGGGTCATTCTGGACTCACAGCTGTCCATGGAGGTGCAGGTCAGTTCTGTGTCCAGGGCAGCTCCATTTGGTGCGCAGGATGAGACCCTCCAAACCCGCAGACTCCCGCTTGGACTACTGCCATGCGCTCTCCGTGGGGCTACCTTTGAAGGTGACCCGGAAACTGTAACTAATCCAGAATGCAGCAACCAGACTGGGGACTGGGAGTGGCCTCCAAGACCATATAACACTGGTCCTGAAAGACCTACATTGGTTCCCAGGATGTTTCCGAGAACAATTCAAAGTGTTGGTGCTGACCTTTGAAGCCCTAAACGGCCCAGTATACCTGAAGGAGCGTCTCCACCCCCATCGTCCAGCCCGGACACCTGGGTCCATCTCCCGAGGGTCTTCTCGCGGTTCCCTCCCTATGAGATGTGAGGTTACAGGGAACCAGGCAGAGGGCCTTCTCGGTGGTGGTGCCCTCCCACCAGATGTCAAGGAAATAAACAACTATCTGACTTTTAGAAGAAAGGCAGCCCTGTTTAGGGAAGCTTTTAATGTTTAATAGGTTATTGTATTTTAGTGTTTTGTTGGAAGCCGCCCAGAGTGGCTGGGGCGGGATATAAATAATAAATTATTGTTGTTGTTGTTATTGTTGTTATTATTATTATTATTATTATAACAATACACATTGGCAAGTGTAGCCATCAAGCAGCCCCTTAAATAAATATCAAATAAAGTTGTCCCATCTCTCCCGGAAACGAAATCAGAGCGACTATGGACATCCCTGCCCCAACACACATGTACAGACTTGCGGGCACCGACATCCCAAGCAACCTTTTCGGTTTCAAAGTACCATATTTTTTGCTCTATAAGACTCGCTTTTTCCCTCCTGAAAAGTAAGGGGAAATGTGTGTGCGTCTTATGGAGCGAATGCAGGCTGCGCAGCTATCCCAGAAGCCAGAACAGGCTGCGCAGCGATCCCTCTTGCTGTTCTGGCTTCTGAGATTCAGAATATTTTTTTTCTTGTTTTCCTCCTCCACAAACTAGGTGCGTCTTGTGGTCTGGTGCGTCTTATAGAGCGAAAAATACAGTAAATAGCAAACGCACCAATTAACACATAAATAAAGTCCGCGGTTCACAGCAGAGGGAACTGAACTGCAGCTATTTTCTCCATGATTGTGGGGGAAAGCAAATTTTAGCTTTGGTCTAGCCGTTTCCCACAGTGCTCCGGACAGCCTGTGGCATTCCGAGATAGACTGCTCTTGGAAATGGGGGCTCCATTTGGTTCCACCACCAGGGGCGTCCGGGCGGAATTTCTGAAAATCTCAGAAATGTACTGGGGAAAACCCAGGTGACCCCGTGTTGGAAGTGTTGATTTCTCCCCCGAAGGTTCTTAGAAATAGCTCAAGAAGTTAGTGGGTTTTTTTTGGGGGGGGGAGATATTGGAGGGGGGAAAGGTGCTCAACAAATTTGTCACACACAAAAAAGGACCCTCTAATAGGCAGGTCCGTGTAAAGCTCAAGAAACGACCGGACCGCAGGGGAAGGAAGCCTAAGAAGGTAAGAAAATGCAATTCTCTGCATTTGGGATCCCTGCTTCCTGCCCTGAGCCTCGCTTCGGCTGGGGAGGACGGGATCTAAATAAATTATTATTATTATTATTATTATTATTATTATTATTATTATTATTACTTCGGATCTCCAGCAACCACCATTCAGAGACAGGCTGTCTTTGCCAGGTGAGGTAAAGCCAGAGGTAGAGTGTGCCAGAACCGGGAGGCTCTATTTTGCAAACACGTCTAACCGCCGCCGATAGCCCCTTGCTTCTCCTTCGCGAATTTGTCTAATACGCTTTTAAAGCCATCTGATTCCCGGTGGCAGCAAAAACAAAACAAAAGCGTGTTTCTGCAAGGCGGCTTTTTGCAAAATAAGTCCGGGCCAAGTTACTAGCCCACGTGACGATTCGCCTGTCAGTTTGCGCTCAGGTTGAGCGTTTGGGGTCTGAAAGGGGGGATGAAGTGGAAGGGAAGGGGTTTTCCTGGAGCTACTCCCTTGCTTGGAAGCTGTTTCTAAAACACAAATCAGGTGGTATATAAATTTTAATAAGATTCAAACAAACATGCTCTGGGAAGCTACGGGATAAACTTCGCTGTTGTGCGATGCTCAGAAAACAACCCCCTTTAGCTGCGATTCCTGCGTTGCGTGGGGTTGGGCTAGATGACCGCATGGGGTCCCTTGCATACAATTGTATGGTTCTGTGAGTCAAAAAAGCAACGCTCTCTGGAGCCCGGGGAACCAGTTTGCAGGTGCAGAGGAGGAGGAGAAGCTGAGCGGCTGATTGGATCTGCTTTAATCTCTCTGGGAAGCAGCTGGGGGCCTAACTGAAACCCACACTAATGAGATCTAGCCGAAGTTAAGAAACTAGTTGCAGGCCCTTGAGGAACCAGCAGGCCCAGTGGTTAAGACTTGCAAGGCTGTCGCACAGGACATGGGATCGGGACAGGTGGAGGCATTCGGATTTGAGCCACCTTTAAAGTGAATCCACCCAGTTGTACCTTGCAAAACAGAGGCCGACGCTTTTCGAACTCTGAATTTTGCAGCCAAGTCATGTGCCCAAAATAAATGCACAGACCAGGGGTACAGTGTGTGTGTGAAGATGCACACATCGGAACTGGGAACGTTCAGCCTAACCGCATCCCCCAAGGAGCGTTCGTTGGGAGAAATTAGCCCCGGAAACGCCGATGAACTCTCAGTGGCATTTATTTGCCATGTGGTAAAAGGTAAAGGGACCCCTGACCATGAGGTCCAGTCGTGGCCGACTCTGGGGTTGTGGCGCTCATCTCGCTTTACTGGCCGAGGGAGCCGGCGTACAGCTTCCAGGTCATGTGGCCAGCAGGACTAAGCCGCTTCTGGCGAACCAGAGCAGCGCACGGAAACGCCGTTTACCTTCCCACCGGAGCGGTACCTATTGATCTACTTGCACTTTGAGGTGCTTTTGAACTGCTAGGCTGGCAGGAGCAGGGACTGAGCAACAGGAGCTCACCCCGTCACGGGGATTCAAACCGCCGATCTTCTGATCGCAAGGCCTAGGCTCTGTGGTTTAACCCACAGCGCCACCCACGTCCCTTGCCATGTGGAGCTGGATGCAAAATGGGGCATCCCTACACATAGAATTGTAAGAGTTGGAAGGGACCCCAGAGGTCCTTTGCAATGCAGGAATAAATTTGTTTTTCTGTTGCTCCCGGAAAGTTAGATCCCAAATCACAGGGGTTCAAATTCTGGAAAAGGAGGGGATGTCAGGAAGGACAACCTGAAGGTATGAAGTCTAGAACAGACTTGCCTCTGAAATTAGCAGATTCCTCTTCCCTTGAGTAAGTTTGACTCAAAGTAGATCAATTTTTTTACAGGGTTATTAAGAGATGTTATGATGCTCAGTGACCTTGCCCAGCCAAATGCCCAAAAGGCAATGACAAATCTGTTAATTTCACTTCCACTCATTTTTCTCATTTTCCCACTCAGTATTCCATATTCCAGGGACACGGGTGGCGCTGTGGGTTAAACCACAGAGCCTAGGACTTGCCGATCAGAAGGTCAGCGGTTTGAATCCTGCGACGGGGTGAGCTCCTGTTGCTCGGTCCCTGCTCCTGGCCACATGACCCGGAAGCTGTACGCCGGCTCCCTCGGCCAGTAAAGCGAGATGAGCGCCGCAACCCCAGAGTCGGCCACGACTGGACCTAATGGTCAGGGGTCCCTTTACCTTTACCTATTCCATATTCCACATCAGTCTGCATTTTTAAAGAAACATTCTCATGGAAATCCTTCAGGATTTCAGGCCCCAAATGCACGATATGTTTAAAGGAGCACCGCACCACTTTAAAGAGAGTCCTGGAAACCGTAGTTTCTTACAGGTGTTGAGAGTTGTTAGGAGACCACACACACACCCGGTTCACCTCCCGGAGCTAAAATTCCCGGCGTGGTTTTAAAAAATCAATCCCTCTTCCCTGGGAATTGTAGCTCTGAGATGGAAATATAGGATCTCCTAACAACCACGAACAAACTACAGTTTCCAGGATACTTTGTTATGATGCTGATTCGAATGCATGGTGAAGATGGGACCTTATTTGTACTAAACAGACCCGTTTCCTTATGCAATTTTGCCTAATGCAAACATTCGGTTCGCTGAACGCATTCCATCGCGCAGAAATCTTGACTGTAAGCTGCCGGGGACAGAGACCTATGCCTGTTTTGGCACGTGCAACTCTACCAAACTCCCGTGATTGCGACGGCACTCTAGCAGCAACCTCTAGATATAGCAGGACAAACGTGGAAATATAGGCCAAGACAATTTGGAAGATATCTTGCAAGGCGCTTATGAGAAACAAACCAAGGATCTAAACCGAATTGTGGGAAATTAGCGGGGGGCGGGTTTCCTAATTTGCTCCCCTGCAGGAAAAAAAAAGTCCTTGGAAGATTTACCCTAAAAACTGGAACCTTATTAGAAACCCTATAGCCTGCTTTATTTTTTTAAAAGGCTTTCTGATTCTTTCTCCCATGGGAGTGTATCAAATGTGATGCAAACCCTTCCATTCTTTTCTATCTCTCCAGAATAGGAGGGATTTGGAATTTAAAAGCAGGCTCCGAGGAACAGGGGATGCGCTCCCGTTACGTCACGGAACGTCCACAGACATTCGGGGCAGGCACACACGTTGCCAAAAGCCCCGGACCCCCAGCCTGGAGCTGGGAGCGAATCCTTTGCTGTGGAAATGTAATCCTTCTCTCTCTCGCTCGCTCTCTGGTGCATGCTGATGTCAAGACAACTCTCTGGGCTAGATCTCCCGGGAGATTCTGCCTGGCGCCAGCAAATCCTCATGGAGGCTGCTGGGGAAAGCACAAATTATTTTTTTTGTTCTCGGAAAGGAGAGTGGAGGGTGCAGATAAGCAGCTTTACAGAGGTGCCGGCTCCCTGGGCCCCCGCGAAATTCCCCACGGAACGGCCAGGCACCCACAATTTCGGTGCCGCCAGGAGCAAAACGAAGCTTTATTTCACCCAGTTTGGCACCCACAAGGCCAGTGGCAGCCCCCTGGAGGCTTCAAAACCCCCCTCCCCGACTAGCCCTCCTGTAAGATACGGCTATGCCAGGGCCGTGCCCGCTGCATGGCACACACACACACCCTGGGCACCCACAGTTGTGGGCCAAAGCTGGCACTCATTCATGCAGCCTCCCCTTCCAAATTTGTGCCAGGCGAGGTTTCAAGTGAGGGGGGAATCCCAGGACGCTGGGCGCCGCTCTGCCAAACGGGTGGGCCGGAAGAGACCCCGCTGGGGGAAATATCCTAGCAAAGGCCGGGGTGCTGGTACCGACAGAGGTCTCGCCGGGGGGAATGCACAGAGGGAGCTCAAGCATCCAAAGTCCTGTTTCTGTACCACCCTGAGAAACCTCTGAGAAGGTTCCCCCATCGAGATATTTGGTCTGGAAACCCCAACGGTTTGTTTTTTCTACAAAACCATCCGCAGATCAGCACCATGCAGAAGCTGAAATGAATGTTTTGAGGGCTTAGGGAGTAAGATTTCTGGGTTCAGACCCCTTTAAAAAATGACACAGGGCCCGTTTTTAGGGCCAGATTTCCAATGAATGACCCTCTTTGCTTTTAAATGTTCTCTTTCTACGATTCCATCCTGCCTGTGGCGGCCCGCTGGTCTCATCTGTGCTGCTGTGCCCGTTTCCAACATTTTAGATACAGTGATACCTCGGGTTAAGTACTTAATACGTTCCGGAGGTCCATTCTTAACCTGAAACTGTTCTTAACCTGAAGCACCACTTTAGCTAATGGGGCCTCCTGCTGCCGCCGCGCCGCCAGAGCACGATTTCTGTTCTCATCCTGAAGCAAAGTTCTTAACCTGAAGCACTATTTCTGGGATAGCGGAGTCTGTAACCTGAAGCGTATGTAACCCGAGGTACCACTGTATTGATATTTGCTGCTACAAACGGTTTCACGCTCGCTTTCAACATTTTAGACGTTTGCTGTTTCGACGTTGCTCTCTGTTTGTGGGGAGCTTGCCTTGAGAGAACCGTGGTTTGAAAGGCGGGGTAGAAATCTCCGAAACGAAAATAATAATAATAAGGAAAGGAGCCCTGGAGGGCAGCTGCCGGCCAGAGCAGAGCATCCTAAGCTTGACAGACCATATATATATATATATATATATATATATACACACACACACACACACACACACACACAGTGGTACCTCAGGTTACATACGCTGCAGGTTACATGCACTTCAGGTTACAGACCCTGCTAACCCAGAAATATTACCTTGGGTTAAGAAGTTTGCTTCAGGATGAGAACAGAAATCGTGCTCCGGCGGCAGCAGGAGGCCCCATTAGCTAAAGTGGTGCTTCAGGTTAAGAACAGTTTCAGGTTAAGAACGGACCTCCAGAATGAATTAAGTACTTAACTCGAGGTACCATTGTATATATATATATATATATACACACACACACACACACACACACACACAAAACACACACACGTTGGGTCATTCCTCAGGCCTAGTAACATATTCCATATGGCCGTCCCAAGCCATTTTGCCGCCTGAGGCAAAGGAAAAGATCCCCCACCCAAATCCCAGCAGGGCCAGCCACTAGATTTTCAACACAGGAGATGGCCCGGCAGGTTCGCTGGGTTCAGGGAAGCGACTCTGGCCCACGTGGCGGAGAGGCGGCTCCAAGCACCTGCAATCCTTCTATCCTCTGCTGACTGAGAATCCTTCCTCAGCCTGCCTAATGACAGGGCCAGACCTCCTTTCTCTCTCTCTCTCTTCCTCTTCCTCTCTCTTCCTCCCTGCCCAAGCCCAATGGAAGACGCCTCGTCTTCTCTGTACGCCCTTCCTTTGAAAACAACAACAACCAAAAAAATCAGGATTGGAACCGGGGAAGGATGTGGAGAGAGAGAAGAAGGCAGCCTCTGGGAACCGCCTGAGTCACGGCGAGTGGGGAGGGGGGCGAGGAAAGGGGGGGGAGATGGGTGGAGGCTGCCACGCAGAATCACGCAGGAAACAAACAACAGGTAAAAAAAAAAAGAAGAAGTCAGAGAGATGGTTCGACCACATGCCAAAATGCAAACGCCACCAATCGTCCCCAAATCTCTTCCACTGGGAAGTGGAAGATGTGCTTCCCCCACCACAAAGTGCTGATGAGCAATACGCAGGGTAGGGTGGAGGGAGGGCAAATCTGGGGTGCGGGAGCCCTCTCGGATTTGGGGGTGTCCATATAGCCACGTCTCCCCTTTTCTTCCCTCCCTCTCTCCACGCAAACAAACGCACAACCACCCACCGCCTGTGCGCCAAACCACCGACGAACATCAGCCGAGATGGGCTTTGCAGCAGGGAGAAAAACAGCAAGCGCGGAGCGGGGTGGGGTGTGGGTTTAAGGAGGAAGGTGCACGCAGAAGGGAGGGAGGAAGGATGGAAGGAGAAAAGAGCTCGGGGAAGTGAAGCGAAAGGGAAGACTTACTCCATTTTCGGTGCCGCGGCTGGCGCGCTCCGCTCCTACAGCCTGGCAACCTTGCAAGGTGCAAAGGAGAGAGGGAAGGAGACAGAGAGAGGCTGCTGGGCTGGATTGATCTCGCTCTCCTTTTCCCCTTTTCCCTCCTCCTCTCTTCCTCCTCCTCCTCCTTCAAGATCTGCGCGTCCCAGGGGCCGCGGAGGAAGGCGGCTGCCGGTAGCAGCAGCAAAGCATCCCCTCCGCCAACCGCTTATTGTCCGGAGCCGACGATGGATGCGCGAGGAGAGGCTGGCTTGTTATGGAGGAGCGCGGACTGTGGGTGTCCTTGCGCGCTTTGCAAACCGCACCCCCCCCTCCGTCTCTCTCTCTCTCTCTCTCTCTCTCTCTCTCTCTCTCTCTCTCTCTCTCCCTCTCTCCAGAATCACAACAGCACCTCCTGCCGGCCGAGGCGCGCCGCCGTGCGTCTTTACGCGCAGACTGTCCGCGCCAGGCTTAGGGCGCGCCGGCGCGTCTTCCGCCTGCGCGCGCCGCGGCGGCTGCGGGCAGCGCTGGGTGTACCTATAAGCTATAAACTCTAGCTTAGGGCCCCACTCTCTTGGGGGGGAGGCCCAAAAAAAATTAAAGGGGAAAAAACAACTGGATGTATATTTCCAAAATATAAGATAAAAAACAAACAAAACAGCAACAGTGTTGTGTAGGCTCCTCTGATGTAAGTCATGGGCCCCGCCTGCTCCCTAAAATATCACTGGTTTGCTCATTTCTATATATAGGGTGCCGACATTTTGCTATTTATAATTATTAGTAGTTTGCATCATATATTTGCACCTCTTATTATTTCATGTTATAGCAAGTTTCCGGAGACTAGATGATGAGTCTTTGTAAATTGTAAAGGAACTTTTTTTACTGCCAAATGCCAATGTGTTTGCATTATTAAGTTTGTTAGGAATCAAAAATCATTTTAAGTTAGAGGTTAATAATCATTTCACTATTTATGTACTTCTTCTTAATTGTATTTCACTATCAATGCACTACTTCTTAATTGTATGTCAGTCTTCAACAATTACTTTGATAAAATACATATTTTGTTACGTGCAAATGGCTTGAGATACCTATGAGGTCCATCAATTACCATATAGCATACATTCAATGCGAAAAACAGTGACAATTTGTTGTTGACAAAGGACAGCTGGACATATAAATGGCCCCATTACCTTCAGGTGCTTAAAGGTAAAGGTAAAGGGACCCCTGACCGTTAGGTCCAGTCGTGACCGACTCTGGGGTTGTGGCGCTCATCTCGCTTTACTGGCCAAGGGAGCCGGCGTTCAGCTTCCGGGTCATGTGGCCAGCAGGACTAAGCCGCTTCTGGCGAACCGGAGCAGCGCACGGAAACACCGTTTACCTTCCCGCCGGAGCGGTACCTATTTATCTACTTGCACTTTGATGTGCTTTTGAACTGCTAGGTTGGCAGGAGCAGGGAGTGAGCAATGGGAGCTCACCCCGTCGTGGGGATTCGAACCGCCGACCTTCTGATCGGCAAGTCCTAGGCTCAGTGGTTTAACCCACAGCGTCACCCTGCTTAGGGCCTCATCAAACCTAAATCCGGCCCTGCGAGCGACTCTCTTTTGTTCCCCAAAGGAGAGAGAGACGCGTTTGCATATGGATTCCTGGGCACCCACAGAATTCCCCATGAAGGGAGTCGGGCACCCACAAATTTTGGTGCCAGGGCCAGGCAAGCTGTATGGCACCCACCCGCGGTTTGGCATGTTTCTTTGCAGAGAATCTTCGCAGGGTTCCTTTCTTAAAATAATATTGGGGAAATAAAAACTCCCTTCCTCTCTATCTGTGGGTGTTTTTGGGGTGTTTTTTGATACTATTCCACTTTTGTTTATGTCGATAAACTTTCAATATTTTTCAGGAAAAAACCCACACCTGCATTCTGAGTGCAATTCAAAGGGTTGGTGCTGACCTTGAAAGCCCTAAACGGCCCAGTAGACCTGAAGGAACATCTCCACCCCCATCGTTCTGCCCAGAAACTGAGGTCCAGCTCCGAGGGTCTTCTGGCAGTTCCCTCCCTGCGAGAAGTGACGTTACAGGGAACCAGGCAGAGGGCCTTCTCGGTGGTGGCGCCCGCCCTGTGGAACACCCTCCCGTCAGATGTCAAGGAGATAAACAACTCTCTGACGTTTAGAAGACATCTGAAGGCAGCCCTGTTTAGGGAAGCTTTTAATGTTTTGTTGTGTTTTTAATATCCTGTTGGAAGCTGCCCAGAGTGGCTGGGCAATCCCAGCCAGATGGGCGGGGCAGAAATAATACATTCAAAGACCCTGATGTTGGGGAAGATGGAGGGCGCAAGGAGAAGGGGACGACAGAGGACGAGATGGTGGGACAGTGTTCTTGAAGTGGCCAACGTGAGTTTGACCAAACTGCGGGAGGCAGTGGAAGACAGGAGTGCCTGGCGTGCTCTGGTCCAGGGGGTCACGAAGAGGTGGACACGACTAAACGACTAAACAACAACAACACCTTACAAAGCACTCAAGGTGGTGTTCACGATTCTCATCCTCTCCATTTCACCCTCACAACAACCCTGTGAGGTTGTCCCTTTGAATCCAGAAGTGCAGAGAGAGAATTCTTCGGCTCTTCCAGTGAGTTCTCGATCTGGTTTCCAAATCCAAGCAAGTTCCCCGTCTGGAAAGCGACCGAGAACACCCCACCCTTGAACTTGGCGATGGGAGGCTAGAGAAGGCCATCTGGGAGGGAAGATGTTTTGATTTAGAGGGGCTAAATCTCTTTTATGAGCTCTTCCGGCCTGGGAATGATGCAATTTCTCAGCAAAACAGATCCTCCCAACTTTGAGCCAATCACAGAAGAAGGGGTAACCGTGAGCCAAGTCTCTGAAATAATGCAGGCGGGAGTCCAAAGAGAAGAAGGTATTGATGATACTTCACTGGGCAAACTGGACAAAAGGAGTAAATAATATGAGGACAAATCGTATTATTTGCCTGCCTATTATTTGTTGCAGAAGCATAAACAACCGCAACATAGCCAGTAGGCAAGGCAAGCGCTGTGCCCCTTAACCCAAAAAAGTTATTTACACTGGTACCTTGGTTCACAAACACCTTGGTTCTCAAACGTCAAAAGCCCAGAAGTAAGTGCTTTTGGATGTTTTCCGGAAGCCGAACGTCCGACGTGGCTGTCGGCTCTTGTTTCCGGGGCGCCTGCACCAATCAGAAGCTGCGCCTCGGTTTCCGAACATTTCAGAAGTCAAACGGACTTCCGGAAAGGATTAAGTTTGGTGCTTTTGTTTTCACTCTTTATTTGGCGCTTTTGTTTTTGCTCTTTATTTTGCATTTTTGTTTTTGAGGCTTTTTCGGTTCATTTGTTTTTGTGACTGTGCGGAACCCAGTTCAGCTACTGATCAATTCATTGTGTGACTGTGGAAATGGATAAAAGCCCCCCCATCCAAACAAGGACTGTCATCAGTGCAGGGAAGAAGAAAAAATAATTTTAATTTTTATCATCTACAATACTGTCTTATTTATTTTATAGTACAGTACATTGATTCTTGCTTTCGTTTTATGGATCAATGGCCTCACTAGATAGTAAAATCCATGTCCAATGGCTGTTTAGGGGTTGTTTTTAAAAGTCTGGAACGGATCAATCCGTTTTGCATGACTTTCTTTGGGAAAGCGTGCCTTGGTTTTGGAACGCTTTGGTTTTGGAATGGAATTTCCGGAACAGATTAAGTTTGAGAACCAAGGTACCAGTGTAACCTGATTTGCCAGTCTTTTAAAGTCGGGACAGCTTCTTGTTTCCTTCTCTGGTCTAACAATATCCAGGCAGCTGTTGCGGCATTCGTAAATAATTTCTTTAACAATTACGGTATAAAAGGAAACTTCTTGGCAGAATTAGACTGAACCTTGCATTGCAGAAATATAAGTTTGTAGGGTAGTTAACAGAAACTATATAAGAAATATATAAGGGATGCGGGTGGTGCTGTGGGTTAAACCACTGAGCATAGGGCTTGCCAATCAGGAGGTCAGAGGCTTGAATCCCCGCAATGACAGGGTGAGCTCCCGTTGCTCGGTCCCTGCTCCTGCCAACCTAGCAGTTCGAAAGCACGTCAAAGTGCAGGTAGATAAATAGGTACCGCTCCGGCGGGAAGGTAAACGGCGTTTCCGTGCGCTGCTCTGACCCGGAAGCTGTACACCGGCTCCCTCGGCCAGTAAAGCAAGATGAGCGCCACAACCCCGGAGTCGGTCACGACTGGATCTAGTGGTCAGGGGTCCCTTTACCTTTTATATAAGAAATATGTAGCTGTGCGGTATAAGATAATAAACGGATAAAGTACCGTGAGACTAATTGGAAGTCATTTTTAATTTCTTGTTTTACAAGTTTTACAATTGTTCACATCACTGGGAGTACACAGGATGTTAGTTATAAGAATTGAGTTGTTTCATATATTGCTACTGTCTGTCAATTTATAGTTTGTTTACTTGGACCTCTGCATTCTGGATCACTTTCCTCATCTTCACAGCAAGGAATTCCCCAAAAAAACCCACGCTTGGCCCTCACAGCGGCCTCGCACTGGGTCAGCAAACTTCAACTTTTCGGCCAAAAGGGCACTCCAATCGTTTTCGTTTTTAGAAAAACAAAACAACCCTCTCGCTAGCAGGCCACAACAGGTCCAGTCCCTGCTTTTGCAAACGGTGACCGGGTTAAGTTTCGATTCTGAAAGCTGAGCTCATCCTCCACACCGCCAGTACCATTTCTGCGAAGTCAGCGGGATAAGAGGAAAAGAAAGTTTTGAGATAGCTTTGGAGGAGGCGTGGAGTTTGGGGGAGGGAGGAGAGTTTTGTCCTGTGTCTGGAGCAGAGATCTCTCTTTTTGGGTTTCGCTTCTGATGGGTGGAGAGGTTTCATACAAGCGTTGTCCCCAATCCCCGACCGAGATGTCGAAGAAGCCCTCAAGTCCAAAATGGAAGCTTTGGGTCACTGTCTGCGGTTTGGCTGTCACCTTGGTCCTGTTTTTCACCTTCCTGGCTTTATACATAGAGGAAAGGACTGAATGCGAATCCCGGTGCTACAACCATACCTCCTCTGCTGAGGACAAAATGACAGGAAGCGATGCGCTTCGGGCACAACTGGCAGCTGTCAATCAGAGCCTTGAGAACACCGCACAGCATTGGAACTCCTGCAAAGAAGAAGTGGTAATCTATCATCTATCTGTCTATCTATCTATCATCTATCTATTTGTCTGTTTGTTTGTCTGTCTGTCTGTCTGTCTGTTTGTTTGTCTATCTATCTATCTATCATCTATCATCTCTCTCTATCTTCCTATCTCTATCTATCTATCTCTCTATCATCTCTCTCACTCTCTCTATCACCATTCTATCTATCTATCATCTGTCTATCATCTATCTTCCATATATGATCTCTCTCTCTCTCTCTCTTCCTATCTCTATCATCTATCTATCTATCTAATCTATCTATCTATCTATCTATCTATCTATCTATCTATCATCTCTCTCTCTCTCTCTCTCTCTCTTCCTATCTCTATCTCTCTATCTCTCTATCATCTCTATCATTCTATCTACCGTATCTATCTAGCTATCTATCTATCTATCTATCTATCTATCATCTCTCTCTCTCTCATTTATCTATCATCTATCTCTATCTGTCTATCTATCTATCTATCTATCTATCTATCTATCTATCATCTATCTATCGATCATCTATCTATCATCTATCTATCATCTATCTATCTATATCATCTGTCATCTACCTATCTTTGTGTACGGGTGATCTTTTGAGAGATCATCCACCCATCGCCTCCATTCTTCCGTAAACACGTCGCCATTCTGCTGCCTTAGTTTGGCAGTTAATTTCACCATTTTAGCAGGTTCACAGGTTGGGGCGACGGGTGCAAATTTTGCCCCCGATCAGGAAGTTCGCTTCCAAACGCACCCATTCGCACAATGCTCCTTCCAGGGAAGGAAGAGGCATGTTCGGAGTCCAAGGTCACATCCCAGCCCTTCCAAAATGCCCAAGGAGGGGTAGTGAGGTGGGGGCCGGGGAGAGTCCCAGGGGCCACAAAGAGAGAATTAATTGGCAGGCCATGTCCGTTCTCCCGGAAGCCAGAGGTTTCCCACCCACGACCTAAAACGTCTTGTGTTTTCGTTTCCTGTCCATAGCAACATTTGAGGAAAAACACATCTGTGCTGGAAGGTACCATCGAAGCGAAGGAGGAAGCGTACAAACGTCTGCAGGGTGAGATAACCGAACGGCGGGGGTCTCAGAAGCCCCGTGGGGCTTGGCAGTTGGGATGGGGAGACCCAGGAGGAAAGCAGAGCCCCTCTTGCCCAGGAGTGGGGGGAGGCCTGGTTCACTGAAAGGGACCCCCAGGGGTCATCCATCCCAACCCCCTGCAATGCAGGAATCTTGGCTCAAGGATCCAGGACAGCTGGCCACCCCAACTCTGCTTAGAAGTGTCCGAGGAAGAAGAGCCCCCCCTTCTGTCCCACGATTGAACAGCTCCGTCTGTCAGAAATCTTTCCCAGATGTTGTGTCGGAATCTCCTTCCTTGTCACTTGAAGCCACGGGTTCGAGTCCTGCCCTCCCGAGCAGGAGAAAACAAGCATATGGCAGCCCATAAGAGATATTTGAAGGTGGCTCCCCTATCTCCTCTCAGCCTCCTCTTTTCCAGGATAAACATACCCAGCTCCTTCGACCGTTCCTCATCAGGCTCGGTTTCCTGATGTAGCAGGGAGTTCCACAGGTCTTAAGGCCCGGTCGCGAGTAAAAGCCGGCCGATCCTCAGGGGCTGGGAGGGTGGACCCCCAGGAAAGCCCCAACTCAGGGTTTCCAAGACCGAGGTGCAAAATTTGTGAAAATAATAATAATAATAATAATAATAATAATAATAATAATAATAGATTGTCCGCTGCTGGCTTGGCAAAGGGGGGGGGAATGAGCGATGGGGAATCTAAAAAGCCCTCATTTTCCGTTTCCCAGATAAAAAAAACCTTCTCCAGAATCAGCTCTCCCAGTTGAACAACAGCCTGGAAAACTACAAGCAACAAGGGTAAGAACAGCCAATTAAAATTCTACACCTGCGTAAGGACACCCTTGCGGCGTTCAGCTCCGAAATCCCAAAGCTTTGGCAACCCCAAAGGGCCGAGAGAGGCGAGAAGTCGATCACACCTCCCTGGTTTTCTGCTTTTAGCCCCAGAGGTAGAGTGTCTCTGGCTGGGGAGGTTTGATCATTAGCCGCCAAGCCTAAATGCCCTTCTGCCCCCACCAAGTTAGTGGAATATCACCACACGAGTGTCTGGAGGCAGTTGGGGGATGGATGGCGGCTAACAGATAGAGGTTGAATCCTTACAAGAAAGAAGGACTGTTTTTGGGGGACAGGTGTGGGGGACTCCCTGGTCCTGAATGGGGTCACTGTGCCCCTGAAGGACCAGGTGTGCAGCCTGGGGGTTATTTTGGACTCACCGCTGTCCATGGAGGTGCAGGTCAGTTCTGTGTCCGGGGCAGCTCCATCTGGGACACAGGATGAGACCCTCCCTGCCCGCAGTCTTGCCAGAGTGGTGCATGCTCTGGTTATCTCCCACTTGGTCTACTGCCATGCGGTCTCCGTGGGGCTGCCTTTGAAGGTGACCCGGAAACTGCAACTAATCCAGAATGCGGCAGCTAGACTGGGGACTGGGAGTGGAGACCACATAACACTGGTCCTGAAAGACCTACATTGGCTCCCAGGACGTTTCCGAGCACAATTCAAAGTGTTGGTGCTGACCTTGAAACCCCTAAACGGCCCAGTAGACCTGAAGGAGCGTCTCCACCCCGGACACCGGGGTCCCTCTCCCGAGGGCCTTCTGCTTCTGGCGGTTCCCTCCCTGCGAGAAGTGAGGTTACAGGGAACCGGGTGGAGGGCCTTCTCGGTGGTGGCGCCCTCCCACCAGACGTCAAGGAAATAAAGAACTATCTGACTTTTAGGAGACATCTGAAGGCAGCCCTGTTTAGAGAAGATTTTAATGTTTGACTTTTTTTGTGTTTTTAATATCCTGTTGGGAGCTGCTCAGAGTGCCTGGGGAAACCCGACCAGGTGGGCAGGGAATAATAATAATAATAATAATAATAATAATAATAATAATAAAACAACAACAGCAACAACTCAGAAGAGCCCTGCAGGATGAGGCCTCCCGGTGGCTCCATCCCTGGCCCAGTTTCCTGCTTCCAGCAGAGGGAAGCAGTGGCCTTGTCTTTGCTGGTCCTCTCATTTAGGGAGGAGACGCCGACTGACGAACCATTTCTTTGTTTCCGCAGAAACGAAAAGGATAAAACAATCCAGCGCTTGAAGGATCAGCTCAACACACGACAGACATCTTCCGGCATGGTCCTTTTCCCTTCCTTCCTTATCCCTTCCCTCCTCCTTTTCATAGCACCTGGAGTCCTCTGCAGTCTCCTGTAGTTCCTCTGGCTTTTGCACTTGCAAGCACCCGAAGAAAACTTCCTTTTTTTCCGGGCTGTGTTTTTTTTTTCTCTTTTAAAAAACCTTCTTCCTGCTTCGTCGACCGAACCGCCGCTCCCCCATCTGCAAAGCTGCTTGTGAGATACCAGAGGGCATCCATACCCACCCACACCCACCAGTCTTGAGTGCGAATCCAGCGTTGTGAGATTTACCTGTTGCGTCCGAATCCAACCCCGAGGCTGAAACGCAGATATCGCTGCAACCTAACATATCGTTACAAAAATGGGGGGGTGACTTCCCCTCTCTCTGCCCAAGATTTTGGGAATGGGGGGCCCCAGCACTCACCCCAGGTCTCAGTCCCTTTGAAGAACTGAGGCACGGCGGAGACTGTCATGGCTTTAAGAAATACGGTTTATTCGCTTCTTACGTCTCCAGTCTGCATGCAGGGTGTCCAAATTTTGCAGCACGGCCGTTTCAAGAGGGGCTTGGCCCCCCACAACTGTGCAGTTCCACAGTCCAAATACTGCTCTTCCTAAATTGTTGAACTTCTTTTAGGCGAACCCCAACATAATTGAGCTTCTGTTTTGAGGAAGACCCTAAAATTGTTGAGATTCTTTTAGGTGAACCCCAACATTGTCGAACTTCATTTTTAGGTGAACCCCAACATTGCTGAGCTTCATTTTTTAGGAAGACCCTAAAATTGTTGAATTTCTTTTAGGCGAACCCCAACATTGTTGAGCTTTTTAAAGGCAAACCCCAACATTGTTCCGCCTTTGAAATCCACCTTTGAAATCCCAGCAACGTCCAGGAAAATCCAGGTTTGCAGCAATCCTACCCCCCAAGTGTCAACTAAGAAAGGATTCGATTGACTAGGATCGGAGACCTGGACACACACTGGACGGTCACTTGGTTAAGGACCTCTTCCCATGCTCAGAAGTGCGTCCACACATTCCAGTACGCAGGGATCTCGACCGCACGCAGAGACGGGGGACGGGCACCCACGACGACAACAACAAAATATGGGTGCCCCTTCGTGCCAGGAGAGAAGCTGCGCTCTCAAATTTCTGTTGGAGACCACCTCTGTCGGCGATGTATTTTGGTTAAGCTTTTGGTTAAGCTGTGGGTGACAGTCTTTAAAAGGGATTGCCCTTTGTTGTTCTGGGCCTCTCTTACTTCCTTGCACGGTTGGGGTATACTCTTGTTTGCCACAGAAAATAAAGATCTTCTTTGCTTCCATGGGATCCCGCCTCCATCCAATTTCTCTTTTTTATTTTATTTTATTTGGTTTTACAAGTTCGTTCACAGAAAAACATTCTTGCAAATACCAGAATATTACACAAGATTAAATCCTAAAACTCCCTTCCATGGGTTCTTTTCAGCGAAACCCCCACGTTTTGCAGAACCCCACAAACTGATCAAACGAGACTACAAAGATGGGGTTCGTTCTCAATATTAACTGTGAACCCAAAATTTGGGACAAACCTGGGCCAAATATTTTCAGGGTTTTTTTTGGGAGGGTGTTGCAGCATTTTCCAGCGAAACCCCCACGTTTTGCAGAGCCCCACAAGCTGAGCAAACGATACAACAAAAATGGGGTTCGTTCTTGACATTAACTTTGAACCCCCCCAGATTTGGAACCCCCTGCAAACCAGTCAATAAGACATGCCTATTTTAAGAGTAGAAATTCTGGAGGGTGTACAATAACTCGGTTTGCGGGGCGCTCCAAAACGCTGCAAAATACCCCTAAAAAACCCTGCAAGACTTTGGCATAGATTTGCACGGGATCCTGAATTTTGGGGTTTGTAGCGAATGGGCCCATTCAGAATCAATGCCCTCTCTGGAGACAGATCATAGCCACCCTGGCAAGTAGCCATTCTTCTCCATGAACTGCAGAAAGACAGAGAGAGGTTTGTGGCTGAGTGCAGGATTTGAACCCTGCTCTCCCAGCCCCTTAGGACGCGGGTGGCGCTGTGGGTTAAACCACAGAGCCTAGGGCTTGCCGATCAGAAGGTCGGCGGTTCGAATCCCCGCAATGACGGGGTGAGCTCCCGTAGCTCGGTCCCTGCTCCTGCCAACCTAGCAGTTCGAAAGCACGTCAAAGTGCAAGTAGATAAATAGGTACCGCTCCGGCGGGAAGGTAAACAGCGTTTCCGTGCGCTGCTCTGGTTCACCAGAAGCGGCTTAGTCATGCTGGCCACATGACCTGGAAGCTGTACGCCGGCTCCCTCGGCCAATAAAGCGAGATGAGCGCCGCAACCCCAGAGTCGTCCACAACTGGACCTAATGGCCAGGGGTCCCTTTACCTTTACACCCAGCTCCTTGCAGGGTACTCTAACCACTGCACCACACTGCCTCCAGGCAATTTTTTCCCCCTGCTGCTACTGAAGGTGAGAAATGGTCCAATAAGGCAAAATAGAGCCAAACAATGCCATTGCTTATTATGCTAGAATCATAGAACTGTAGAGGTGGGTGGTACCTTTGGAGGTCATCCAGCCGAACCCCACTGCAATGAGGGAATCTCAGCTAAAACAACCTCTGCTTAAAAACCTCTGAGGAAGGAGAATCCGCCAACTTCCACCCCACAGTCGAACAGCTCCGACTGTCAGAAAGCTCTTACTGACGTCAGGCCGGAATCTCCTTCCTTGTAACTTGAAGCCATGGGTTCGAGTCCTGATTTGGAAACACCTTTTCTTGGAATTGGCATGGGGTGTGTGTGTCTCCCTTTGCAGTCACCGCAAGCACACACCTTTCTCAGAACTGCTTCATTTCCCAGCAACAGAAACTTCCTCGCTCTCCGTGGCAGCCTTCCCAAACTGGTGCCCTGTCCAACTCCCATCACCATACTGGTCAGGACTGGTGGTTGCAGGGAGCCCGGCCCCCTTCAGAGGTCACCCCTGTTGGAAATAAGGCTGCTCTACGGATGCGGGTGGCGCTGTGGGTTAAACCACAGAGCCTAGGACTTGCCAATCGGAAGGTCGGCGGTTCGAATCCCTGTGACGGGGTGAGCTCCCGTTGCTCGGTCCCTGCTCCTGCCAACCTAGCAGTTCGAAAGCACGTCAAAGTGCAAGTAGATAAATAGGTACCGCTCCGGCGGGAAGGTAAACGGCGTTTCCGTGCGCTGCTCTGGTTCGCCAGAAGCGGCTTAGTCCTGCTGGCCACATGACCCGGAAGCTGTACGCCGGCTCCCTCGGCCGATAAAGCGAGATGAGCGCCGCAACCCCAGAGTCGTCCACAACTGGACCTAATGGTCAGGGGTCCCTTTACCTTTACGGAGAGGAGGAGACCCCTTTCCTATCTCCCGGCAGAAGAGTTTCTTTTCATGCTGTTATAGGAATTCTAAGTTATATACAGTGGTACCTTGGGTTACATACGCTTCAGGTTACAGACTCTGCTAACCCAGAAATAGTACCTCGGGTTAAGAACTTTGCTTCAGGATGAGAACAGAAATCGTGCTCCAGCGGTGCAGCGGCAGTGGGAGGCCCCATTAGCTAAAGTGGTGCTTCTGGTTAAGAAATATTTCAGGTAAAGAACGGACCTCCAGAACAAATTACCGTATTTTTTGCTCTATAAGACTCACTTTTTCCCTCCTAAAAAGTAAGGGGAAATGTGTGTGCGTCTTATGGAGCGAATGCAGGCTGCACAGCTATCCCAGAAGCCAGAACAGCAAGAGGGATCGCTGCTTTCGCTGCGCAGCGATCCCTCTTGCTGTTCTGGCTTCTGAGATTCAGAATATATTTTTTTCCTTGTTTTCCTCCTCCAAAAACTAGGTGCGTCTTGTGGTCTGTTGCGTCTTATAGAGCGAAAAATACGGTAAGTGTTGCAGGAAAAAAAAAGCCCCCAATCATTCCGTTTGTACAAACACGACACACACTCATAAAGACTCAATACTGGCTCTTGGATAAGGGGGAAAGGAGCAGGTTTTTTTCTTATAACAGTGCTTTCCAAATAAATAAATAAATGCAGTGGCCTGGTTCAGTTTCGATTCCTCTCGGCTGCTGGATTTCACAAATTCCCGGAAACGGAGGGAGGAGGGAGGCCCAAATCTTGTTGCCGGAGGGAGCCAGGAGGAATCACTCTTTGAGATTTGAAAGCTCGTGTTTTGAAAGCCGGAGTCGAAAGCTGGTGTTTCCCAATTTGCCTTCCCCATGGATGAACTGCAGCGGGCCGTGCGCAGATCCCTAGAGGATCTGAAGATCAAGTGGATCACTTCCACCAAGTCATGGAACAAGACCCATTTGTGGTGTGCAGCTGTCATCGTCCTCCAATTCTTTCTGTGGATCACTATGCTCCTTTCGGATCAACCGCGGGCAGTTTTGGAGCCACAATGTGACCGAGCCCAACTGCTGGCCGAGGTGGATTCTCTGAAGGAACAACTGGGAAACATGACAAAGGAGATGGAGAAAGGGAAAATGGAGAGCGACAGGGAACTGGCTGCTACAAACCGGATCCTCAGGAAGACCAAGATGGCTTTGGAGAAAGCAACGAAGGGCAGCAATGATCTGCTGACCCAACTGGCGGCTGCCAACCAGAGCCTGGGTGAGACGCAAGAGCGCTGGAAGTCCTGCCAAGCTCAACTGGTAAAAATAAGGGATCTTCGAAGCTGGAAGGGGCTCCTATAATAATAATAATAATAATAACAACAGTAATTTATTATTTATCTGGGACGCAGGTGGTGCTGTGGGTTAAACCACAGAGCCTAGGGCTTGCCGATCAGAAGGTCAGCGGTTCGAATCCCTGCAATGACGGGGTGAGCTTCCGTTGCTCGGTCCCTGCTCCTGCCAACCTAGCAGTTCGAAAGCATGCCAGTGCAAGTAGATAAATAGGTACCGCTGCAGTGGGAAGGGAAACGGCGTTTCCGTGCGCTGCTCTGGTTCGCCAGTAGCGGCTTAGTCCTGTTGGCCACATGACCCGGAAGTTGTACGCCGGCTCCCTCGGCCAGTAAAACGAGATGAGTGCTGCAACCCCAGAGTCGGCCATGACTGGACCTAATGGTTAGGGGTCCCTTTACCTTTATTATTTATACCCCACCCACCTGGCTGGGCTTCCCCAGCCATTCTGGGCAGCTCCCAACAGAATATTAAAAACACGATAAAACATCAAAAATTAAAAGCTTCCCTAAACAGCGCTGCCTTTGCATGTCTTCTAAAAGTCAGTTAGTTGTTTATCTCCTTGACATCTGGTGGAAGGGAGTTCCACAGGGTGGGTGCCACCACCGAGAAGGCCCTCTGCCTGGTTCCCTGTAACCTCACTTCTCGCAGGGAGGGAGCTGCCAGAAGGCCCTCAGGAGATGGACCCCCGGTGTCCGGGGTGGAGATGCTCCTTCAGGTCTACTGGGCCATTGAGGGCTTTCCAGGTCAGCACCAACCCTTTGAATTGTGCTTGGAAATGTCCTGGGAGCCAATGTAGGTCTTTCAGGACCGGGGTTATATTGTTGACGTGAACCAGAAATCCCCTCCGGGCGCAATTTTCAAGGTATTTTTTTTCTCCTGCTATAGGACAGCACAAAAGGAAAAACCGCGTCTCTGGAGAAGGAAAGGAACAATCTGCAGCAGGAGAAGCAGAAGCTCCAAGGTGAGAAACCAGCAGAGATGGCGTCGTGACGACGGCTGAGCACCACGATGCTTTGGGTTGTCCCTGCCCCATAATAAGTCCAGCTTCCTCCCACCCACTGAATGGGCCAATCCGATGCTTCACTGTGAAGCCCACCCTAAGAGTGTGAAGGCAAAGGTGTGCAAAGGAAGCCGTGTTTCCGCCAGGCAAAACCAGAGGTTTCTACACCTGTCACTGACTTACTTTAAAATAATAATAATAAAAATTTATACGATGCTAATTCATAAAGAAAATAACATCTATCTTTCTTTCTTTCTCTTTCTTTCTTTCCTTTTTTCTTAATTTCTTTTTTCTCTACCTCCCTCTCTTCTCTTTCTCTCTCTCTCTCTCTCTCTCTCTCTCTTTCTCTTTCTCTTTTCTCTCTCTCCCCCTATCCCCTCTTTCTTTCTTTCTTTCTTTCTTTCTTTCTTTCTCTTCCTTCCTTCCTCTCTTTTTTCTCTCTCTCACCCTCTCTTTCTCTTTTCTTTCTTTCTTTCTTTCTTTCTTTCTTTCTTTCTTTCTTTCTTTCTCTTACCTCTCTTTCTCCCCCCTCTCTTTTCTTTCTTTCTTTCTTTCTTTCTTTCTTTCTTTCTTTCTTTCTATCTCTCTCTCTTCCTTCCTTCCTTCCTTCCTTCCTTCTTTTCTCTCTCTCCCCCTCTCTTTCTCTTTTCTTTCTTTCTTTCTTTCTTTCTTTCTTTCTTTCCCTCCTCCCTCCCCCTCCCTTTCTTCCTCTTTCTCTATATACATTAGATGACATGGAATCAGCTAACTATCGTGGGGGGGGACATGTTCTTCATGGGCTTCACCCTGAAGAACACGTTTGGCTCCTTTGCAAATGGCGGACGGTCTGGAAATTTTGATAAATAAACCCCTTTTTGCAATGGGGTGGCGTTGAACAATTTCATTTGCAGCTGCGCTCCCTTGGGCCTCAGGTGTTCTGGGCTTTGTTAGTTCATACAAGGCCCTTGAGGCAAAAGCAGTGTGTGAATCGTGGAATTGTAGAGTACGAATGGGCACCCCAGTGGTCATCTAGCCCAACCTGTTGCAATGCAGGGATCTTGGCCAAAGGAGCCGCGGCCGATGGCCTGGGGAGATTTCTGGGGGCCAGACAGAGAGTCCATGGAGGCCGCATTTCTCCCACAGGCCTGGTATCCCCCATTCCTGGCCATGCGGGGAGAGAGAGTGAGATTTCCAAAAGTCATCTGTCGAGGTGGAATAGGTGGGAAATCTGAAAGACGTTTGCTTTCTTTTCCAAAGGGAAAATTGACGGCCTTGTGCAGCAGCTGTCCAGTCGAGAAAGAGAGTTGGAGAGCTGGAGGAATAACCAGCAATGGTAAGAGCGTCTAGGGTGAGTTCATATTTGTTTTTGCATTTCCTGCTGGGTGGGTCGAAGTTTCGTACAATCCCCCAGGGCCGGATTTAGGTTTGATGAGGCCCTCAGCTCCTGAAGGTAATGGGGCCCTTTCTATGTCCAGCTGTCCTTTGTCCACAACAAATTGTAGCTGTTTTTGTGTGTTGAATGTATGCTATATGGTAATTTACGGACCTCATAGGTATCTCAAGACATTAGCCCATGTTGCTCTGCAACTAGTCCATGCAGAATGTAGGCACCCTATATATAGGTAAAGGGACCCCTGACCATTAGGTCCAGTCGTGGCCGACTCCGGGGTTGCGGCGCTCATCTCGCTTTATTGGCCGAGGGAGCCGGCGTACAGCTTCCGAGTCATATGGCCAGCAGGACTAAGCCGCTTCTGGCGAACCAGAGCAGCACACGGAAACACCGTTGACCTTCCCGCCGGAGCGGTACCTATTTATCTACTTGCACTTTGATGTGCTTTCGAACTGCTAGGTGGGCAGGAGACCCTATATATAGAAAGGAGCAAAACAGTGATATTTGAGGGAGCAGGCTAGCAGGCGGGGCCCATGACTTACATCACAGGAGCCTACACAACACAAAACACTGCTGCTATATGTAGGTTCCATTTTATACGTTTTTTATCTTATATTTTGGAAATGGACATCCAGGTTTTTTTCCCTTTAATTTTTTTGGGGGGCCCCCAATCCAGCACTGAATCCAGCAGCCCAAAACCCTAAAAAGAGTACAGTGTTCCCTTGGTTCTCAAACAACTTGGAACCCAAACACTGCAAACCCGGAAGGAAGTGTTCCAGGTTGCGAACTTTTTTCGGAAGCCGAACGTGCTCCGTTTCGAGTGCCACGCTTCTGATTTGAGTGTTATGCTGAGGTCTGTCTGTTTATTTGCTATTTATTTTGTGTTTTTGTTTTCATGTGGAACTGACAGATTGATTGTGTGACTGCAGTGCATTGCTTATTGCTTTCATTTTATGGATCGGTGGTCTCGTTAGATAGTAAAAATCCATGTTAAATTGCTGTTTTGGGGGTTGTTTTTAAAAGTCTGGAACGGATTAATCCGTTTTGCATGGCCGTCTATGGGAAAGCGCGCCTCAGTTTTGGAACGCTTTGGTTTTGGAATGGACTTCCGGAACGGATTAAGTGTGGCAACCAAGGTACTACTGACTTGATGCCTCGCAAGGTTGTTAAAATGTATTTTAAAAAGATCCAAATTATGCAGGAATTGTGTCAAGGGGCAAAGGGAACATTAATGCACATGTGGTGGCCATGGAAACAAGCCAAAAATTATTGGGAAATTATCTATCAACCAACCAATAACAGAAATTGATACTTATTTATTATACCATCTATACATCGTTTTCATATACTTTTCTTTCAGCAGAGAACAGTCAGTAAATTTCAAATCTACCTTCCACAGCTTTCCCCAGTCCTCAAATTGTATATTGTGTCCTATAAGGAGGACCCGATTCAATGGACCGCATTCTCTTAGATTTCCCTTTGCACAGCAGACCTCGCCAACTGATGCTGAGCAAAATGTCGGACCTCCGGCCCATAACTCGGAGGAGAAGCCAAAAGAGGTTTCTGTTGGCAGACCGGGGCAAAGATATCACTGCCTTAGTAGCTTCCTTTTTAGCCGCAATTCTACCCAAAAGGGTTATCCTTTTGGAAAATAGACAGGGTGTAGCAGGACATCCAAATGCACACGACCATGTTGTTGTTGTTGAGTCGTTTAGTCGTGTCCACCACTTCGTGACCCCCTGGACCAGAGCACGCCAGGCCCTCCTGTCTTCCACTGCCTCCCGCAGTTTGGTCAAACTCATGTTGGCACCTTCAAGAACACTGTTCCACCATCTCGTCCTCTGTCGTCCCCTTCTCATTGTGCCCTCCATCTTTCCCAACATCAAGGTCTTTTCCAGGGAGTCTTCTCTTCTCCTGAGCTGGCCAAAGTCTTGGAGCCTCAGCTTCAGGATCTGTCCTTCCAGTGAGCACTCAGGGCTGATTTCCCTCAGAATGGAGAGGTCTGATCATCTTACACGCGGCCGTAGTGTGTCCTTATAACCCTTGATAGCTTCACCCTCGTCCCTTTAATGATCCCAGTGACTTGAAATGTTTTATACTGTGATGCCAGTAAAGGTTCTTGATTTGATTTGGGACTGCATCGCCCCGGAGGTAGCCCGATTGACCCAATATTTCCCCAACCGCTTTGTCTTTCCAGGGTTCAAAACCAGATGCGAGAGGAACGGCAGAATTACCAGCAGCAGAATGTCGCCTTTGATATAACCAAGAGCCCCTGGCTGATGGCTGTTGTGTTTTTCTTCCTCCTCCTAGTCTGTGTTGTCCACCTATGCCAGTGAAGTGAAGTTGCTATGGCAGATATGAACATTAAAAAAAAAGCAACTTCTTTGGGAAAAGAAGCATTATCCAGATCCCTCCCCCCCAAAAAAACTTTAACTCATCATATATCATTCCCCAGAAAGCCTTCACCTCTTTACAAGGCCACCATGCGTGGTAGAATAAACCTTCCCTTTCTTTACATTTCCAACACTCATTGGTTCTTGTCTTGTACATTTTAGCAAGCTTAGCTAGACAGCATCTTAAAAAGCAGAGACATCACCTTGCCAACAAAGGTCCGTATAGTAAAAGCCATGGTTTTCCCAGTAGTGATGTATGGAAGATCGCCGAAGAATTGATGCTTTTGAATTCTGGTGCTGGAGGAGACTCTTGAGAGTCCCATGGACTGCAAGAAGATCCAACCTCTCCATTCAGAAGGAAATCAGCCCTGAATGCTCACTGGAAGGACAGATCCTGAAGCTGAGGCTCCAAGACTTTGGCCACCTCAGGAGAAGAGAAGACTCCCTGGGAAAGACCCTGATGTTGGGAAAGATGGAGGGCACCAGGAGAAGGGGACGACAGAGGACGAGATGGTGGGACAGTGTTCTTGAAGCTACCAACATGAGTTTGACCAAACTGCAGGATGCAGTGGAAGACAGGAGTACCTGGCGTGCTCTGGTCCAGGGGGTCACGAAGAGGCAGACACGACTAAACAACAGCTGGTGTTAAATACCATCTGTGCATCATTTTCAGGCTAGGACTTAATACGTTGGCGATCTGTCGATTTGAACGACGGCGGGCATCTCTGCCTCTCTGGCTCCTCAAACCAGGAGTACCACGGCCAATGTGAGCAGAGATGTCAGGTCACCATAGAGATGGATTCCACTGCTGGCTGGCAGCCTCCTTTGCTGCTGCCGAAGATGGGCGATGATTTCTTCCTGGTGTTTGCTGTGATGGAGAAAGGCAGAAAGCAAGAAATCAGCTCATGGAGAAAGCGCTGCCCCAAGGCCATTCCAAACAGTGTGTCAAATCAGTGCATCGACTGCGTTGCACGATACGTGCCCGATTCTCTCACAAGGGGTCCGTCTAACCTACGGTTCGCTAGTACAGGGGTACCTTGGTTCTCAAACGCCTTGGTACTCTAATGCCTTGGTTTCCAAACACCGAAAACCCGGAAGTAAGTGTCTTCCAGTTTGCAAACATTTCTTAGAAGCCGGACGTCCGACGCGGCTGTCGGCTATTGTTTCCGGGGCGCCTGAGCCAATCAGAAGCCGCGCCTTGGTTTTCGAACATTTTGGGAGCCGAACGAACTCCCGGAATGGATCAAGTTTGGCGCTTTTGTCTTTGCTCTTTGTTTTGCGTTTTTTGTTTCTGAGGCCTTTTCAGTTCATTTGTTTTTGTGACTGTGTGGAACCCAGTTCAGCTACTGATTGATTGTTTCTCCCCTGAAAATAGGGACGTCCTAATCTGTCCCCTCCGACGTTTCTCCCCTGAAAATAGGGACGTCCTATTCCATCCCCTCCAACGTTTCTCCCCTGAAAATAGGGACGTCCTAATCTGTCCCCTCCAACATTTCTCCCCTGAAAATAGGGACATCCTATTCCATCCCCTCCAACGTTTCTCCCGTGAAAATAGGGACGTCCTATTCCATCCCCTCCAACGTTTCTCCCGTGGAAATAGGGACGTCCTATTCCATCCCCTCCAACGTTTCTCCCTTGAAAATAGGGACGTCCTATTCCATCCCCTCCAACGTTTCTCCCATAAAAAGAGGGACGTCCTATTCCATCCCCTCCAACGTTTCTCCCCTGGAAATAGGGACGTCCTATTCCATCCCCTCCAACGTTTCTCCCCTGGAAATAGGGACATCCTATTCCATCCCCTCCAACGTTTCTCCCCTGAAAATGGGGACGTCCTATTCCATCCCCTCCAACGTTTCTCCCCTGGAAATAGGGACGTCCTATTCCATCCACTCCAACGTTTCTCCCCTGGAAATAGGGACGTCCTATTCCATCCCCTCCAACGTTTCTCCCCTGAAAATGGGGACGTCCTATTCCATCCCCTCCAACGTTTCTCCCCTGGAAATTGGGACATCCTATTCCATCCCCTCCAACGTTTCTCCCCTGAAAATAGGGACGTCCTATTCCATCCCCTCCAACGTTTCTCCCCTGAAAATAGGGACGTCCTGTTCCATCCCCTCCAACGTTTCTCCCCTGGAAATAGGGACATCCTATTCCATCCCCTCCAACGTTTCTCCCCTGAAAATAGGGACGTCCTATTCCATCCCCTCCAACGTTTCTCCCCTGGAAATAGGGACATCCTATTCCATCCCCTCCAACGTTTCTCCCCTGAAAATAGGGACGTCCTATTCCATCCCCTCCAACGTTTCTCCCCTGAAAATAGGGACGTCCTGTTCCATCCCCTCACCAGAACAGAACCAGGTGCCTCATTGCTCACCAACCCACCCCCAACAGCACCTTCCTCATAAGTCGGACGTGGGTCTCACTTACGTTACACCTTGAAGCATCTGTGTCCAGTTTTTCAGGAGCGTGACCTCGTCTGGGAAATGGGAAAAAGAGGGCGGTTTTCATCCCCCCAAAACACAAAGGCCTGGGTGGCAAAACACCTGTTTTTCATGCCAAAGGCTTCACCGTTTGAATGGCGATGCCCATCAACTTTCATATAACTTTCAAATATTTTATTGGTGTAGAGACGAGGGTGGCGCTGTGGGTTAAAATAGATAGATAGATAGATAGATAGATAGATAGAAGATAGATAGATGATACCTAGATAGATAGATAGATAGATAGATAGATAGATAGATAGATAGATAGAAGATAGCTAGATGATGATAGATAGATAGATGATAGATAGATAGATAGATAGATAGATAGATAGATAGATAGATATAGATAGATATAGATAGATAGATGATAGATAGATAGATGATAGATAGATAGATGATAGATAAAAAATTTAAAAAATGTCCAGTAGCACCTTAGAGACCAACTAAGTTTGTTCTTGGTATAAGCTTTCGTGTGCATGCACACTTCTTCAGATTGATAGATAGATAGATAGGTAGATAGACAGACAGACAGACAGACAGAAATAGATAGATGATTGATAGATGATAGATAGATGATAGATATAGTGTGATGGGATTATGAGCTGCTTGTGCGTAAAATCGTATTCCCTCAGAGTTTGTTCAAGTCCACAAACCTCTGTCTGTGACTGAGCCCCTCTGACATGGCTCCTCTTAGTCACTAGAAGATTCCGACAGTGGTTGCTTTCGTAATCGCTTCCAACATAAAAGCTCCTTAACGGAAACACGTCTTCTGGACTCTCTGCGTGACAGTTTCCGGCGAGGAGTGGGTGTCGCTACAGGAGGTCCGGAAACCTCACCACTGTTTTCGCTGGAAGTATCTCTGAGCCATCC